ATCAAATCACCATCCGGAACTTCCAATTTGTTGGAGGAGAGGAGAAATTTTAAGTCTTTTAAAAACTTCTGTTGGGGAGCAGACAAGGAGCTGCCCATTTTTCTAAAATTAATATATAAATAAGATGAAAAGGGATCGGACTCACCGGGATCTTTTTAAGATGATTAGCGCTTGAAACCCTGGCCGGGCGTAGTGAGCCGATGATATCCTTTGCTAGGATCGATAAACCTCACACGGTTTCCTTTTAAAAGCCTCAGTCTGCCTCAGACTGTTTTCTTTAAGTTGCCTCTTCTTAGTCCTCAGACGTATTCTTTTATTCAGCCTCACACGTATTCTTTTATTCAGCCTCACACGGGGCACCACTTGTCGGAGCACAGCCGTACAAATGGCGAAGTTTAGCATAAAATTATGACACAGAGAGCCAGCAATATTTTCATGATGGTAGGAGCAGCTCCTCTCGAACTTCCCTCTCCTCCTCCTGCAAAACCTTTATTATCCCTTCTTTGTCTCTCTCCAACCGCATGGCTGTTTGCCAGTGTCTCACGTTACCTCATCCGGTCAAGGCTTTTACCCACCCACAAACCATATAAGGTTAATCACTGCCCAGAGGAAACACAGCTCCAATACATTCCAATACATTGTAAAGCTCAGAGTGCTGGTCAGCCAAGGTCAGGGGGCACCCTGCAATATTACAAGCCTTTACCGTGGCTTTGTGACTCCCACAACCATTTAGCCGGTAACCTGTCAGACGAACTAAACAAGTCACTCAGATTTCTGCTGTAGACTGTCTTTTCTGTGATATAGGTATGATGTATCTGGGGGGTGGTCTTAGGTTACACCCCTTCTGTGATGTATGTATGATGTATGGAGGGGTGGTCATGAGCTCCAGGGCAGGGAATTTAAATTGTCTATATAAGGCCTTGTGCGCCATTGTTCTGGGTTCCTCCTCCCTTCTGCGTGCGGTGAGTGAGGACCTTGTTGCAACAGATCAATAAAGATCAGGCTTACTAGCTGCTTTGCTTCTCAATATTCTCTGGTTGGCCTCTGTTATTTTCTCCTACCAATAGGAGAACCAACGTACGGACTCTATATGGGCTCTTGGGTACCCCATAAGGGAAAAAGAGCAGATTTTTGTTTACAACAGCGCAAAGACATCTTGTTGTGTCCTGCAGCTTCCAGCCTTCATCATCCAGTCTTTTTCCACTCTCTCACACAACAACCCCAGCTATCCTTCTTCCATCTACCAGCCAAGTAAAGGGGAAATGGCTACCCCCCCCCCCTTTCCCAGAGAGCACCATCACTAGAACTGCAGCTCTTGAAACCTGGCACATGCTTTGAGATGCGGATGACTCCATTAAGCTGGCCAGCCAAAGCCAACCCCTTAACAAAGGAACTGGTTTGGCAGGCTCCACTGCCTTTCCTACTCAGTTCTAACCCTTGCTGGATGCAGGATCACAGGCTTGGAAGGAATCCAGGTGACCCCCACCCCCCAAAGAAAAACCCTTGTAACAATAAATCTGTTAAAGTGCCACTAGATGCTTTGTCATCTAAGTATGTGACTAAACACAGACCACATGACCTTCCTTTTTTGCTTTTAACTTCCAGCCAGAGGAAGAGTTCTGGAAAGCTTGCCTGCCGTTAAGTCATCTTTTGGTTTGTGCTAAGAGATTTTACAGTTGGTTTTACAGGCATTGAGGATCCCTGGATTTATTATTTTCCTGATGGATCAAGAGCTTATGTCAGGGGTAGGCAACCTAAGGCCTGGGGGCCGGAAGCGGACCAGTCACCTTCTATATCTGGCCCACGGACGGTCCGGGAATCAGCGTGTTTTTACATGAGTAGAATGTGTCCTTTTATTTAAAATGCATCTCTGGGTTATTTGTGGGGCATAGGAATTTGTGGTCTGAGGGATAGTGGACCGGCCCACGGCTGAAAAAGGTTGCTGACCCCTGGCTTATATTGTTTCTTGCAATGCTGCCACCAGTGTTGGACAATTGTATTAGGGCTATCAGCAGCCACACTTTTGTCTTCAATTCTTCTTTGAAGATCACTCGTAGCCGAGTAAGATTGTCTTTGTTATAAGAATTTTAAGGTCTTATATATATAAAATAGATATTCATAAATGTACCAAGCAAACACATACAAATTTGTAAACCACATGTCTGAAACCCACAGAAAAGTACTGAAACCATTTTCTCTCTCCCAAAATGACCTCAAATCTTTCTCTGCAAGGTCGAAGGAAATGGGAAATCTCCCCATTGTCTCTGTGCTCACAAATCCTGCCTTAAGGGCACATTTAAGGTGTGAATAAGGTCAGCCAATGACCTGGATTCAGGAATTAAGTAGTTATAATAACAAAAGGGGACGCGGGTGGCGCTGTGGGTTAAACCACAGAGCCTAGGACTTGCCATGACCAGGTGAGCTCCTGTTGCTCAGTCCCTGCTCTCCTGCCAACCTAGCAGTTTGAAGGCACGTCAGAGTGCAAGTAGATAAATAGGTACTGCTCCAGCAGGAAGGTAAGCAGCATTTCCATGCGCTGCTCTGGTTTGCCAGAAGCGCCTTAGTCATGCTGGCCACATGACCCGGAAGCTGTATGCTGGCTCCCTCGGCCAATAAAGTGAGATGAGCGCCACAACCCCAGTCGGTCACGACTGGACCTAATGGTCAGGGGTCCCTTTACCTTTACCTTTAAGAACAAAAGAGTGGCCAAAACCCAGAGAATGCAATCAATATAAAAGGATGTCACATAGAGGAGGGAGAAAGGTTGTTTTCTGCTGCTCCAGAGAAGCGGACACGGAGCAATGGATCCAAACTACAAGAAAGAAGATTCCACCTAAACATTAGGAAGAACTTCCTGACAGTAAGAGCTGTTCGACAGTGGAATTTGCTGCCAAGGAGTGTGGTGGAGTCTCCTTCTTTGGAGGTCTTCAAGCAGAGGCTTGACAACCATATGTCAGGAGTGCTCTGATGGTGTTTCCTGCTTGGCAGGGGGTTGGACTCGATGGCCCTTGTGGTCTCTTCCAACTCTAGGATTCTAGGATTCTAGGTAAATGGCAGACAGGAGATAAACAACACACTCAGGATTCTCTTTTAGACCGCCCTCTCTGATGTATGTATGATGTATTAGGAGAGGTGGTCCTGGGATACACCCCTTCTGTGATGTATGTATGATGTTTCTGGGGGTGGTCTGGAGTTTGAGGGTGGGAAATTTAAAAAGTATAAGGGCGGACACACCTTTGTTCAGGGTCCTCCTCCTTTCCTGCGTGTGGGGGGAGCACCCTGTTGCAACAGCTTTAATAAAGATCAGGCTTACTAGCTGCTTTGCTTCTCAATATTCTCTAGTTGGTCTCTGTTATTTTCTCCTACTGATAGAGAACCTACAAAAGGACTCTATATGGGTTCTTGGGTACCCCATATGGGAAAAGGAGCAGTTTTTCCCCTCATAGCATCTTCCATGAACATGGTCTTAACAATGAGTCGTAAGTGACTATGGAGGCCAATTCTGGACCCACACGTCCTTCCACAGTGGGGACATAGGTTTCCGGGCAGGAGTTGATCACGGTGTGGATTTGCCAAGCGTGCCTTCCTCTTAGCACGCTTCTCCCTTGCGTCCTGAGTTCGAGTGTCTTCAAAGCCCCTGACACCTTTGGTCAAGGCTGTTCTCCAACTGAAGCCCTTGCAGGCAAGTGTTTCCCAATTGTCAGTGTTTATACTACATTTTTTTAGATTTGCCTTGAATATGTGCTGTTGCCTCTGGTGAGACGACACCTGTCACAGCCCTAGATAGCAAGCTCATCATCTATTACCCCACCAAAATTCCTCCGTAGAACAAAGGTGTCATGTGAATTCTGCCATAGCCAGATAGCAGCGGATATTTCTGCGTCTGAATCAGCCAAAGCAGACGGTTTTAGTTCTATCCCCCCAAAGGGGTGTTGTTCAATGTGACAGTAATGGAGATTTTTTCATCTAATAGGTTGAGATGGGTGTACTGTATAACTTTTTAAGGGCACTCAAAGAATCATGGACTTTATACACTTCCTTCCTGTGGTCTCCCTCAGGAGGCGGTGGGCTCTCCTTCCGTGGAGGTTTTTAAGGAGAGGCTGGGTGGTCTGCTGTCAGGGATGCTTTAGCTGAGATTCCTGCCTTGTGGGGATGGGGTGGACTAGAGGACCCCTGGGGTCCCTTCCCACTCCACGGTTATTAAGGCCCAGCATTTCCCCTCCTCTCTCTGCCCTTACTTCCATTTCTTATTCTTCCCACAGCCTGAATTGTAAGCTCCTTGGGGCATGGTCCTGCGGGACTGTGCAGAGGGTGGCGTTTCAGGAAGAAGAAGTGGAGGCTCTGGAATTACTTGACAGTGAATTTGCTCTTCTTTCCTAAGGGACAAATAAGGGAAGGATATTATTCCTCTGAATAAGAAGTCTATTTTCCTTGTTAAGTAACAATTAAGGCCTTGACATTAATGTTTATTCTTATTACAATTAAGGCATTGACATTAATGCTTAATCCTATTTTTATTATCAATACGATTAAGGCCTTGACATTAATGTTTATTATAATTATTATTATTATTACAATTAGGGCCTTGACATTATTCAGGCCTTGACATTAATTTTTTTAAATTATTATTATTAATATTAATTATTACAGTTAGGGCCTTGACATTAATGTTTATTATTATTATTAATTACAATTAGGGTCTTGACATTAATGTTTATTCCTATTATTATTCTTGTTATTAATTATTATTACAATTAGGGTCTTGCTATTAATTCCTATTATTATGCCTGCCCTCAGCGAGCATGCGCACTCGCCGCCGTACGATTTCTCCCTGGGAAACGCCTTTTCTCCGACTGCGCACGCGCGGCTGGTTGGCGCGTCCGGAGGGGAAACGAAAAAACCAAACGCGCCCCAAGCTCCTCCCCCTATTCCTCCTGTTCCGCATCACGTGAGCTCGCCTCCCTCCTCCTCCCTCGCCCGGCCTTCGCCTGCCCCGGATGTTGTAGCCGCGCGGTCACGTGAAAAAATACCTCCCCCCGGTAGGGCGAGCGTCACGTGGCCGGAAGAAGGGCAGGGAGGGGAAGAAGCACGAGAGAGCGGCGGAGACAGGCGGGCAGGGGTCGCCGAAGGGCCTCGCCCGACGCCGCATGTGACCCGCCAGGCCAGGCCGCTCTCCGGACGCCGCCATGGGGTGTTGCTACAGCAGCGAGAACGAGGCCTCGGACCAGGTGAGAGGGGAGGGGAGGCCTTGCCTCTCGGCTGGGCGGGCGGTTCTGAGGCTCGGGTGGTCGGTCCCTGGGGCCGGGCGAGGGGCCTCTGCGGGTCCCCCTGACCCCTTCGAGGAGGCGCTGACATACAAGCTACGGCACCAGGAGAACCGTGACTTCAAAGATGAACGGGAGCCCTTTACAAAGTATTTGAAGACGCAGCAGAGCGAACTGGACTCCTTGGCTGGCTCGGAATCAACCGCCACAAACTTTTTTATTGATCATAATCAGCTAAATAGTTTGAGGATCTGTACAACTGCGTAAAAAAGCATTCTTTGAGAAATCGAAGACTGGAACTGAGGGAAGTCGGGGGTGGGTGGGTGGGGGGAGGGAGGAAAAAGGGGAGGGGGAAGTAAGGATGTTCTGTTTCTGGATAATATGTTTTGTTTTAATAAAATAATTTTAAAAGAAAAAGAGGAGGCGCTTCCCTCCCAGGCCTGGTGCGCGTGGAGACCCTCGGAGCCAACTCCCAGGGGCCGAGGTCCCTTTGCGCCCCCCAATTCAAGCTTTGCCCTCCTCCTGGCGAAGGGCATGGCCCTTCAGAGGGTGTGCATGTGACCAATTATGCGGGGTGGGGCCTAGCCCTCCCCCCCAAATATTGTGTCCAAGTAGCCACCCCTGGGGGAGACCCCCGCCATGCCTGCGCCTCGGCATATGCTTTTGGGCTCTGAGCATGTGCCCAGAAATGCATTGCTGGGGAGCAAGAAGGAAGCCGAGGAAATCGGGCTTGGGGAGGCGTGGGAAGGAATCGCCCTGCTGGCCTCCATCTTTCGCACCCTGAGTCTTCCTCCACCTCCTTTGTCACTGTGGTTTCTCCGCCTATTGCTCTTTCCTGCGCCCCGTTCTCTTATTGTCATTTGTGAAAGTTTGTTCCTTCACATTATCATGCCTTAGTAAGGAGAAGAGATGTGCAACTTGCAGGCAAGGCTCTCTCTTGTCTTCTTCAGTCTCCTGATCTCATATAGCACGGTCTGTGGTGCTATATGCCCCTAGTACCTGTTGCTCCAGAGTTTAAGAAATTTATCTTGGGGGGGAAAACACGCCACCGCTGTTCAGTTCTCATTGCCTTTCTTGGTTTCTGGCAAAGCCTCCAGTTGGGTCTGCTCCCACATTGCAGGTGAGGCAACCTGCAGCCCAGATGGGTGTGGCCCAAGGGAGCCTGTTTTGCTGCTTTCTAGCTTTCCACTCTGGTGTGGTGTGTTTTGGCTCCTGCAGCCCGTGAAGCAACAGGGTACCTCTTTGAGCCCCAGTGTTCAGCCTTCCCCTTTGCCTAAAGCACAACTTCCCAAATTCAAGTCATAGGACTTCCCTGTAATGAAATACAAGCTCTGTTACATTCTCACTGCTCTCAAATGGGCAAGCTTGGTAAGTAAGGCAGGGAAAGGGAGCCCAGGCAGGCCTAGGAAAATACAGTGGTACCTCAGGTTACATATGCTTCAGGTTACAGACTCTGCTAACCTAGAAATAGTGCTTCAGGTTAAGAACTTTGCTTCAGGATGAGAACAGAAATTGTGCTCTGGTGGCGCAGCGGCAGCAGAAGGCCCCCTTAGCTAAAGTGGTACTTCAGGTTAAGAACAGTTTCAGGTTAAGTATGGACCTCCGGAATGAATTAAGTACTTAACCTGAGGTACCACTGTATTTTGCATTCCAAGCAGCCAAGGTAGAGTTGTGAGGAGAAGCCCTGGCCATGAAGCGGCGTTGGAAATTACTCTGATGTGTTTTACCTGAATGTCAGTTCACCCTGCGCTGTGCAGCCTGAATGAAACAAAACTCTGGTTGCCTGGAGGCTCTTTGCAGGTGCCCTTGTTAGTGGCTGGCATATAGCACACTGTATAAGGCTAGAATAATAACCATAATCAGTAATTACTAGTATAGTATAGTATAAAACAGCTCATGTATTGCTAGGCTCCCGGGCTTGGTTTGTTTTTGAAGCATAGGAGAGAATCTTCTTTCTATTTGTAGTAGATTCTGCACAGAACTTGCTTCTCACATGACCAAGATAGAGGGGTCTTCAGAAATATCCTCTTCCCTTCAGATCTGAGGTTGCATCTTCGTTGCTCATGCCTTGGCCAGGTTGTGTGTATTTGGGCAGTTGGGGGGGGGGGGAGTGCAGAAACGCCTTGGCCTGAACTCACAGATCTCTGTTACTTGGCAAGCCCAGCCAGATCAGCTGTTCTGGGCTGTCAGCCTGCTCACTTTCTATCTCTCCTGTTGCTATTCTTGGTGGCCTCTATCGCTGACATCTTGAAGGGCACCTGTGAAACTGTCACCGGAGCCGTCAAAGGGTGGGGGAATACTGTCTGTGTGTGTGTGTGTGTGAGAGAGAGAGAGAGAGAGAGATTGTGATTATCCAAGCATTTGTACTAGCCTTTCAACCAACTAGCATTGCTAGCCTCCAAACATCATTGTTTATTTTTTCATTTAAAATACCTTTATGCTGCCTTCAAGGTTGCACCCACAGTACAACAATAGTTAGAAGTGGGATACTTCTTCTCTTTGTTTACTTTCTCTGCCGATCTTATCACAGTGAAGGGAAGAGTGGATCATGTCAGCCCTTTCCTGGAATCATTGTGTTTACCTCTGGCACACTGGCACATCAGTTTCCATTGGCCCTTAGTGTTTAATGCTCTCTGCGTTTGTGTGTTATGGGTGGAGCATGCACAGCCTGAAAGGGAGAAGGGGCCCCTTCAGCCACCCATGTTCGTTTCTCCTGAGGTGACTTTTTACTTTGGCCACTGGTCTGACATTATTATTATTATTATTATTATTATTATTATTATTATTTATATATGTCTCAGGACAATTCACAGAATAAAATCATAATATAAAGCCACAAAATACATAATCAAAATACAAACAACAACCCATTAACCCTGCCAACCCCCAACATTTTAAAAGGGCATAGGATGCCAATCAAATCAACCAAAGGCCTGGTTAAAAAGGAATGCTTTTGCCTGGTGCTTAAAGGCACCAGGCGAACTTCCCTGGGGAGAGCATTGCACAGATGGGGAGCCACAGCAAAGAAGGCCCCGTTCTTGTGTTACCACCTTCCAGATCTCTCGAGGAGGAGGCACACGAACAAGGGCCTTGATACAAGGCATCTTCCTCTGGTGAAATGACAGGTGACAAAATAGCTCCTTAGATACCATTTTCAGGTGTGGGCACCAGCGTGGTTCCCTTTGGGAGGCATGAAGATTTAGGAGTCAGGGAGAACAGCAGGGAACCCTCTTGATGCTGGGAATTATGCATGTTTTTGCATTAAAATAACTGAAGTGAAAATGTATCGCTTTGTCCATCCTTCATCCCTTCTGGCAAGACAAAAAGTTATCCTGTGGTTTCACTTCTTAGCCTTGCGGCCGAGAAAGAAAGCAGAAGTTCTCGAAACAGATATTCCTCATATGTTCTCCAGCCCTTTTTGGTTCAAACTCTGAAAGAAAGAACAGAAAGTTCTCTTGCGTAGATTCTGTGTAGCTTCCTTTTACTTTTGTCTTTCCAGCCTGTCTGGGGCTCACAAGGCGCCTCTTAAATCACAAAGGAACTTGGCGCTGGGGAGGGTCCTGTTGCACTTCGAGATTTTGTTTGACTGTTGCAGGGCACTCCTGGAAGTCACACTTGGCGTGGGTCCTGCAAGGCTGCCTTGGTTTTGTTTAGGACTAGCACAGCCGTCTGCCCTGGTGGTTGTACTTCATGGGACTCCTTTCCCACTTTGACACGGCTGAGTCCCATATAGGCTTCATGGGCGCTGGGGAGCAGTTAAGACTTTTGAGGGAGCTCTTGTCAGGCGTTGCCATGGGAACAGAGAGGGAAGGTGACTCAGAGGCTCTGGTGGAATCCCCTTCGCAGGCAGGAAGAGCATTTGCCCATTGCACAACAGGCGTGGATGTCTCTGAGGCCTGGAGTGGGAACTCTGCAAGCATCAGCTAGAGGGGCGAAATTGTTTTCCTTCTGTAGTCTTGCTCGGATACCATTGCATGGTTGGTGCAGCCAAGTGGGCTCTGTTGTCAGGCAAGAGGAGGGGAGAAGGGGGATCATGCCCTCAGTATTAGGTTTGTCTATCTACGTGCTCAGGCGCTGTATCCCAGATATGCACAGATCTGTCTTTCCCTCTGCTTCCTATCAAATGCAGAGATGTGACTGAGGGTTGAGTAAGCTTGTGCCGGACCACTTGGGCTCCCCATGCCCATACAGTGCCCATAAGAGGTTGGGCCACGGCAGTGCTATTTTTCTAGAAAAAGAAGCACCATAACTCACCAAGGCACTGTGGTTGAAACCACAGAGCCTAGGGCTTGCCGATCGATCAGAAGGCTGGCGGTTCGAATCCCTGCGACGGGGTGAGCTCCCGTTGCTCTGTCCCTGCTTCTGCCCACCTAGCAGTTCGAAAGCACGTCAAAGTGCAAGTAGATAAATAGGTACCACTCCGGCGGGAAGATAAACGGCGTTTCCGTGCGCTGCTCTGGTTCGCCAGAAGCGTTTTAGTCCTGCTGGCCACATGACCCGGAAGCTGTCTGCGGACAAACACCGGCTCCCTTGGCCAGTAAAGCGAGATGAGCGCCGCAACCCCAGAGTCGTTTGCGACTGGACTTAACGGTCAGGGGTCCCTTTACCTTTTAACTCACCATGAACCCCTCCCTCCTCTGATAATGGCAACAGCACCCACCTGAGAAGGGCCGGAACTGAGTTGTGGTGAGTTCCGTCTGAAATAAAAGCCCTGGGCCCAGGTGCCCCCAAGGAGTTTGCCCAGAGAGATGGGACTGCCTTTTCTGGGGCTGGGGACAAAGATTGGTTGCTCTTCCTCACACTGTTGTGGGTAGCAAGCCAGGCAGCTGAAGTTGGCTGCGATCAGGAGGGAACAAGGTCTTGGTCTGTTTCCAATTACGAGGACAGCAGTGGTAGTGGGAGCAGCACCTTGGAGAAGTCGGGTTTCAGGAGCTGCAGGGAACTGCCTTGCCAGAGTTTGCGCTCTGAGCATTCCTGAGAGGGGCCCGGTGGGTCTGTCTGGCTGTATGAATGAGAGGCGAGTACTTGCTGGAAGCCAGGCGTGGAAGCTGAGTGGCCCTTTGGAGTGATTTGGGACCTGCCCAGGGGGTTGAAAGCCAAGGAGGAGGGGACACCAGGTTGGAGAAAAGGTGTCATGGTACGTCAGCCTCCTTTTCCAGAAGGATACTCAGAAATGAAGGGTTGCTACCCAGTCAGGGCCAAAGGTGACCTGCGCTTGTTGGGCTACTTGTGAGCAGGAGGAACTCGTTATGCTGAGCTGAGTTGATTTAATATTTGTATCCTGCTTTTCCAGCAACAGATGTCGAGCTCAAAGTGGCTCACAATGATTGCAGTGGCATTAAAAAACAACACACATTGCTGTCATTTTAATGCCAAACACAGTAGCATATAAGGCAAACAACAACAACAAATTCACATGAAAACAAAACGATACAATTCAGTAAAGTCATAGTATTGCCAGAATCCTTCATGATCACATGGACTCTCGCTCCAGAACAATGAAAAACAGATTAGCTATTTGTTGTCCAACGCATTGTTTTTCAGCACTGCAATGGGTGGAAGCTGCATTCGCTGTGCATTCACTGTAGGCATTTACATGGAACTATGCAGTTAAAAACTCTTTGGGGTGGGTCGGCAAGGGGTGTCCAGAGGAACACTAGCAGCGAGAAGCTCAGGAAACCAGCCGCCAGTTGCTCCTCAGCACAGAATTCTGTCGCTTTTCCAGCTGAGCCAGTGCAGGCAAGGGAGGGGATCTGCAGCCAAGGTGAATTTAAATCAGGGATTTAAATCACTAGTCAGTAAGACTTGATTTAAATCATATTTTTTTTACAGACTCTTTCTTGCTGGTATAATCTTAATATTTACAACTGGGAAGAAGGGCCTGGAACCAGTGAACTCTTATTAGTTGACTGGCAAGCACTTCAAGGTCTCGCCAAGGACTTACAGATCCCAGTTACTATTTCCACCACACCCCACTTTGGATTTGCTTCCACATTCAGGTTCCTATTCTGTACAGTTAAGTGTTAGTGCAGTTGTTGGAACCCAGTGGGATTGGGAAGAGGTTGCCAGCCCTGAAGTGCCTTCAGCGCTTGCCTCAAGTCGTGAGTTGCACAGACATGCAATTGACTTGCACAATGATTACACAAAGATCCCAAGACTTGCGGAGTATTCTGCTCACACGGTTGCACTTTCATTTTTACTGCTTCACACTTAGCTACTTGCGCATGTCCCTGACTCATTTCTCATCTGCCCACCGCCACCCCTCTTACAAGCGGCCTCTGCTCCTGGGGAAGGAGCACTGAATTCAGCGGAGGGAGAGGGGAAGACCTAGGCATGGAAGTCAGAAGCACATTCTGTGTTCAGAGGAGCTGCCGGGCTGCCTGGCTCTCTCAACTAGCAGCTCCTATAGATCAGCTGGAGGTAGGGAGACAGGGGCCTGTTGGGGGCTTTGTCAGGCAAGATGATGTGCTAGGCAGTTTGCAACGTGGTCTGGCTCTAGCAGCGGGCTCTCGGTGTGCTGAGAGGAGGGGTGCATACCCTCTTCCAGTGTGCATTTGTCCGAAATGTCTGAACCAGGGTTGAACATTGAGCCGTTCTAACTCCTGTGTGCATGCAATCTGCAGCAAGTGAACACCGGATTGGGGACCCTTCCCTTGCCTGCCAGTGGCTGCTGGGTCCTCTGCAAATTCTGACCGCTGTCTTTCTTTTCCTCCTTGCTTTCCCCACCTTAGGGCGATGAGTCTAAGCCCCTGCTGCCCACTCCCTCCAGCCCACCCAAGCCCTTAAATGGAGCCGAGCACAACTGCCACAACCTGCCTTCAGCCCGGACGGACGAGCAGGCTCTGCTGTCATCGATCCTCGCCAAGACAGCCATGTGAGTTGAGCGCGTTTTTCTTTAACAAGGAGGTGAAAAGTCAAACGGGATTCATAAAAACATAGAATTGCAGAGTTGGAAAGAACCCAAAGGGCCATTTAGGCCAACCCCCCTGCAATCCGGTAGCAGAACGACTAGGACCAAAACAGGCTGTGCTGAACCAAAAGCAGCCTTCCCCATCCAGGTGACGTTTTTGTCTACAGTTCCCATCAGCCCCAGGTTCCTACGTGGTGCTGGGGATGCTGGGAGTTGTAGTTCAAAACGTCTGGGCAGCTCCAGTTTTGCAAGAGCCGGCTTCGCATATCTCTGGCGGAGGAGCCTCCTGAACCACTTTCTGCAGAACTCTGAGGGTGGGAAGGACCTTGCGTGCTCAGAGGACCAAGGATTGGAAGCAAGCAGTGGGGAAAGGACTGTGCCCCTCCTGGCCTGCCTGTGGTCTTCCAGCGGGGCACCGGCTATGCTGGTCTCACACATTCTAAGGGAAACCTCCAAGGAAGGGGGGACCCTGTGACCCCTCAGATAGTTTGGGTTAATTTCTCCTTCAGGGAGCGGGTCTTCCCAAGGCTGGGCCATTAAGATTCTGGGCCAGCGACAGCTAAAGTTTGCAACACCCAAAAAATCAGAGTAAAAAGTACAGTGCAGAAGCTGCCTACCCGTGCTTGGCACGCTGGTGGAGGGTCCATTCTCAGGTCTCCATCGGCTGCTGAGAGGGTGGGTATGCGCAGGACATTTACTTTTATTAAATTTATATCCCACCTGTCAGGGGGCTGCCATCGGAACAGGGGAGGGAGCCAGGGGGATACAGAGCGCCTCAGGTGCTTCTGAGGAGCAGTGCCTCATTGAGCGGTGGGGAAAGCCACGCCTCCAGTGGAGCAGAGGGGGAAGGGGGGAGCCAAGCGAGGGGAGGGCTCCAGGATGCTACTGAGAGCCCAAGCGCATAACCTAGCCCGGCTGGCTAGGAGGCATCCGTGCCGCTTCCGTTGCCCAGCTTACACAGAAGGGTGAAACGTAAGGGGGGGAGGCGGAGAATTGGGGTGTTTAAGTTCTTATGTTTGGGGGGGGGACCAGAAGGGGCCACTCCTGGAATCGGCAAGTGACTAAGACGGAGATGAACTTTGTAGATCTGCACTGTAAATAGTTTTGCAAAATAAAACCTGTACAAGACAGGTTGGAGTCCTGACTGGTTACTCACGAACAACCACCAACAGCATCTGACACCGCCCTTCCTCTCAAGGGTGGAAAGCACATCAACAATAAAACAAGTTAAAAGGTCTTTAAAAAACAATTCAAAGGAAAAGAGAGAGAAAAAACAATTGTGCATGGTCAGGTATAAGATGAGATTAGAGAGACAGAGAGAGAAATTTACAAAAGAGGCAATACGGCAGTATTCCAAGGTCAGACGTATAAACAGCGGGTCAAAAACTTTTATAACCGAAACCAGTGTCGGATGAATTGGCGTTTGGGTGGGATTTGCCACCCACGAGACGATTGTTAAATGAGCTATTAAAAAAATCCACCAGACCAGCTGCAGAGTCCAGCGCATCCACTTCCCCTCTGAGAACCTGAAGCAGGTGGGTCGGGGTCTCTGATCTCTGCCCTTGCTTTCTTGCAGCAACATCATTGACGTTTCGGCCGCAGATCAGCAAGGCATGGAGCAGCACGAGTACATGGATAGAGCCAGGCAGTACAGGTAGGTTCCCCCCCATCTTCTCCCCACCTGCTTCGTTGCCCTTCACCTGCCAATTTTCGGGACCCTAAACTTAAGAGGTGGGCTGCTAAACACACAAACTGGGTACCAGGCAACTGAGAATTGCTCTGCTGTGGGACTCCATACTGGTCTGGGACCGAGATGCTTCACAGGCCTGGCCCCGCTTCACCTAGAAGTGGAAATAATGTTCTCCCTTTAGAGCCGGGGTGGGCAGATCAGAGTCTATGGATTTGCTTTGAGTCTCTGAACTGATCCACTCCTGGTTAGCCCACCGTTTATTTGTTTGAGGCGAATAATTTAGTGGGAGGTGGGGTGGGGTGGCGAGGGAATAATTTTGCTGTTCTTTTAGGAGCCAGAAGTGTCTGCTGGAAAACACCCAGATCCATAGCTGTCAACTTTTCCCTTTTCTTGCAAGGAATCCTATTTGGAATACGGGAATTTCCCTTAAAAACAGGGAAACGTTGGCAGCTATGCCCAGATCGGCCTTAGGGCAGCAGTTCCCAAACTCCCCACCCTGGAACGCTGAAAAATTCTGAGCATCTCGGTGATCTTTTCTTTATTTTTGCCTTTTATAACAATTGCAATACGCTGTACTAGATGCTGTAGGGCTGTATTTTTACAAACATCAAATGACCTGAACCACAGGTGGTCCACAGACCCCGTTGTCGTCCCACACCTTAGAGCAAAGCCTAGATGCCCACTTCCTTCTTTTTGCTCCCTGCTGGTCGGTCTCTCTCGCTCTCTCACACACACTCCCTTTGCTTCTCCTTCCTTTCCTTCCAGCACCAGGCTGGCCATGTTGAGCAGCAACCTGATGCACTGGAAGAAGCTCTCGACGCTCCCATCGCTCACCACGCAGCCCCATCAAGTGCTTGCCAGCGACCCCGTTCCCTTCGCAGACTTGCAGCAGGTGGGTACGCTCCCCCCAGGGCCACGAGGCTCTGACGCCCACTGACGCCGTCCCCCTGAAGCACGGCTGGAGAACACCTGTGGCCCTGCAGGTGGTGGGGTTGGACCACGACTGTGTCGTCCCGAAAGAGAGCTCGCGTGGCATAGTGGGTAGAGTGTCAGGCTAGGTCGGACTTGGAAGACTAGGGTTCAAATCCCCACTCGGGCACGAAGCACCCTCCATGGGCAACCTTTGGGTCATCAGCTGAACCTCCCTCACAGGGTTGTTGTGGGGTGGGGGACTCTGAATTCCAGCCCTGCTTTGGCTCTGGAAGCTGGCAGAGTGAGCTGGCCATGTGCACCATCAATGCTCAGCTGCGGGGCTGGGGCACGCCACCCTTCAGTATCTAATCAATAGATTAGATCCTCTTTTTAAAAAGGGAGCTGGCCAGAGTCACTCTGTGGTTATCAGCAGCTGCTGCCATGGTGCCTCTCAGGACTGGTTGTTGAGAAGCAGCCGTGGGAGACGCTTCTGGCTGCCTTTCCCTGCTTTTGTGGGATGCTGGATGTGCCCAGGAGGACCACTGGGCTGGATGAATCTGCAGATGGATCCAGGTCCACTTTCTCGCCCCAGATCGACGTGTCCTGCCCGATTTTGTACGCTGCTTCAGAAAGTTTTCTGATTAAGCAGTCTCTACAGTTTTTGTGGGACGCGGGTGGCGCTGTGGGTTAAACCACAGAGCCTAGGACTTACCAATCAGAAGGTTGGCGGTTCGAATTCCTGCGACGGGGTGAGCTCCCGTTGCTCGGTCCCTGCTCCTGCCAACCTTGCAGTTCAAAAGCACATCAAAGTGCAAGTAGATAAATAGGTACTGCTCCGGCAGGAAGGTAAACTTGACTATGCTACCACTCAGTGGATTTGTAACTGGCTGACTGACCGAACCCAAAGGGTGCTCATCAATGGGGGCAGGCAAGGCCGGCCCTTCCAGGAGGCAGAGAGAAGCAGCTGCCTCGGGCGGCAAATTCCGCAGGGCCAAAAACGGCCAGGAACGTGAGCTTGTGTGGTCTGCCCAGAGGTAGTCTGCTGCCGCAGGGTGCGGTGGAGGAATGTTGCATCCCCAGCTCTGAAGAAATAGTCAACTTTTGCCCGGAATTTTTGCATTCGGGCAGCGAACAGGCTGCTCATGGCAGCAGAGGCATTGCGTCTTCACCTGTGGCCTCGCGCACCAGCAATATCCAGTTCCGCCTTCGCCACGCAGGGGACCACGGGATGTTTTGGCCTCTGTGTGCTGGTTGGGGCTGATGGGTGTTCGGATTCCGAAACATCTAGAGGTCCCCATTTTGGCAAAAGCTGAATCACTGGCGCTTTTGAGTTTGCATACGGGCCTTGTCTAAAACTGAAAAAGGCTTGCCCCCTCCCCCCCAGCCCTGAGTTCAAATCTTGCCCCCTAGAATACGCTGGTTTTTGGGTGACGTGAATCTTCTCCTGGAGTGCCCTGTATACGGCTCACCCCTCCCTTCTCCCCGTCTCCCCGCAGGTATCCCGGATAGCTGCGTACGCCTTCAGTGCTCTCTCCCAGATCCGAGTGGATGCGAAAGAAGAACTGGTTGTACAGTTTGGGATCCCCTGATGCCGATCCCGCAGACGTCTGCAACTTCTTGTTTTTTAACAACCTCCCACTTTTCCTTTCCTCTCCTTCGCCACGGTCGGCTTTTCACTGCAGTGGGACTTGTACGGATCAGCGATACACTGAACTTCCTGCCACTTGCGCCCCAGAGACAGTCGCCTCCGCCAGCTGCCAGCTCCCCGGGGCTGGTCGGACCCACGTTTCTTCCCCCTCCCGTGTGTGTTTTTTGGGGGGGCATATTGGTGCCAGCCCGTACATGAATTGGTTTCAGGAGGGGGCAGGCCCTGAACACTGCATGCTAAGCCCGACTCCTAAAGAGGTGAGCACCGCACTATTGGTTATCGAGGGGACGGGATCCTGAGGCCCACTGATGGCGGGGGGGGGGGCAGCTGTGCTCGCTTTCATTATTTACCTTTTTCCCCCCTAATAAGGCTCTGAAATTCTTGCCTCCGGGGTTAGGGGGCTGAGATGCGTTGCAGCTGCTGCCTGCCCCTTCCCACTTGGGGTTCATCCTGCATTACTTTCCCATTGCTGCCTGCAGAATGCTGGGCCTCCTTTTTAGGATTTGGGGGGGAACCAACGAAGGGTGCGTTGGGTTGTCTTCTTCTTCCTAATGGGAAGGAGGGGAGGGAAGAAGCCAAAGAGCAGCTTGCGGGGGGAGGGGTGGGGGAGCGGGACACATCCTGCAGCTCCTCTTTTTTTGGTGTCTCACCCATCACCACCCGCTTTTTAAGTGGCTCAACTGTCGTTTCGTTTTAATTTTTTGGTTTCCTTTTTTTTTGCTAAAGTAGATAAAATATAAGTACGTTCATCATCCACGCAAAAGGCTCCTGGTTGTTTTGTCGTGCGACTCGGTCGATCCAGGGGATGGAGCGACACCCCCTCCCCCCGTGAAGAAACTTTGCAGCATCAGGGGGGCTTTTACGTTAACAGGGAAGGCGAGGAAGAGGGGACTTGATAAAAACACCTTATAAAGTGATGCACGGCACAGAGAAAGGGAGGGAGGGAGGAACAGCAGAATTCTCTAGCATCCGATGAAGCGGAGCCTTGGGGGATTCAGGACAGACAAAAGAAAGGCCTTCACACAGTGCGTAGTTAAGTTACGGGGCATCTAAAGGAGGTAATGACAGCTACAAATTTGGATGGCTTTAAAAGGCTAGAGAGGGACAGGGCGGTGCTGTGGGTTAAGCCACAGAGCCTAGGACTTGCCGATCAGAAGGTTGGCGGTTCGAATCCCCGCAACAGGATGAGCTCCCATTGAAGAAGAAGAAGAAGAAGAGTTTGGATTTGATATCCCACCTTTCACTACCCAAAGGAATCTCAAAGCGGCTGACAATCTCCTCTCCCTCCCTCCCCCACAACAAACGCTCTGTGAGGTGAGTGGGGCTGAGAGACTTCAGAGAAGTGTGACTGGCCCAAGGTCACCCAGCAGCTGCATGTGGAGGAGCGGAGACGTGAACCTGGTTCCCCAGATTACGAGACTACCGCTCTTAACCACTACACCACACTGGCTCTCGGTCCCTGCTCCTGCCAACCTAGCAGTTCGAAAGCACGTCAAAGTGCAAGTAGATAAATAGGTACGACTCCGGCGGGAAGGTAAACAGCGTTTCCGTGCGCTGCTCTGGTTCGCCAGAAGCAGCTTATTCATGCTGGCCACATGACCCAGAAGCCGCACGTCGGCTCCCTCGGCCAATAAAGCGAGATGAGCGCCGCAACCCCACAGTCGGCCACGACTGCACCTAATGCTCGGTGTGGTGTAGTGGTTCAGAGCGGTGGACTCGTAATCTGGTGAACCGGGTTCGCGTCTCCGCTCCTCCACATGCAGCTGCTGGGTGACCTTGGGCTTAGTCACATTTCTCTGAAGTCTCTCAGCCCCACTCACCTCACAGAGTGTTTGTTGTGGGGGAGGAAGGGAAAGGAGAATGTTAGCCGCTTTGAGACTCCTTCGGGTAGTGATAAAGCGGGATATCAAATCCAAACTCCTCTTCTTTACCTTTACCTTAAAATATTAGAGAAATTTATGGATGAGGAGGTGGCTATTAGCCAGGATGGCTGTGCTCTGCCTCCCCAGTTGGAAACCTTAGGAGGGAAGAGTTGCTCTTGTGCTCGGATCCTGCTACTGTATATCCCACTGGAGCACCTGGTTGGCCCCTTGTGAGAAGAGGATGCTGAGCTTCCAGTTTTTTCTGCCTCCCGAGATGGGGGCTTTCCGAAAAGGAGCGGTTGTTGGAGGAAGAAATTGGGGTAACGCAGCATTTTGATATTTTTTATTTCAAATTAATAAAGATTTATTGGGAAAAAGGGGGGGGGTGGAGTGAAGAAGCTGGACTAGATGGGCCACCGGCCTGATCCAGCAGCCGTTTCCTATGTTAAGGGAGCGAGAGGAAACGGGGGCTGCCGTGTGGGGTGGGGTTGGGGAATCTGGGCCCTCCAAGCTCAGGAATAAGGCAGGGAGGAGGTACCGGGATCTGGGTACTCTAAGTAAACAGCAGAACCAGAGAGCTGATACACCTGGTGCCACCTGGACCAGCATTTTTATTGAAAAAGAAACCGGCAAACGCCAACGAAGATACACAGCAGTGGGGGCGCCACCCTGCAAAAAGCGATTCCCCCGCACAAACGTCACTGAACGGAAACGGGTCTTGTAGCAGGTCAGGTGACTCTCCCTCAGGCTCCGTAAGGACCAGGAGGCGCGCTCTGGTGCAGAGGTCTTTCCTGCCACTTAGGAGTCTGAGATGTCGGGATCTGAACCCAGGACTCCCTGCGGGTTCTCTGCCACTGAGCCAGGGATGGGGGGAACCAGACTCCCAGCGTGTGAGGGCTGCACTTCCATGGGGAAGGGAGGAGAAGGGACTCGAGGCTGGCACAAGGAAAGGGTCTGGGAGCTGTCATTCCCTGTCGGCCCCTGGCCGCCTCACCCCATTGTTAGGAGAATTTGGAGGGCAGCTGCCTTAAATCCACAGTGGCTGCATCTTCTGCGCTTGTTGTGCTGTGCCAGAATCCTTGTTGGGTTTGCAGTGGCTTCCCTTTGGCGAGGGCAGCCTTCCCCTGCCCTCCAAGATGGCTGCCACCATGCAGGGGCTGATGGGAATGGAGAGTCCAGCACATCTGCAGGTCAGGAAAGGCAGGCTGGCTGGCTGGCTGGCTCCGGCCATCTGAAACAAAAAGGAAAAACGAAGGTGCCTTGCGCACCTTCGGTTTGCAGAAGGTGGGGCTGGATCACTCTCCCGGCGCTACAATTCTCTGATCACCTGGAGCGCTGCAGGTGCCCTATCACACATGGCTTGTTTTCCGCTGCTCCAGAAACCAACGGCTTCGAACGGCAAGAAAAGGAGTTTCCGACTAAACGCCAGGAAGAACTTCCTGGCACTAAGAGCCGCCTGGCAGTGGAACGGACTCTCTTGGGAAGTGATGGACTCTCCTAACTTGGAGGGTTTTAATTGCAGGTTGTGGTGGTGGTGGGGCATCTGCCAGGGATTCCTTACCTGCGATTTCTGCACTGCATGGGATTGGGCTAGAGGATCCTTCTAGTTCCAGGATCCCATGAACCACAGGTTCCCCAGGCCGACGTACAGTGGTACCTCGGGTTAAGTACTTAATTCGTTCCAGAGGTTTGTACTTAACCTGAAGCACCACTTTAGCTAATGGGGCCTCCTGCTGCTGCCTCGCCACTGGAGCACGATTTCTGTTCTTATCCTGAAGCAAAGTTCTTAACCTGAAGCACTATTTCTGGGTTAGCAGAGCTGTAACCTGAAGCGCGTGTAACCCGAGGTACCACTGTACAGTGGTGCCCCGCAAGACGAATGCCTCGCAAGACGGAAAACCCGCTAGACGAAAGGGTTTTCCGTTTTCAATGCGCTTTGCAGGACGAATTTCCCTATGGGCTTGCTTCGCAAGACGAAAATGTCTTGCGAGTCCTGAGATTTTTTTTTCGCTTTCCCCCCCCTTTTTCTAAGCCGCTAAGCCTTTAATAGCCTTTTAGCAGCTAATCCGCTAAGCCGATAAGCCTTTAATAGCCGCTAAACCGCTAATAGCGCTAATCCATTAAGCCGCTTATAGGGTTGCTTCGCAAGACGAAAAAACCGCTAGACGAAGACACTCGCGGAACGGATTAATTTCATCTTGCGAGGCACCACTGTATCCCGGAAAGCGGGGAGGCTGAGGCCGTTGGGCACAACTGCAGGAAAAGGCTCCCAGCCCCGCACCCCCCCCGGCCCTCTCCCTTCCCCCATCCAGGCTCTGCCATGCCAAGGAGCTCTAACTCTTTATTCCCAGTTGAGGCTGGGGGTTGCAGGGGCCTCCTCTCCCTGCTGCCAGAGCAGTGGGGCCATCAGTAGTCGTCCCTTCTCTTCCGGACTTTCTTGGGCCTGATGTTCATGCGCCTCCAGACGGCCGCGGTGGTGCGGTCGAGCTTCGTGACGCCGCTGAAATCGAAGGACTTCAAGTGGGGCAGAGTGGACAGGACGTAGCTCCTGCGCAATGTGCAAAGTACAGTGCCGGGGTCAGCGTTTGGAGGACAGCCAGCCTGCCTGCCTGGCTCCCTCCTCCCTCACGCGGAGCACAGTTAAAACTCCAGCCCCTGCCGCTCCCCTGTCCTGTGTGCCCCACACTCCTGTTCCCCGAGGGCTGGGGGGTTTTCTTTTTGGAGGGCGAGTGTTTACCTGTAGCCCTTCTCCTCCTCGACGGGGTTTCCGTGCAGCGTCAGGTTGCGCAGGTGTGGGAGCACCGCCAGCTTGTCCACCTCTGAAAGCTGCTGGATGGCGTTCCCGTGAAGGTTGAGGTGGCGCAGGTTGTAGAAGGAAGTCAGCACCTGGGCAGAGAGGCCGGCTCAGAAAGGCAACAGGTGGAGATCCCTACCGGTTTCCAAATCCAGCCCCCCATTAGCAACTTCCAGGCTGGACTACTGCAACACGCTCACCGTGGGGCTGCCCTTGAAGGCGACGTTCATTGGTTCAAAACACAGATTGCTGCCCGGGGCTCTATTTAGATCACATACCTTTTCCCTGGTTGGTTTGTTGTATTAATATAATTTTTATCAAAAACTTGATTGTTTTAAAACAGCTTCCCCCGGTTTACGGGCCCCATTCAAGGTGCACAATTTGGTATTTAAATGACATAGACCCCAGATATCTGAAAGGTTGCCTCTTTCCCTACAGATCCTCTCAGGTGCTGCGATTGGAAAAGGGGGGCCTTTTTGTTTGTTCTTCCACCCCCAGAGGCCCAGGGAGACAGGGCCTTCTCTGTGGAAGCCCCTAAGCTGTGGGACTCCCCCCCCCCAAAGAGATCTGCCTGGCGCCTTCACTGCACCTCTTCATCCTGCCTTTTGACGTGTCTATTACTAGCACCCACCTTATTGTTGGGATTTCAAGCTGTTTTAAATGGGTTCTGATGTTGTGTTTTAATGCCGTAACCTGCCCTGGGAGCTCGGAGTGAAGGACGGGTAATCAAATAAACAAAATAAATAATAGCTCCAGCACTCAACCGAGGCAGCTGTGCCCCAGTTAGCATCTTGATGGCCTCCCCACCAATGAACTTATCTGATGGCGGCAAGTACGGTGTTGCCGGTGCGTTAATCTGCTTTGCGGAGCAACAGTGAAATCTGTTTAAAGGAGCTCTGGGGAACGGACTACGCTACCGGGTCGATGATGGGCAGGTCATTGAAGGAGAGGTCGATCCAGTAGATGTCCTCTGGGTACTCCAGGAGCTTGCCCATCGTCTCCGTGAATTGGGTCAGCTCCCCGAGGGTGTTGTTGTTCAGCCAGATGGCCTGCGTCAGCAGCCGGCCCCCTTCGGACCGATGGATGGGCTTCAGGCCGGCCCTCGGCTCCTCCGTCAGCAGGTCTGGGGGTGGCAGAGAGTGGGCAGGGAAGCGGGCTGACTCGCGAGGCAGGTTCAGAGAAACGGGAAAGGAGCACTTGCTGTGCGTCCTTCCTGCGCAGCTAAGCTCTGCTGAAGCAGCAGCCTCTGAGCACACGCAGAGGATATTTCCCTTGCCACTATGCAGCCGCTGGCTGCTTGTAACGCTTGAGACCAGGGGTTCCCAGGTTTTAGGGGGCCACCGTCCCCCTCGGTTCGATAAACTCATCCGCAGTGCCCCCTATCCTATAAAAACGTTATTCATAATAACAGTTTGCACGACCCACTTAGGAAGGAAATAGGTAAAGGTAAAGGGACCCCTGACCATTAGGTCCAGTCGTGGCCGACTCTGGGGTTGCGGCGCTCATCTCGCTTTATTGGCCGAGGGAGCCGGCGTCCAGCTTCCGGGTCATGTGGCCAGCATGACTAAGCCGCTTCTGGCGAACCAGAGCAGTGCATGGAAACGCTGTTTACCTTCCCGCCGGAGCGGTAGCTATTTATCTACTTGCACCTTGACGTGCATTCGAACTGCTAGGTGGGCAGGAGCAGGGACCGAACAGCGGGAGCTCACCCCGTCATGGGGATTCGAACCGCTGACCTTCTGATCCACAAGTCCTAGGCTCTGGTTTAACCCACAGCGCCACCCGTGTCCCTTAGGAAGGCAATAGCCCGATGTAATTCAGTTCATTCAAAATGCATTTAAAATGAGTTGAATTAATTCACCAAAATGAACGACCTTGAGCCATTGTTCTCAATATGGCTTTTAAATAGGGTGCTGGGGTGAGTTAATGGAGCTGTGGGGGTGAGTTTGGGAACCGCCGGGTTATGCCATACCTTGCATGAAGCTGATGCCCCGAAATGAGTAGTCCAGCGGAGGCGCCTGGAGGGAGGCCGTGCTGTAGTTCCACCGGGCGCAAGTCTTTCCCCCTGTGCTAACAAAACACAATCGCACACGCAGGAAGGTTGGTGCCATTTGTCCTTGGGGTGTGTGTGTGTGGCCTTGCTCCCCCCTGGGTTGCTCTGCCCTGCCCACCTTGGCACTTCTCACAACGTGTGGGACTTACAAACTCATTTAGGTAGGTAGCCGTGCTGGTCTAAAGCAGTAGAAATATATACCGTATTTTTCGCTCTATAACAGGCACCAGATCATAACACGCACGTAGTTTTTAGAGGAGGAAAACAAGAAAAAAATATTCTAAATGAAACAGTGGATGTATGATTTTTGTGGTTCATGCTGTGGCCACAGACATGTGATCTGACAGTGAGTTTGGAGTAGCCCAATGCAAAATCCTGAGGATCCATGTGGATCCATGCTTTGTAACCACGTTTTTGCACCACTGCGGCCCCAGGCAACAGTGGGTGCGTGATTTTTTTGGTGCAAGATGTAGCCATGGACATGCTATGCGATCTGATGGTGAATTTGGGGTGACCCAATGCAAAGATCCTGAGGATCCATGCTTTGTAACCACGTTTTAAGTGGGGAGGGAAGGAAAAGCACTCAAGGGACAAGGAGCACGCGTGGGGTGGGTAGAGAAGGATGCTGCTAATAATGCAAAAGAGGGGTTTAAGGGGAGAAGAAGCACGCGTGGGGTGGGTGGAGAAGGATGCTGCTAATAATGAAGAAGAGGGGTATAAGGGGAGAAGGCTCCTCTCCTCTCCCGCTTTGCTCCTTTAAAGCAAGCAGGCTCTCTGTCCCTCTCTCCTCCCCACTCAGTGGCTCTTCTCCCGCTTTGCTGTTTCAAAGCGAGCCACGGAGGAGGGAAGCATTCGCTCCGTAACACACAGAGACATTTCCCCTTACTTTCTAGGAGGAAAAAAGTGAATGTTATGGTGCAAAAAATACGGTATATAAAATAAAAAAATTGTCCAGTAGCACGTTAGAGACCGACTAAGTTTGTTCTTGGCACGCACACTTCTTCAGATACACTGAAATAGAAGTCACCAGACCTTTATATATAGTGAGAGGGTTGGGAGGGGTAGTGGCACCCACCCTGTGGAACGCCCTTCCACCAGATGTCAAAGAGAACAACTACCAGGCTTTTAGAAGACACCTGAAGGCAGCCCTGTTTAGGGAAGCTTTAAATGTTTGAAGGACTACTGTATTTTAATGTTTTGTTGGAAGCCACCTAGGATGGCTGGGGAAACAAAACCAGGTGGGCAGGGAATAAATATTAATTATTATTATTATTATTATTATTATTACTCAGAAGGGTGGTGGGAATGGGTGATTGGCTGATAGGTGTGGTAAACCTGTTGACGACTGTTTACGACTGCAATTGGTCTTACAGGTAAAAAACAAATTCATTTTTACTTTTATTTATTGCATTTATACCCAAACTTCCCTCCCAAGTTGTCCAACGTGATGTGCGTGGTTCTTTTCCTGCTCTTTTCCCCCATCCCCACAACAACCCTGTGAGGTCGGTTAGGCTGAGAGGCAAAGACTCTGTGAGCTTCATGGCAGAGTGGGGATCTGAACCCTGGTCTTCCCAGATCCTGGGGTCCCAAACTCTCACCACTAGAAAAAAAGAGATAGCCTTTTCTTTAGAGGAAAAAGAACATGACTGACGTGTATACAAAACTGCCTGGCATGGAGAAAGTGGACAGAGAACAAGATTTTCTCTCTCTTTCTTAACACAAGAAATCGTGACTATCCAGCGAAGCTGAATGTGGGAAGATTCAGCACAGTGTGGAACTCCATGCCACAGGAGGCAGCGATGGGCACCAGCCGGGATGGCTTTAAAAGAGGACTGGGCCAGTGTCCTTTTCTCATAGTGGCCAGCCAGGTGTCTGTAGGAAACCCGGAAGCAGGATCCATGCACAAGAGCATCTCTCCCCTCCTGTGGTTCCAGCAACTGCCTTTCAGGAGCACTGCTGCCTCCGAATGCAGAGGCAGAGCAAAAAAGGTAAAGGACCCCTGGACAGTTAAGCCCAATCAAAGGAGACTCTGGGGTTGCGGCTCTCATCTCGCTTTTAGGCCAAGGGAGCCGGCATTTATCCACAGACAGCTTTCTGGGTCATGCGGCCAGCAGGACTAAACCGCTGCTGGTGCAATGGGAAACCATAGAATCCTAGAATCCTAGAGTTGGAAGAGACCACAAGGGCCATCGAGTCCAACCCCCTGCCAAGCAGGAAACACCATCAGAGCACTCCTGACATATGGTTGTCAAGCCTCTGCTTAAAGACCTCCAAAGAAGGAGACTCCACCACACTCCTTGGCAGCAAATTCCACTGTCGAACAGCTCTTACTGTCAGGAAGTTCTTCCTAATGTTTAGGTGGAATCTTCTTTCTTGTAGTTTGGATCCATTGCTCCGTGTCCGCTTCTCTGGAGCAGCAGAAAACAACCTTTCTCCAGAGTGCACAGAAACGCCGTTTACCTTAACCAGAGTGCACAGAAACGCCGTTTACCTTAACCAGAGTGCACAGAAACGCGGTTTACCTTCCCGCCGCAGCGATACCTATTTATCTACTTGCACGGGCATGCTTTCCAACTGCTAGGTTGGCAGGAGCATAGCTATCCTGGCTAGTAGCCCTCAAGAGCCTCCTCTCCTCTGTGAATTTCTCCAACCCTCTCCTAAAGCCATCCACGTTGGAGGCCGTCCATGCCTCCTGTAGGGAGTTCTAGAGTTTTAACTGCGCTCTTGTGAAGAAATACTTTCCCCCGTCTCAACATTCAGCTTCATTTGATTGGCCACCGTGGCTACTAGCCATCCATAGCTCCATGAATCTGTCTAATCCTCAAATCTGAACCCAGGTGTGCAGAGTGGTGACGTGTGCTTCTCGGGAGGTATCCGGTTCACCACTGCAGGCTGTCTTTAGGGGGTCTCTCCAAGAGCAGCCACCTTTCATTACAACACAGGCGTTGCCTTGAAGTCGAACTGGGAGGGGGGTGGGTGGGAATGGTAAACACTGCAGGGCTGGCGCCAGAGACTGGTGGTGAGGCCGCGCCGCCTGTCTCCAGCGGAGGGCAGCAGTGTTCCTCTCGCTTTTGCTTTGGAGCAAAGGACACATTTCTATCCTTGCCTGCCACCATTACCAAAGCAGGCCAGAGGCCGTGCACACATCGTATGAATAGGGCCTTTCAGACACTCCTCTCTTGCAATGCAACTACTGTGGTGGTCATAAAATTGAAGGCTGCCTGTTTTTGCCGTACGCGGCAAGCCATGCATCATGACTGCTTTTGCCAAACTAGGGCCTTCTAGATATTTTCTAAAGCTGGTCTATACTGACATGGAGCCAGCGAGGCTAAGATCCTTGCAAGAATTTTTCCGGCTGCAGGCAAACTAATATCAGTGTTCTCGCAGAAGCAAAGATCACCAGTGTTGAAGCAATGATTCTGGCCACGTTGTGCGGATGGCTGATTATCGTCTTCCAAAGCAACTACTCTATTCCAAACTTAAAAATGGAAAGCGTAATGCTGGTGGTCAACAAAAGAGGTTTAAAGACTAACTCAAGGCAAATCTTAAAAATGTAGTATAAACACTGTACAACTGGGAAACACTGGCTTGTGAGCGCTCCAGTTTGAGAACAGCCTTTACCAAAGGTGTCATGGGCTTTGAAGGCACCCGAATTCAGGACGCAAGGGAGAAACGCACTAAGAGGAAGGCACGCTTGACAAATCCACACCGTGATCAACTCCTGCCTGGAAACCAATGTCCCCACTGTGGAAGGACGTGTGGATCCAGAATTGGCCTCACAGTCACTTACGGACTCATTGTTAAAACCGTGTTCATGGAAGACAATCTTACTCGGCTACGAGGGATCGCCAGAGAAGGAGCAAGTGGGGCGTAGTGGACTAAGACCTGGGAGACCAGGGTTCGAATCCTCCCTTGGCCATAGGAAGCTCACTGGGTGACCTCGGGCCAGTCCCTCTCAGCCTGGCCTACTTTGCAAGGTCGTTGTGGGGACTAAATGAGGAGGGGAAGAACCATACAAGCTCGTTGGAGAAAAAGGTAGGCTATAAACAACACAGTAATTCTGAATTGGCTCTCACCAGCTAGGAGATAAATATTGTGGCAATAGTAGAAAGCTTTCTGAAAATGCAGTTTCTGCAGCATTAAAAAACGCAGCAAGTACAGTTTTTAGAATTATTAACAGCACAAATCTGTAGCAAAACTGTGTCAAGGTCACTACTCACCTGGGAAACGATATCGCAGAGCTAGCCTGAGGGAGATGGAAAAAGAAAGAAGCAAAGCGTATTATCAGCAGGGAGAACCAACATGCAGAAAAGTCTCTCCCAGAGATGGACAGCTGAATTTGCCCCCCCAAACAATTCAATGGGGCTGTGTACCCCATTCTACCAAGGTGTGAATTAAGAAGTCTGCCCCTCCCAAAGCAAATGGTTGTGAAGGTGTAAAACAATAAAAAACAGAGATTGGTTTTACCATACAGTGGTACCTCTGGATGCGAACAGGATCCGTTCTGGAGCCCCGTTCACATCCAGAAGCGAACGCAACCTGCGGGTGCATGTGCCGCGATTTGTCGCTTCTAAGCATGACGGCATTTTGACTGCGCATGCACGAGTGGCAAAACCCGGAAGTAATGCGCTCCGTTAGTTCCGGGTCACCGCAGCGCGTAACCCGAAAATACTTATCGCAAAGCTACTTCAACCCAAGGTGTGACTGTATACAGAGGCAAGCTACCCAATACGGAGTCAGGCCTTTAGTCCCCCCAGCTCAGCATTGCCTGCACTGGCTGGCAGCAGCTCCCCAGGGTTTCAGCAGTGCCGTCTCCCAGCCCCACCTGGGATTTTCTGCCACTGAGCTGGGCACCTCTCTGCTTCGTGAGAGTTGCCCCAGGGACACCTTGGCGCACGTGCTCCACAACTGCGGAGGCTGTTGCTGGAAATGCTGCTCCGGAGCCGAGCCGCTTATGCTTCTGGCACTCAGAGCACTGCCTGAAGGAGAGAGAGGCCCCCAAGCAGTCGGCTGCTCCGTAGGGAGTCTTGAGGATTGCTGAAGGGCTCCATTGAGAGATGAGGAAGGAAAGCTATTCAGATACATCACCTTGCAAACAGCAGGACCCTGGAGGAGCCCCCTAAACATGATAGGCAGCAGGCTTAAAAACAAGAAACAAACCAGAAACCCATAGTTCTTTCCCCAATGCAACGCTGGGGAGCCTCCGTCCTGCTGTGGCGGGTGCTTTGCAAAATTGCTGCTCCGACAGCAGGGCCTACAAAGCACTGTGATTCCACGAAGAAGCAGGAAAGGGATGCGGCGTTTCCGCCAGGTCTTGCATGCTCTCCTCCTTTTTCTTTCTTTCTTTTTATATATATTTTTATTGGTTTTTAAACTTATCATTTCCAACAATCATTTAACTTAACTTCTGATCTTATACAATATTTTAGACTTCCATCAACAACCTCTGAAGATTTTCCGTTCTTTATCACTTGTTCTGCATTTCTTAGTTTCTTACTTTTAATTATCATTCACAAATCATTCTTTTCAGGGTCTTCCTTGCACTATTTCACAAAGTCCTCCTTGCAGTCCTACCAGCGTCATCTGTTGATTACAACTGCTTTTCAAACAGTTCAAATATTTACTCCAGTCTTCTAAGAATCTCTGATCCCGCAGGCTTCGAATCCTTCCTCTTAATTTATCTAATTCCTCTTAATTTAATCTAATTCCTCTTAATTTATCTAATTCCGCCAAATTAATTCCATTAATTCCATTTGCCATTCTTCTTTCGCAGGGAATTCTCCTTGCTCCCATTTTTGTGCCAAGCTCTCCTCCTTTTTTCACACGAGCCCCGCTGCTGCAGCTGCCTTGCACTGATCCTGGTATTTGCACGCGCACCCCCGACGTGCCTTGCACGGATCCCTTTCTCCGTCCCCCCCCCTTTTGCACGCGCACTCACCATGCCCGCCGCTTCGCCCGCCCGCCTCGCCCGCCTCTCTCTGCCTTGCACATTGGAACGCGGCGCGGACAGAGGGCGGGGCCGTCGCCGCGGCAACCGAAACACACACAGCGCGTGGGCGGAGCCTCCTCCGCGCCCGCTCGCTCGGCGCCGCGGGGCCCGCCGGGAAACGTAGTCCTTCAGCTCCTCAGACACGCAGGGCCCGCCGGGAAACGAAGCCTTCCCTCCCTCGCGCGCGGGGCCCGCCGGGAAACGTAGTTCTCCGCCTCAGGCGCAGTCTCCGCCTCTGGGCTTCGAGGCCTCAGCCTTCTGGCTTCTCCGGCGTTTTATTTTTCTATTTTGTTCGGAAGTTTTTAACCCTCGCGGCGCCGGCGGCGCCTCTCCTTGTCGCTTGGGCCGCGGGGGCGACGGAGGCCTAGCCGCTTGGATCCGGAGGCCGACTCGCGAGGAGGACGGCGGAGAGGAGGCCCCGCGGCAGGTAGGCGGGCGGGCGGGCGGGAAAATTCACCTCAGGAAGGCAGCCCTCCCCGCCCCGCTCTTCGTGGGGTGGTTTTTTGGGGGGCGCGCTCCCCAACTCCTGGAAAGGGAACGAGCCTCTCCGGTACTTTCCTTCCCCGTGTGTAAAATTGAAATTTAAAAGGGAAAAAAAAATCCTCTCAGGGAGCCGCGAGGGGGGGAGGGGCAGGCTCGTTTCGCGCCGTTTCATTTACCTCACGAAAGTAGAAGAAAAGGGACGACCTCAAAGCGAGAGAACAAGGGGAAAAAACAAGCAAACCCTCCAAGTGTCACAACCGATTTAAGAAAAGTTAACGTAAAACCGGTTTTGGTTTTGTTTTTCATTTCATTTTAAAACTCGTTAAGATCTGGACAGGGTCGTCCGAAGGGGTTAGAAAAAGATGAAATGTTTTCAGAAGGCGCCCAAAAGCGGGAGGGCGAACGAGGCACTTCTCTCCTCCCCCCCGTGTCAAGTGGCGGGTAGTTCCGCGTCCTCCGCCTGCCTTCTCAAGAAGCCTGGGGAAAGTGAGCAGCCCCGAGTTCGCCTTGAGGAGGAGGAGGAGGAGGAGGGCGAGGAAGGCCCTCTCCCAACTGGCCTCTTAGTAAAAATCTTTTAATGGTTTCTTTCACTTGCCTCCCACCTGTGGATACCAGGCAAGTTGCGAAATAACAAACCGGCGATTCCGTGTTTTCTCTGTTTATTGCAATTATATTTCCCACAACGACCCTGCAAGGTAGCTGAGGCCGAGAGAGGCAGTGAGTGGCTCCCAAGGTCACACCTAGTGAGCTCCATAGCCAAGTGGGATTTGAACCCGGGTCTCTCCCAGGTCCTGGCTATGAAATTCACAAGAAGAGTGGGGATTTGGACCTGGGGTCCTAATCCGGCAGCCGTACCGCTTTGCCACACCAGCTAGGAGTTGCTATATTGCTGCTTCTCCTCTTTAGATCTGTTTTGAGGTTTATTTCTCTTTTCTTCAGTACGTATTTCTTCCTCCCTCCATGAGCCTTGGCTTGAGCTTACTTCCATTTGGCACTCTGGACAGCCCTGCAAAGTAGGTTGAGCTGAGAGAAGGATAAACACAGACACACGGGCTGACCCAAAACTGGCCAAGTGGCAAATGGCCTTAATCTGAGGCTCTTAACTTCTGCAGCTACTTTGTTTTGTAAAAAGAAAAGTAAGCATTTATGTTTCTGTCTTAAAAATGTAGAAGACATTTCCTTCCCACCCCCACCCCCTTGCAAGTCACAAGCGTTGGTGAAAAGTTTTAAAAGATGAACTCAGCCAGAAAACAAATACTTGCTTATCCAATGGTGCTCCCTCTGCCCAATTCACAGCAGAAGAGCCACACTTTTTACAATGTAGCATTTCAGATGAATTGGATATTTTGGTGGCACTTCTGTCTGGGGAGTTCCTACCTTGAGAGATGCTACCTACCACGGTATCTTGCACTTAATAATACTAGTAACTATAGCAGTTCATATTCAATGTTTATAAAAGCTCTGTATATGGAAAGATCCGCTTTGCTAGCCCTTTGCATATACTGTAGTTATCCTCTACAGCCCCACCGAAGATGTAAAGGTAACTTCCCCAGGTTTGTGTGGTGGTTTGCATCCTGAATTGAAGATCACCCGCTCTGAGATCCCACAGCTAATTCTCCCCTGGCCTCCTCGCTGGCCCAAGTAGGACCAATTCAGCCAGCTAGCCCTGGGGATTACCTAATGCTTATTTCCGCTAAATTGATTTTTGAATTTTATTCTTATTCATGCTTTTATACTGTATTTTATGCTGCTTTTATAATTAAGTGTTTTAAATTTGTTGTTAGCCGCCCTGAGCCCGGTTTTTGAACCAGGAAGGGTGGGGTATAAATACAAATTTATTATTATGATGATGAATTGGAACCGGCATGTCTGTCCCCCGTCTGGTGTCGTGGTCAGAATACTGACTCAGCAACCCAAGGCTCAGATCTCCCCCTAAGCCATGGAACCGGTTGCTCGCAGCCCAGCACAGAGCGGTGTGGATAGAAAAGAGAAACACACACTGCTCAGCTCCTTGGAGGAAGAGCGGGAAACCAGTGGTAACTTTTTAAAAGTGCCCCACCAGGATCTGTGTGAGGGAGATGGCTGGGTGTGGTTGGTTAAATTATTTTTAGTTCTGCTTAGCAAGGGGAGGGAGGAGCCTTTTGGATGAAGTCCAAATCAAGTACAGTGGGGTGGGTTATCAGGTTTGATGTATGGCAAGTGGCAGCTATTGATAGGGCCTTTTCTGTGGGGGTGTCCAGAGAAGTCTGCCCAGGTGTTAAAGTGTTATTTTTTTGCAATACTTCACTGAACAATAACAGTGATACTTGTCACTCCTGTGGAATTGTATTTTTTGCGCTGTGTTTAGTCTTTTCTCCTTTTGCCCTGTGTTTGTATTTTATGGCTGCCTTGTCAGTGTTGTTAAATTGAAAGGTGGTTTGCAAATAATGAGTCAGCTCAGCTATTCACCATCTCTTTGTGGTGGGAAAACAAGTACAGCATTTCTAAGAGTTTTGTCACTATGCAGTTTCAATTAGTTGCCTATGATTAGGTTGTTTTAATTGTATTTTAATTACCAAGTACAGACTTGAAAAACTAGTTACTGATAGCTTATTTGTTTAGTCGTGTCCGACTCTTCGGACACGACTTAACGACTTATTATGAATAGCTTATTATGGATTGTTATATGCAGGGAAAAGCCGGGATATAAATAAAATAATAGTAACAACAACAACATCCTGGCCAGCAACTGTTTTCAGTATATGTATGGTGAAAACTTAAAAACGTAATCTCAGAGCCTTTGTCTATAATTTTTGAGAATTCTCTGAGAACAGGTGAGGTCCCAGGCAGACTGGAGGCAAGGAAATGTCCCCATCTTCAAAAAGGGGAAATAAGAAGACCCAGGTAACTACTGACCAGGTAACATGAGTCAGTGAGCTTGACATCTATACTCAGAAAGGTCCTAGAACAGATAATTCAACAGTCGGTCGGTGAGCACTTAGAAAAGGATGCTGTGATTACTAAGACCCAGCATGAGTTTCTCAAAAACAAATCATGCCAGACAAATCTCATTTCTTTTTTTGAAAAAGTTACAAGCTTGGAAAATCAGGAAAATGCTGTGGACATAGTGTATCTTGATTTCAGTAAGACTTTTGACAAAGCTCCCTATGATATTCTTGCGAGAAAGCTGGTAAAATGTGGCTTGAACAAGGTAACTGTTAGATGAATTTGTAGCTGGTTGACTGACTGAACCCAAAGATTGCTCAGTAATGGTTCCTCATCATCCTGGAAAAAAGTGACAAGTGGGGTGCCACAGGATTCTGACCTGAGTGTATTATTGTTCAACATCTTCTTAAATGTCTTGGATGAAGGAATTGAGGGGATGCTCATCAAATTTGCAGAACTGAACTGGGAGGGGTAGCTAATGCTGTAGAAGATGGAATTCAAAATTACCATAACAAGATTATAAAACTGGGCCCAAACTAACCAGATACTTTACAGTTTCACAGCACGCTCACTCCATGTCCCTGGTTGCATTGCATAGGAAAGGTAGTGCTAAAGTGGGGGGGGGGGGTTGCAACCATCTTTCTGTGGGGGGCTGCATTCTCTCAAGGGTAATCTATGAGAAGAGGTAGAGGGAGGGCCGCTTTCACTCCCCTCCCATCTCTTTATGCATTTTAGCTGGATACAAGGGTATGAGGATTGCGCTGTACTTTTGGGAAGAAATTTGAATGGGGAGAGGTGGCCCTCCATACTTCTTCCAAGAGGGAGTTCCAAACATGTTTTTGTACAATGTTGTAGCTTTATAGTCATATGATATGAGGGTCACCTTATGAGGTCTAACCCCAAAATGTATATACAAATAATAAAACTAGGGGCAGAAAGGGAGAAGTCATGAAGGACAAGATAGATAGTCAAGCCTAAGAAAGTCCAGAACCTCAAAGAGGTGGGTGTGGAAAAGAATGGAAAGGAAAAGAGGAGAGGCTCAAGAGTGAGCAACAATTGTTCCAGACTAGATGTGTGCAAAAGCACTAGAATCTATGTAGTAATTATGAGATAAACTAAACACATATACAATGTGCAACTAAATCTAAACAGTTTGGGAAACTGGTGAGGGTTGTTTGATGAGCCAACCAGCTAATTCATGCTTCCAAATTCCAAGATAATAAGATGAATCTCAAAACTTCCTGGAAAAAGACCAGCTGCAAACAGGCTTGTGTATACCTGCCCAATAATCCACTTTGTGCAGAACCTAACTTTAAATAAGCCCTGCAAACAGTCAACTCTTGCATTATACAAATGCAAGACATAGCAATACTTTAAAATGGTGGGTACAGAGAAATAATGAAAACTGATAGCAGAAGCAGCAGTCCTTTCTATTGTTTGATCCTGCTGAAATCTTCCCCAAAAGCTATCTGTACCCCTCAGAAGGGTGGCTAGAACAGCAAGCAGTAACTGGCCATGCTCTAAAAACCCTGTTTCAGTTTTAAGACTAACATTTGGAATACTGTGTCCTGTTCTGGGCACCACAATTTAAGAAGGATGTTGACAAGCTGGAACGTGACAACTCTTTAGATATTTGAAGATAGTTATCGTGTCTCCTTTCAGTTTCCTCTTCTCCAGGCTAAACATACCCAGCTCCTTCAACAGTTCCTCATAAGGCTTAGTCTCCAGACCCTTGATCATCTTGGTTGCCCTCCTCTGCACACGTTGTAGCTTATCAACAGTGTGTTGTGTGTTGTCCAGAACTGTACACAGTATTCCAGGTTTGGCCAAATAGAGTGGTATTATTGCTTTCCTTGATCTGGATACTATATATCTGTTGATGCAGGCTAGAATAGCCTTAGCTTTTTTGCTGCTGCATCACACTGTTGGCTTGGGTTAACCCCTAGATCCTTTCCGCATGTACTACTGGCAAGGCAGGTGTCCACCATCTTATATTTGTGCAGCTGGTTCTTCCTGCTTAAGTGCAGAACCTTACATTTGTCCCTACTGAAATTCACTTGATTAGTTTGGACCCAGTTCTCCAAGCTGTTAAGGTCTTATTGAATCCTGATTCTGTCTTCTGTGGCATTAGCTGCCCCTCCCAGTATGGTGGCATTTGCAAATTTGATGAACATCCCCTCAATTCCATCATCCTAGTTGTTTATAAAGACATTGAACAACAACTCTGCGGCAATCCACTTACTATCTTTTTCAGGATGACGAGGACCCATTAGTGAGCACTCTTTGCGTTCAGTCATTCAGCCAGCTACAAATCCACCTAACAGGAAAGCAGTAAATAGCAATAAAGAGGTGGAGAGATACGGTAGCAGAAAGGAGAAGGTCATTGTTGTTCACTGAAGTGATCTCAGAAGTGGGTTAGTAGAATCCAGATGTTGAAGCCTTTTTGAAGCCAAGGGGCTAGCTAGAGAGACGATGGCTGCTTCCAGGAGAGGAAGGTTGCCTGGAAAATGTTCTAAACTGGAAGTATTGCTGTTTGAACTCTGCCTCAAAAAGCAGAGGAGTAAACGAAGGAGCACTTGTGTTGTTTTGTTTGTTGTAAATGCCAGGCGTGGGGGAGGGTGGTTGCTCAATCCAGAGCTGGAAAAATTCCAAGACCAGGAAAATTCTGTGTTGATGCCTAAGAACTTTTGGCACTTTTTCCATCCTTGACAGAGCAAACTCCAGAAACATTCTATTCCGCCTGCCACTTGAGAATGGGATGTCATCCCTGCCCCTCCCCTGGCTGAACACAAATTTGAGTGTGTGGAGGGGGATTTGATGTGCTGTGGAAGGTGGAAGTTGAGGTACTCAGAAAAAGGGGTTTACTTCTAAGCATGATGACCTCAGTGGTTCCAAACATTTAGCTCGTTGCCAGCGTTCTTCATTCTCATAGTATACCCATTGAAATTAATGGATGTGACTTATTCTACTTAACAGGGACTTCCTGAATAGACATGGTGAGGCTTGCACTGTAACCATTCATTTCATTGGGTCTCCTCCAACAAAAAAAAAACTAGTGTTGGATGCGGCTCCATTGTCTCAATTCTTGTTTGTTTGTTTGTTTTTTGTATCATGCTTTATGATCCATGGGTGGTGTGATTACTTTTTTAGGTTACGTTTTATAGCCTACCCAGTGCCAGAGGGCTTAATTAACTCAGGTAAATCTGATTGTAATGCCTTAAATCAAAAGCAAATGAAAACCTTCCATCTCAGCATAGTTTTATTAAAAAAAATATCAATCAGTCTCATCAAGCGTGACCTTTATAGTGAGGACTCTTTGATTTCATCATTCCAACTGCTTGCTTCAGAAATGCAGTGCAAATTTAAATCATATGGCATGCCATTCTTCCATCTAAGAGTTCATCTTGAGAACATGAAGGCTGCTGCTATCATGATTAAATATTGCCACATTCCTGAGTGGGATGTGGCCTTGGAGAATCTCAAGTCAGAAATGAGGTCACCCAGTGCCAGAATACAGGAGCAGCATTTGTCATCTCAGAGCATCGGTACAATGCTTGAGCTTTTAGGAGCACTGAATATGTGACATTATTCCTACACAGAAAGAGTTAACTGTACTGTCCAAAGTGTTGTGGTAGCCACTTTCCCAACTTTTGCCCTGCCCTTTGGCAGCTAAGGTGTATGTTTTAAAGACCCACTCAATTTTTTTATTGCAAATTGATTTTAATGTTGCCATGGGACCTTATGGTGAAAGTCAAGTAATAAATCTAAATCATCGTTATCTTCTACCCTGGGGCTCCCTGAAGAGTTGGTTGCCGAGCTGAAGGTAAATGAGGAGAAGCCCAGGTCAGGGGAAGAACACCGGCAGGTCCTTTGGATATCACAAATGGCCTGAGAACATTTTGCTGTTACATTGTTTTGTGTTTTGTTTTATTCTTTTGTTTCCATATTTTAAATTCTAAGCTGACTGAAAAGCAGTACAGGCAACCCCCAGTTTCTGCAGGGGTTATTTTCTGTGTCATTGTGCCCAATGGTGGAGTGCACATAAGTCCATTCCACCCCCTTTTCCGGCCACTCACAGGTTGCCACAATGAGTGTGTGCATGGTTGTGCATTGATTGCACCCATGTAAATCGGTTGTCGCCTGTATATGGTGGTCAGTGGGGGTTTGCACTTGTACCAGTCAGACTACTCTGAGAACTGTAGGAAGTGGTGTCGTCAAAGTCTGGAATGTTAACAGGTAAATCAAGTTAAACTGGGTGTGTGATGAGAGTCTTTGTGGCAAGCTGACCAGGGCAGACTCCTCAGTGCCTTATGTAATTATTTAGTGCATGCATGCCACAAAGACTCATGGGGCTTCTGAGTTGTGGGTCTGAGTTAAGATACATTGGCCTCTGCCCGTAAGACACTGGGTGAAACTGCCCCAGCTTTCACCTCAAGAGCTGAGGAGGTTTCACCCAGGCGTTTGCAGGCTCGGACAATGCAGCTTGTTTGTGCCGCTCAGCTGGGGATCGGGAAGGTTCCCCCTTCCCAGCTGAGACAGCCCCAGTGCTCTCACCGCTCACGTATGAGTGGATGGAGCATCGGGGCTCCTTTAACTGCTCGCTGCGGGGAGTGGCAACCGCGCTTCCCTCAACTAAGCAGTTTCACGGAGCACCCACTTTGCTGCCAGCTTGTGGGAGCTGGAGCTGGGTTGGGGGCTCCTATAACAGCTCAACTGAGGCAAGGACAGCTGCACATTCCTTACTCAAGCAGTTTAAAGACGCAGAGGGAGGAACAAGCTGTATTGGCACCTTGCCAAAACAGCTTGTTTCTCCCTCTGTGTCGTATGAAGGCAGAGTGGAATGGCGATTTTCATTCAGCAGTATATCCTTGGTGAAACTGCCACCTCTCCAGAGTCCCTCTGCTAGCAGCGCCCACTGGAGGAAGGAACTCTTCACTCCCCCCAGTGGACGCTGCTAGTGGAGGGACTCAGGAGCGGCAGCGATACACTGCTGAATGAAGCCAACATTGCGGTCTGCTCCTCATACCGTTCCTGGGCGATATATAGATATTTTGGCAGGCCTAGTCTGAGCATTGGACAGACCACCTTTAAAGGGAGGGGGGCAGTTGCTTGGATTGACCTGAGCAGAAACAAGACTGGTGTGTTTGCAAGGGGAGCAGCCTTCAGCATTTGTCCCAGGCACTTTGTACCTGCATTAGCCTGGCTTGCTATTCAAGTTGGATAGGGGTACAGCCAGTGCAGCTGATGTTGCACTGAAAAACTCTGTGCATTTGAGTGGCTAGGCTTACAGTTTCACCTGTAATTCAGCAGCTGCTGTTTGTTTGTGAAAGACTGAAAGTATGACATTGAGTGGGGTGGGGGGAACGCAATCAGAAAGATGGACACTGCTCCCTTTTACTCCCTGAATGTTCTTCTTGGCACTACTTTTGATGTAATGTTGGTCTTCAGAAAATAGATGAAAATAGATGAAAATAAAACCTACCTCCTTTATACCTGTTCTTTATCGGATTAGCTCAGAATTTTGACCCTGTCTCCTTCCTGTTCCCCTCATGGGTGTAGCAAGGAGGGGCAGCTGCCCCCCCATAAGTAAAAATCAATACAAAACTGAGGTTCTTCCCCCCCCTAACAAAAGTGTGCCCCCTAACAACAATCCTGGCAAGACCCATGCCCCTCCTCCTACCAGCAGAAAGGTAGCTATTTAAATGTGTGTGTGTTTTTGTAAATAGAACATGTTTTATTTATAATTTATACAAAATACAATTACATAAAATGATAGGAACATAATGAAATATTGTTGAAGCAAAAAAACCAAACAAACAAAAAAACAGAATCATGGAGCTGGAAGGGACCCCAATGGTCATCTTTCAAATGCAACCCCCTGAAATGTAGGAAAATCAGCTAAAGCATCCATGACAGAGACCTGCTTAGAGACCTCCAAGGGAGGAGAGTCCAGTACCTCCAGAGGGAGATCCATCTTCCATGTGTAATAAAAAGTAAGCAACACTTATTGAACCGCAGTTATTTGACACAGAGGGGGAAACCTACGGATACAGTCCAAAAGGTGCACAGGGAGAATTTTAAAAAGCAAGTGGTCCTCACTGACGGTGCAAAAAGATATTGTCATCTGGAGGAGCCCTGGTTGCCTACATAAAACACTATAGCTCCCCTGCCCTGTTGTTGTTCTTTAGTTGTGTCCGAATCTTTGTGACCCCATGGACCAGAGCACACCAGGCACTCCTGTCTTCAACTGCCTCCCACAGTTTGGTCAAACTCATGTTCGTAGCTTCAAGAACACTGTCCAACCATCTCGTCCTCTGTCATCCCCTTCTCCTTGTGCCCTCCATCTTTCCTAACATCAGGGTCTTTTCCAGGGAGTCTTCTCTTCTCATGAGGTGGCCAAAGTATTGGAGCCTCAGCTTCAGGATCTGTCCTTCCAGTGAGCATTCAGGGCTGATTTCTTTAAGAATGGAGAGGTTTGATCTTCTTGCAGTCCATGGGACTCTCAAGAGTCTCCTCCAGCACCAGAATTCAAAAGCATCAATTCTTCGGCAATCAGCCTTCTTTATGGTCCAGCTCTCACTTCCATACATCACTACTGGGAAAACCATACCTTTAACTATACGGACCTTTGTCAGCAAGGTGATGTCTCTGCTTTTTAAGATTCTGTTTAGGTTTGTCATCACTTTTCTCCCAAGAAGCAGGCTTCTTTTAATTTCATGACTGCTGTAATCATCTGCAGTGATCGTGGAATCCAAGAAAGTAAAATTTCTCACTGCCTCCATTTCTTCCCCTTCTATTTGCCAGGAGGTGATGGGCCCAGTGGCCATGATCTTCGTTTTTTTGATGTTGAGCTTCAGACCATATTTTGCGCTCTCCTCTTTCACCCTCATTAAGAGGTTCTTTAATTCCTCCTCACTTTCTGCCATCAAAGTTGTGTCATCTGCATATCTGAGGTTGTTGATATTTCTTCCAGCAATCTTCCAGCTTGGGATTCATCCAGTCCAGCCTTTCGCATGATGAAATATAAGTTAAATAAGCAGGGAGACAATATACAGCCTTGTCTAGGCTTCCTCAACCTTGGCTCTCCAGATGTTTTTGGCCTACAACTCCCATGATCCCTAGCTAGCAGGACCAGTGGTCAGGGATGATGGGAATTGTAATCTCAAAAAATCTGAAGGCCCGAGGTTGAGGAAGCCTGACCTTGTTGTACTCCTTTCCCAATTTTGAACCAATTAGTTGTTCCATATCCAGTTCTAACTGCAGCTTTTTGTCCCACTTAGAGATTTCTCAGGAGACAGATGAGGTGATCAGGCACTCCCATTTCTTTAAGGACTTGCCATAGTTTGCTGTGGTCGACACAGTCAAAGGCTTTTGCACAGTCAATGAAGCAGAAGTAAATGTTTTTCTGGAACTCTCTAGCTTTCTCTATAATCCAGCACATGTTTGCAATTTGGTCTCTGGTTCCTCTGCCCCTTTGAAATCCAGCTTGCACTTCTGGGAGTAAGACCCACTCAACTCAGTGTGACTTTCTTCTGAATAGACAGTTATTTACTAGCAGCACCAGACAACCACACTCGACTAGGCGCTAGAGTGGATTTCACCCCATGTCTTGCAATGCCAGGCCGATGCTGCCTTCAGATCCTGCACCCCTCGGCAACATCCGAAGGCCCTGATCCACTAGGCGCTGAGGTGGATTGCATCCTGCGCCTTGCAGAGTCAGGCCCAGGCTGCCACTGGGCCCAGCACTGGCAGCAGCAACAAGCAGCTGTGGCTCTCCTAGCCCAACCCATTGCCACCCCACCATTGCACTTACCGGACATGGGGGTCCTAGATTGTGGGCTCTACTGGTCAAACCAGGAGCCTCAGTGATCGCCCTTTTCCTCCAGAAACTGCTCCAAGAAATCGCCTGGCTGCGCCCTTACCAGCTTGTGATTGGCCAAGCGGATAGCCAGCCAATCAGGATTTTTTGTTAAAAAAATGTTTTCTCCCTTCACTTCTTCTGTGGCCCCCTAGCCACATTTACGTATTTTTCACCTGTGTCCCCCTTGGAATATCCTGCCCCCCCAGGGGGCCATATGGCCCCTGGTTGGGAAACACTGATATACATTATGTTCTCCCATCTTTGTTGTCATAGCAAACTTGAGGCACAGGTTAGTTATACTGAGATAGTAATTGACCAAACTTACCTACTGAGCTTCATAACTGTGTGGGGATTTAAATCTCACTGTCCTTGGTCCAAGGCCAGTCCTCTGCCTACCATATGACACTGGCTGTCTTCAAACTGGCACTCATATTTGTTTAGCCTTGAGCAGGAAACATTTGCACTGGCCCTGAGCATTTCTTTTTTTAAATAATAAGACTTTTTATGCTTTTCTCTAAGGAGCTCATAGTGGTATACTACAACATTCTGTTCTTCCAGTCTCTCCATAAAAGGCTATTAACATGTCTTCATTCATTCCAGGGTATATTATCATGTCAGGGTCATCGTATCTCTATGCTAAGATGAACGAAACACATTGCTCTCCTCAAATACTTCTGGCCTATGAATGCCACAAGGTGGGAAGGAACAATGTGAGGTTGAAATGGAGCCCCCTCCTCAGCTCGAATGGCTTGTACAGAAGGATTCCCTCCGACATCTTTGGTCACGAAACCAAACTGCAGATAGTTTTTCCAAAGAGAAGGGGGTGGGATTTCTGGTTGTGCAACAGACAAGTTAAGCCAGAAAATTGGTTCCCTTTGCCTGCTGATGGGGCCCCTTCTAAGGAGGCCCAACTCAATCGTTGCTGGCTGACAGTAACTAAAGAAGTTTGCAAAACCTTGAGCTGTAACCTGTAAGTCTTACTTTGTCAAGTAGATTGTGGATTGCTTGATAGGATCCTGCTTTTTCTGTTAAACTAAATTTTTGGTTTCTCACATTTCCAAACTCCTTTTCAGAGAGAGACATTTGTAGTATTTCAGTGTTGTTATTTCTTAGTGCTGCTTCATTTAGCTGCCAACCTCAGTGTTGTTAAAGAAAAAATTATGGGAGTACGGGCTTTACACCACTTCCCCCAGGGTTCCCTCCGGTCAGCAAAAGGAGGAGACTGCAGCCAAGTTGAAGAAGCAAAACAGCGGTCAGTAGACCTGATCTTTATTTGTTGCAACAAAGGTTCAAACAAAAAAAGAGAAACAACCCCGTGCAAGGAGTTGCAAGAGATTTTAAAACCTTCCCGCTTTCCCTTGAAACATCACTCATAATCATCATCAAAATGTTACAAAACCAGCAGAAAAGAGGAGTGGTTGCCAGGCAGAAACATGAAACTGGTTGCTACACCTGTCAATCAAGTAAGTTCCCAACACCTTCTAGCTACCCTTTCCCAAAGAACAATACAGTGGTACCTCTAGTTACGAACTTAATTCGTTCCAGAGGTCCATTCTTACCCTGAAACTGTTCTTAACCAGAGGTGTGCTTTCACTAATGGGGCCTCTTGCTGCCTCTGCGCCGCTGGCACACGATTTCCGTTCTCATCCTGGGGCAAAGTTCTCAACTCGAGGTAAGTCTTCCAGGTTAGCGGAGTTTGTAACCTGAGGTGTTTGTAACTCTAGGTGCCACTGTACAGTGGTGCCTCGCAAGACGAAATTAATTCGTTCCGCGAGTTTTTTCGTCTAGCGAATTTTTCATCTTGCGAAGCACGAAATCCCATAGGAAAGCATATAAATTCAATTAATGCGTTCCTATGGTCAAAAAAAGTCCAAACAAAGCCAAATTTGGTACAACAAGAGTTTGTTAAGTGCTCTTTAAAGTCACACATACTGTAAAGAGCATTTCAAAAATTGAAGGAACAATAAATTAAGTTTCTAAACATGACAGAAAAACATTTAAAAATCAACAAAGTGTACAGTACATTTTCTAAGACTCTGGGGGACAACTCGAAGAAGGTTCCTCTTCCACTCTTTGCTTCTTGCTGAAGAAACCCCTCCTCAACTGTTCCCCCAGCCACCCACCACACATAAATTCAATTACATAATTTTTTTTAAAAACATCAGTGTGGCCCAATGGTCACAGAAAATCATAAAAATGCAGAAAAAAACCACACAAGCTCCAAGATTCTTGCAAACCCCTCCTCAACTGTTCCCCCAGCCACCCACCACACAGAAATTCAAACCCAGAAAATTTTTTTAAAAAACAGCAGAGTGGCCCAATGGTCACAGAAAATCATAAAAATGCAGAAAAAAAACCACACAAGCTCCCAGATTCCTGCAAACCCCTCCCCAACTGTTGCAAACCCCTCCTCAACTGTTCCCCCAGCCACCCACCACATAGAAATTCAAACCCAGAAATATTTTTTAAAAAAACAACATGGCCCAATGGTCACAGAAAATCATAAAAATTCAAAAAAAACCCACACAAGCTCCCAGATTCTTGCAAACCCCTCCCCAACTGTTCCCCAGCCACCCACCACACAGAAATTCAAACCCAGAAATTTTTTTTTAAAAAAAACAACATGGCCCAATGGTCACAGAAAATCATAAAAATGCAGAAAAAAACCCACACAAGCTCCAAGATTCTTGCAAACCCCTCCCCAACTGTTCCCCCAGCCACCCACCACACAGAAATTCAAACCCAGAAATTTTTTTTTAAAAAAAACAACATGGCCCAATGGTCACAGAAAATCATAAAAATTCAAAAAAAAAAACCCCACACAAGCTCCAAGATTCTTGCAAACCCCTCCCCAACTGTTCCCCCAGCCACCCACCACACAGAAATTCAAACCCAGAATTTTTTTTTAAAAAAACAACATGGCCCAATGGTCACAGAAAATCATAAAAATTCAAAAAAAAACCCACCACACAAGCTAACAGATTCTTGAAAACCCCACCCCAACTGTTCCCCAGCCACCCACCACACAGAAATTCAAATCCAGAATTTTTTGAAAAAAAAACAACATGGCCCAATGGTCACAGAAAATCATAAAAATGCAGAAAAAAACCACACAAGCTCCCAGATTCTTGCAAACCTCTCCCCAACACCAAGTCCTTGAATTCCAAACACCCCAACCCAAAATCCAAAAACCCCCAAAAAAGTTTTAAAAGTTTAACTTACCAAACGGCTACAAAAGAAGTTTTGGAAAAGCTTCAAAAATCAGCAAAGTCCTCAAAAACCTCAGAAAAGGCTACCACACCGCGTGCAATGTGTTGCTCCTCAAAGTCAAGTCGCAACTGCACCTCTTCAAGCAATGCACCCTGGGTATTAACGGTTTTTAGAAAAGGCAACAAACTCGCAAGACGTTTTCGTCTTGCGAAGCAAGCCCATAGGGAAATTCGTCTTGCGAAGCAGCTCAAAAAACGGAAAACCCTTTCGTCTAGCGAGTTTTTCGTCTTACGAGGCATTCGTCTTGCGGGGCACCACTGTAAAAGTATTTACATATCCCCTAGCAGTGAGGCTTTTCAGAGCATCCTTTGAGAGAATCAGGGTTCAATGTACTAACTATACTGATGGATTTCTGTCTGGGGTACTTGTCCTTGAACACCTGCCTCACATTGTGAAGCTAAGGTCACACCTTAGGGAGGAGCAAGGAGTACATGACCTTATGCTTGTGGGATTATGAAGCCCTGGATTCCCCACTTCAAGAGGAGTCATTTGTTGATGGTGGTCAAATTGTTGAAATTCAATGATTATTTGAAGTTTCTGTAGGTTCTAGTCTCAGGGTTTCAAGTTGCCATTGACCCTCTTTGCTGAAGATTAGTCGTACCTTGGTTTTCGAACAGCTTAGTTCTCAAACGTTTTGGCTCCCGAATGCCACAAACCCAGAAATGAGTGTTCCGGTTTGTGAACTACTTTTAGAAGCTGAACGTCTGACGTGGCTTCCACGGTTTCTGTTTGACTGCAGGAGCTTTCTGCAGCCAATCGGAAGCCGTGTCTTGGTTTCAGAACATTTTGGAAGTCTTAACAGACTTCCGAAACGGATTCCGTTTGAGAACCAAGGTACAACTGTACTAGTAAGAAGGGCAAAAGGGGATTTTGTGTTTGTGTGGTGGCGAAGGGGATATTCAGGCTCATCGTCCTGACTGGGCTTAGGCATGGAGGGGGTGTCACTTATGTCATCTCCCACCCCACGGCAGTAACAGTGTGTTACTGATTTCCAGAGGCATACTTGCTGATAAGGATCTAATTGGCTCCCCCCCTCTTTGTTGGGGTATAAAAGGAAAGCTACCAGTCATTTTTGCCCATGAGATCTGAATGGTGCAAAACTGGAAAGCAAATAAGAACTCTAAAATGTTTTTGTAGCACTTTTAAGACTGCAATGTTATCCATGCTTTGTATGGAGTAAGCCACATAGAACTCGATTGGACCTAACTTCTAACTAACCATTCATAGGATTGGGTTGCAAGTGCCTTGCAATCATTTTCTCCTTCATTCTTTTAATGACCCTACAAAGCAAGGCACTGTTGGTTCTTTTTAAAGTTACGGATGGGGAACTGAGGCTGAGCAAATTGTAAAAGGCTATCTAGTGAGTATACAGCTTATGGCAGAGACTCTGGTTTCTTTTCTCTGTATCACTCACCTAGACATTCTGCTTGTAGGCTTCCTTCAGCTTGTATAATTCAAAACTGTTGTGTGATTGTGGGGTTTATGGCAGAGAATGTTGGAAACTCTTCCCTGAAGAGAATTAAAAAATCAAAGGCACAGTGAATTTGGACTCAGATCCCCAGTCAGCTATCACTGAGATACATTTTACAAGCTTGGTTTAGAAATTTAATAAAATAATAATAAAACGTGTAATAAAACGTTTCAAAGTGGTATTAAAATTATAAAATAGAATAACTTGTATTTTTTTAACAAATTAATTACATTTTAGCATGAAAAGTTATTGTGGCATCATACTATATACATAATAATAAGTATATATTCTACTGAGGTCCCCTTTGAAGTATTTTATCAACGGACAATAAAACATGCAGTTAGCCTTAACAGAAACTTTATTCTTTGAGCCACAAATAGTAGATGTGTATGAGGTTCCCCACCTCTGTTGTAAACAGGCAAACTCGGGTCAGGGACAGTGGTGCATGTATTGTTTCTAATGTTCTGTTTCTCTGTGAGTTGAGATTCCAGTTTTACCCCACAGTAGGCAGGTGAGAAGCAGAGCAGGCAACAACAGTATCTGTCTCCTCCCCACCCACCTTCTCCCCCCTGACCTTCCATCAACCACACTGGAATGTTAAAGTTACTGGCAGGGGCTCTGGCATGCAGCTGCTTCAAGGTTTTTTCTTTTCCCCCAATCAAGTGGTATATAAATTTTAATAATAACAGTAATAAAACTGGCAATCCCAATCACTGATGTTGGTTTTCCTGCACTCCCATTAAGGAGCCCACGGAAATTTGGAGATGCATTGGCAAGTGTTAAGTCTGTTTGCAGGCCTCACAGCTCAAATTAGGTGTCCTTTAAATAACAAGGAATGCCCTTCTCTGGCAGGAAAATAATAGTCTCACCTATATTGTGATTGTGCTACAGTTGTGTGTTGGCGCATTCTGTAGGCCAAAATAGCAGCCATTTTGGTTTATTCTTGCAGCTGAACCTGCTGCGGGCAGGCTTGTTCTATTCCAGAAAACAAAACTGCATTGATACCTCTCTGAGGGCAGTGGGATAATAGCAGCAAGAGGTAACCCCCCCCTTCATTGGTTGGAGGCCTTTAATGTCCCATGGGACTGTTGCAGGAATGTGCCTCAGCCTTTAACAGCTGTTTCCAATGTAGTGTCTTGCAGTTCAGCAGACAGAGAAAGGGCTAAAGATATGGCAACCTCTTTTCTCTCTCTCCCAGTCACGGCATTTCCCTACATTTCATTTTTATGTTGGTTCTCCCTTGTTTAAGCAATTAGCTTTCTTGTCCATTCTCTCTGTGTGTAAATGTTAATGGCTTGTTATACATGCGTTGTTCTGTGCTTTCCATCTGATGAGGACTGAAGCTATAAAAATGCTGAAAGCCCATTTGCACTGTATTATCATTACGGTATCAAGAGAAAGAGGAATCCTTGCATTACTGTGTGTTCATTTGGGCCAGTGAGTTTTTGTGGTGCCAGCAGGCAGCTTTTTTCTCAGTTTCCTATGCAAGCTTGAGGGATGAGTTAAAAATCACTCCCAGCCAATGCAAAAACTCACTGGTCCACTGCAACTCACTCATTTTCCAGGCCCTTCCTATTGTGCTAATACACTTCCATTTGTGCATAATGCTGCAGGTCTTATAAGTTCAGAAACCAGAGGACCCCTAGATGCTCTTTCCAAATGGAGGCTCTTAAAGGTCAGGCTAGTGTTGTTAACCCCTTGTAAGACACTACCAGGAGTCTTGGCCTTCCCAATGGGCTATGAAAGGTGGTTCTAAAATGCTTCCCTTCCTAATCCCCTGAAGACCAACTCTGAGCTGGAGTAGAAAGCATCACAATTGTGGCAGCAGTTCTGTTGTAGACTGCCTTTTCTGTGGTGTAGGTATGATGTTTCTGGGGATGGTCTTGGACTCCAGGGCGGGCAATTTAAAATGTCTACATAAGGGCTTGCACGCACGGCTCGGGGTCCTCTTCCTCTCTCCTGTGTGTGGGGGAGCACCCTGTTGCAACCGTTAATAAAGATCAGGCTTACTAGCTGCTTTGCTTCTCAAAAAAACAAACAAACAAAATGCAATTGGGGGGGCAAACTCCTCAGGGTATCTTCCTCTTTGATGAAAATATGTGGATTAGCTTAAATGAGTGAAAGACTCCCTGCCAGAAGCTACTTTGCTTCTCATCACAGCAGGTCATCAATTGAACAGTGATGTGATGCAGCACGTTTTTTTCAAAGGAGTGTTTCTGCACAAAGTATTTCCAGGACACAGCTATAGGGTGTTTGTTGGTCTGTTTATTTGAAAAAAATTACAAACTGCCTCTGCCCTAACAGGAGCCCTTGCTTCATAATAAATACAAAAACTAAAGAACCTCAAGCAGTAAAATCAACCAGCACCTTGATTACAAGTGCAGTAAGAACATGTTTTACATTTTAAGTATAACATTTTAATCTCCTCCGTTCTAGGAACTAAAGTCATTATACGTGGTGTCCCTTGCCCATTCCTCCCATGTGGTGGTTAAGCTATGTTGCTGTACCTGACCCCTGCTGAGCTTCATGGCTGAGCAAGCATCTGGACCCCCAGCTCCCTTGTCAAAGCTGAATATTCAAGCCATTACTAAGGTCTTTGGTTTCCACCCGAAAGGCAGTAGAGGAGTTGCAAATGGAACCTGAAATATACTCAGAGTCGCAAAGTGATTTCATGCTCTTTATTCAGCTCATAGTGGTGAGGAGGAATGAATGAAAGTCCCCTCAAAGTATCTGCTTTATATACATTATTTACACAATGGGCTGCACATGATTGGCTAATTCTGGAATTCTACTGTAAGCCAATCAGGTTGTGGATTCACTTATATCTGGAGCATGATTGGGTGGTTCCTGCCAACCAATCATACTGCTGCATTGTTCTAGGACCAATCAGACTGCTGCATTCTGAATCCTATTGTTCTAGGACCAATCAGACTGCTGCAATTTGGATCCTATTGTTCTAGGACCAATCAGACTGCTGCAGTTTGGATCCTATTCAACTCATACATAGCAGAACCTCTTTAGGCAGGGAGTTTCAACTCTGGGGTCTCAGCATCCAGAAGACTCTTGCCCACCTACTGCACAAGGTAGAGGCACTTGCAAGAGGGTCTTCTTGGACTGCAAGGGATGGCATATAGGGTTGGAGTGATTCCTTCGAATCACAAGAAGCAAGGCAGCTGGCAAGTTCAAAGCAAGCCCTTTGCCTTGAGCAGAAAACGTAAAGGTAAAGAACCCCTGACAGTTAAGTCCAGTCGCGAACGACTCTGGGGTTGCGGCGCTCATCTTACTTTACTGGCCGAGGGAGTCAATGTTCGTCCGCAGAGAGAGCATGACTAAGCCGCTTCTGGCGAACCAGAGCAGTACACGGAAACACTGTTTACCTTCCTGCTGGAGTGGTACCTATTTATCTACTTGCACTTGGATGTGCTTTTGAACTGCTAGGTTGGTAGGAGCTGGGACAGAGCAACGGGAGCTCACCCCGTCGCAGGGTTTGACCTTCGATCAGCAAGCCCTAGGCTCAGGTTTAGACCACAGCACCACCTGCAGAAAACTAGCAGCTCACAAATGCAGGTCTTGAGGACCTGATAAAATCCCATGTGGCTGTGCTTCCAGCCCTTGCTGTGTCCGACCCATCTTCAGAGGTAGCATCTGTTGCCCGAACCCAGAGCTCCATCTTGTAGGTTTTGTAACCAGCTCCTGGCCTGCCTGTGGCAAATCGGGACTTCCTGGCCTCTGGGCGAGTAGGAGCCACCTCGCGCCCTCCTCCGTCTAAGGACAACTTGGCATTGAAAGGCGGCGAGGAGAAGACCCGCCTGGCCTTCGGGGCGCCCCTCTTCGCCTTGAAGGCCAGGAGGCGCAGGGCATTGCGCTCGCCTGTCTGCGTCGGGGTGGGGAGCAGCATTTAGCAGGCTAGCGCGCGGGGGGGGGGGGATCCAAGTGGCTCAACCGGCGCCCCGGCGCTCCTCCTTCCCTGGGCCGGGCGCCTTTAAAGCCTGCCGACTCCTTGCTGTGTGACGTGCGCCTGGCTCCTGGCCCGGCGAGGGGAGGAGCGGTGGCGCCGCTGCTGGTGCGGAGGGACCCTCTCCTCCGCCTCCTGCTGCTGCTGTCAGCCCGCCCGCCCGCCTCCCTCTCCGAGAAGCGAAGCCACAACTTTTCTTTTGTGCGCGCGCGTTCACTCCCCCCTCCCCTTGGCTCTCTCCTCTCCAGATTTTAAACCCTAATGACGGATTAAAAATCTGGCGCCCAGAAACTGTGGCTTTAGAAGTCCGGTAAGGCCTGAACAAAGACTCTCTCTCTTTCTCTCTCTCTTTCCTTTTTCTGCTCTGCCTGGTTTGATTTGCACACAACCTGCGGGGAGGGGGCCGCCTCTCGCCTTTCCCCCTTACGGCTCTTCCTCGTCCCACTCCCCAGAGTCCCGCGGCCGCGAGAGGCGCCGAGCAAGGAGTCTCCTCCGTGCCCGCCTTTTGTCCGAAGCAGCGCAAAGCAGGCGGGCATTGCCTGCTGGGGCGAAGTTGGCATTTGCCAACATCCGGGAGTTCGGCGGCTTGGTCGCTTTCCCGAAAGGGGAGGGCTGGATGGGGGGGGGAGGGCATGTTCTCTTTGCCTGTTTTCTGCCGCCGCCCAGGCCCGAGGATCGAAGTGAGCGGGCTTCGGGGAGGTGCGCGCTTGTGTGTGTTTGTGCTTGCCTGCCCGAAGGAGCCCCATCGAGCCGAGCGGCGAGCCTCCAGGCCAGCCCCGCGGGCTACGTGCTCGCTGGGCTCTTGGAGAGCGGATCACGCCCCCTCCAGTCGCCTCCCTCCGCCTGGCCTCTTAATCTGCGCCAGAGCTTGGAGGGACCGGAGGGGGAAGAGCAGAGCATAAACAAGGGCGGGAGGAGAAAGCGACCTGGGGCGCTCTCGCCTCCTCCTCGAGCCCCTTCTGCAAAGGTGCCCGTGGGCTGTAGGCAAGCTCCGCGGAAAGGCGGACTTCGCCGCTGCTCCGCGCCGCCTGCTCGCGCCACAAGCCGATTGGTCGTGCGCTCTGCTGCCGCCATGACTCTCGGCTGCGCGGCATTACTGCTCTTCGCCCCGCAAGCCTGGAGGGGGCTGCGCTACGCCTTGCTTGGCCTCCAGTTTGAGGGATCGAGGTACAAAAGTGCGCGCTTGGAAAGCGCATCAGAAGTGTTGTTGCGTTTGCCTCGAAGATGCCCAAGAAACGTTGCCCTTGCCACTCTGGTGTGCAGCTTGGGCTGGCAGGCTTTCAAGAAGACAAGGCCTGCCTTTCGCAATGAGAGTATCAGGTCTGCTGCGTTTCGCCATTCCCGCCTGCCGACCTCCCTTCATTGAAATTAAGAAGCTCGTTCTTCCTGGACCTGCAGCCTCCCCAAACCACTGGGTGCATCTGGTGTGCCTCATACCTAAAGGCAGACCCCTTTTCGTTCTCTGCCAAGCAATGGGGAAAATGCAGGGCCGCAGAATTTGGTAAAATCCATAAAATAATTTGAGACCTTGGGATTAGGTCGCGCGCTTCTGTAAACAGCCTCTGCGTGTGTCGCCCCTCCCCTCCCCTACACACGGCTGAACTGTAGCCTGTTGGAGTTTTTCTGTTCTTCAGAATCCCAGTGAATACATAGGAAAATTAATGGGATTGCAACAGAACATTGCAGTGCATCTCCAGCTCCTAAGAGGAATGCTGCTGTTCAGGGTCTCCAAATATCCTGGAATGTGAGCTTTGTAATAATGTTTAGGCATTGGAGAGGGATAAAGGACACCTTTTCTCTTCCCTGGCTGTGCTGTATAGTGCTAGAGGGCTGCTGGTTCTCACCTAGGCATTTTATTGCAATATAGTGTATATAATGGTTGTTTTGGAAAAGAAGTCTCTCTCCTCAATAAACAAAAATTCTTGTATACTGGAGGGACAGATGTGTTCCTCTTCCTTGAAGCCCCATCTGTGGAACAACAGTCCACTTTTTTGAAGCTGCCTGTCCCATGCTCTCAACAAATGAGCCAACTTTTTTGTGTATGAAGTCCAAGACATCTACAAAAAGTGAAGTGCTCACACAAATGTTTTGTAGTCATTGATGGCACATTATTTGTATGAAAAGTCTCTGAGCCTTCTCTACTTCACATGTCCTTTGGATACCTGCAGGCAGTTCTTTCCACTGGTAATCTGGCAGGTGGCTATCTAAAAGTCTGTCTTCAAAATACCTTCTTTCCTTTATGCAGAAACATGCCATATTTATGTGGATGAGGCTCAGTGGGCTTTCTAAGTTATCCTGTTTAATGCCATCTTCCTTCCCAGAGCTAACAAGAAAGCAGGACTGGATGGGATGTTGGTCTGAACTGGAGGGGGAGAGGGCCTTGATGAAACCAGAAGGTAGCCTTAGTCTCATTTCTTAATTACAGCTAAAAGAGATTACTGTAATAGAAAATTGAGGCATCTTGCAGGTTTGACACCTAGGATTTTTGCTTAGCCTGCTCAAAAATAAATAGTTGTAGACAATTAGATATCTGACTCTTAAAATTCTTGCCTCTTAATTCCTAAAGTTCTGTTGCCCCAGAAATCTGCAGCATAGAGGTAGAACACCATTCCTTGCTTTTTATTGAAGCTGTGAGGCTAAAAGAGATTTTGGAAGGACACTTCATGAATTGAAGTTCTTAATTGCTGTACCATTTGTGGGTTAGATGGGAGAAACACACCACATTTATCACTTTCATTACCTTCATCAGGCATAGGATGTTCCTACCAAGTCTGAACTGTTAAGGTGACTGCTTTTCTGGGGATAAATTGTCTGGCTTGCTTGTGCCTGGTGACAGATTAACTTGCCTCAGAGTTTTCTGCCTTGCCACTGAGCCACAGGGGTAAAGTCCAAAGGGGTATGGCAGAGTGCTGGAGTAGTAGTTGTTCCAGTCAGTTCAGGTCCACACTGTGCTCACTTGATTAGTTTTTTAGCTCTAGAAGACAATGGCAGCATGCAAGCTGACTGTGCTAAATAAATGTTGCAAGCCAGCTGTGGGAAGAAAAAGCCTTTAAATATTTAGGCAGGGCATGAAATAGTATCCAGCCATTGATCAGTCCCCACATCCCCATCACTGAGGCAGCCTTGGAGGCAGAGATAGGCTACAGCAGCATCATACTCACATTGACCAATTTAAAGTGGCTTATTACTGTGCTTTTATACTGCCTGCCTATCGACAAACTTAAGAGGCTTGCAATCTCCAAGATTAAAACAAAAAAGGATGCAAAAGTTGGACCAGTAAAATAGAATTTTCACTTGCCATTCATAGCCTGTTCAGGAGCTCCCTCAACAGGCTCTCTCCTTCCATTTTCCTCTCAGTTCACACAGTTCTTTAAGTAGTGTCCAGGATGTTGTGGCTGCCCCAGCTGAACTTTCTCAGTTCTGGAGCTGATGGCATGAACTTGCTAGCTTGGGCTTCAGTTCCCTGAAGAAGTACCTAAACTTATTTATTTGCCCTTTGCACAACAGAAGATGCAAACAGGGACTTGCAGCAAAACATTGCAGTGAATCCCCACCCCTAGCGGAGTGGAACAGCAGTCTCATGGTTAGGCTCACAGAGGGCACCTTCTTTGCTACCTTCCCGAAAACTTCCCCAGCTGTGTTATAAAGTGCTTAAGCCCTCGCTTCACTCAGTTGCTCCTGTTTCTAGGGCAAGCAACTCTGATTGTGGCAACACACACCATTGCTTCAGATTGGCCTACTGTAATATGCTCCATGTGGGTTTGCATTTGGGAATTTCAGTGACTTCAAAATGTTGCAGTGAAAGTTCTGACATCTTCTGGAGCAAGGGGTACCTTGGCTTCTCAAATGAATTGAGCCTGAAAATATGGCCACCCAAGTGGTATTTGCCTCTAGCATATTCACCAGCAACTGAAAAGTACTATTTACACAATTTTATCTCCACTGTTGGAGGCAGCAGACAGTTGCTGGGAATTAGCAGTGTGGAGAATGCTGTTGCACTCATAGGAACATAACAGTAGCCTACTGGATCAGGCCAGTGGTCTATCCATTCCAGCATCCTGTTCTCACAGTGGCCAACCAGATGCCCATGGGAAACCAGTGGGCAGAACCTGAGCACAAGAGCAGTCCTCTCCTGGGATTTTCACCAACTGGTATTCAGAAGCATTACTGCAAAGGTACAGAATAGACATTATGGCTAGTTGTCATTGATCGCCCTCTCCTCTGTGAATTTGTCTAATCGTTTCTTAAAGTCATACAAGATGGTGGCAATCACTGCAGCCTAGGGGAGCCAGTTCTATAGTTAGGTTACAAATGCTTCAGGTTACAAACTCCTGGAAGAGTTACCTCGAGTTGAGAACTTTGCCCCAGGATGAGAACGGAAATTGTGTGCCGGCAGCGCAGCGGCAGCAAGAGGCCCCATTAGCGAAAACATGCCTCCAGTAGAACGGACCTCCAGAATGAATTAAGTTCATAACTTGAGGTACCGCTGTAATTTTATTTTTTCTGTCTTGAATCTTCCAATTAAGCTTCATTGGATGTCCACTAGTTCTAGTGTTACAAGAGATGGAGAAAAATTTTTCTCTTTTTTTTTTTGTAATTAAAATGAGGCATTTATTGCAACAAGATGTGACAGACACTCTGAAGACAGGCTAGGAATAGACAGAAATACGCAGTGATGGCTACCAACTTAGATGCTTTTTAAACTATCTGCCATGGCTTTGTTCTGCCTCCAGGACTGGCGACACCATGTCTCTGAAGAGCACCATCTTTCTCATAGGCACCCGTCTGGCCACTGTGGGGAATGATGACCTCTGGTCCTGATCCAGCACGACTCTTACGTTGTTATGGCAAGCAGATAGTCAGCAGGCAAAGCTTTTTGAGCATGCAGGGTTAGTGATGATGGGCAAAGACAGTACCTGGTGAATGTCTGCTTGCCTTGAAGCTTTTATTTTTTAAAAAAATAATATTTATTGAGAATTTTAAGATTACAAAGAAACAAAGAAAAAAAGAAGGAAGGAAAAAACAAGTAGCATTTAAACAATACGAATCAATAAAAAAAAAACAAGGTCAAAAAGAGAAAAAAACAAAACACATAATACATCAAAATCAAAAAGCAAAAATAGACAAGAAATTTAAAAACAAATCCAATATTCCCAAATCATTAACTGTCATTACCTTGTTTCATCGACCTCCTCACACCTCCCTTTTTTGTATTCTAGTTGTTAATTATCTCAGCAAATCCTTTCCATCTTTCATAATATTCTGTCATTAAATTACCTTAATCTATTTTAACCTTATCTTACCATAAAAGGCCCTAAAACTTAAAACTTAAATCTTATTTATACCAAATTCTCTTAACCATGACATATTCTTACATAATTCTTTTTAACATTTCTGCTAAAGCCAAATAATTTCATTCCAACATTTTTCTAATACTCTTTACTTTTACAGGATTTTCCTAAATAATTTGTTTAAAACTTTCTTCCAATCTTCATCCAACGTCTCTTTCTCCTGGTCTCGGGTTTTGTCAGTCCTTTCTATCCCATCCATCTAGTCCATCAACCTGGTAACCTTATATCCGAGGCCCTTGGATCTCTTCCATGTCCCATCCGCAAATCTTCTTCATATTTATACCTGTGCTTTACTTTGTCTTCTGCTCCTTTCACTCGGGGAGACTCCAGCTTGACAATGTTTTTGTCCCTTCTCGACAGATCAGCCCCTTTTCCAAAGTCAACACTGAACTCCATGTGGTATTTAAAAGCATGTTTCAAAGTCCCTCCAAAGTTAAGGACCCGCACAACTCCGAACGCCTCCCGGCCCAAAGCCAGACTTGAAAGGTCAAAACATCCCTGCATAGGGGGGTCTATCCAGCCCCCCATCTCCAAGCCAAACAGAACTCTGTCTCTCCAAATCTGGCTTTCTCCAGGTTCATTCGTCAAGTCCAACAACTCATGTTCCTGCTGGGCCACAGTTCCCTCCATCTCTGCCTCACTAGGTCCAGCAACAACCTCCTCCCTCATCTGATCTGTCAAAGCACACTCCTGAGTTAATTCCTGAGTGGGTTCTAAATAAGTACCCACTGCCTGTCCAAACTTTCCGATCCCAACAGTCATCAAATCCATCTTCTCATGTAACTGTTCCAATAAAGCACTTGTCTTACAAAAAGCCAACACCAGAGCCTCCGAGTACATTCTTGTTGAAGGTCAGAGTCTTTTCCCACGATCTTAATCTATTGCAGCTGCAAAGCTCCCCAGTTCGAATTTAATAACAGTTTCACAAGCTCCCTCTAGGGGAAAAAGCTTCTATTTGTATCCATCTCTCTCTCTTTTTTTTTTTAAAGCAAATCTAACAACAAAGTTTCCTTTTTCAGATATTTTGTCAATATTTTGTTCCTTTTAGATGCGAAGGGGAACAATGGAATCAATATGTTTCTCTTCTTTTAACTATCTGTCAAAAACGTTTGTCTATAGTCAATGAACTTCCCGAAGACGTCTGTCCTGACACCCCGCTCCCAGGTTCAGGACGGTGGAGAATTGCTTTTCTTTACTTATCTTCTGCAAGTTTAATCAGTCCAGAAAAAGTTCCCCCCTCTTCTCCTGCTTCCAAGGGGGGTTCAGTAATTTTAAATGATGAAAATTGATCCTTTACAAACGATTTTCTAAGCTCTAGCTTGCCGTGTCTTTGCTTCAGTCTATTTACAAAAAGCGGAAGGCAGACTTCCTGTTTATACCTTTCCACTTCAGTGCCAAATTAAAGGAAATTTCTTATTCCAATTTTCTGTTCTACTCACGGACAGTTATCTAAGCTCCAATTGTCCACAGGAAAAAGTCAGCGCTCTCTGGCAACAGCAATGCGGCTTCACTCTGTGAAAGAAGCAGTCAATTCAAGGCACCGCGCCACTCACCCCACGTCGCTCTGGAACCCCGAAATCAGGTTTCCCCGCGAGTAGGGGGGGCGCAAAGGTACCGGCCGAATCCCACGTCCACAGGCTTCTCCCGCCTGTGGTTTTTGATGGGTCTCCGCCTTGCCGTGGCGGTTCAGACCCTGTTTTCCGCGGAGCGGATTCCTCCCGATCGGAGGGAATCCGCCGTTGCCAGAGGCACCAACCCGGAAGTGAGAGAGAGAATTTTTTTTTCCTCTATACACTTCTTGCCATGCATAACCTTATAAACTTTATGATCCCTTGCCTTTTCTCTGAACTAAAAAAGTCGCAAATGCTGCAACCTTTCTACATAGGGCAGTCGGTCCATCCCCTTGATCATTTTGATTGCCCTTTCCGACTCTACAATATACTTTTTGAGTTGAGGTGACTAGAACTGTGCACAGTATTCCAGATGTGATCACACCATAGATTTGTGCAATGGCATGATATTGGTAGTTTTATTTTCAATTGTGCTGTGCACTTCTCAGAGGCATCTGGTTGGCCAATGAGAGAATAAGATATCCTTTTCTTCTTCCCCTTCTAACTATTCCACTTGTAACTTCATTATGTGTATCTGCCTGGTCACTCTGTCATAGTATTTCCTAGAAGACAGAAATCCTTAGTTGAGTATAACTGCTCCCTTAGTGTTCACATTTCACGGTTTAATGAAAAAGTGCTGTTGAGAAGCCTCCAGTTTGGATGTCTATAAAGAATTCCCGCTTAAATTTGACACGCAAAGTAACTTTCTCAGCATTAACACAGCAGAGACAGAATTGAAAATAGGAGGCTTTGTTAGGTGTGGTATGTGCTTGCATTAAAGTATAATTAAAAGTAGCGCCCCAATAACTTGTTCAGGGGGGTGGGAAACCTATTTAAGTCTGGGGGCCAGATTGGAACTTGTCCAACCTTTTGGGAGCCAATGCAACATTCCAATGCAACTCTACATACACCCCAGTAACAAGCACACATGCACTAGCCACACATATACAGTGGTGCCTCACAAGACGAAATTAATCCGTTCCGCGAGTCTCTTCGTCTTGCGGTTTTTTTGTCTTGCGAAGCACGGCGCTTAGCGGCTATTAGCGGCTTTAAGAACAAGGAAACAAACTCGCAAGAACTCGCAAGACGTTTCGTCTTGCAAAGCAAGCCCATAGGGAAATTCGTCTTGCGGAATGACTCAAAAAACGGAAAACTCTTTCGTCTAGCGAGTTTTTCGTCTTGCGAGGCATTCGTCTTGCGGGGCACCACTGTATCACAGAACTGGTAGTTGTGTGCATGTACACACACTTAACACAACCAACACTTTCAGTCCACTCCACCACACTTGTGGGGACTGGAAAGCTATGTAGAGTTGATCTTTATAAACAGCAGGCAGAGGAATTTTATCTCTCCCGTCTTAGCATTAAAACTTACATATGTGTACAGTACTAGGAAATTTTGTCGTAGAATAATGGAATTGTAGAGTTGGAAGGAATGCCTGAGAGTCCTCAGTCCAACCCCTTGCAACATTTCCAAATGATGTGCTTCCATCTTAAATGTTTGGTTATAAAAGTGCTGCAAGTGTTAAGAATCTTTGTACCCTGTGCAACTTTGCTAACGTCAGTGTTCGAAATTCCCATTGTTCTGGGCGCATTTTGCGAGAAGGAATTTCATTAGCACGAGCAGTTTCTGAGCTCTGGACGCAGTACTGCGCCTAGGATTTCAGATTAAAACTGCAGAGTGGAAGAAAGAAGGGCCTTTTTCCTTTTCCCCACTTCTCTGAAGGGTGAAGAAGAGACCCTCTTAAGAATATTAGGGGAGTGGGGGTGGGCAGGGCAAGGACTAGACCATGTGAAAAATGAACATAATATTTTAGTGGCAGTTCATTAATCTTCAGCTTTGTCATTCTTGTTATTAAAAAAGTGTGCCTATACATTCTGTTGTTGCACCCATGACCTAGGTTTAAGGTGCCATTTAGCTCCTAGCCTTCATATCTCAGTTTCTAACACTGGCTAACATCCTGCTCATCTGTTTGTGTGTGTTGCTTGCTTCTGGCGCGCTGCTTTCCTTGTTGTAAACTGTAAGACTGCATTAAGCTTCTTGAAGGGCTGAAAGGTCAACAGAGGACTATAGCAAATGTGAATCTATTAAATTTTTATAACTTTCCCTTAAAAATCTGAAGCTTTGCTAGCCAAGGGATATTAATGTAACTCATTCGTAGCACCTCAGTAGTGTGGGGAAAAGCCTATTTTCATGCAGTTTCCAATAGGCTGCCTGCCTGCTTACCTTGGAGGCAGTTTTTACCACAGTTTATACAAGTTTATATGCCTGATACATTGACTGATGTGTCTTATGTGATCCCACATAGTAAGCATATGTGGAGATTTCTGGGCACCAGGTTGGCAACCAAAGTTTAAAAACTTCTGCCTTAGTCCATAGTTAATATCATTTCCATTTCCACTGTGTGTGTTTCTCTTTCTTGTATACTGTGAAGTGTTGTAAGAGCAATGCAGTCAAGTATTGTAGTTGAGATCATAGAATTGTATTGACATTCCATTGTTGCAGCTGTAACCCAGGTTTAAGATGCCATTTGTGCCTAGCTTATTTATATGAGTTTCTAACACTGTTTGCACCATATGTTTCTAGATTCAGGTAGGTAGCCGTGTTAGTCTGACGTAGTAGAAATAAAAAAATGAAAATAAAAAAATTGTCCAGTAGCACCTTAGAGACCAACAAACCTAGTTGGTCTGGTATCTGAAGAAGTGTGCATGCACATGAAAGCTCATACCAAGTACAAACATAGTTGGTCTCTAAAGTGCTACTGGACAATTTTTTAAATATATATTTCTGTTTGCACCATATGGTTCAACTCTTTCAGAGAATCTGGAGAGGTTTCTTTGGAGAGCATTCTGGTGATTTCATCTATAAATACAACACATGCGCAAGTCTCCTGTGGCAATTTAAAAAGTGGTTGGGAAGCAGGTCAGAGTGGGTAGGCTTTGAAATTTAAGATAGCTGGCTCATCATTTTCCTGTAGTGTGTAATCTAGAGTGGGTTTTTTTGTTTAGTGTCCCTACAGATATTCCACAGCCATTGCTAGGGAGCTTTCAGAAGGGATTCTTCTACAAGTGATGGGCTTTAGTTTTATTTTTGCACACACCCTGCCACCTGAGTTTCAATGTATTGTAGGAAACAACATTTAAAATAGTCTCTACAACAGTAGCTTCTGTGTATTAGCTAGTTTATCAGCTGTGTGAAAGATGCATGTCTTACTGACCATGAACCAAGGATTACAGAATCCCAGCATTAAAAAGGAACACCAAATTTGCATGAAATTGTATTTTAATCCTTTTGCCCAGGGATGGGATTTCTAGCCAAAGCAGATACGATCAAAATAAAATTTGGATGTCTAGGGAAGGTGCTGTGGCCATGAAACTGCACAGTCAGTATTTAGAAAAGTTGCTGCACAGGGCATAGAAATCTCCCTGTGGGTTGGAAGTTTGCTTGTTTAATTTCTGAACCCCAAGCAGGTAGTTACAGCACTCTTGCAAGTTTTAACCTGCAATTATGAAATATAGACACTTCCCCTTTTTTTTGTATTATGAAAGCTGACATTGTCAGTTTTGATATTTCAGTACAGAATCTGTTCGTGTGAAAAAAGCAAGTGGTCCCCAAATGCTCATGCCATAGTGGATTAGTTTGTCTCTAAGGTGCCACAAGAGCCTTCGTTGAAAAAGGAATTAAATACTGTTAGCCGTCTAGGGGATTATTTGAGGTGATGTGTTTCTCTTCTATAAGGATTGCATTAAGTGCTTATGTATTTTCCCACATGGAATTTTTTTATTTTTTATTATTTTTTCATTCTGCTTTGCCAACTTCTCTACCAATCCCAGTGCTGCAGTGGGGATTAGTGTATATGTGTGTGTGTGTGTGTGAGAGAGAGAGAGAGAGAGAGAGAGAGAGGTATGTACCTGTGTGTTGCATGTCTTATGTGTGTAGGTTCTGTATGTGTGAGGGTATGTGATACAGTCTGGCATAAGGATTTAGAAGCAATCACCAGCCCCTTGAATTAGGCCCAGAAGTTGATAAGCCGCCAGTGCAACTTCTGCAATGTTGGCTAAAGGTGCTTTCTTCTGACATTTGGCAGTTGCTCAGTGATTTATTGCACCTGCTGTGCTTCTGAATTGTCTTCAAGGGCAGCCCCGTATAAAGTGCACTGCAGTAGTATACCCTCAAGATGACCAAAGCAGAGATAATTATGATGAGATCCCCCTGCAAAATAAGTGGAGCTAATGCACTAGGTGAAACTTACCTTATAAGGGTTATTTCTGACCACCACCGCTATCTTACCTACAAGCAAAACACAAGGACAATGTGGAACTATCCACAATGAGTCTGTGCTCTGCTTTATAGAGACAAAGTTGTTTTTTGTCTTGATGATGGGAAAAAATGAGGAAGACGAATTTGTAAATGTTCAAATGAATGATTTTTTTCCCAATAGATTTTAGAGATGTGGAGATTGCAGTTCTGCAGGCAGCTGTTAGGGAGGAGCAGTTCACAAGAGAGAACTGCTCATTGCTCCGGGGTGTTTGATCTCCTCTTGTCAGCTGTGGTTTGACAGCCACAGGAAGCAAAGGCTGCTGTAGCTGAGGTGGCCTGGCAAGAATGAGTGATACTGGAGCTCTGTGTGTGTCTGTGTACATATGTCTGCACATGCATGCACAGACATGGAATAGGGTGTCTCACCCTGGGGTTCCTCTGGAGACTGGAACCTTAGCATGTGGCTTCTGTCTAGTTGCTTAAGAGCTTGTTCTTTGGTGCTGTCACATTTAGACTGGAGTTTGGGTGCTGTGAAACAATATAGAAATTTTCATTCCACTTCCGGTAGGGATAAGATAAAAAGGCCTAGTTGCATGCAGAAATGGCAGATCTTCTTCATGACAGTCTTACTAATATTCACACATTTCATAAAGCTCTGTAGCAGATCAGGCTTGGTGACTTACGGTAATTGTAGAAATGTATACTTTAACCTTTTGGGTAAGTAGTTTATACCATAAAGTACACACAAAGGAGCCTTTGGTGGTCCTGTGCCTTGTTTTCCAACTGAGCTTCTTAGTTTCCTCCCCACTTTTCAATGTGTGATGGATGTTCTTTACGGCCAAATCAGCCTTTAGAGTTTTCTCTTTTCATCTTGCTGGGTTTTTTTGTGTTGGGTGGGGTGAGGGAATGCCTAGTGGAGGAATGGCTTATCTTTTGGAGATTTTGGACTGTGGCCTGAGTTAATGTTGACCAAAATTGAATGCAGAGCAGGAAGTTCAGTGTAAAGATATTTTATTACGAAACTGAGAAAGACCAGTTATGATCATATTTTTATTTACAGCATTTTACCAAAACCAGTTTGCATGCCAGAGCTCATTAAGTCATGCTCTCCGGGGGGTCCAGGAGCACAATACCAGCAGAGTATTTAGTTAGCACCGTCCTAAGTGAGTATATTTGTAAACAGTAGCCAAGGTTATCCATAGCATTTATGCCACATGGGCAGGTTCTGCCTTGGCAAGGCATATGTTGGCATCTCCCAGTCCAGATGGCATCTCTAAGAATCTGAGCCATGCAAAACTGTCCCACTGGGTATGATTTGTATTTAACAAATGCAGCTCAGGTCTTCCCATGCTTCATATCCCAATATCTGATCACTGGCATCAGTACTTGTTAACATGGATAGATGGCTGATGTCAGTTCCATGAAACACAAGCAGATACTGTACCTACACTAGATCAAAAGGAAACTTCTAGAAATATGACTTGTTGACAAATGTGCATGTGCATATGATGGGCCTAAACGTTTGGAGAAGGTTTAAATAAATATATGTATTTAATCCTCCTACTGGCAGTAACTTTTCTGCATTGGGTTTGGGTTTCCCCTGCCTTAGCCAGCCTGAGGCATTTTCCTAGCCTCTTCAGTTGTTTCCAGAAAATGCAGACAGTGGGCATATGGAGTGTTTCAACAAAAATGCTGTTCTGCAGAACAGGGGCAGTCACACTAAAAGCCCTGCTCCGAGTTACTGTGGAGCAGGTTTCTAAGGGATCATTTCTTTCTTCCTCAGAGTTACCGAGACCCTCATTCTCCATGACAGCGTGGCAGCTGTCAAGTCCCCAAAGGCCTTGTCCACCAACCTATCTCAGCTTCTGCAGGTCAACCATTTTGGCCTTGGGAGAATGAACTTGGTTCCCTGAGGGCCAGGAACACATTGCACTAAGCACACCCCCACGACTTCTGTCCAGAAGGCAGACAGTTGCATTTATAGTATTCTGTACAATACACTGCATGCTGCGCCCCAGCTGGCTTTCTCTCTGCATATCTGTTTTTACAGGTTATTGAGTTAGTTTACTTTGGGAGCTTAGGATTTGTTGTGGGGAGAGTAGTCTTCCCTGTCCTCCTTGCTCTGCTGTTGAATTCACTCGGCTGCTTTGTCACTGGGGCTGAGATACCACATCTGGTGAGACTTCCCTCTTGCTCATCCAGTGGGCTTCTTCTCTGGGTGGTTCCAAATTTATAGTCCTGACTAGCTTCCCTCTAGGTTTTGATGACTCAAGCGGTATATAAATCCTGTTTTATAAATAGATGGCACCAGGTGATTGACATGTGGATGGCTTCCTCCACCTGTCAGTGTTGGCCGGTGGGCTCTTGAATCTAGGATCTGTAAAGTATGGGTGTCCCTCCTTTTGTGTTTTAAAGAGCCCTTGTGATTGTAACACCAACCCTACATTTTATAGGCAGTTGTTGAACAGCAATAGAAACTAATGGGGAGCCGTAGAGGTTCCCAGTGTTTCCTCAGGGGCCTTGATCACCCTTTCCAGCAGTAAACTTGTGTTCTTGTCATTTGGAAACGAAACAGCACTATCCAAAAACAATAGGAGCTTCCTCTACATATTCAGGGGACACTCTTGGTACACAGGGTTATATATTTTTTTAAAAAAATCACCTGTTTGTGTAATCCAGTAAGCTGCATAAACTTACTACTCCAAGTTGAGTCTTGGGAAGTGGGGGCATGCAGATAAAATGTGAGAGTCCTTTGAGAGTTATGATCGGCATGTAGGCAGTTACAGAAAAAACAACTGATATGGGGCTTCATACATGACATTTTAATGTGCTGCTTTGTGAACCTGATGGCTTGTAACAGGTTACTGTGTAGAATTACTAAAGCCATTTTTGAACACATGCCCAATATTACAAATGCCTGTTTTGCATGTTTCTATTTCAGCCGCGTCGTTTTGTGTACATTAGCACAGGATTCCAAGCCAGCTGCCCACATATTTCCTGTCAACTAACTGCTTTTTATGCTGGAAGAGTCACACATTGAAGGAAAAGGCCTTCTAGAATTCTAGAACGAGGAAATGTTGCAGCTGAGAACTTGTGTGAAATCCAAGCTTTCCTCAGTTGTGCCACAAGTAAACCAGGGCATTTTGTTGCTGATTTGAAGTGAGCATTCTGCTTTTTCTTGATTTGTACTGCTGACTTGTATTTTCCTTTGCTTTAAATTGGAGAGCATAGCTAAAAAGAGCTGTTATTTCCTATAGTTGTGGTCTCTCTGAAGTCCTGGAAAGAGCTGTGAGGGGCATTACTTGTGCTTTCTTGAGGAAATAGTATGTTTAGCAGTGACCGTAGTCCTGGCTTTTCAGTCTTCTGTTACCATCAGACATGCTGCTCTGAAGGTTGAGTAATGCCTTGGTTTTTATTCTTCCAGGCAGGTGCAGTGATTAACATTTTGCAGTGGTCTCCCTCAGAAGGCGATGGAGGGTTTTAAGGCAGAGGCTGGATGGCCATCTGTCATGTATGCTTTATTTGAGATTTCCTACATTGCAGGGGGTTGGACTGGATGATCCCTGGAATCCCTTCCAACTCTGCAGTTCTGTGAGTCTATAAATATATGACACTCAATTAGTCAAACTGTTAAACACTTGTGTTTCTATATAATATAGGTAGATAACTTGCTTCCACCTGGAAGCTGCATATATTTCTCCAGGAGGGTTTTTCCATTGTCATTTTATTTGTATGCCATCTTTCCATAATTAAAACCATGCTCAAGGCATCTTACAACATAACAAGATTTACATAATTACAAACGTAATAAAAATAGTCAGAATAAATAAAACACATCAAAAAGTACACAACTGAATTGAAACAATGTCCGCATAAATCATAAGAATAAAACTAAAGATACAACAATTAATATTAATTAATATCCTTAATTAATAACAAAAAACCAACAAAGCACCTTAAACAAACCACAGCCCAAGAGTCTCTTCAGCAGCCTCAGCTTTTGTAGCTGCAGAGCTTTGTCTTCCCAGGCCAAGTGAGAAAAGGCCAGCAAAGCAGGGAACAGGTCTTCCAGGACTTGCAAGACCCTCCAGAATGCTGTGATGCCATGTTGCCAAAAGCACTGAGGGTCCCCCAGGGTTTTGCGCTTTTTTTTTTTTTTTAAACTGACTGCTCCTATAGGTACTCTGTTGTGATACTGTGATGCCCAAAGGTTTTTGCAAGGGGCCCAAAGCCCCTCAAGAATTGCCACAGAAGATCTTGGCCTGTGGTCCCTGGAGGGTTTGACCATGGGTCACTGTGGTCCTTCACATAAGAAATGGTTAGCCACTGCTGATGCAAAATAACAGCAAGGAGTAAAAATATTTGACACGTAAGACAAAACACTAGGAAGGAAACACTAGGCTCAAAACTTCCATGCCTATGGTTTTCAATGGTTGGTTCCAGGTTTTCCCCTTCCCTTTGATGTTGGTTCATAACAAGGTTCAAAGAAGGCCTGTCATTAGTAACAAGTGGCAAGTCAAAACAGATTGAATGACATCCCATTCTGCCCCCCTTCCCAGGCCAAATAACAGGGGCAAATAGCAGCCCTAGCTTAGGGCAGGCTAAATCTTGTTTTGGTTGGGGTTGAAAGAGGGGCCTTGTGTTTGCTTTGCTTCTGGACAGTTGTTTTCCTATTTCTTCTTCAAAGTTGCTGTTTGCAAAAGCCCTACTTTTACTAAAGGTTCTCAATACTCCATGAGCTGGTTTAGTTTCCGTGCTAGTTTTGTGTGCGGAGATCGTAACAACAGGAAGCCTCTGTGATGCACTATTTTGTCACAACTGTTCCTCTCCACTTGGAGCCAATCCAGGCATTCCCAGGTCATTTTTTAGACTTTTGAATAGCACGGTACTGTCATATGTATACTTGTAGGGGTTTGCATATTACTAGCATGTTTTGCCTATGCGTTGTCTAAAAGCTTTCAAAGATACAGTCATCCTCCTAGACGTCTAAGATGGTACAGTCCTCTGTGCCTGTTTTTGTTTTAAAGAAAACAGACTGGCCTTGGCCAGGGCAAAAGATAACTGACTCAGCTTTTACAAAATCATTGCAGGATGTGGGGGTAGAAAGACTGGTAGCGGAAGAAGTGGAGCTGTCATGATGGATTGGTTTTATATTGCTGATAGAAATCCTGTTTGAATCAAGCTCCCCATTGGTATGTCACATTAATACAGAAAAATACATACTATTTGACCGGCCTAACCATGAAACATTGTTAATACAAATGTTGTTGGCCAGCCCTTTGTAGGGTAGCTTCCTATGAGCCTACATTTACAGTCCTGCTATCAAGGAATGTAACACTAAACCTTGGTGCGGGCCTTTTCTGCTGGTTAAGAGGTCTGAGGCAGGACGAGGAGCCTTGAAAGCAATAAGTGTGTTTCTCTCTCTTTACCTGTAAAAATATTGAACAAAGCCAGATACTTGAGTAACAGCTGTCCAGAACTTTAAAGAAGCAAGGGCTGATCATAAAGCTTCAAGCCCACTTTCCCTTTTATCAGAGGAGCTGAGGTTCCCACAAGGGACAGAACAGATGCACTTTTATGTTATTTGCTGTTGGAGTGTGATTTCTTGATGGGGAGTGAAAATTACTTAATTTCAAAACTTTAAATTCTTTCCCCCTTTCTCTTGGCCTTTTTAGGTTGGAAGGTAACCTGGCAAAGCACCAAGATGTCGCTTCACAACACGAGAGCCTCAGCTCTCCTTGCTTGGGTAAGATACCTCTTCTTTATTCTTTGTAACTGCTTAGGATGTGGCCACACCTTGTGCTCTGGTGCCTTCTTTTCCCTCTGCGCTAATTGTGCTCTGTTATCCTTGTCCAAAGTGCTTTGTGTAGCTGACAGTTCCCTTTGCGACACTGCGTTTTTGATCCAGCAGATCTTCCCTGTGAGAAACAAGTTACTGGGATGTAAAACATCTTACTTTAGGAAAGGCAAAACTGGCAGTAAAAACAGGGCAGTTGTAGCAAGAGAACCAGCTGTGTTTCAATGACAAAACGGGCAATGAGATGTCTGTAACTCAATTGTAGGGCATCTTTCTTTTCTTTTCTTTTTCTTTTTTTGGTACACAGAAGGTTCTGGGTTCAGTTCCCAGAGTCTCCAGGTAGGGTTGAGGGAGACCTCTGCCTGAAGCCCTGGAGAGTGTTTAGTGTGCCAATGTGATTCAAGACCTGATTGTAAGAATTGAAGCAGTGTAAATTTTAAGTTGTCAGTTAACATGGTTTATTAGCCACATATGCTCCATTATTTAGAAAATGTGCATAGAAGTATGCATGGGGAACTAGATTTAAGTCAGCTTCTCCCCCCCCCCCCCCCTGATGTATGTAATGGCTTTAAATCAATGGCACCCTGAGGAAGCATGTCATGGGGGGGGGGAGTTTCTTTCCTTAGATGCTCTGTAAAGCTTTCAGATATGCTTGGTTCAGATAAGTGTTGAGACCTTGGATTTAATCCAAAGCTTCTGGAATTTGTTGCTTTTTATCAGGAAAGGGGTGGAGATGAGGAGTTTGACCTCTTTTTGAATGCCTAGAAAGCTCCTGGCGCTTCCTGGATGTTATGTTGCTCCCACTCCCTCAGACTCCTTAAAGATATTGATGAGATTTACGCATGTTTGGAAAAGGCCATGGTTAATGTGAGAGCTGTTAAAATTAAGTCTACCGTAACCAGGAAAAATTTTCAGGTACCCCCAGGCAGTCATGAAGAATGAGGGTTCATTGGAGCAATGTTGTTCAGTGGTTCCCATATAGAACTGTTTGTATTAGTTCCTACGTGGGGTTAAGGCACCAAGGCAGGGCGCGTAAGAAAATCCCTGCTGAAACGATATAAATGTCTATCTGGTCCATCACTGTGAGCATCCAGAGCCCTCTGAGACTCTCACAAGCAGGACATGAGAGTACCATCCTTCTCCCACTGGTAACTGAGGCCTGCTGTCTCCTCTGGAGGTAGCATCTGGCCACTGGGACTTGTAGACTAAAATCCATGTAGAGTTGTATCAAGCAGGAGGCAAGGAAAGGAAATAATTTGTACTTCTTCTGCACCCTATTCCAAAGCCTCATGATCAGTTGTGATGTACCCGTTAAGTTTTTTGCTTTATGGCAGATGGCTAGGGCATGTTCCTGTTGATGTGCTGAAGGCTATTATCTATCACTCATCTTTATGTCTGATCTGAGATCCTTCCATCTCCAAGTGCAAGGTGTATGCAGTGCATTGCTAAGTGCTTGTATGTTTTCCACCAAGCTTATGTGTGGGTAAGCTCCAATTGGTACATCACCACAAGTTTCAGAATTGATACACTGACTGAGCTGTAAGATGCTGACCTTATTCCTTAACTTGCCAGCAAGTGGATTTCTAGCCTGTGATTTGATTCATCTTCTCTTCTTCAGGTGAACAGTCTGAAGCTGGATGATACCCTGAATTCATTGTCTCAGCTCCAAGACTGCAGCATCTTCATCAAGATAATCAACAAAATGTAAGAGGCACCGAGGACACCTTCCTTTTTCCTTGCTATACTGTGAAGTCAATGTGCATTGCAATGTTGTTGTTTTTTAAGTCTTGTAGGGACAGAGGCTGAATGCTACAGCCATTGAAGAGCAGTAGCAAATAATGTACAAAAAGTGATCAGTATAACTGCTAGTCATGAAGATGATCAAGCTTTGAAGAGCCCTGCAGGCGCATCTCCTGGTCCTTGAAAACCTTTTAGTTAGTTCCCATCCCTGGGTCCTCTAGTGCTTTTACCTCTATACTGTAGGCCACTCTTTGCAGTAGCAAGTGCTTGGAAACCAGCTGCTTTAATAATGCACCCCCCTCCGAATGCTAATACAGAATTAAGTACTTGTGTGAATTCTCAATTCCCCATAGCCCTGACAATGAGCTTCCTCCCTTCCAGTGTTGTTCAAGTGCCTAGGTGAAATCTGTAGCACTTTCAGAGTCTTAGGAATAACCATAGTGGAACTCAGATGTTTTAAGGAATTGTAGCCTGTTTGCTGTTGATTACATTCTTTGTCTCTTAATTGGATTCTGAATTAAATGCAGAACATATTCTGATATAGTGGTTTTTTTTATTTGATGAAAGTTATTTTTGTACTTTACATCCTAAGCTGCGATAGCCTCTCTTGATGCAGCTTGGCTATTGTTACCTGTCCTACTGGACAGTTGGAGGTGCATTTAAGAAATGACTCCCAGTTGTGTAGGAGGAGGTAGTGAAGAGGACTTCCTTCGGAGCCTGCATTTACTCAAAGCCTACTTAATCCCATTCCATCTGGTTTTGAACTCTGATAAACAAATCCATGAAACAAGCTGCCATGTTAGGCACTTTGCCTGTGCTGTAAGAACTTTGGGGTTTTTGTAAAGGTTTGGGGAGGATGAGGAGACTCGGTTCAAAAACTGCAAATGATCTGCACCTCAGTTTATGAAGTACTGTGTAAAAGGGGTGTCAGGTTTTCTTCTAAGTCTCCTGCTGGATTTCAGGAATTAGTGGTGTCCCTCCATTGCAGTTCTGTAGATACTTAATTTTCATCTTCTCTTGGTAATTGTTCTAGGAGCATATTGGAGGTGTGCAGGCAGCCTCATAATTTCTCCTGAAATGCTTGAAAGCCCAAAGCACCCTGAAATGCAGCTCATAATGCCCAGATACCATCTTATTATCTGTCTGGTGTTTTCATAATGCTAAGATGCTTAAATTACTTTTCTACAAATGTACCCGAAGCAACATATAAAAATAAATGCTAACTACTAGAATGTTGCAGGCAACCAAACAATCACAAAACAAACAGCAGACAAAAGCCAGAACTCTAAAACAGGAGGGTACCATTAAAAGTATTGTTAAATTTTGTTTTAAAAGTGTTACTCTGATATCCAAGTACTGATAAGAAGGTGCTGAACAATTTTGTTGGTGTTCCAAAAATGAGGTGCCATCATACTCTCCCCACCAGGCCATGTAAGGTCTTGAAAGTTAGTCACATGTGGGTGAAGGTGACCCTCAATGTACTCTGTCCCAAGGTGTTCGCCACCCTGGATTCCTTTGGGAGGAAGGGCGGGATATGAATTGAATCATAATAAATTTGCTGTTCTTTACCTACCTGGTTCAAGCACCTTGCAGTGAAGCAAATCCCTTCCTTGAATTTTTAGAGCTAACATTTTAATTCTTGGCAGTTTGCTGTGTCAGACTCTGAAGCTGTTTGGGTTCTGCTGAGCAGCCTGAGCTCAGAGTAGATGAGTGTGGGTGCTTGGCTGAAAAAAAGCCACTGATCAAACGTCCTAAAATTGTGAAGCGTGGAACTAGGATAGCTCACAAGTTGGTAGAGCGTGAGCCTCTTGATCACAGGGTCGTGGGTTCGAGACCCACGTTGAGCAAAGGATTCCTGCATTGCAGAGGGTTGGACTAGATGACCCTTGCGGTCCTTTCCCAACTCTGCAACTCCATGGTTCTCAGATACTTGTTTCAGGCAGCATAGTACAGGGGTTGTTCCAGGCCTGACTCTTAGTGTCGCAAACTTGAGAAGCAGCACAATTGGCTCCCCCTCGTGGCTCTTTTGGGTGCATCACTGTGCAGTCTCTAGTGGGCGTTGCTCACAATGTAAACAAGGAAGTAAACAGACTCTAATCGTTAGTTATTAAGTCTGGGGAGTTCTGCCTTTGGATGTAAAGGATAAGTGGAGGACACCAGGGATAGCTGTTGTCTTTCTGAGGGTTCATTTTGTGTTCTGGTCTGTGTTAGTCTTGCAGTCTGATCATCAAGTCTTTTCCCCACCCACCGTTCCCAGTATGAACCCAGTCAGATGCTCCCATAGTTTCTGGTCATACAGAGATACCAATGACATTGATAAGCAGCTGGCAATTGTGGTGTTTCCCACTGCTGCCTTTTCAAGAACAATCAGATCAGCTTTCCCCAACCTGGTGCCCTCCGGATGTTTTGGACTACAACTGCTATCAGGCCCAGCACCATATGGCCATGATCATTGGGACTCATGGGAGTTGTAGTCCAAATCAACAGGAGATCATGGGGAGGGCTTGATTGGACAGCTTTAGGGACTGATACATCATTTAATCTTCTATGTTCATAGGAAGTCTATTTCAGATTGCTTTATTGTATGAATGCCCTTTATGAAGCAAGCAAAAAAAATCCTTTGCTTTGTCTTTTAGCTAGATCTCCTGCTTCATTAATGGCGTAATAGCTTTAAAATGCTTACTCTTTTTCACTTAATGACACTTCTCCCTGCCCACAAATACACCAGCCTGCTTTGAATTGGAACTAGTTGTACCCAGACTACTTCCCTGTCCAGTTTCGCAAGGGAAACGGCTACCGTTTTACCATGTTACATAGCTTCAGGCTTCAAAGAGGTCCATTCTAGGTGCCACAGTAAACAGGCTGGACTGTAGATGTGAACTCTTCCTCATTTGTTTCCGATTCTCGTCATCCCTCTGGTCAAATAGTTCATCAGGAATGACTCTGTCTCTCTGTTGAAGTGCTTGCTTTGTTCTCTTCCAGTCATGGCTCTGAAGAGGGACGGGACCCTTTGCAGCAGAGTTTGCCAGACCGGGTTGCCTATGTCGTCGGCTTTCTCAAGAGTAAGAGATCCTGCCACTTGGTGCATCTTGGCTCTTTCTGAATTTAGATAATCTGTTGTCTGCACATCAGCCTGAGCCTCCATCTGCCACACTCTCCAATGTGGAGGAAGCTGGCAAGCAAAGCTGTTGTTAATGCAGAAACTTCTTAACAGTCTCCCCTGTTCCTAGAAGATAGATAGAGTTGGCACTTCTCCATACTGCACTACTTTTTCCCACTCATACAGTTAAAAATTACAAGAGTATGTGAGCCTGTGTGCAGCTCCCACAATGATTTTGTGAAGACTGGACATTGGAAGAAAGTAGCCAGCAGGTCTCTCTTCCCATGTAAGGGCCAGGGGAGGGGAGGGGAATCAGCATGGCAAGACTTGCTAGGCTTAAGTTTCCCTTCTGCCTGCTGGTCCCCCTTGTGCAGGAGAGAAGAGAGAAAACTCAGCCAGAGACATTTAGCTGCCCAGAGGTGATTCTTACTTGCCTTGGGTCCACTTGGTGAAAGGCTATTTCAAGCCTGATCTCAGGTTCAGTCCAAAGGTGCTCATGGCAAGCTGCCACAGCTAAAGGAGAGGAAGCCATTGGAACGCCTCTGCTGCTTCTGAGCAGTAAATGCCCCAGAGCAGCTAAAAAGATGACATGTACATAGATGTAAAGCAATCTAAGCTTTAGAGCTGAAATGGACAAAAATGTAGTGGCTACACTCCTCATTTTTGAAGCCGAAAACCTTCCTAGATCTTTTTGATAAACCACCCCTGCACTCTCAGTTTGGCAGCCTTCCACCTGAGGGTGGGGTGCGGGTGTGGGATTGTTTTGGGTTCCATAGCTAGCCTAGACCTTTTCCTTGGGGTTGGTGCTGTGATTGAATTCAAAGACGCCTTTTTAAAATTCACATTCCTCTTCCAGAACGCTGCAAGCACAAATCCACAGCACAGAACTTGGTATCTGAGGAGAAGCTTCTAGCAGCGGAGGAGTTGGAGCTAGCCAAGGTATGCACACACCTGCTGCTCTCTTTATATAGGGGCTCAGGCTGGCATTGTGGGAGATGGTTGTTAGCAGCGTCAAGAGGACATGCTGGAATGAGATTCTTAACGTGCCCCAGAGGGTGAGAGGGTGGTGCTCAAACAGGGCTCAATAAGCTAAAATGCATTAGAAAATATATGTTTTAAGGTCATCGGCAGAAGGAAACACATTGCAGCTTATAAAAGGGGTGAGTGTAATGGTATGAAGGAGCAATCAACAGTACATTGTACATGAATAAATATTGGGAAAGGGAAAAATAAGGAACAATGTTATGCAGATGATGATTATACGGAAAGCAAGATAGAATATGAATATGTGACTTTGCTATTAAACTTTGAAAACCAATATGCAAGATTAAAGTTAACCATTGGTGGGTCATATGCTGCCTTCCCCCACAAACTCCACCAGCCCTCTAGATTTCCATCATGAGCTAGTCTCTTGACCAAAGTTTTATTCCACTCCACAGCTGTCCTAGATCACCTTCACTATGCATGCAGATGTGCCCTCACAGTGTAGTTCATTAACACAAGTCATTGTTTTAAACACATACAATGGTGGCCTGATAAGTGGGAGGAGCTATTTCCAAATAATAGAAAATCACGCACCAGTGGTGGAAAGATAGCAACCAATCCTGGATCGACATCCAGCTTATTTTAAAAAGGTTCTAAGGACATCTGTAGAAAGCTCTATACACGACATCAGAGTTCATATCTTTGCATCTTCTGACGGGCAAAATGCACAGTCTTGCGCTCCCTTTGTATGTGGCATGTGATGTTACATCACTCTGTCTCTGCTGTTCTTCAGGTGGTCATGCTGCTGTTTTACTATGCTTCCATGAGTGATAAGATTCCCAGAGAATGGACCACGGTTGAGTATGATCTCCAGGTAACTCAAACATTCTGCCTCCAGCTATAGATGCCTTATCAGCTAAGTGACCTTTTGGAGCCTGCTAGGGATGGAAGAACTGTCTGTGGTGATGGTTTTGGGGTGGCTCACATTCCACAAAGGATAGTCCAAGCTAAAGCTGCAGAGGGGAAAGCTTGCTTAAAGGGCAGGATACCTTCCTCTGGCTTTACATGTGACCAGAAGTTCCTTTGGCTGGGAACCACAAGTAGGGAGGGCTGCACATTTCCTCCAGTGGGGGCAACTGGTTGGCCACTGTGGGAAGAGCCGTGTGCTGAACTAGAGGAGCCATTTGCCTCATCCAGCAACAAAGGCTGCTCTTATGTTCACAGTTGCTCATGCTGCCCTGTCTCTTCCTCCTCCTCCTCCCTGTTCCCTTAGGCGGAGATGGCTAAGTCGCTGAACTTCATGTTGTACAATGAAGATTGCCTCGGTGAGAATCTGGAGACCTTCCTTCAAAAGAAAAGTAAGTGCCGGGTGAGCATGGGGGACTGAAATACCTTCAGGGGCACGAGGCTGCCATGCTGACTTCAGTGGCTCAACCCAGATCGGGCCACACAGTTTGATCTCATGGCTGCCCCACTGCAGGTTTGTTAGAACAGCAGTGAGCAGCGGGAGGGGGGCAGCGGTTCCTATACAGCGAGTCTAAAGAGGATAAAGACTGAGTCACTAGTTGGGGGTGGCGTTTTTTGGTGAGCTGTCTGTTGAGATGCAAGTGTTCTTGGTGAGGTTAAGGCATTGGTTCAAAAGCTTCTGTCTGGCTTTTCCACAGGTTCTTTCAAAGCAAGCAGAAGCCAGGTGTAGGCATTAGCATGGCAGAATTTACAGAGGGTGGGGAGAGTCAAAGGGAACGATGCTGGCTGAGCTCTTGCAAATTGGTCGGAGTGAGCAGGAGCTTTAACGGCTGGAAATACTGCATTGATACAGAATACTGCTGTCCAGAGCTGAGTTACAGCCCTTATGTGGCGGCTTCTGAAAAACACTTCCCTGTGGAGGTATTCTGTCTGGCAGACAAAGCCTCTTCTTGCTTCTGGCCCATTGGCATGCAGCATCTCCACGCCAGTGATGCACATCTCCAGCCTCAATCAAGTTGTGTATCTGCATGCAAATGAGTCAGAAGAAGATTTTATGCCTTGTAAACTTTCCATGTTGGATACAGAGTAAACATCATTGTGCAGCCTTTGTATGGGGCCCCTAAACTGCAGAGAATCCTGGAAAGTGGGTTTCTCCTTGTCCTCACAAGACATTTTGATTGTGTGTTGTGTTTGCCTTTAGATTGGCTGGCTGTTACTGTCAATGAAAAGCCCTTTATGCCTTGGGAACATACTATCTCCCATTTGGTATTCCTGATTCTATAAGCCACTCATAGCCCCTCTTGCTTGCTTTTTTCTTCCTCCGCTAAAAAAAACCACCTGAAACATTTTCTTCATAAGCTGGTTGATCTGTCCACTTAATAAACCGAATTGTTCATTCCTTGAACTTCTTCAGCTGACCCAAACAGGGTGGATGGGGAGTGAATGGACCCTGGGCTTAAGGTTTTGCTTATTTTGCTTCTTTCTTTGCTGCTGCCAAGCTGGCTCTGACATCCTGCACACCCCTCCCTCTTCCTCTAGTGCCACAATCATCCAGTATCTCCAGCACCAGCTCGGAGGAGACCACCCCACCAAGGCGAGAGGTACACTTCTTGAAGCTGCAGAAGGTCGCCTCTTCATCCGGCTTGAATAAGTAAGTTATTGACGAGTTGCTTCCCAGGATTCGTGGTTGTGATTCCAGCAGTCTGATGTCACACAGGCAGATGGAAACCCTCCTTTCAGGGCACTTGCAGGATTTGATATGGCCCCTGCCTGGGGAAACCAAATTCTGTTCCAAGGAGACACCAGATCTCTGCTTTTGATTTAACTAAGTAACTTGAGGCTTTTTCCTCAGCTTGTGAAGGTGGAATCTGTTTTGTTTTTTTTTGTAGAATTCCGAGTTGCCTTTGGAAGCGTGGAATTCGTGGTTTGCACAGAAACTGGCAGGGATAGAATAAAGAGGTGGTGAAGAGATAAGGAGTTGTATAGGCAGTGAAGCCCCATACCTTAATTATTAACAGTTATTATTATTATTGCATTATCGCCTGCCCTTCACCAGCAGATTCTAGGTGGGTTATAACAATATAAGACACAGAATTGAAAACAGTTGAAGGAAATTCAGTCGCAGGAATAGGCCGGGTTGTGAAAACATGTTGTACCTCTGGTGTCAAAGGCTGGAGTAAAGAGGCTTCCTGGGGTAGCCAGGTGAGGCCTGGGAACAGAGTTCTTCCTCCACCACAGCACCCCCATGCGGCCAAACTGTGTGTCTGCTCAAAACAGAATTGGTGAATCCCATTGTGGGTGCAGGTGGGCTAAGAGACCTTAAATGTCAGTTTGGAAAGCGTATGTGTGCCTGCTCAATTTATGTTTCCAGTGATATGCCCAAGGAAGGAGTTTACATTTAAGCCAACTTTATGGAAACTTCTAAAAATAGAAGGTAATAACATAAAAATGTATGTGAATGACAATATATCAAATATCATCTAGATTACAGAGTCAGCTGAGTAGCTGTAAGACTTCACAAGACCTTGGGTCTCTATGGTTCCTTAGATCACTTAATAACATGTTCATTAGATCTAGGTTCCCCCACTCCCACACAGTGTTTTTCTGGTGAACAGTTTGAAGGGAAACTCAGGAAAATACAGTGCATTCCCCTGAGACAGTTCTCTTTTAAGCAGCTCTCACTCCAGCCCTTTAAATAGTTCCAAGTAAAATTTTTTAAAGCAATGTTATTAGGTTCTGTTTGAGTGTCTGCTTCAGGAGAAGGGACCATAGCTCCATGGTAGAGGGCCTGCTTTGCATTGAGGAAGCGCCAGGATTAATCCCCACGGGCACCTCCAGATGAGACCTCTGCCTGAAATCCTGGAGAGCCACTGCCAGTCAGTGTAGGCTGTACTGATCTGGATGGACCAGGGTTTGACTCAGGAACACAGGAAGTTGCCTCACACTGTTTGCCAAGTGGGGCCAGAAGAATTCTGGAAGCCTGATTGGGAGCGAGTTCTGCCGTCAGCCGTAATGGAAGGTGGTGCATGTCGTAGAGCCTGAGCTGCGTCCACTTCTTGGCACTCTCTTTGTGATCTCACAGAGGGGCTTGTTCAGCTGGGCTCTCATTGCTGTCTGCAGTTGGAACTGCACTGACGTTGGCCGTGCTCTCATTGGCTGAGTGGCATGGGATAAGTCGGGATTTGAACTCTGCTTCAACCTCTTTGCAGCTTTCATGGTGGTATCCCTGGCTCTCCATTGCTAGTATTTGCTGAACTTGAGCAGAGAGGAGCTAGGAACAGCATTGTCTTACTCTAGACCCTCTTCCCTGTTACAATTGCAGGGATGGCTTTCTAAGACCATATTAACTTGAGCCCTGTAGCCTGAGTGAGGTTAGCACAGCATGCTAGGGGACATTGCAAAACACATCTCTTCGTGTGTCAGCTAGATAAATAGGATGGCTGGGCCATGTTTCTTGGCACAATGTGGAATTTTTAATAGCGCTTGTAGAATCTGAATGGTTAACCATTTATACTTGTTTCCTTTTGCTCAGCAAGAGTTTTGTGCAAGCGTCTTTCACATGTAAAAAATAAAAATTCAAATGCAGATGGCTGGTACTTCTTTGCAGGTTGCTCCCCGGCTCCTCTGCCTCTCCTATGGGTGACATCATGCATTCACCCCAGTTTCAGATAAGGAAGCTGAAGAAGCTGCTGGAAGACGAGAGAGAAAATCGAGATGAGCTGGAACACGAGCTGGCAGAGAGCCGAAAACTCGTTGATGAGAAAGGTGAGGGGGTCAGCCACTGGAGTGGAGTGGTTCCTGCCAGGGTGCTGAGACAAGCAGAGCCCTTTTCTCAAGCACTTTTTGTGGGAAGAAGCAATGAAAGTGCTCCTGAACCTCTCAGTTGCAGGAAAAGAGGGTGGTAGCAGTGAACCATCAAGGAATGGGTGTGACGGCAAAAGCAATGCTAGCGGTTCCTTGGAGACTGTAGGTGTGGGTTTTTTCCTGCTGTTTTAACTGATGTTGTATGGCTGCTGCCCTGGGCTCCTAGAGGGAGCTTGGGACAAAAAAACATTATTAATAATTGTTGCACGCCACCCCAATCTCAGCGGGCAAGATTCCAGTGGTTCCAGGTCCGCTTACCCAGGGTTCGTGTTTCCTTTTGGAAATGAGGCACGGCTCAGACTGTGGTGTCTTTAGGATATATGGTTTGTTTACACATATATACAACCTGAACCTGCGATGGAGGGACTCAGAGCATTAGCTCCTCAAAGAAGAAGAAGAAGAAGAGTTTGGATTTGATATCCCGCCTTTCACTCCCTTTAAGGAGTCTCAAAGCGGCTCACATTCTCCTTTCCCTTCCTCCCCCACAACAAACACTCTGTGAGGTGAGTGGGGCTGAGAGACTTCAGAGAAGTGTGACTGGCCCAAGGTCACCCAGCAGCTGCATGTGGAGGAGCGGAGACGAGAACCTGGTTCCCCAGATTACAAGACTGCCGCTCTTAACCACTACACCACACTGGCTCTCAGGGCCTTGTTTGCATAGCTGCAGCCTTGAATTCAAACAAATTCACCACTGTGCGCTGACCCTCTCTCCAGCTTGCTGCCTTTGCCAGCCTGCAACCATTTTTCATCGCTAGGTCACATTGCAGCCAACCCTAAAGACTCCACTTTAAACTCTCCCTCTGTCTTCTAACCAACTCTCTCATTTGCTATTGGCCCAGAGCCCCCTCCTTCTTTGGTTTTCCTAATGGCTCATTACCTTCCCAGTGTTCTCTAAATGGCTCATCTCCCAAGCGTTTACCTCAGGCATAGGCAAACTCTGGCCCTCCAGATGTTTGGGACTACAATTCCCATCATCCCTAGCTAACAGGACCAGTGGTCAGGGATGATGGGAATTGTAGTCCCAAACATCTGGAGGGCTGGAGTTTACCTATGCCTGGCCTACCTCATCAGGAAACTGGCCTGGCTTCTATTTTAACATTTGCCTTGATTAAATCCCAACCCCTACTGAACCCAGGAGTTTTAGAGGAGTCTGGTACCCACAAGTGCATAACATAATAATCTAACTAGGAGGAATATGATCTAGATAAGAACTAGATGATGTGTTAGGATCCTAATGGAACTTTCCATGGACTAGAACGTAAAATCCTGCTCCTAATTGTGGTCAGCCGTAGATCCATCTGGCAAACCACTTTACTGGCCCCACCAGCTCTCCTTTCTGTTAAAGAGGGCACATGCCAGACGCAAACACCCTCACTCTCCTCCCTCCAAATTCTGCAGTCAGATTAAATTTCTGCAAAGTGAGCAAGTTGCCTAATCCTGCGTTCAGATGCCATTGTTATTTGTCTTTGTTCCCTGTGCTGCTCTGTCTATTGTGCAACCTCTGCTAGGAGGCAGAGCAACACACAACCCGTCCAGAGTCGCTTTGTCTGGATGGAGAGGAGCCTAGTTGCTGTACAGGGGGAAGCCACCATGTGCCTTTTAGTTTCTGAATAATCAGTGCCCTCTCTTCTCCCCTCCTGCTTCAGAAACGCGGATCCTGATGATGAAGCAGCGGATCGACCGCCTGACCCTCCTACATGAGAAGCAAGCAGCGGATCAGCTGGAATCCAAGGAAATGGAGGAACTCAGAGAAAAAAACGAGAGGTACTTCCTCCCTCGGGCTGGAATGTCCCACTAGGGCAGCCCCTCTGGTTTCCTTCATTTTGTGTCTTGCTCACTGCTTTGAAGACTTAAGTCGAAAAGTGGGATAGAAACCTACTAAATAATACTGATTTGCTCTGTTGGACTTTCCTGGCTCAGATTTGGGGTGCTGGGTTGTTTTGAAGAAGACTTTGCCGGGTAAGAAAATAGTGCTGGCCTCTGGCTTTACCTGCTGGTCAAAGGTGGTGAGGACACCTTGGGAACTAGGCAGTTCCCACCGTGCACGTCAGTTGTTCCTACCTTTAATCGAAGCAGCCAGGGTCTCTCCTTAGCTCCTGCCCTTTTCATTATCCTTATTTGTCTTATTATCTTACTTGTTTTTACTGCCCTTCACTATCTTTTGTGTGCTGTTTCGGCCTTTAGTGCCTTCCTTGCCATGACTTTGCCTTAAAAGGCTCCAACCAATTTGCTCTCCACCCTCCTAGCATTTTTGCTTATCTTGTCTACCCTCCACCTTGTCCTTTCTATCAGCTATGAAGCTCACCCACTAACCCAGGGCCAGTCGCTGTCTCTGAGAGCAGTACACGTGAAAAGGATCTAGGAGTCTTGGTTGACCACAAACTTGACATGAGCCAACAGTGTGACGCGGCGGCTAAAAAAGCCAATGCAATTCTGGGCTGCATCAATAGGAGTATAGCATCTAGATCAAGGGAAGTAATAGTGCCACTGTATTCTGCTCTGGTCAGACCTCACCTGGAGTACTGTGTCCAGTTCTGGGCACCACAGTTCAAGAAGGACACTGACAAACTGGAACGTGTCCAGAGGAGGGCAACCAAAATGGTCCAAGGCCTGGAAACGATGCCTTATGAGGAACGGCTAAGGGAGCTGGGCATGTTTAGCCTGGAGAAGAGGAGGTTAAGGGGTGATATGATAGCCATGTTCAAATATATAAAAGGATGTCACATAGAGGAGGGAGAAAGGTTGTTTTCTGCTGCTCCAGAGAAGCGGACACGGAGCAATGGATCCAAACTACAAGAAAGAAGATTCCACCTAAACATTAGGAAGAACTTCCTGACAGTAAGAGCTGTTGGACAGTGGAATTTGCTGCCAAGGAGTGTGGTGGAGTCTCCTTCTTTGGAGGTCTTTAAGCAGAGGCTTGACAACCATATGTCAGGAGTGCTCTGATGGTGTTTCCTGCTTGGCAGGGGGTTGGACTCGATGGCCCTTGTGGTCTCTTCCAACTCCATGATTCTATGACTTAACCTGCTTCGTAGCGTTATTGTCAAGAAAATGCAAAGGATCCATGTGCATTTGCTCTAGCCCAGCTCCTTGAAAGAAAGGAGAGGGAGGAAATGCTGTCAGTGCTCTAGGGACTGTGCCACTGCTGTGGTGTTATAGTATCTGGCACATGGGTGCCATTTAAGAAACAGCTGAGAGTCATTTGCAAATCTGTTCCCTAGGCACACCTGGCTTATGATTGCCTTCATCTGCTTGGAGTTGATTCTTCTTTAAAACAGCTGAGAATTATTCTCTTCCTCCTTCAGACTTGTTTGTAGCTGACATTCAGTGGGGAGAGAGGAGGAAGGCATGTCTTCTTTCCCCTCATTTACTCTCCCCTCTCTCAAGCTCCTGATCATTCACTTGGAAAGGGGAAGATGTGGAATCTTGGTCCCTGTTATATCCTAGGAATCCATGGAAAGCAGGAGCTGATGTGCTCAGTCTAGGGCAGGCTTTCCCAAACTTGGGTCTCTGGCTGTTTTTGGACTACAATCCTCATCATCCCTGACCACTGGTTCTGTTAGCTAGGGTTGATGGGAGTTGTAGTCCAGCAAAAGCTGGAGACCCAAGTTTGGGAAACCCTGGACTAGGATTTGTTGGCCCTCTGTTGTTGCTTTAACTAAACCCCCTTTTCAGAAGTTGACTTGGGCCCTGACTGAGGGATTCTGGTTTGTCAGCCCCAAAGAGCCTTGCGCGTGGCATCTTTCAAAGTCTACTGTATTGGACTTTGGATTTCATAGTACTTAAAGGGAGCTGAGCTGTTCTAAGCATGGAGCTCCCTCAAGAAGTTATAGCAGCAGCAACCCTTAAAAGCTGTGGAGCAAGGCAGGCAACCAGGCTTTCTTTCAACCCAAAGAGCTCTCGGCCTTGTAGTGGAGGCTCAAGCCCCGCCTGTGTGTTACCTGCTTCCTACGATCATAGAATCTGCATTGCAGGAATCTCAGCTGAGGCATCCATGACAGATGACCATCCAGCCTCTGCTTAAAAACCTCCAAGGAAGGAGGTGATCCGCCCCCTGTGTTGGGAGAGGTTCCCTGAGCTGCTGCCCTGCTCTTGGCTCCAGAGCCCAGGCCAAGGGAGGGAGCCACTCTTGCCCTCAAGTAGCGCTCTTGCTTCTTGTCATGCCTGCCTCTCTCTCTTTCTCCCTCAGCCTCCTCATGCGCCTACATGAGACACTGAAGCAGTGCCAAGACCTGAAAACTGAAAAAGGCCAGATGGACCGGAAAATCAACCAGCTCTCAGAAGAGAATGGGGATCTTGCTTTCAGGGTACGTGAGCACCTGTTTTCTGTTGCTGCAGCAGCCTGGTAGTCTCCAAATGTGGGGTTGGGGGTGGGGAGAAGCACACTTATACTGGACCTGCAGGCTTCCGTTTTGGAAAGGAACTAAGCGAGGTTGAGGTATTGCCTCTGCCTGAAACTCGGGTGACCCTTGATTCCTTTTCTGCACCTTGAGATCCTGGAAAGGGTTCGTTGAGTTTTGGTCTTGGAGCAGAAAGGCATTGAGGTGGCACCCTGGAGAAATGTGCCCCGTTCTCAGTTCATGTGTCGTAAGACCACAGGGAATCTTGAACTCAAGCGGTTATTTCATTTATTTATTAAAAATATTTCTATCCTGCCCTTCATCTATACAAATAGCAAGAAACAGTACATGAAACAAACCATATAATAATTACAAAACACAGCATCAGAATAAAAAGAGGCAAGTAAAAACTACAGCAGCAGAGCGGGTTACACAAGTCCCCATGTGAAGGCCTTAGAGGAACTTGTGGTTCCCTTACACAGAGTCAGGCCACTGGTCCATCTTGTCTGCTCTGACTGGCCGTGGTTCCCTGGGACCCTCAGGCAGACAGAGAGATCTCTTCCCCATTACCTGAGACCCTCTTAACTATAGATTAGACCTGCAACATGCTGGATGTAAAGGATGGACTCCAACCTGAGCTATGAGGTCCCTTTCATAAAACCTCGGTCCCCCAATTCAGTGCCCCTTAGCAATGCTTATGCTTGTCTTTGAATTGAACACAGGGACCTCAGAGGAATCCCAACAAGCCAACTGAGCTATAACCACCTGTATTCCACCAGGAGTGTTAATACTGTTAGCAGACCTTACAGCTTGGGTAAATTAGATTGGAATAATAACTTAGTTTCTGGAGTTCAGAGGCTTTATTGATGCAGGAACTATTAATAGGATTAGTGGATCTGCGAGAGATGAAATTTTGCATCCTGTCTCAACAAGCTGGGAGAAAACAGCAACAAAATTGGTCAGCCTTTAAGGGGTGGAGTTAGCCTATAGAGACTTGCAAGCAAGTGCAGACTAGGTTGCTAGACAGTGTCCTCCTGTGGTTTAAAGTAACACATGAATTGTCTTAGAAGTTCATTGAGAAGGAAATGTTATTTGCTTGTCTCCAACAAATGCCAGCCACGTTTTGCTGCTGCCTTCTTCATGTTTCATTACACACTTGCAGTAGAGGGTTTGTTCTGCACAGTCTGCCACAATTTCAGGGCAGGGGAGTTTGTACCAATGCTAAAGACAAAGGCAGCAAGTGTCAAATAAATCCTTTCCCTGTTTTTGCAACACAGCTGCGGGAATTTGCTCACGTTCACACGGAGCTTCAGGAAGCCATGAATGAGCTCTCGGAAGAGCACAACACAGCTCTAAGGGAATGGGAGGAGCAGAGGAGCCGCCTGGAGAGGGAGCTGAGCAGTGCCCTCAGTGAGAAGGTCAGTGGGCAGGAAGAGACACCCCCCTTCCACCCCCAGGGGGTAAGGCCAGGAGGTCTGTTCTCCTCGTCCATATGGTCATCACCGTCATTGATTTTCTGCAGTAAATGATGCTTCAGCCTGCTAACAAATACATAATTTCACTAAGCTACAAAATACAGGATTTTTTAAAGAAGTTAATGAAAATGTCTCATTAACAAATAATCAGATTAAACAACCCCCCTCTAATTCATAAGAAGGCTGAACGACAAAAAGACAAAAAAAAATTAAACAGCAAAAACAATGTACCACCAAAATTAAAGCCCCTAAACAGCCCCCTGCCCTGATTACCTCTAGACATCCTGAGCAGCGTGTTTCTCTGGACTGGCAGGTAAGGTGGCCTCTGGCAACTTCAGCAGCAGCTTTTGTAGTTGGGATCTTGGCTTGGCTTTCCCAGGCAGAGTGGAAATAGGCCAGCAAAGTAAGGAGCAGGTTAGATTGGCTCTGGTACCTTCAGCAGTAGCTTTTATAGCCCATAATAGGAATGGCCTGAAGAAGTAGGTGGGCCATTTGTACATCCTACAGTGTGCCGAAAAGGGATTTGTAACAACACGGATTAAGTTCCAAGGGCCTCTGCTTCTGGTCAGGGATATTTGCCTTTCAACAGATGCTTCTGTCATGCTTCCTGGGTATGTTCTGAGTAGGCTCAAAACATAGTTGCTGCTTGTGGCTGCCACTTCCGTTGTGCTCTCCCCCAAGAAGAGCTATTTAAGGGGGTTGTGGGTATGTGCCGTAATGGTGGTGGCTGTTCAGTTGTTATGCTTCACACATTTCACTCTAACAAGCAGGGAGCCCTCCCCCTTGACGGAGAGGAGGTCATCCCTGGGCTCAGTCTTCGGCAACAGGGGTTGGTGTAGGGTGGGGGAGTGAGTTGCAGATAAGTAATGTGGCTTTTTCTTTGTTGGACACCACACAGTCACATGGGTAGATCCCTGGAAAAGTTCACTAGCCGGAAAGGAGGAGGCTCTGTGTGCTCATTGCCCATGGTCCTTTGCCTCCCTGGACCAGAAGAGGTGTGAGCAGGTGCATCTGCCTCCAGCAGTCAGAGGTGATGCGGTCTTCTGTGGCGGTGGCTGTTGCTGGTTGGGGGCGGGGATGGCCCAACTGGGTTGATGGTTCTTTCCAACTCTGGTTCCACAATTCCATTCCCCACCTGTGTCCTGTTCTCCAGAGGTGCTTGGAAGAGAAGCTGGAGATTCTGCAGGGAAAGTACTCCTTGCTGGAGGACCAGATGGCGAAGCTGAGGGAGACCACTTCCTTGCCAGAGAAAGGAGAGGTCATGGGCGACATTCTGAAGGTAGGAGCAGGGCCCTGGCGAGACGGATCCCAGTAGAGAAATGTCACTTGTCACACGGGGGGGGGGGGGCCGGGGCGGTCAGGTGGCTCGCTTCGTGAAACCCTTGATAACGCCGTGTCACCAACCAGTTGAACTGCATTGTTGTATAAAAAGGAGTGTATATTTCAGGTGCCACATAACACCCCTTCCGCATTTGTAAGAACTCTCTTACCTTTTTGTGTGGCAGCACCTGCACTTTGGAACTCCCTGCCTGTTCGGCACCTTCACTGTACCCTTTTCAGTGCCTGCTAAAAACAGTTTTGTTTAGACAAGCCTACCCAGGTGTTTAGAAAGTTGAAGCAAATATTAATCTGTTTTTAGTCTATTTAGTCTATCCCCAAAATCATTGTTGCTAATTTTTCTTGGTGATAATTTTGTTTTTTTGTTTTTTGTTTTTTTGTAAGCCACTCTGAGGCTGTGTGTTTTTCCACAGTCAAGCAGTGTATAAATCTTATGAAATTATAAAAAGGGATGTTCTTGATTAAAATATACATTCATGCTCGTCCCATGTCCTCAGAACAGATATTTTTGTTGAATAAGAGGTGGGGGTAACTAATGTTGCCCAATGGACTGGATGAAAAGGTGGCCACGCTCAGCTGACGGGCATTTGGTGCCAAATTCAAACTGCCAAATGCCAGCTGTGCTGGACACTTGGGGTGGCACTTTGAGTGCCTGGCTCCCCATGGTTCCTTGCCAGCTGCGGCTTTACCTGTCCCAGGCCTGGTGGCATATGACATTGGGTGAGTGGCAAAGGGGTGTGGCTGGCTGGAAAGGGCCTCACGGACCAGGCATTCCCCACCTCTGAATCAGACTTTAGAGCTTGTTTCTTACGATAAGTGTGCCCACGGGAACGATTTGCCAAGGGATTCTGCATCAGCTCTGCTCGGAGGCGCAGGCCAGTGACTCACCTATGTTAGGCTCGTGGTTTCAGTCATGAAACTGCGTAACGGAAAACCACATCTGGGCAGTTCAGGCCACTCTTTGCAGAGTTAATGCAGGCACTAGTGGCTTTTTATTGTTAATTCAAAAAAACATTAATAGCTACTTTGATTCTTTACGTGTTAACATTGGATATATTTATAGAGACACTTCCTTAAAAAAAGAGGGTGACTTGAGGGAATGTCTGCCTTCGTTATTGCTAACAGTCCTAACTAACCACAACACTGTTAACTTGGACCATTGTAAAAATATTTGATTCCGTTTCTGTTGTTAATGGACTATAACTAACCTGAAAAGTCCCTTCAGTTGTAGGAGTTGTGTCTCTCTGTGTATTCCCAGATATTGTTAGGTGGTGTTTTGGTCCACTGATTGTTAGCCTGGTCCACTGTATTGCAGGGCCTGCCTTAGTTCTGGACTTGCCTACTCTTTCCACTCCCTACAGCTTCCGCCTGCCTTACTGGCCGGTACATGTATCTTGTGGTCCACCCTGAGATCTTTGGATGAAGGGCAGTATATAAAATAAAGTAAGTCTGCCCCTGGCATTTCAAATGCTTTAGTCAGGCTCTGCTGTCTTTAAAAACAAACAACAGCAGCAAAACAAAAGCCAAACAAATTTAAAACAGCCTCCACATTCATTAAAGGTACAAAGTGGGGGAAGTGACCTGTGGCATACACAGTTGGGTAGTTTGGATCCTCTGCCTTGGCTGGTTTCCGCTTCAGACAGGCAGAGCTGACGTCTCTCGAGTGTGGTGCTGAATGCTGATGAATACAAATCATGGCCTTCTGTCTAGACACAGCCTCATTCTCACCGAGGAGTGGTATGGTCAACTCAACTTGGTGTGGAGATTACATTTTGGGGATTGCATGTAAACCCAACATCGCAAACAGTCAAAACAACCCTTTAAAAGCCATAAAATATAATAATAATAATAATAATAATAATAGTAATAATAGTAATAATAGTAATAATAGTAATAATAATTTATTATTTGTACCCCGCCCATCTGGCTGGGTTTCCCCAGCCACTCTGGGCAGCTTCCATAGAAACCAAAAATACACTAAAATATCACACATTAAAAACTTCCCTGAACAGGGCTGCCTTAAGATGTCTTCTGAATGTCAGGTAGTTGTTTATCGCTTTGACATCTGATGGGAGGGCGTTCCACAGGGCGGGCGCCACTACCGAGAAGGCCCTCTGCCTGGTTCCCTGTAGCTTTGCTTCTCGCAATGAGGCCCTCGGCGCTGGACCTCAGTGTCCGGGCTGAACGATGGGGGTGGAGACGCTCCTTCAGGTATACTGGGCCGAGGCCGTTTAGGGCTTTAAAGGTCAACACCAGCACTTTGAATTGTGCTCGGAAACGCACACAGGGCTACACTTACTGCACACTCCCAAGGTCGCCCTGCACATCTGAATGCTCTCCCAGGGTGAGTGCAATGGCAGGTAGGATTGCTGGCTGTCTTCCCCCCTTTTGACTCCCCCACCTTTTCCACATGTTAGAGGGGGATTTTCCACTGGTGGCAGATGACAGAGACTGTGACACACTGAGACCGGTGTAAAACCAAACTAAATAAAGACTTTATTTCAAAACAACAAACAGCAAAGCTAGTGGGTGTTTTTCCTGCAGGCAGAGTACAAACTGCAGCTTTTCTCCTTTTGTAGCCATGGCCAGCTGTACCCAATTAGCCCAGAGCTCACAAAAACTGTTCTTAAAGGTACAAACATGTTTCTGTGCAGAATGTCTCCCAACACCACACACGCTCCTTTAAAAAAAACAAAAAACGGTCAAGCATGTAAAGCTGAGATAATGTAAGTTAAGTGCATAAGCTGTGAGTCTGTATTTGGGCAGTATTGGAGGGGAAGGAGCAAGGCTCGTTCTGTGTGTTCTCTGGGTGCATAACCTTGTTTGCTGTTCCTTGTCCCACCAGCTTGAAGAACTGAACCAGCAGGTGGCCCACCTGAGTGGCCAGCAGACCGAGCTGCAGGCAACGGCCCTCCGCCTCGAAGAGGAGAAGCACCTGCTTGAGGCCAGCCTCCAGTCTGAGAGGAGCAGCTTTGAAGCAGAGAAGCGCCAGCTCACAGGCCTGCTCACGGAGCTGCAGAACTCCCTCTCGGAGAGCTCTCGAGGCAAGGAGAAGCTGGAGCAGGATTTGCGTGCCCAGGAGGAGAGCCTGGTCGCTCAGGTCAACGCCCTGACGGCTGAGATCGCCAAGCTGATGGGCTTCCTCCACCAGAAGGACCAGGACCTGCTGGTTTTGCAGCAGCAGAAGGGCCAGCTGGCCGAGGACTTGCAGAAGAGCGAGCAGGCCTCCCGGGCAGCCCTTCAGGAGCTGAGCCTCCAGGTAGACCAGCTGACCAGCACGCTGCAGCAGAGCAGCCAGAAGCTGACGCAGGTGGAGGCTGCAGGCCAGGAAGCATACAACAAGGCCGCCCAGGAGAAAGAGCTGGCCCTGAGGCAACTCCAGGAGAAGGAGGCAGAACTGTCTGCCCTGACCGAGCGGCTGCGTGCTCAGAGTGCCACTGCCACGGAAGCCCAGAGGGAGAAGGCCGATCTGAGCCACAAGGTCCAGGAGCTGGAGGCCAGGATCTTGGCCCTCACCGCCCAGTGCCAGCAGAGCGAGGCCCAAGCAGGAGCCGTGTCGGTGCTGAAAGGCCAGCTTCGTGAGGCACAGCAGAAGCTGGCTGACAAGGAGAAGCTGGCCAAGGAGAACACCCGTCTCCAGGAGCGGCTCCTGATCCTGGAGGAGTCCGTCTGCAACACAGAAGGCATCTTGGAGGATGAGAAGAGGCGGGCGGCCGAGTCCCTGGAGGGCAACCTTCGGCGGATTGCAGAGCTGGAGGAGCAGATTCAGGAACTGAGCAAGCAGCGGGACCAGGTCCTGCGGGAGATGGGTGAGGAGAAGGCCCAGAGGCAAGCCTTGGAGCGACAAGTGCAGCAGCTGGGGGAAGCGTCCAGGACCAAGGTGGAGGAGCTGCAGCACCAGATGGCAGAGCTCTCCTCTGTGGCTGCCAAAGGAGACCCAGGGGAGCTGGGGAGGCTTAAGGAGAAGGTCCGAGCGCTGAGCGGGGAGAAGGAGCAGGACCACCGGAGGCTGCAGGCTGAGCAGCAGAAGGTGGCAGAACTGGAGGCTCAGGTGAAGCACCTGAACAGCAAGCACCAAGGAGCACTGGCTGAGCTCCAGGCGGACTTGGCTCGTGCCACGTCACAGATCAAGGAGAAGGAGGGCACAGAGGACCAGCTCCGGGCAGAGATTGCCTCTCTGCAGGAGAAGGTGGCTGTGGCTCAGAAGGAGGCTGCCCAGAGCCTGGCCAAAGGGAAGAAGGAGGGGCACGAAGCAGCCCAGGCGCTGGAAGTTGTCACCAGGGAGCTGGCTGAGGAGAAGCGCAAGGTAGCCGAGCTGGAGGCTCAAGTGAGGCTGGCAGGGGATCAGAGCCATAAGGACCTGAGTGCAGCTGAGTCCAGCCTCTCTAGCACCAGGGCAGCCCTGAAGGAGAAGGAGCGCGAGACGGAGAAGCTGTCTGGCCAGCTCAAGTCCTTGAAGGCCAAGCTGGAAGAGGCCTCCCAGCAGCAGAAGCAGGAGCTGGCTCTGCACAAGGAGGAAACCAAGCGGCTGGCGGGCCAGGAGGAACGGGCCAGGGCGGAACTGGCCGCTGAGAAAGTCAGCAAGGCAGCCCTGGAGGTGCAGCTGCAGAATGTCACCAACGAGCACCGAGTGGAAGTCTCTGGGCTCCAGGAGGAGGTAGCCAGGGCCCAGGAGCTGGTCGGGGAGAAAGAGCAGGAGCTGGAGGAGTTGCGCCTCAAGAACATCTCCCGCAGCGAGGAGCTAAGGGACCTGCAGAAGACGGTCAGCAAGCTGAAGGGGGAACTGGCCTCCGCCGAGGCCCTGAAGGAGAGGGCTGCCAAGATGGAGAGCGAGCTGCAAGGGTTCCTGGAGGCAGCCCGGACCCAAAAGGCTGAGATGGACAGCATCAAGTCGATGATGCACTCCAAGGACGCCTCCCTCAAGAGCCTGGAGGAGCAGAAGCGGCAGCAGGAGCAGGAGTCCACCTCCAGCCGAGAGCTCTACCAGGGGCAGCTGAAGGAGTGCGAGGCTCTCCGCGCGCAGGTGGAGAGGCTGGAGAAGCAGTGCAAGGAGCAGCAGATCACCGTTGCCCGGCTGGAGAAGGTGGCAGCTGCCTCTGAGCGGGAGCAGCAGGTCGAGGCGGAGGCTTTGAAGCAGGAGGTGGCACAGCACAAGGAGAGGGCCGCGGAGCAGGAGCAGCTTCTGGAGGCGTCCAAGTCCAGTCTAGAGAAGCTGAAGAGGGAGCTCCACGACAAAGGAAAGGAGCTGGCCCAGAGCAGAGAGGCAGCATCCCGAGCCGAGAAGGAGCTAGTCGTCCTACGTGCCACAGCCCAGGAGAAGAGCAAGTCTGAGGAGAGCTGGAAGGAGCAGCTGTCACGCTGTGCCCAGGAATCGGAGCGCCAGGCCAGCATCATCAGCAGCATGGAGAAGGAGACCTCCATCATGCAAAGGCAGCAGCTGGAGAAGGAGGGGGAGATCAAGGACCTGAGGCGGCTGGCCCTGGCTGAGTCCGAGAAGAGCAAGAAGCTGGAGGAGAGGCTGCGGATCCTGCAGTCGGAAATGGCCACCGCCGCTTCCCGGGCAGCTGAGAGGTGCTCCACCATGAAAGCCGAAGCGCAGAGCTCCCAGGAGCAGGCCGAGAAGCTTCGGGTGTCGGTGGAGGCCCTGAAGAAGGAGCAGAGCGCTGCCTCCAGGCGGCAGGAGGACCTCTGCAAGGAGCTTAAGTCCTGGCAGGAGAAGGCCTTCCAGAAGGAGCAGCAGCTCTCCGCCCAGCAGCAGGAGTTTGCAGGGGCCCAGGCCCTGATCGCAGAGCTGATGCCCATCAAGTGCCTCTACCAGCAGCTGCAGGCGGAGCAGGCCTCGCAGGAGAGCAAGCACCGCGAGAAGCTGGAGCAGATGCAGAGCGCCGCCGGCCTCCTGCAGGCGGAGCTGGCCAGGGCCAAGCTGGAGCAGGCGGAGCTGCAGGCGGTGAAGGAGAGGCTCCTGGAGCGGGAGCGGGCCATCCAGCAGCTGCAGGCGGAGAAGGCCAGCTACGCGGGGCAGCTGGCCGCCCTCCAGCAGGGCCAGACGCAGCTGGCCGAGGAGAACCGGGGGCTGCAGCACCTGCCGGCAGAGCTGGCCCAGGTCAAGAAGCAGCACGCGCGGGAGATGGAGTTGGTCAGGCTCGACTCGGAGAAGCGGGTGACCGCCATGAAGCGGGTGCTTGAGGACACCCAGAAGAAGTACGAGGAGAGCAAGCAGAGGCAGCTGGTGCAGGTAAGGCCTCACACGGGATTCGGTTGCTTTTGGGGGTGGGGGTTGCCCAGGGGCTAGCCCTAGGCAGCTGCATCTCCCCAACCCACCCTGTGGTTTCTTTGCCCTCTTGAAACAGGGTGGAGGGGGGGGCAAAGCTCATCCTCTTTGTGCGCCCCCCCCCGCTTCATCCCTACTCCCTTGCTTCACCTGGGGGCAGCCCTGCCTCTGGAGATTAGGCAGATGGAGTAAACGGTCTGGGATCTGGCCTAGGTTTGCCTGCTGGACAGAAAATGATGGTGGCTCTTAATGGTTTTCCATGCTGCTTAGAAATTCTGGTTCCAGTTCGCTTAATGAAGGGGACAGCTCTGCAGGGCCACCCTTCAGCAATGGAAGCATCTCTCGCAGGATTGAATGAGGTTGCAAGACGCCTGAGGGTGGGGGCGCACCTTGCTGCATTCTGTATAGTGCAGTCCAGATTGAGGGAATGTGCAGAAGCAAGATGTGGCCTGAAAGGCTCAGCAGACCTTATTTGGCTCATGGGGTGCATCTTGAGCAATGGGGACCCTCCTTCCATCTCTAGCCCTCTAGAACATGGGTAGGCAAACTAAGGCCCAGGGGCTGGATGCAGCCCAGTCGTCTTCTAAATCCGGCCCGTGGACGGTCTGGGAATCAGCGTGTTTTTACATGAGTTGAATGTGTTCTTTTATTTAAAATGCATCTCTGGGTTATTTGTGGGGCATAGGAATTTGTTCACCCCACCCCTCCAAAAAATATATATAGTCCAGCCCCCCACAAGGTCTAGAACTTTGGGGTCTGCAGTAGTGCAATAGTAGATATTTTCCCTGAAAGTTAAAGCATGCAAGTTAACAAAGGGGGTGCTGCTGTCCAGGAGCCATGTTTGCTTGAGATGCTATATGTTATCCTTGAATGGGCTCCCTTTTGCTCCTGCATGTACTCAGTGTTCTAGCATTGCCCCTCCAGGTTCCACAAGTCTTCTCCTCTGATTTATATACTGCCCTCTCAGCTCTGAGCCTCTGGGGAAGGGATGAGCAACACGCCCTTGGTCTGGATTGGGTTGGCCGTTGAGCTCCCACCCTTGCCACAAGTTGCCCCAGCTGCTTTTTGTGGTGTTTTCACGTCTGCCTTCATTGCTTCCCCCTCCCACCCACCCCCCAATCCTACAGGTGGAGCAGCTAGAGGTATATCAGAAAGAGCGAGCTAATGCATGCCAGGTAATGCATGCCAGGTGTCAGCTGCTTAAACGGTGACAGTGCATGACGTAGCTGCTGCTGCTGCTGCTGCTTCCCCTCCATCATGGCTGCCATCTCCTCTTGTGAACTGTTTGCAATGGGGGCTTACGGAGGACAAGTAATAAGGCCGCCGCCACCCTCGTTTGGGGGCTGTGTGGGAAAACAGGGCTTCACAATACCTCTCTAAAACGCTGCACCTTATGCCCAGATGCCTCCTCACACAGGTCAGCAAAACTTTTGTTCTCTTACTTTGACAAAAAAAAATTACTTGGCAAGAGCAGAAAGCACACAAATCCTGTCCTTTGCACCAAAGGCAAGACTGTCCATAGCTATGTGGCAAGCCAAGGCTTGTAAAGGAAGTCGCGCCAGCAGGCAGCAAAGTCAGTCTACTTGGGATTGTTGCCCTCCCAGCAGGTCTCCCAGTAATAGTCATATGAGGGCTTGCTGCACACCCACACACCGTTTTTTGTTGCCCTCCCCTTTAAAGATCTCCTTAGTGCCTCTTTTTCTGATAGCACCGCAGTACAGCACCACATGCATCCTCTTGCGCCCTCTCATCCCAACACCTGGGAAGCCTTGGGAGCAGCTTGGGGCATACCAATTACTTGCCCTGTAGAATTTCCCACTTCTCTTTGTAACTCCTGGTGGAGCAACCTGCTGGAAGAGGCCAATGGCCCATCTAGTCCACCATCCTGTTCCCAGTGTGGCCAAGCAGGTGCCCAAAAGGGAAACCCCCTCACAGGATTTGAGCACAAGAGCAACTCTCCCCTCCTGCAGTTTCCAGCAACTGGGAGCCAGAAGTGCTGCTGCCTCCAGCTGTGGAGGCAGAGCATAGCCACCAGGGGCTAGTAGCCATGGGGAACTTTTTCTCCTCCATGAATTTATCTGATCCTTGTTCAAAGCTATCTAGGTTGGTGGCCATGACTGCTTCCTGGGGGAGTGAGTCTCATTATTTAGCTATGTGCTGGGCGACGGGGTGAGCTCCTGTTGCTGTATCCCAGCTCCTGCCAACCTAGCAGCTCGAAAGCACACCAGTGCAAGTAGATAAATAGGTACCACTGCGTCGGGAAGGTAAACGGTATTTCTGTGCGCTCTAGCTTCTGCCACCGTGTCCCATTATGCCAGAAGTGGTTTAGTCCTGCTGGCCACATGATCCGGAAAGCTGTCTGTGGACAAATGCCGGCTCCCTCGGCCTGAAAGTGAGATGAGAGCCGCAACCCCATAGTCACCTTTGACTGGTCTTAACCATCCAGGGGTTCTTTACCCACCTTTACCTGCATCTGGCGCACTTTCTCCAGTTCTGGGCACCACTTTTTAAGACTCGACTGCGCCAAGAGGGGAGTAGCCATATGAAGCCAGAGGTGCCCTATGCCTTGAGCAGCAGAGAGTAGGACTTGATGATCTCCGAGGTCCTTTCCCGCTCCAGCTGCTGCATCTTTTGGCATTCTCTCTTCCCCATCTCCTTCCTATATTTTCCTTCAGTATAGGAGAGAATCTCTGTGAATGATACTGCTCTCGGGAGGGGAGACCTTGAGCTCCAGGCAGAGTGCAGGGTCTGCAACGCAGGGGGGCCAGCCCTCTAACCTTTAGGGTTACCAGGAGCTAAAAGCACCACCACCTCTCTTAGCCATCTGCAAGTATGGTTGCACCTGAAGACAAGTCCACCCCCTCACCCCTGTGTTTTAAAGCCCTTCATTAAGAGCAAACCAGCTTAAACTAGAATCCCCTGAAACGGCCCCCTCCACTTCAGAAACCCTCTTGGATTCTAACCTTCAATGTTTCCGTGGATCCCTGATGCTCCCTTACCCCCAAGTGCACGAGAGGCAAACAGTTGGCAATGGAGACCCTGCTTTGGGGTTGCTGGGGAGACCTGGAGGTGGGAAATGCAGGATGGTGGGTGTGGCTAATTAACTTCTGGCATCACTTTCATCGCATGTCAGAGCATCTGCTTGCAGCACACCCCAGCTCTTCTGCTTGTAGAGAGCTGCTCTTCCTGGGAAGCTGCTAACCCCCATGCATCATTTCTGCTCTGAAGCCCACTGACCCAACCCTGCAGCTGGAATGCGGTGTTTGCGCAGCATAGACGTGTCGGTGGAGGGTTGGAGGCACGCTCTCCGCTGCTGCTTCCAGGAAGCTTTTGCAGGGGCAGAATGTTTAGGACAGGGGCTCCAGTGATACCGATGCTTCCTGGGTGGAAGGGAACCTGTCAGAGGGTATGCCTGGAATGTGCTTCCAGGCATAGAGGACTCTGGCCTGCTGCATGCAGTTCTTTCTGTGTTCCTGTAGTAACTCTTGAGGGTCTGTGGCATTTGACAGAATTCAGACACTGGCATCATGGTTGCAAAAAGAAGCTTGAAAAAGGTGTGTAGTTCTGGGGGAAATGCCCTTAGTCTCAGGGAGGCTGAGCAGTGCTTGCATTGAATTGGGGCCCCACAGCTGTTTTCCTCCTAGCAATCGGAGTCGTTATCCAAAAACACATTCAGTGACCTATTAGTGTTGCTTTTACCAGGTGCAGAACTTGGCCCTCCCCCCTCTTTCTTTCTTTCGCACGGGGCTTGACTTACTAGAGGAGTGTTTGATGCTAAAGGGGCCAAGCTGAGTAACATAGACAGCGCCAGATTCCTCCTTCCAACCCCCAAACTGGGTAAAGTGCTCAGTCCTAAACTGTGACTCTCTGATGCCGTGCTCATAGAATCATAGACCCCAAAGGGTCATCTAGTTCAGTCTGCTGCAATGCAGGAGTCACAGCTTTTGGTAAAAGGGGGAGACTTCCTTGGCCTCCTGCCAGCCAGTCCTTTTCTAGGCATGGCTGTTCCAGTACACCAGGTTTAGGAGGGGGACAGAGATTGCGGAATGGGGTGCAGAGCCTCAAAGAGCCAGGAGGGAGTGGCTGAACAGTGCTTTGAGCAGGAGGGGGAGGGGTTGGAATAACTATTCTCTCTCTCTTCCCCCCCCCTTTCCTTTCTAGCTGGAGGAGCTGAAGCAGAAGTATGCTCAGCAGGAGAAGGTCACTCAAGCCCAGCAGCAGAGAGCCCAGGTGAGTTTCCAGGGATGGAGCCTGGAGAGAGTTCTCCTAGTGCAGAGGTTCCCAAGCTTTTGGGGGGCGCTGTCCCATTGGCTTCTTAATTCATCCCCAGATCCCCACCCTACCCTAAAAAAAGCATTCAGAATAGTGGTTTGCATGACCCACTGGTCTAATCCCCTGCAATCGAGGGCAAGGGGAATCAGGGAAGATAATAACAAGAAATGTGAAGCAGTAACAATTAATTGCCCTTTCCCCAAAATCCAATTAAAGCTATTTAGTTTTCACCGATGCCAGCTTTTCAAAGACAAGGGGTGGAAAGGACCCTTGTAAGTCTACTGAGCAACCTCACTCAGCTGGTGCAAGAGTCATGGGGAAGAAAGAAAACAATTTCCCTCTCTGGCACTATAAGGGAATATCTGGGTCTCTCCTTAACAGGTGCATGAAGAAGAGCTTAAGCACCAGAATGAGAAGATCTTGGATCTCCAGTCTCAGGTGGCCCAGAAGGAACAAGCTGCTGAACATTATAAGACACAGGTAGAAAAAGGGGAGCTGTCTCCCTCTGGGGCAGAAGTGAGGGGTGGGAGGGGAGAGAACCACCACCCTGGCTTCTACCCTGTATTAAACAGTCACAGTTAAGGCAAGTACTAAGAAAAGAAGTTCTGCCATTATAGGCCTCAAAATTCCATAGCTTACAAAAATGGCAGCTGTTGAGCTAACAGACTGGCATATAAGACCTGCATGATGAGGTTTGCAAATGTGGGTGTGTGGAGGGTAAGTACACTTTGTGACGTTGCACAACGACATGGCTGAGCAAGGGTCTCTTACGGAAGCACCAGCCTTGGCTTCCGGTGTCCCGGCTTTGCGGGAAATTGCCTCAAGTCTGGTCTTAAACCGGCAGGTGTTGTGCTTGACGGTTGCCTCACTTTTCCTCGCCCCTCAGATGGAGAAGGCCAAGACCCACTACGACGCAAAGAAGCAACAAAACCAGGAGCTGCTTGAGAGGCTGGGAGTCCTGGAGGAGGTGGAGAGGGAGAACGCGGAGCTGAAGGCCAAATCGGAACGCCTTATGAAGGAGCAGCAGGATTTGGTGAGGCAGATGCAGGAGGCCCAGCTCACCTCCAAGAACCTCTGCAGCCTCGAGGCACAGGTAGGGCTGAGGGGCGGTGGCTGAGGAGGCAGGGTGCGTGTCCACGGCAGGGCCCAGTCATTTCCGTTCCAGGCCCTGCCCACCCATCTGTGCATTTCCTCTTGCAAGAAGGATCTGTGGGGTCCCCAGGGTTTTCTGTACCCCAGGGATGGGGAACATGTGGCCCTTGCAGGTGTTGCTGGGCTCCAGCTCCCTCCTGCTCTAGCCAGGAAGCCAAGGGACCAGGGGTGATGGGCGCTGGAGTCCAGAAACCTCTGGAGAGCCATGGGTTCCCGTGCTTAGTATATATAGCAACATATTTACCTGCAGCTGAAGTGAGGTGGACTTGGCCCAGTTCTTACGTAGATGCATGCAAAGAAACATTTAATTAGCCATTTTGGTTCTAGCGGGTCTCTTGACTTCCTTGGTGCGCGGCTTGCTCGTGGCACCCTGCCCCTTACCGTTAACCAACCCAAACGCAGGTGGAGTTTGCAGATCGCCAGCTGCGAGAGCAGGGCAAGTTCCAGCTGGCCACAGATTCATTAAAAAGCCGCATCACCTTCCAGGAAAGCCCAGCCGACGTCAGCACAGACAGCCTGGACATGAGCACCAGCGATGAAGCACAGCCGCTCAACTCCACCAGGTACTGGCCCTCAGCTTAGAAGGCAAGCAGGTGGCTGCAGCGCAGCAGCTCAGCTTCCGTGCCAGATTTCTCTCCTCCTCCTCCTCCTTCTTAGCTCTTTGATCGGCCATAGAGCAGAGACTTCCCACCCTTGCAGCTCTAGGACCAAATGCATGTTTCCCCAAGGGTGGCCACTCGCAGGGTCCTTCATTTGGCAGGCCTGACAGTGAAGCAACTTTGGAGACATGGGGCGTTGTTGTTGTTGTTAATTTTATACGCCACCCAACTGACTGGGTTGCCCCAGTCACTTTGGGCTGCTTCCAACATATTAAGACATCAAACACAGTAGTAAAACACCAGACATTAAACATTTCTAAAAGTCAGATAGTTGTTTATTTCCTTAACATCTCATGAAGGGAGGGCATTCCACAGGGTGGGTGCCACTACCGAGAAAGCCCTCGGCCTGGTTCCCTGTAACTTCACTTCTCTCGGTGAGGGAACCACCAGAAGGCCCTCAGAGGAGGACCTCAGTGTCCAGGCTGAATGTTGGGGGTGGAGATGCTCCTTCAGGTATACTGCGCTGAGGTCATTTAGGGCTTTAAAGGTCAGCACCAACACTTTGAATTGTATTGTGAAGACTTCTCAGCTTCCTTGTTCCTGGGAATGTGAAGAGAGGGTTCTGTGGTTGTGGCCTCCCTGCCAGTTTCATGACCCCCCCCCCCATCTCTCTTCACAGCAGGAGGTCTCGCCGTTCCACCTCCGAATCTGGGACAGCAGAGCCGTCCAAGGCTTCCCACCGGCTGCCTCGGAAGGTGGAGTCTCTGGAGAGCCTCTATTTCACGCCCATCCCCACGCGCACGAGGTCCAAACTGGAGAACAGCGTGAACTCCACGGGCGACGTTTCCTTTGAGTCGGGGCGGAAAACACTCTCTGGCCGCCGGCGCACCACACAGGTCATCAACATCACCATGATCAAAGTAATGTGGGGGCCACCTAGGGATGGGAGCCAAGGTGTGGTGATGGTGGCTGTGGAGATAGGTGGCGTCCAGGGCTGCTCAAATGTGCTTCCTCCGTAGCCAGGTCCGTCAGACACTTTCAGCAGCCTGCTTCCCTGGGTGTGGGGACGAGCAGGCGACCCCTGTTGTTAGAGGTGGATTCAGGAGAGACGGGAGCTGCCCTCTTGAGGTGGTTTACTAGGAACAAGGAGTGATGAATCTGAGTTGGCAGATGGTTCAAGGATTTGGAAGAGCTCCAAGACAAGCTCTCCAAGTGGGGTAAACGGGCAGTAAAGCGGCAAATGCACTTCCGTGTAACCGAGTGTAAACTGATGTATGTCAAGGCCAAAAACACGAGCTTCACCTACGCTCTCGTGGGGTCTGAGTTGACAGCGGTCATGAACGAGACCTTGGGGTCATAGTGGACCACCCAGTATGTGGCAGTTGGGAATTGCTAGGGATCAATAGGAAAGGAATTTGAAATAAAACTGCCGGTGCCATAATGCCATTATACAAACCTGTGGTGCAACCTCATTTGGGATGCTGTGTACAGTTCCGGTGGCCTTTCCTCAGAAAGGATATTGTAGAGCCGGAAAAGGTTCAGAAAAGTGCAACAAAAATAATCTAGGGTTTGGAGCAACTCTCGAGTGAAGAAAGAATGCAGTATTTGGTGCTTGTTAGTTTACAGGAAAGCCGAGTAAGGGATAGGGGAAGACAGGGCAGAGGCGTCTAATATTCTGTCTGGTGTGATGGAGGTGGAGAAGAGCAGCTTAGCGGGTGGGGGCAGAGTTAAGCAGCACCAGCAGCCATTCTTTGTGCTCACCCTCCTCCTCTTCCTCCTCCTTGTGCTTCTACACAGAAACACGCTGAGCCGGAAACTCCCCAGAGTGCTGATGCCTCTTTCCTCAGCATGCAGTCCGCTGCGTCTCAGAGCAGCAGCTCGAGCCAAGAGCCGGTCAAGACGCGCCTGCGTTCCTCATCTGCTTCCTCCACCCGCTCCCTCGCCAGCCTCCCCTCTCAGGAATCCCTCACCAGGCTGGGCACCTCTTCCCCCAACAACACGGCGTTGATGAGCCTGCCCGGCTATCGGCCTGCCACCCGCAGCTCCATGAGACGCTCCCAGGCTGGAGGGGCCACTTCTGGTGAGTGCTGGGGTTGCAGCGGCAGGACTGGGGCAGCCTTCAACATGGTGGGCCCCTCTAGACGACGTCCTGGACTACAACTCCTGACCACCCCAGCCGAGCATGGCTGGATGATGCTGGGGCCATCGGGAGTCATAGTCCAAAGCATCTTGAGGAGCAGAAGAAGCTGGGCAAAGGCTGTTCTGGAGCTTCGCCCTCTGTGCCAGTCAGCAGAGTACAGTAATTGCTCTGGTGAATCTCAGAGGAGTCCAGTGAGCTCAGTGATCTACACAGAATCAGCGAATATGTTTGAAGGGATGCCAAGGGTCTTCTAGTCCACCCCCTGCACAGCAGGAATCACAGCTAAAGAGTCCCACCTCTGTTTATGAGCCTCCAACAAGGAGAGCCCACCACCTTCCGAGGGGGTCTGTTCCATGGACAGACAACTCCTGCCCTCAGAATAATAATAATATAATAATAGTAATAATGATAATATTAATAATTTATTACTTATACCCTGCCCATCTGGCTGAGTCTCCCCAGCTTCCAACAGGAGTTTAAAAATACATTAAAACATCAGTCATTAAAAGAAAACTTCCCTAAACAGGGCTGCCTTCAGAAGTTTTTCCTGCTGGCTACATTTATTCTCTCTGCCCACCACTATTAGTTCACCATGCCTGACAGTCAGTGGCATAATAATAATAATAATAATAATAATAATAATAATAGCAGTTTTATTGTTTATACCCATCTACTCTGGGCAGCTTCCAACTCATATAAAAACATAATAAAATGTAAAAGATTTTAAAAGATATCCAGGTGTGTGTCAGAAGAGCCGTCTGTGTGTGTGTGTGTGTGTGTGAGAGAGAGAGAGAGAGAGAGAAAGAGAGAGAGAGGTGATGACCTGTCCCCTTGTGCATTTCTTAGCTTTTCCTTGCTGCTTTGCTCCTTGGTGTGAGTCTTCCAGAGTGAGACTTCCTCCCCCGGAGCCTGTTGGCAGACTGCCTGCTCCATGACTGTTTGTGGCCGGTGATGGCATGAATGTGAAGGTGGCACTGCTTGGCTCCTCCCTTCTAAAAAGCATCTCGTAGACAGCCCTCGCAAGGCCTGGAATGGCCATGCATAGAACAGCCAGCAGAGGTGGGACACGGGAGAGCCAGGATGGATAAAAGGAAGGGCTTCTTCACGCAGTGCATAATTGATCTGTGGAACTCACTTCTGTAGGAGGCAGTGGGAGCTACCAACTAGAACAACTTAAAATAAGATTGGACACATTCACGGAGAAGGGTTGTCAGTGGCCCTGCTCTCCCTCCACAATTAGGGAAAGCAAGGCTTCCGAATGCCAGTTGCCTGTACCAGCAGGGTTCTTCCGAATGTTCTTTTGCAGTTGAGAAAGGCTGGCTCAGTTACCTGTGCAGGGGTGCTCTGTTTTGCCCTCTTTCCTCTTCGTGCCCATGGAGTGGGTAGGGGCAGAGGAATCTCTTTGCAACCTCCTTCCTTGATTGGGATCACTGTTGTCGATTATCTTGTGGAGAGCCACTTGGGGTGCCTCCCTTCTGTGTGGCTGGTGGTGCAACCTAGGAAGTAAGCAGCCGACACCCTCCCCTGTCGCTCCCCCCCCTCAGGGCGCAGCAGCTTCTACATGGGCACCTGCCAGGAGGAGCCAGAAGTGCTTGATGACTGGAGCCGCATTGCTGAGCTCCAGCAGCGCAACAGGATCTGCCCACCTCACCTGAAGACCTGCTACCCCCTGGAGTCTCGGGTGAGTGTCGCCAAAGGGCCAGCTAGTCCTGACTCCCACAGCAGCTAGCGATATGTTTTCAAGGCCAGGGAGGGCAGGGGGTGGGGATGCGATGCCTGCTCCTGCTGCTGATTTAGTCAACGCCTGGAGAATTCTGTGAACGGAAAATTGGATTCTGCAACGGAGATCAAGTTAGTGGGTTGGATTCCCCCCCCCCAAAAAAAAAACATGGCCCTTTGAGGGCTAGTACATATTTATGTGAATATATGGGGGAGGGGAGGAGGGGTTTGGGAAGAGTGTGAAAGGGGTGCATAGACAGGGTTGGTGATCGGAGCAAGCAGGGGTGCCAGTCCCTCGTATGTGCATGTAAATCCTGCTCAGTCCTGGTCAATAGACACCTGGGGAGCTTCCTCCCCTGTGCGTTTTGGGGGCTGTTCCACTTTTGCAGTAGGTTCAGTGCACACAAAGAGCCTCTGTCTGATGACCGCACTGCTCCTCTTCCTCACCTGCCAGCCATCCCTGTCACTGGCCACCATCACAGATGAGGATATGAAGACGGGGGACCCCAGAGAGACCCTCCGCCGTGCCAGCATGCTGCCCTCCCAGGTTTCCGAGGGCCCAGCCACCCGTCGCAGCACCCTGAGCTCCGCGGTGGCCGCAGGGGGCATTGCCACTCGGCAGCAGAGGAAGCGCATTTCAGATGAATCCCACCAGGCTGCAGGGACCCCCGAGGTGAGTGGCAGTAGCTCTGTGGCACATTCAGCTGGCCTGAACCCCTTTCAAGCTGGGCGGGGTGGGGATATGGGGGAGGGTTATTATGGGAGTATCGGGTATGCCCAGGGTGTAATGGGGCAAGTTTGCCTGTGTCTTCTAGGGCAGGTGCTGGTGGGGTCCAGGGACCCTTCAGTCCCTCTGGGATTGCAGCTCCCATCATCCCTGAGCGTTGGGTGTGGCTGGCTGTGGTCGCTGGGAGTTGCAGTCCAGCGACATCTCCTGCTCCCCATTTCTCAGCTGCCCACCTTGGCGGGGAGATGAAAGGCACCGTTGTCTTTTGCTCAGTCGCATCAGGCCCCAACTAATCTCTCTTCCACACACCCCTTTTCTCCGTTCAGTCCAAGAAATCTGCCAGCTGCTTCCCACGGCCCCAGACTCCCAAACTGCGGAGCGAGGAGCACAAGCACAGCACCCATGCGGGAAGCAAGAAGGACAAAGCCCAGGCAGCCAACAAGCAGGTAAGGGAGCCTCGGAGCCTCTTGCTCTTCCATCGGGCTGGCAGAGCAGGGCGCAGGGAGCCTCTGAGGCTGCGGCATTGCTGAAGCAGAGCAGGCTGCGAGACCACCCCTACTCAGGCAGGGAAGTTTTTAAACAAAGGTTGGATGGCCACCTGTCAGGGATTCTTTAGCTGTGATTCCTGCGTTGCAGGAGCTTGGGGTCCTTCGAGCTTTACAGTTCTATGGTTCTACAAAGTATGATCTCTCCTTTCTGCCTATCTATACACAAACACCAGACTACCACATAGCACAAATTCAATCTCTCCCTAGCTTCAGACGTGGGCCTGGTGCTTCTCTGCAGTGATTATAATAACCGGGGTGGGGGGGTGGAGGAGGGGGTATACCAAGGAATGCGAACTCTTCTCTTGAGTTCCCTTGCCGTGGGGATGAGAGAGCACAGAAGTGCTGCTGAGGTCTCCTGATTGTCCTGACTCCTTCCCCTTTCCCTGCAGCCCAACAGGCGCCAGTCGATGGCCTTCAGCATTCTGAACACTCCGAAGAAGCTGGGCAACAGCCTCCTGCGCCGGGGGCCCAACCGCAAAGTGACTCCCAAAAGCTCCCCCCGGAGCAGCAGCCGGAAATCCCCGAGGGCAGCGTCATCACCTAAGGGCAAGGTAGGAGGGAGAAGGGGGCTCCCCACGAGTCTTTCACTCCCAGCATCCCCTTGGAGCAAGCATGGGCGGGAGAGAGATTTTGCCCGGAATGTGAGCCTGCATTTTAGTGTATTTAGATATATATTCTGGTGGAGCTAATAGAGAGAGAAGAGGGCTGGGGAAAGCCATGGGTCTGGGACTCCTTGGAGCACAGAAGGCGGTTTGCCAGCAAAGGAACAACAGAAGAGGCTGCTGGATCAGGCCAGTGGCCCATCTAGTCCACCATCCTCTTCTCACAGGCTGACCAGATGCCTGTGGGAGTCGAGCAAGGGCCGGGTCCATTGCTCAGTCGTAGGGTCGGGCACCCCCACCTGCCAGGCCTGACTCCCCATCCTTTTGCTCCTTCAGGTCTCATGGGCTGCCAGAGCAGGCTGGCCTCTCCTTGTGCAGTGCGACCAGGCCTGTATGGAACCTCTTCTGGCTGGGTCACACCAGGGGCAGCACGGACCTCTCCTTGGGCTGCCATCCCCTCCCCTCCCACTAGTGGTGTGTGGTTTCTGGGTTTTGCAGCACCTGTCCTGGGTGTGGGACTCTGCCCTTGCCCGAGGGGCCAACTTCACCTGCTGTCTTCTTCCTGATTTGCTGCCATGCAGAAGAATGATGAGAGCCGCTTGTCGTTCTCATAAGACTGCAGAGTTCAGCTTGGGTTTATCAAATCTGCGGGGCGGGGCGGGGAATGAAGCCGCAGCGCTCCATCTTTTTTGTCCTCCTCTCTGGCTTCCGATTAAGAGGTGTGGCAAAGCAAGGCAGCTTCCTCAGGCAGCGGACTTTGGTGCCCTTGAAGGTGGCACGCTGGGAGGAGCATTGTCCCCATGGGGCACTAAGCATGGCTCAAACCAGCAGGAGAGCAGTGGAGATGGCACGAGAGCTCTGCCCACAGCTGCCCTTCATTCGGTGGGGCTTTTACAGGAGAAAATCCCGGAGGATTGTCGAAACAGTGGGGTGGGGGTCCCAACTAGATCCTTCTGCCTTTTGAGCTTCTAAAATCCCAGCAGGAGCCATTGAGCCCACCCAACTCCTGTCTTCTTTTTCCCTTCCTTTAGGCGAACTCCAGGTCCACGAGGAACACCAAGTTCTAACACCGTTTTTCCTGGCCGAAAACTCCCCTGCCTGCCGCATCTCTCCAGAAGGAAGGGAGCCAGGTGCCAAGGCCCCCCAGTCTCTGCTACCAGCTGAGCCGCCAGCAGCCTTCCTCCCCCTCCTCGTATTCCCTCCCAGCTCTGACGTGGCCTGAGACCCCAGCCTTCTGGTCAGGATGCCAACTGGTGCACGGACTCTTCCCCCGCCCCCTGGTTTCCACGTGATGGTGGGTGGTGAGCCTCCTTGGCTGAGAGATTTGGGGGGGCGGCTTTCCCCTCTGTGATGATGGCAGCCGTGTGTGCGTGTCGAGGGGGACGGGACAGTCTCCAAACCATTCCAGGGTCTGGCCCTTAATACCAGCCACTGTTCCATCAGGCAGGAATCGGGAGTCCTTGGCAAAGGAGGACTAGGCTGGCAGTATTTTACGCTCCCAGGGAGGCAGTGTCATAATGTTGACCACCTTTGCCAATGCAACACCCCCTCCTTAAGCACCCAGAGTGGCACCTCCTATTGAGAAGCTAGGTCCCCCTCTCCTGACACCCCCCCCAACGAATGCTCCCTCCCTTTCACACTGAGTAAGGACGGGCTCTCTCTGCTTGCCTCATTGGCGCAGTGAACAGCCCAAGGCACCGAAGTCGGAGATGTTTTCTCCACCCGGCTCTCCTTTCCACTCACAAGGCGACCCTCTTCCCAGCCTCCTTGGTTCTTAAAAAAAAAAACAACAGTTGTAAAGCAAGGGCCAACAGACTAGAGAATTGGGGTGGGAAGCTTCTGTCAGACGTTGAGGACTAGTCGCTTACTCATTACCAGAAGCAGTGGGGGGAAACACATTTCTCTCCTGTGGAAAACTTTGCCCTGCTTGTCATAGAGTCATGTGCCTGCTTCCTGGTGATGTGAGAAATCCTTTGGGAGCTGGGGTGGCTTTTGTGCAAGGGGGTGTTAAAAAATAAACCCCTTGAGCCTGGCAACAGGAGGAATCATTCCCTGGAGGAGGTGGGAGCACCAGCTGCCTGAAGGGCCCCTCGCTGGTGGCTGGGCTGCAGGAGGAGGAGGAGGAGAAAGCTCCATTATGTACAGGCTGTGCATTCTCACCCTCCCCTTATTCCGCAGGCTTTACTTAGCTGTGTTGCTTTGTATTGTACTCTGTAGGCACTGGCATGGAGTGGGGCAGGGGGGAGGCCTCACTGCAGTGTCCCTCCTGAAAAGGGGGCGGAGGGATGCGTGGCTGTGCCGGGGCAGCAGTGGGGCCGGTGCCCATGCCTGAATCTTGGGCACAATCCGGCCGGAGCTTTTCCTGCAGATGCTCCATCAGAGTGCACAGGAGCTGTGCAAAGGCCCCCGCTTCGGCTCCCTTCCGTGGGCAAGCGTCCCACAGCAGGGCTTGGCCCTCAGGAGAGCCTCGCTGGATCTCCCTGGTGAGCTGTTTCCTGGACTGGGGGGCGGACACTGCCTGAGGCTGCCCCCACCGCCGCCACTCGCAGCCCTCTAATACTCGCCTTTGTAGAGAAATTAGCAATCAAATGTGTCATTTTAAATAATGTTTCTACTTGTAAATAAATGGTATTTTTCTCCCAAAAAACAGTGGCTTGGAGATGTTTCCTCCTGCTTTGAGTGTAGCGGAGGGAGGGCACAGCCCAGAAAGAGGCTTTCGGTCTAAGATCAGAGCATTAGGGCCGAGAGGTATGAGGAGCTGCCTCTGAGCTTTTTGGACAAAGTGCATTTTCTCTCAGCGCTTTTGAGTTTCCACAAAGCTCCAATCCCCCAAACCCTTTAAAGGTGGCTTTTATTGAAAACTTTGGCACAGGACAGAGTCCGCCAGTGTCCCTGCTGAGCAAGTCCTGTTCCAAACCTACTCCCACCTGAGGCAGAACAGCCCCTTCCTTCTGGGGCATTAAAATAGCGCCGCCTCCCCCAGGAAAGTGCTGTCCAGCAGCCAGAGGAGCGGCCCTGGCCATTCACTGGGGACAGGCAGCAGCCACATTGGGAGGCGGGGAGATACTTGGAGAGTGGTGGATAATGGCATGGACTTGATTTTCAACTGAGTAACAAGGTGCGCTGAGAAGAGCTGCAGTCGGTGGCTGCTGCATAGTGAGGGCAGTGGAATTCTGTGTGTGCCAGTCAGCTTTAGGTACATTTTAAAATAGAATTGTAGAGGTGGAAGGGTCTAGCCCAACTTCCTGTAATGTTCTCAATCACTGCCTGACGGTCAGATGGTGGGATGCAAAAGGCCCTAAAAGGGTGACGGTCCTATTGCTTTCCTAGGCGGCTTTTGTTGGCCCCGGAGGAACATGGGAGGATGGATCCCTGGCCTTTCAAGAGAAAGTACACCTCGCCTCTCCAGACCAGTGTCGCTTCTCAAGGTTTAGTTTCTGTTAATTCACCCTTCTCCCTTGCTCCTCTGAGGCAGTCCTTCATAGAAGGCCCAGTCAGACCTCATGGCAGAAGGAAAGCAGAAGCAGAGTTGTGGGTCATCAGGTGGTTGATCTAACCAGCCTCTTCAGGCAGCTATATGCGAGTACAGTGGTACCTCGGGTTAAGAACTTAATTCGTTCTGGAGGTCCGTTCTTAACCTGAAACTGTTCTTAACCTGAAGCACCACTTTAGCTAATGGGGCTTCCTGCTGCCGCTGCAGCAAGATTTCTGTTCTCATCCTGAAGCAAAGTTCTTAACCCGAGGTACTCTTTCCTGGTTAGTGGAGTCTGTAACCTGAAGCGTCTGTAACCCGAGGTACCACTGTATTCAAAAAGCACATGAGCTAGGACGGGACTCTGCAAGGCCCTATAGTTCAGTGTGTCACCCCCCACAAGAGCAGAGCTGTCTCTGCCCCCCCCCCCCACCTGGGGCCTGCCTGACCCCTGACAGTGGGACAGAGCCCTTTGCCACCCCTCCCCACATGAGTGGCCCAGTAGGATTTTGTGGACTCTGAAAGTTGCTGAGAGCCAAGAGGGTTGCATTCTCTCCATTCCTTGCCTCATCCAGGTTATCCACCCCGAAGTCAGGCTGAAATAGACACAGACACCTGAGACAGGTACACCTACCACCACCCTGTCTGTTTTGTGGTCCAAAGGCAGGGCCTCTTTCCAGGGAAGGCGCTGCCCAGTTTTGCAGGAGCAAGACCTCAGAGGAGGATCTTGGTGCAAGGGAGAACATGGGGCTCCCTTGTCCCCGACTCCTACATCTTTCTAAGACCAAACTAGCCCTGTGCGATGGGCCCGGACCCCAAACTGGAAGCCAGCGAGAACAGCATTTCACATATGAATTAAGCCTGTGCATATCTGCAGTCCAAAGAGGACCTTAGCTCAGTGATGGAGCACATCCTCCACCAGGGGAAGGAGCTTGGGATGTGAATCTGCTTAAAAGCGTCGTATTTCAGGCTCCTCCTGGGAGTGGAGGCGAGACGACGAAGGCAGCAGGAAAAACCAGCGGCAGCCACCCACTTGTTCAAGCTGGAACTTAAAGAGGATACCGCTAGCTTTTATTTAACACAGTTCTACATACTGCTTGGAGCTATATGGGTCAGGTTTAAAATCCTCCAGGAATTTTGCTACCTTTCCCACGCCCTCTATGTCCCGTTTGTTTTCCTTCTTCCTTGAGGAGTGAGGTTTCTTTCCTTCCTCTGGAGTGGGTGGCTGGAGGTGGCAGAGGGGGTGCCGCCTGGAGCAGAGAGAGAGGCTGCATGACCCAACGGAGAGCAGAAGCAACCGGAAGTTGGTCACCCAGCAGCCACGACGCCTGCTCTTCTCCCATCCCTCAGCTGCTGTGCTGCTGTGCTGCCCTCCTGTCTCTTGCGTCCCTGCGGAACCGCGAAACACACAAAGAGGGTTGGTTTTCAGAGCAGCTACTGTAGGTATCACAAGATGCCACAGGCCTGAACCCACCTCATCAGATGTAGGGAGGAGGCAATTTCTCCTGTCCCTACAAAGCAAGCTTTCCCCCAACATGGGGCTGATAGGAGTTGTAGTTCAAACCATCTGGAGGGCACCAGGTTGGGGAAGCCTGGCTATTATACCACTGTACAGTGATACCTTGGTTCTCAAACTTAATCCGTTCCGGGAGTCCGTTTGACTCATGAAACAGTTTGAAGAGCAAGGTGCCACTTTCAATTGGCTGCAGGAGCTTCCTGCACTCAATCGGAAGCCGTGCCGGATGTTCAGCTTCCGAAAAACGTTAGCGAACCAGAACACTCACTTCCGAGTTTGCAGCGTTCGGGCGCCAAGCTGTTTGGGAACCAAGGTACCACTGTATACATAAAGGAAGAAAAATAGGTTGCAGGGGCTTAAATGACCCATTGGGTGCCTTCCAACACTACAATTCTCTCTCTCTTTCATACGCAAACTCTCTCTCTCTCTCTCTCTCTCTCTCTCTCTCTCTCTCTCACACACACACACACACACACACACACACACATATGACACACACATATGCATGCAAGCCACTTTGTGGGCATTTTTTTAACAAGTGGTGTATATTTTGGGGGGAAATAATGAGGCCACAGTGTCAGGCTGCAGGCCTGTGTCAGTACAATGCAGAGCGTCAGAGGAGTGCAAGATCAACTCAGTGCTGGCATAACTGGCTCATATCTTGTCGGAGAAAGCCCTGCTACCCCACCTGGGACTGCCAACAATTGCAGCTGCCTCTTTGCTGGAGAGTATCTCTCAGAATCGCCCATAAACAGGCACAAAGGTGGGGCCTTGCCGTTTTTGAGTCACAGGGCGAAGGGGGACCCTGGGCAGCTGCCACCTTAACAAGATGACAAAACCTGTTTTGCATTTAGAATTGTAGAGTGGGAAGGGACTGCCAGGGGCCATCTAGTCCTAGCCCCAGCAGTGCAGGAATCTCAGCTAAAGTATCTGACAGGTGGCCATCTGCTTAAAGACCTTTACATCTGGAAAGCTTGGGGACAGCGTTGCTGTGTGTGCCCAGCAAACACTTTTGCATAATGCACGCTCCTTGCTGCAACAAGTTTCTTCCGCTTGGAGAGAAATGTGGTGCTTCACAGGTCCAGTCCTTCCTCTTCTAGGCAGGGCCTCGCGCTCACAATTCTTGCACACAAGCAATTGGAAGGTGCAGAGCGTTTAGGGGAGCTGCCTGTTTACCTCCGAAGCTCTTGCTCAAAAGTCCTTAGGCGCTGCTGCTGTCGATCTGCTCTGGGACTTTGCCAGGCTGATTCCTGAATCGCGGTTTCAGCTTCCAGGTGACAGCCTTTCGCGCTGCGCCTGCTGGATCGAGGATGATGCATTCAAATCTTGTGTTCTGTATCTTTTTTGTGAAGGTGTTGATGATCAGCTCCCGTTTCAGGGACAGGCCAACGCCCTTGGCTTTCTCCCTGGGGTGGGGAAGAGAAAAAAGGCAGAAAATAAGTCGGAAGGGGGACAGCAGACCTTGGGAGAGAACGAGATGGGGAAAGTGTGTGCCTTTATTTAGTGTTGGTTTCATGAAACTTATACACTGCTTGGTTCTGGAAAAGCCTCAGAGGCTGACGAAAAGAGCAACATGGCGAGATTATTAGCAAAAACTTTAAATTGTTGGGAAAAGTTTAAAGCCAGCAATGACCTAAAAACACATGGGCGTTCTAAACATTCTGGGTTTTTCTGCAGAGGCCCAAAAGAGCACATCTCTGCCTGGCACCAATAGGCAGGGAGTTCCGGAGTGCAAGTACTAGCACACTTAAGATTGATTTCTTACAAAAGCAGAACAGGTATAATGTACACCTGTAACACTGCCAGTTCCACAGATCGACGCAGTCGAGCGGGCACCTGGATACTTTAGTTGAGATTCCTGCATGGCTGGGGGTTGGACTAGATGTCCCTCGGGGGTCCCAACTCTGATTCTATGTGGGGTAAGGTGATCTTGCAAGTAACTGGTCCCAAGTTATTATGGGCTTCGTATACACGTAAGGAGAGTCTGCAGAGTGAGGCCAGTGGCCCACCTAGCCCAACCCTTTTATCTCAAAGTGGCCGAGCAGGTGTCCGTGGGAAGCCAGTGAACAGGATCCGAGCCCAAGAGCCACTCCCCTCCTGTAGTTCCCAACAACTAGCGCCCGGAAGCATTGCTACCTCCAGCTGTGGAGACAGAGCAATAGCCATTGTGGCTGGTAAAGGTAAAGGGACCCCTGACCATCAGGTCCAGTTGTGGCCGACTCTGGGGTTGCGGCGCTCATCTCGCTTTACTGGCCGAGGGAGCCGGCGTACAGCTTCCGGGTCATGTGGCCAGCATGACTAAGCCGCTTCTGGCGAACCAGAGCAGCACATGGAAATGCCGTTTACCTTCCCGCCCAAGTGGTACCTATTGATCTACTTTCACTTTGACCTGCTTTCAAACTGCTAGGTTGGCAGGAGCAGGGACCGAGCAACGAGAGCTCACCCCGTCGCGGGGATCTGAACCGCGACCTTCTATTCGGCAAGTCCTAGGCTCTGTGGTTTAACCCACAGCGCCACCCGCATCCCTGGTAGCCGTTGATTGGACCACCTTGAACGTGGCCAGGTGCAACAGCAGAGGCAGGTCCTCTGAAAGCTGTAGGCCACATGGAAAGGCTGGACCCCGAGCAAAGCCTCTCCTCCTTGTGGCCCCTTGTGGGCTCATGGGGAAACCATGGAAAACCATTTCCCCGACCTTCCGTCCATGAGAGGCTGCCTTCAAGGCGAGTCAGGCAGCTGCTCCATCGAGCTCCTCCGACCAGCAGCAGTCGCTCTCCACGGGGTCAGAAGGGAAGGGGTTTCCAGCCCTCCCTGGAGGGGCTGCCACTGGGGACTGAACCTGGCACCTTCTGCATGCAACGGCGGTGCTCTGACATTTCAGAACCATAGAACTGCAGGGTTTTTTTGTGGGGGGGGGGAATCCCAAGGCCCATCTAGCCCAACCCCTTGCAGTGAAATTGACCGACTGCCGGGTCCCCTGGAAGCCGCAGGGTTTACTCACTCAGTGCGCCCCTCGCTCACTTCTCCACGTGGGTACAATTCCGACACGAACTGGCCGTTGGCCAGCCAGTACATGATGCCACTGTCTTCGTAATCTGTGTAGCCCTCGCACAGAATGCGGATCTGTTTTCCTGAAGAGGAGGAGGAGAGACCACATGGAGTCACCCGGCAGGGTCCGAAAGGAAGGCCAAACGGCCACCCCTTTGGAGGGAGTGGTTCTGGAGGACCAGGCACATGGCGCATGAAATTACTGGGGTGCAGTTTAAATTCTGTTGCAGCATTCGAGGAACTTCAGTAATAGTTGCAAGGTAGATATAAGAAATTAGATATATTAAGAAAAAGTTTAATTATGATAAAAGTGTGTATGAAATCGAAATATGGAATAGACAGGAGGTTGGGTCTTTAGTGTTAAGAGCAATTTATGTTTTATTGTTTGTTAAGAAAATTATGTGTCTATGGTTATTCCTGTGTGTAATTTGGTATTTGTGTTTTTTCTTTTTTTCTTGCTGTATCAGTTTTTTTAAAAAAGAAAGAAACTACTGGGGTGCAGAGGGCAGACTGTACACCTGGGGGGGATCTGGGCAATCTTGAATGGACACTGAGAAAGCAAAGGGTGTGTGTGTGTGCGTGTGCCAGCCAGCCAGAAGCCCTCTTTGTGGGGGGTGGGGGTCCGGCTGGTTTCAATAAATGCCTTGCAGGGAGAACACTGGCAGTGAGCGCGCCAAGTCTTCTCTGCCCCCCCAAATGACTGTTCTCCACACCTTCCAATCTGAAGGTACCAGAAGTCTCCTTTAAATTGGGGGGGGGGGCTAGCAGGCTCTCCCAGCTTCCCCCACCCTCTGGAATACAAGTTCCAAATGGCTGCCCAGGTGTGGGCAAATATATAAGAGGGTGCTGGATCAGGCCAATGGCCCATCTGGTCCAGCATCCTCTTCTCACAGTGGCCAACCAGGTACCCCTACGGGAAACACACTATCGGGATTCGAACACAAGACTCCCTCCCCTCCTTCAGAAGCATTGATTCCCCCCGCAGTGGAGCCAGAGCAAAGCCAGCCTGACTAGGAGCCATCGATAGCCCTCTCCTCCTCCATGAGTTGGTCTAATCCCACTCTAAATCCATTCAAGTTGGTGGCCATCACTGCCTCCTGTGGCAGGGAGTTCCACAGTTTGACTACGTGCTTCATAAAGAAGTCCTTTCTTTTCTCTCTCCTGAGTCTCCCAACATCCAGCTTCATTGGGGACCCACGAGCTTGCTGCTTGTGGGCTGCTTTGAGGTACCTGCTGGATTTGAGGCAATATTCCTTGTGCAAAGAAATCATTCCCTGTAGGGGCTTTAATCCTTCTGCATCTAAATATTGGGAGTTCTCTAAGGAGAGGCTGACTGATTCTTCCTGACAAGTCTTGTGCTCTATACTAAGGACGGCTCCAGCTGCTCCTGGTGGGTCTTGGAGGGGCAACCTTCATGTTCCGGGGGGGGGGGGGGCAAAGGTTCCCAAAGCTAGGCTTCATTGGCTATCGTCCCTCCATGGACCAATCGTTCCCCCCCGGACCCCCAGCACCCCTCTCAAGCCGGTCTGACTTGCTTGTGCAAAGCGGGCAGGACTCACCGCAGGAAGGCTTCTGCACGACAAGGTCAGAAGAAATGTGTGGCTGCACATTTGCGGCTACATCTGAAAAGAGAAAACTCTTGAGAAGGAAACCTGGAACCCTTGGTAAGCCAGATGACCTCTTAGCCCCCCAAGATGACTGGTGTGCGGTTTCAGATGGAGAACCATGACTTGACCTGCTTATTGTGTTGCAAAAAAGAGAGCGCTTTCCGAAAGGTGCAAATGCATTCAGGGCACGCACCCTTTGAAGTCATCCTGAGCATGTTGGCAGACCACCACTGCCCCTTACCATCTGGTTCCCAAGCGCTGGCAAGCCCTGTGCCACGAAAGCCTGCGGAACAGTCTGCTCAGGGATTGGCGGACAGTTTCTGCTTGGCTCTCCCTTTGCATTTAACATCTGTGTCAGAGTTCCATGCTCTGGTGTCGCACCCACTGTTGGCTCTGGAGTCTCTGGATTAGGCCCCTGCCTCAGTCCCACCAAAGAGTCAACATGCTCTTTGTTCTGGGTCGAATTGTAGAGTTGGAAGAGGGCTCCCAAAGCTCATCCAGTCCAACCCCCTTGCAAAGTAGGAATCTCAGCTAAAGAATCCCTGGCAGATCCATACACACGCCCCACCTCTGCTTTAAACTCTCCAGTGAAGGAGAGTCCACCACCTTCCAAGGGAGTCCGTTCCACATTTGAACAGCTTTTACCACCAGAAAATTCTTCCTGATAATAATAATAATAATAATTTATTATTTCTACCCAGCCCATCTGGTTTCCCCAGCCACTCTGGGTGGCTTCCAACAAAATATTAAAATACAATAGTCTGTTAAACATTAAAGGCTTCCCTAAACAGGGCTGCCTTCAGATGTCTGGGACAGCTATCACATCACTTGTCTTTCTTCTCCAGGCTAAACATACCCAACTCCTTCAACCGTTCCTCACCAGGCTGGGTTTCCAGACCGAGATGTTGCCAAAGGTGATGGCAGACCCTCTGGAAAGGTCTGGCTGTGAACGTTGTGGGGCAGCTGATCCCTGGCTGCTAATCACTCACTTCTAAAAAGCCAATGGGGGGTTTTAAAGGGAGGGGGTGTTGTTAAAGAGAGTTATCTCTTCCCCGTGGTCACTTTGCCTTACCTTGGAAGGAGGTGCTGCTGCAGATCAGGGCCAAGAGCAGGCAGCGTGCCTGGTGGCGAAGGCCTGGAAAGAGAGCAGGGGGAGAGAGAGAGACAGTTAGCATGGGCAGGCAGCAAGAGTCTCCACCAGCTCATTGCTTGGCCCCGGAGCCCTGCACCCCAAGGGAACATCTCCCCAGCTCACAAGGTGCAAAGTGCTCCTTTGCGCGTCGTGAACCTCGGGAACTGCCTGCTGCAGGATGCTGCAATGGCCACTGGCTTAGATGGCTTTGATGGGTTAAGAGAGAAAGGAGGTGGTCTAGCCACGGTCTAGCCAGGTGCCTGGTTGGTGAATGGCAGTGGCTGGAGCTCAGGGTAAGGCTGAGCAGCAAAAGTGCTGCTTTGAGGCATCTGAAATGCCTGCCTGCAAAGATCTGCTTCTTTCCATTTCTTTGCCCGTTAGCCTCCTTGTACCACAAAGGTCAGCAATGACAAACTTAGACAGCATCCTAAAAAGCAGAGACATCACCTTGCCAACAAAGGTCCATATAGTTAAAGCTATGGTTTTCCCAGTAGTGATGTATGGAAGTGAGAGCTGGACCACAAAGAAGGCTGATCGCCGAAGAATGGATGCTTTTGAATTCTGGTGCTGGAGGAGACTCTTGAGAGTCCCATGGACTGCAAGAAGATCAAACCTATCCATTCTTAAGGAAATCAGCCCTGAGTGCTCACTGGAAGGACAGGTCCTGAAGCTGGGGCTTGAATACTTTGGCCACCTCATGAGAAGAGAAGACTCCCTGGAAAAGACCCTGATGTTGGGAAAGATGGAGGGCACAAGGAGAAGGGGACGACAGAGGACGAGATGGTTGGACAGTGTTCTCAAAGCTACCAGCATGAGTTGGACCAAACTGCGGGAGGCAGTGGAAGACAGGAGTGCCTGGCGTGCTCTGGTCCAGGGGGTCACGAAGAGTCGGACACGACTAAACAACAACAACAACAACAAACTTGCCTTGGCTGATATAGAAAGGTAAAAGGTAAAGGGACCCCTGACCATTAGGTCCAGTCGCGGCCGACTCTGGGGTTGCAGCGCTCATCTCGCTTTATTGGCTGAGGGAACCGGCGTACAGAGGGGGCAGTCAGGCCAAGAAGAGCCCAGCGTATCCCCCATCACACTGTCCCCAAGGCCACCACTGGGCCAGCTGTACGTCCTCCATCCATTCATGGATGTGTCTTAGCATTTTAACTTTGTATAGCACCTCGGCAGAAAGGCATTGGTGGAAGTGCAAGGAATAAATAAACGAGTAAATACCGGCATAAGACGAATGGACAAATCATTATCTTTATTGCTACTGCACCACGTTGAAAATGGCCATTCACAAATGCCCCCATAGAATAAAATTGTAAGGGACCGCAAGGGTCATCAAGTTCAACCCCCTGCAGTGCAGGAACATACCCTCTAAAATTTCCCTGATGAAAATAGAGAATGATGATTTTACTGTTCATACCCACACATCTTACTGGGTTACCGCCAACATTTATAAAAACACAATAAAACATTTTTTTAAAAAACCCTTCCCTATACAGGATTGCCTTCACATGGCTCGGGAGTCAGATAATTCCATACCCTTCAACATTCCTCCAATGAAAATAGGGACATCCTAAGGAAAAGTGGGACACTCCGCAGAGGATCAAATCAGAAACCAGGACGGCTTCTCTAAATCAGGGACCTCCCTGGAAAATACGGACTCTTGGAGGGTCTGCAGGAATGAACAGCTCAAGAATCCCTGACCGAGACCCACCTCCCACTGCTGAACATCTCTTCCTGTCAGAAGTTGCTTCCTGCTGCTGAGTCGGAATCTCCTTCCTTGCCATTTGGATCCCTTGGTTCGGATCCTTCCCTCCAGAGCAGCAGAAATCTAGCTTGCTCCATCTTCCCCCTGGAAGGCGTTTGGAGATGGCTCTCCTGCCTCCTCTCCGTCTCCTCCATTCCAGGCTCAGCATCCCCAGCTCCCTCAACTGTTCCTCACAAGGCTTGGTTTCCCTCACAGAACTACAGTTCCCAGCACCCTTTGCAAACCACAGTTCCCAGGATTCTTCAGGGAAGTTGGGCTTTGAAGGTGCGCAGCCTCGGTTTCAAGTGTACAGTTACACTTCAAGCAAAAGGGAAAGTTCCCCTTGGACCCTCAGCTGCTTCCTCCCTCTTTTCTGTGCCACTGAAGGGGCACGTCTGTGTGGGCGCAGATGGCGCCACTGAGGCTGCAGAGAGTGTGGCTAAGAAGCCTTGGCAGAGGCGGTGGAGGTGGCTGGCTCCCTACCTGTGGCTGAAGACATCCTCTTCGTCCTCTTCGCAAGGGGGGTGTCTGAACGGAGGGAGGAGGAAGAGCTTTATATATCCGGTTCCTGACTCACAGGAAAGCCCTGCCTCCCACCCACATGCCCCCAGCAGACAAAACAAAACAAAATGCCACATTCTTCACCAAATATTTAAAATTATTTTTAAAGCATGGCTTAGAGCAGGGATCAGCAAACTTTTTCAGCAGGGGCCAGTCCACTGTCCCTCAGACCTTATGGCGGGCCGGACTATATTTTTTTGGGGGGAGGGAATGAACGAATTCCTATGCCCCACAAATAACCCAGATATGCATTTTAAATCAAAGGACACATTCTACTCATGTAAAAACACGCTGATTCCCGGACTGTCCATGGGCCGGATTTAGAAGGCAATTGGGCCAGATCCGGCCCCCAGGCCTTAGTTTGCCTACCTATACATGGCCTAGAGGTACCCATAAAATCTGCAGCACCTGTTTTTAACTAAAAGCTCTTTAATACTTCCAGGAAAACTGACAACTTCTCGTAAGATGTGGTTTGTCCCTTTCCCAGCAGAACATGAGCACAAGAGCACCTGGCCCTCCTGTGATTTCCAGGAACTGGCATACGGAAGCATCGCTGCCTCTGACTGGAGAGGCAGAGCAGAGCCCTCCAGGCTAGAAGCTGTTTAGGGAAGTTTTTAATGTCTGACGCTGTGTTGTTTTTAATAGAGTGGCTGGGGAAACCCAGCCAGATGGGCGGGGTATAAATAATGAATAATTATTATTATTATTATTATTATTATTATTATTATTATTATTAATTTATTATTTCCTCTGTGAATTTCTTTAAGACCGTCGTTAAGGGAACTGCCATCAGTGCCGGAGGGAGAGAGCAAGCTCCAGAGGGATTCCAGAGAGCGTCCCGGGATTGGGAGAGGCAGCCCATCTTCTGGGGAATAGAATCAGCGTAGCACCAGTGGAGAAGGGGGGCAGATGGGGAAGTGGCGAGGCGGTCCCATGACTCCTTGCCGGGGACCAGCGGGGAGAGTAAGGGTCCTCCGCTGCCTACGCCCTCCTTGCGCAGAAGGCTTTCGCGCAGAGAGAGTAGGAGGAGACTAGGCGTCAAAGAGCTTCTTTGCTGGAAGAAGTTTAAGAAACGCCCACTGACGGATTCTGCCAGCGATTGAGACAGCCACGGGAGAGTGGCTGTCCAGACAGAAAAGGTTCACTCAGGCAACCCAGCCAGGTGTGGGCACCGGCTTACGCACGAACAACCCCTAGAACCATTACACCGTCCAACTTGGTGGCCTTCGCTGTCGCCTGTGGGAGGGAGTTCCATGCGTGAAAAAGTCCTCTCTTTCCTCTGCCCTGAATCTTCGAACTTTCGGCTTCTTGGGATGTCCACAAGTTCCGGTGGTCCACAAGAGAGGGGGGAAAGCTTTTCTCCAACCTCTTTCTCCATTCCATGCATAATTTGCCAACTTCCTATCATGTTGCCTCTTCTCTAAACTAAAATTACCAGTTTGTTTTTTCAATGAATCCGGGGACACTTTTCAACTTCCTATTAAATAGATAGATTTTGTCAGGGGACTGATTTGTAAATCTGAGGACTGTCGCCGGGAAACGGGGACGTCTGGTAACCTTACTCAAAACCAAAAAGTCCCAAATGCTGCAACCGTTCTTCGCAGGGGAGTCCCCGGGATTCCAGTGCTATTTTTCTAGAGAAAGCGGTGCCAAAACTCTCCCTGAATGCCTCCCTTGTTCTCTTAGACTGGCAATGGCGCCCACCTGAGAGGGTGGGGAGGAAAACCCTGCCTGGATCATTTCAGTTGCCCTTTTCCGAAGTCCAGTTTGTTTTCTACTGTTTTGTGAGTTTCGTCTGTTTCTGTAAATATGTAACATCCAGGCTTGCCCTTCTCAATGTCTCCGCTCAAAAAGAGGGCTGAAAGAGAGTTGGGGGAAAAGGTTTCCTTGCATGGAGAAGCAGGTGGGTTGCAGAGGTCCTGGGGTGCTTTTGGGGGTCAGCACAGCATGTCTGCGTTCCAGCCTCTCTGCCCCCTGTTAGGATATACAGTGGTACCTCGGGCTAAGTACTTAATTCATTCCGGTGGTCCATTCTTAACCTGAAGCACCACTTTAGTTAATGGGGCCTCCCGCTGCCACTGCGCCACCACCGCGCGATTTCTGTTCTCATCCTGAAGCAAAGTTCTTAACCTGAGGTACTATTTCTGGGTTAGCGGAGTCCGTAACCTGAAGCGTATGTAACCTGAGGTACCACTGTAGTTCCATTCCACCTTAAAAGGGTGCAGGCATGACTGTTGTGTGTCACATGCCTGTTTATTCCCAGCGCAGTCTGCTGGGAACTTCCGTTTGTATATAGCTTTTGTTGTTGCTGTTTTGCTGGAGACGAAGGGAAGCAGACATGTTCTTTCCTTTGTTCCTGAACTATGCTGAATAAACGCTTGTAAATACTGCTTACACAGGGCTCTGTCCGCCTCTTCCACTGTGCAAAGATTTATTCACTCTGCTCTAAACGTATCTGAGGTTCGTGTCGCTGTTTGATGCTGTTCCAAGGGAGACCGGTGATCGTCCGGCTGCCGGCCGGTGGCTGGAGCCAGCTGGGGGCCTGCCTGATGCCCCTGTCCCCCGGCAGTATCCCAACACCCCCACGGCGCGCCAGTGAGTCCAAAAAGGACCAGACAAACCTGATGTTTGTTCTTTCAAGGCCCTCCAGGAACATTTTGTGGGTTGCTGATCCTTCAATAGCCGACTTGCACTTCCCCCTTTCCTGGAAGCGGCAGTGCTACTCCACTTCTGCGCCTCTCAGTTTTGCTTTACATTTCCGCTGGCATTGCTAAGTCATGGGAAACCCATTTGAAGACGCAGATTACACTAATAATCCGAAAAATCTCAGCCCTAGATGGTGCAGGGGGGAAAACCCTGCACAAGCTCAGAATGAATGTGATGTCTGGTAGGGAAGACCGCTGGATCTTTCTCAACTTTTCTGCTGAGCTAGATTTAGCGCCACGTGAGCTTCTGGTGCAAAGGCTTTCTGCTTTCTTTAGATAAGCCCTTTCTCACTCACTGCCCTCCTCGCCAGGAGTTCTGGTTTCGTTCTTGAGCTCTGGACTGCAGAAAGTGCTTCTGTCCTAAATAAAGCCCTTAAGTCCCTGCACTGACCCTGGGTTCAGACTGTTCAGATTCCCACCAGCCAACCATAGGAGTCAACTCCTAGGGGCCAAGGGGTTTTCGCCCCCCCCAATAAAATATTTGAGGGGGCCGCCCCCCCCCAAAAAGTTGATGGGCATTGCCATTCAAATGGTGTGACTCTAGCAGTGACCAGAGGAGGAATGGCCACTGGGAGGAGCACAGAGAGAAGGAACTCCCTGGTGCGCCTGCCTTAGTGAAACTGGACGCCTTCATCTGCCCCAGCTGCAACAAAACATCTCTCCCTTTTCTGTTTCTACTACAGCCACAGCAGGTGCTATAACTCCCCAACGATTTGACTTGACCCCCTGAAGGCGCACTCCTTCGTTGTCTCCCAAGACAGTGGTGGGAAGTAGGGGGAGGAAAGGTGGGGAAATATTGTTAAAAAAGGTGTAGTCATAGGTATATCAGTATTCAAATTTGAATTGTCAAATGGTGTTAGTAGCGTTATTATGGTTTTTGTTGTATGTGTCTTTTGCGGTTGTTCTTTGTATTGAAAAAATGATTAAATAATTTTAAAAAAATAGGAAAAGGAAAAATTCTAAAACAGGTTAAAAAAAAAATCACACCAACTTCCTAACCTTTATAGTGCAATAGTGTGAAGCAGCTGTTGGCACAGGTTGCAATACTACGGGTTTCATTTCTTTTGTCGCCTTAATAATTAACCTCTGGGAATGTGCAGTCAACTGCCTGCCTTTGTATCTTTAACATGTCCGCATTGCTGGGCACTTAATGTCTCTGCCCAAATTGTGCCCACTGGAACACTCTGTCCAGCCATCTGCCCACCCACCCACTGATCCTTCCTTCCTTCCTCCCCCTCCTCCGCCTCCTTCTGGGAAACATAGTTCAGCTGCCACCAAGTCCCAGTGAGCTCAGCGGGTCACTGGCCCTTCCCTAGCCTGGGGCGAGAGTGACTTCAGCCATGCTCAGCCACGCGGCTGCCTGTTGCCCACCTGCTTTGAATCAGTTAGTGATGGAAGCCAGCTGTGGAGTTCTTTCTCCCAATGGAGAGGGGTGCGAAGGGAAGCCCCCAACCTTCATTGTTATGTACTGAGTTGAATAGGATCCAAAATGCAGCAGTCTGATTGGTCCTAGAACAATAGGATTCAGAATGCAGCAGTCTGATTGGTCCTAGAACAATGCAGCAGTCTGATTGGTCCACAGGAGCCACCCAATCCAGCTACAGGTGGGAGTGAATCCACAACCTGATTGGCCTACAGGAATTAGCCAATCACGTGCAGCCCTTTGTGTAAATAATGTATATAAAGCAGATACTTTGAGGGGACTTTCATTCCCTCCTCACCACTATGAGCTGAATAAAGAGCATGAAATCCACTCTCGACTCCGAGTATATTTCACTCTTCGCAAATGGCCTGACGGTTGAAGGAATTGGTTTACGTTTAGCCTGGAGAAGAAGTGTCCGAAGGGATATGAGAGTCATTTTCAAATGTCTCGAGGGCTGCCCCGTGGAAGAAGGAGCGAGCTTGTTTTCTCCTGCTCCAGAAGGCAGGACCTGGACTGATGGCCATGGCAAGAAAGGAGATCCCGACTAAACGTTAGGAAGATTTTTCTGTGATAATTTTTTTATTAAGGTTTTCAGTATTACAACAGATAGATAGACAGATGTAACAAATACAAAATAAGGGAAAGACAAAAAAACATAGCAGGCAGAGGAGTGCGTGCCTATCTCCAAGGCAACTGACTAATCTGGAAAATATATATATCACTGAATAGGAATAAGTCCAGGAAGAAAGTCTTATCACACCCATATTTCTCTCAAAACCAGTCAGAAGAGAAGAGGGGCAGATGAAGATGACAGTCTTTGCAGAACTGGCGAAGCTGGCAGGAAAAATCTGAAACCAGCATGATCAAGTATTTCAAAATGACTGGAGTAAATTCATACGATATCTGAAAGATCATGGTAAGCAATTAACATCACTAGCAGGATTGCCTGAAGACTTGTAATGAGAAATTTTCTATCTTTATTTAAATTTTTGAGATCTTTTGCAATAAGTGTAATTAGAATTGGAAAACGTGTAAATTGCAATGATATAAAGGTTAATTTTGAAAGCCATGAGGCAGGAGGGAAGGAATTCTATAGGCTCTAAGAGCCAAGGCAGTATAGTGCATAAAGATGATGTGAATGTATAATGTTAAATGGAAAACAAATAAAAAATATTAAAAAAAACAAAACCAGTGAGAGGCACTGATTTAGATGCTCATCATTGGTAGATTGAACAAAGTCCCATCAAAACGCCACAAAAGAGTCCAGTTTCTTTTTTTTTTTAGATAAAAATCCCATGTTCCATGTGACATTTTCTTGTGAGGCAATGTTCTAGATGCCGTCCCACGAATGTGATATCCAATAAAGTTTTCTGATTTGAACAATCATTAAATGAGTTACCAACCACAAAAATATCAAGAGTTCTTTTGATTTGATCTTTACCTTCTGAGGGAATTTTGGTTCTGACGAGTTATGGCCAGGGCAATATCTTCATCCACGAAAATCAGGGATTTTCTGATACAAATTAAATCTATTTCATTTCCCCCTGCAGCTCTGGCTTGAAACCTAACCAAGGCAAGAGGGGGAATTAACATTCTCCATCCTTGCTAGCAAGTGCCTTGACAAATACACCTGGAAAATTATGTTTGCTTTTAAAGGAAGAAAGTTTGAGGTATAAATGAGGCCACCACTTCAGCCCTTTTGAAGATGAAAAGCCTAAAATAAAATTAAAAAACAGGAACAGAAACAAGAGGCAGTTATCTCTCTCTCTTCCCATTAATCTCCCATTTCTCCAAAGTACTAGGAAGCTCTGAGTGAGTCCCACAACTCCAGAAATAGGCACTGCCTAAAACAATAATAATAATAATAATAATAAAACAGGAACAGGAACAAGAGGCGGTTACCCACTTTGATTCAGAGACTGGTGCTTGACCATCAGACATGCTCAGTGACTTGAACTCATGACAGATTTGAGTCAAAAAGGGTGAAATTATTCCACAGTTGAACTTTGGCCTTCAAACCAGCCGTGTGATTTGCACAGCAATGTATATGGAAATCAGGCGGTTTTTCTAAAGGACATGGTTGCATGCTTTGTCTAGGTCAGCCATGCAAAATTTGAAATTATGCAGGGTCTGAGTTTTCTGAGATTGACTTAGCTGCAGCAATAGCCCCACTGAAGTGGCCCTTTGCAGCTTTTAGCACCAGGTGAGGTGACTGCAAAGGATATGGACCTGCCCTCAGGAAACTTAAGCTGCTGTTCTAAATGACGGCCTGTTCTAAAGTGACACAATTGGTTCTGCAGTTTGTTTCTTCTGAACGGGACTCAAGGCCCTATTTTTGGCCTCGAGAAGCCTCCATGTGGCCCTCAGTATCTCGAGGAATACATAATACCTGCAACATCACCTCAGCCCATAAATGCCTCACCAGCAGAACTGGCCGGGTTACAAGCTCCACCTAAGATCCACATTTGTGGGAACTTGACATTTTAGTATGGCATAACAGGAGCAGGGATGCCCTCGCCTTCGTATACCTCGCCTTCGTAGACCTGACAAATGTGGGAATGTTCAGGGAGGCAGAAGAGGATATATTGTTAATATCCTTCCTGACTTGCACTAGCAAGTTCCTTTACTTAGCAGAGTTTCACTTTCCCCTTTTAAACGCACAGCAGATAGCTGGTTGCAGGCTTGTGTGAGCCTCTGTTAGGTTCCTGGTAAGTTCCCTTCTATCCCTCTTAAAAGAATAAACACGCCACAATCTTGTTTAAAGTATATAAAATAAGTTTACTCACATCATCAGTTCACAGTTGAATCCCTGAAGGCAGACTTAGTTACATGTGGATCTATCCCATATGGGGATAATCCCAGCGTCCTCTGTTGGATGAAAACCAATAGAGCATTTCTAGCTAAAAAGCTACTCCAATGACGGAGGAAGTCAAAGAGAGAGAGTGAGTGCTGCGTGACTCGTCCTTTTATTACCTGGACAGGTTAGGTCACGCCCACCTCTAGTCACATGCAAATGAAGTATGCCCCAGCCAGGAGGAAACAGGAAATTTTCAACTGGCTGCACCAAACATTCCCCCGCATGTCCACTCTAGGAAAACAAGGAATGTTGTACTTGACTGCTAGACATCACCTTGCCAACAAAGGTCCGTATAGTTAAAGCTATAGTTTTCCCCGTAGTGATGTATGGAAGTGAGAGCTGGACCATAAAGAAGGCTGATTGCCAAAGTATTGATGCTTTTGAATTCTGGTGCTGGAGGAGACTCTTGAGAGTCCCATGGACTGCAAGAAGATCAAACCTCTCCATTCTGAAGGAAATCAGCCCTGAGTGCTCACTGGAAGGACAGATCCTGAAGCTGAGGCTCCAAGGCTTTGGCCACCTCATGAGAAGAGAAGACTCCCTGGAAAAGACCCTGATGTTGGGAAAGATGGAGGGCACAAGGAGAAAGGGACGACAGAGGACGAGATGGTTGGGCAGTGTTCTCGAAGCTACCAGCATGAGTCTGACCAATCTGGGGGAGGCAGTGGAAGACAGGAGGGCCTGGCGTGCTCTGGTCCAGGGGGTCACGAAGAGTCGGATATGACTAAATGACTAAACAACAACACCACTTATGTATCACATCCCACAACAAAGGCCTTGGACCTCATCAGTCGAAAGGGACTTTTCACGCCCCCCCCCCCCATTATCATGCCATCCAGTAGCCTCGGATGCCTTCCTTGGAAAAGTGGTGTGAAACAGGGCTGTGTTCTCGCCCCAATGCTCTTTGGCACGTTGTTCTCCCTGTTGCTCTCCTGTGCCTTCAGCTCAACTGATGATAGTGTCATTATAGGAAAAAACTGCTCCTTTTCCCTTATGAGGTATCCAAGAGCCCGTCTAGTCCTTAAGTAGGTTTCCTTTCGGGAGGAGAAAATAACAGAGGCCAACCAGAAAATATTGAAATTGCCCATCCTGTAGCCCAAGACCCCCCCCCCCCAAAAAAAACAACAACATACATACATCACAGAAGGAGGCGGTCTACAGCAGAAATCCTGTCCGCCAGGATACCTGATAATGGTCACTGGCTGCTTTACCTGGGCAGCCTGGCCATTCTTTTGTGATGGTTAATAGTTTAGTTCCTGAATCCAGGTTACAGGCTCACCCTAGTCATACACAAATACGCCTTTAAGACAGGATTTGCAAGCAAAAAGACAAAGGGAAGGCTTTCCCCATTTTCCTCCCTACTGCAGAGGAATATTTGAGGCCACTGGGAGTCAAAATGGCTTCAGGATTGTACTATTTCAGACACATGTTTTATATACTTATGTGTTTGCCTTGTAAATTTATGAATGTTTAATTTATTTTTGAGACCTTAAATTCTTATAAGAGTGTGTACATCCATACGAGGAGAGACAGGGGTCTGCTCATCCTGCAAGTCTCTGTGGCCAGACGAAAGTGGGGCAGATTCCTATCTGAGAGATGTTGCTTGCACGTGATGCAGCCTTGACAGCGCACTCTGAGGAAGCTCAGCATAGGTTCATCATGGCCGCTGGGAGGAGTGCAGAGAGATGAAACGCGTGGTGCAGCTGCACAAACAGACACCTTCATCTGCTGCAACAAAACATGTCTCTCCCCATCTGTCTCTACAGCTACAGCAGGCACTGTAACTCCCCAATGGTTTGACTTCACCCCCGAAGGTGAAGTCTCCTCCTCCATTGATTACCGAGACAGATGCACCAGTTTGAAGCCTGTTTGTTTTTTACACTTTTGCCTGGCCCTTCTCGCAAGGAATTCAGGGTGACATGGGGGGTTCTTCCGATCGCCAGCTGCTTTACCCTCACAATGGCCCTGTGAGGTAGGCCAGGGCGAGCGACAGGAGCTGTCCCAAGGCGGCCCAGTGAGTTCCATGGCTGAGAGCGGAATTTGCACCCAGGTCCCCTCAGTCTTGATCTGCCTTGGTGAGCCTTAAGAGAACGCATACCAGTTAGAGGAACTGGGACTCAAATTGTCAACAGTTTGCCTGAAAAGCAGAGTCACGATGAGTTTGAGTTAATCCAGATTCCGAGTAATTGCAATACTGATAATGATAATTTCTCTCTTCCCATTTCTCCAAAGTACTAGGAAGCTCTGAGTGAGTCCCACAACTCCAGAAACAGGCACTGCCTAAAACAATAATAATAATAAAACAGGAACAGGAACAAGAGGCGGTTACCCACTTTGATTCAGAGACTGGTGCTTGACTGTCAGACATGCTCAGTGACTCGAACTCATGACAGATTTGAGTCAAAAAGGGCGAAATTATTCCACGGCCGAACTTTGGCCTTCAAATAGGGAGTTGTTGCAATTTTGGTCAGCAAGGGGGCATGATCCTGAGGAGCCCACAAGTAGTTTCCATTACACGTCCTAGTGCTTGCGCTTCAGCCGATCACACCACAAAATCACCATGAATAATCAGAGTGTGAGTGTGCGCGAGACAGGTTTATTTTATTAAACTTGTATCCTGTCCTCCCCAAAGGTTCCCAGAGCAGAAAACATCAAAATGTTAAAACAATGCAACTGGAAATATCTGCAAGCAATTTAAAACCATCCAAATTGTGCCCGTGTCCCGCATGGACTTGCTTGTGAAGATGTGACTAATTTCACTTGCCCTGGGAACTAGGGGTGAACATGAGACCAAACCTGCCCCTTGGCAAAGCGCCTGTGAGGGATTTGGGCTCCTCTGAGGTGAGGTGCCATATGCTAGAGCAGTAAGGTCAAGGTAAAGGGACCCCTGACCATTAGGTCCAGTCGTGGCCGACTCCGGGGTTGCGGCGCTCATCTCGCTTTATTGGCCGAGGGAGCCAGCGTACAGCTTCCAGGTCATGTGGCCAGCATGACTAAGCCACTTCTGGCGAACCAGAGCAGCGCACGGAAACACCGTTTACCTTCCCGCCGGAGTGGTACCTATTTATCTACTTGCACTTTGACATGCTTTCGAACTGCTAGGTTGGCAGGAGCAGGGACCGAGCAACGGGAGCTCACTCCGTCACGGGGATTCGAACTGCTGACCTTCTGATCGGCAAGCCCTAGGCTCTGTAGTTTAACCCACAGCACCACCCTCGCCCTATGTTAGAGCAGTAGCAGGATGCTTAAAGGCGACAAAAACCCACTGCAATTGCAACACTTCTGGAGTGTTATAAAATTTTAAGGTGCGCACACATAGCAGTTGTGCACGCCACAGAAAACCAATCCTTCACCCTGCAAAATTTAGGAAATATTGCCTGAGAAAAGTACACCTTATTTTAGTGCACAGAGCAATCCCAAAAAACCTTCTGCAGAAGGGAAATACCGTATTTTTCGCCCTATAGGACACTTTTCCCCCTCCAAAAATGAAGGGGAAATGTGTGTGCATCCTATGGGGCGAATGCAGGCTTTCGCTGAAGCCTGGGGAGCGAGAGGGGTCGGTGCGCACCGATCCCTCTCGCTCTCCAGGCTTCAGGCAGCTATCCGCAAGCCTGCGGAGCCCGGCGCGACTTCCCGCTGGGCTCCCAAGGCTTGCAGATAGCAGTCTGTTCTGGGGGCTGGGGTCGGGGAAAGCTCAGGCTTCCCCCGCCCCAGCCCCACGCCTGGGGGGGAAAATTTTTTTTCTTTATTCCGCCCCCCAAAAAACTAGGTCCGCCCTATGGGCCGGTGCGCCCTATAGGGCGAAAAATACAGTATATTGAAGAAAGCTCTCCCAATAGCTCTTTACACTTACGAATCCTTCAAATCCTGTCTTAAGGGCATATTTGGTGTATGAATAGGATGGGCCTGTGACCTGGATTCAAGAACTAAAGTATTTACCACCTCAAAAGAATGGCTAGGCTGCCCAGGTAACGCAACCATTAAAACATTATCAGGTATCTTGGCAGAGAGGAGAGAAGCCATACAGACCACCTATTTTTGTGCTTTTAGGGTAAAGGTAAAGTGACCCCTGACCATTAGGTCCAGTTGCGGACGACTCTGGGATTGCGGTGCTCATCTCGATTTACTGGCCAAGGGAGCTGACGTTTGTCTGCAGTTTTTCCGGGTCATGTGGCCAGCAGGACTAAGCCGTTTCTGGCGAAACCAGAGCAGCGCACGGAAACGCCGTTTACCTTCCCACCGGAGCGGTACCTATTTATCTACTTGCACTTTGACGTGCTTTTGAACTGCTAGGTTGGCAGGAGCAGGGACTGAGCAATGGGAGCTCACCCTGTTGCGGGGATTCGAACTGCTGACCTTCCAATCGGCAAGCCCTAGGCTCAGTGGTTTAGACCCACATGCTTTCAGGGTAGTATTTGTCTAAAGGATTGGACAATGTCAAAAGTCTTCAAAGGTTCCTGCAAACTTTGTTCTTGGTCTCTCTTACCTCCTTGCAAGGTGGGTGGTGGGTGGGACTCTATTGCAACAAAAAATGAAAGATCTCCTTGCTTTCACGGGATCTTGCCTCCATCCATTCTTCTCTGACAGATCATGGACTTAGGGGGTGCAGAATTCCTTGGGGAGTTGGGCAGCAGAAGCCGACCCCCAATTCTTCTACAGCAGGAGGATAGGGTCAAAACCACCCCTGCTTGTCTCTTCTTCCTCCTTGCAATCAAAATTTAGATTCCTGTATGCTCTGTGAAGGCAGGGACCTGCCGTTTTATTCCTGCTTCTGAGATATGTTAAGCACCACGTTCCAATGATGATGGAAATTTACTACAGCCCAGAGTGCTGCTCTGTTAACCGAGTCAAAATGGACATGTTTTTCCCCTGCAAAGTCAGCACAGTGTAAATTAATGTCAAAAGTCTGAGTCACAGCAAGTCATCAGAATTATTTTGCTTTATTTTCCTTTCAAGGAACCCTGACGTGTTTTCATGTACAGAGTACCATTTGAGAAAAGAAACAGGAACCCTTCCGTCTTTCTCTCCCCTGACCCAAACTGCTCCAGCGCACGGTTCAGGCAAACCATTCCTAGACAGCCCAGACACCACTGGGATGGGAGCTGAAACAACCATAAACTGCTCAAGTGCATTTGGGTGGGGAGCATAAATAAAGCTTTGCTTTTGAAAAGGGCAAGTAGGACCTGCAATAAAATGTTGCAGCACAGGGCTCCTGTTCACTGCTCCAGCCAGCCATGGCCTCTCCCCTGATGTTCAGCTGTACGATACTCCATTCAGTTCCCTCTCAACGGTCAGGAGACACCCGCACTGTGCATTGAAAGCACTATAACGCCACTTTCAGGCATCCAGGGTTTCTCCCAAAGAACCCTGGGAGCTCTTGTTTTCTAAGGGCGCTGAGACTTTTCGGAGGTCCTGTCCCCTTTGCAGAGCTACAGTTCCCAAGCTTCCTGGTAACTGGAGTTGCTTAAAGTGGTGTGATCCTGCTTTCAATGCATAGTGTGCCTATCACCACTTTTAGCTATTTCTTCAAAATGCCTGCCCCCCTCCTCTGCAAAGTTCCTCCCTGGGGACTGCAAGGGCCTTCCCCTTGAATGTGGATGGTGCTGCTTTGGCTACAAGGGACACTCATTATATAATACCACTAAGAGAGGAAATGATGCCCTCCTTGGTTAAATAGGAAAATAAATCCATTCAAAATGCCTTTCAAACCTCGTCTGGCACGCAAGGCCCTCCCAGCCAAACAAGGAACTTCTTGGAAATACAAGGAGCACGCAGTTCGGCAGAATTTATTACACATTCGTTTAGGGGAGAAAAAGAATTAAGCCACGCTATGCCTTTCAAAAGATCTTTTCGCAGAAGAGATATCAGATTGCAAATGTCTGGTTTGTGGATTACACAGTGCAGACACAGAGTCAAACCAGACCTCCTCAGTGTGCATAACTAAATATGCTTATTGGGGGGTGGCAAACGGGTGCACAGTGTGGCTCAGCCCCCTTGAAGCTTCTGAACCCTTACATCACTTGACTCTCCCCAAATTGCACCGTACCTTTTTGGATAGCGAGGTCACCCCACAAGGGATCCAGCAGCACATTCTGACCCTCTGCCCCACTGGCTGCCCAACAGAACCCCCAAATACCGGCATGCATTGGGGCGAGGAAATTCTTGCAACATGCAGAATGTTATATCTGCCACCCTCGGGACTTCCCCTGTCGAATGGCCCACTTGAAGCTTAGTGGGTGGGGCGGGTGGGGAGAAGGAACTCCAGTTAGCTAGAAAGGTTTATTTCACCCCTTGGGGACACCTTTGGAACAACCCTTCCTGGAATCCTTGCCAAGTGCACGAGGAGCAGCCGCAGAAGCATTTTATGCTCTGAAAGAGGATCTCCCTCTTGCCCCAGGAAGGATTCCTCCCAATGCACTGGGGCTTTTTCACCCTTTCACACATGCACCTGCCATTGGACTCCCAGCATCAAAACAGTGCAGAACAGGATGTTCACATGAAGATCCTACTTTTGATCAAAAGTCCAGGGAACAAGTCAGAGATGGCGGTGACCCTCAGCTGCAGCTCTGGAGAGCAATTCAGCAGTTGCCACAGGGCAGGGGGCAAAATGCAAGGCTCGAGAGACCCCTCTCTCTCATCCATCCACAATATACCCAACTGGCCTAGCCGCAAGCGGCGTTGCCCACAGCTTTCCCTATCCAGAGGCCTTGCAAATCCCGGGGCTGATGGGATTTGTGGTCCAAAACATCAGGAGAGTCCCAGGGGCAAAGGGAGGCTGAGTGATTCCAACGGTGGTGCCATTTCCCGCGGACTTCCTACGTCTGAGTCGCCCCAACTGCACTGGAATCGGACGGACGGTGCCATCACTCTCCCCTGGGAGTTTTGGCTTCATGGGCTGATGCCAGGCTGCACAAGGAAGGCTTGGAGACCAAGGGGTGATTGCCCATCTCGCCCCAGGAGGGTCCGGCCCGGCCTGTTTCCCATCACGGTGCTCCCAATATTCTGGAGAAGCTGGTTCTGGTCACCCAAAGGTGGTCGGTGGCGTGGGCAGCAGCCGAGCAGCAGGACAGACACATCCTCTCTCACTGGCTCAGGGTTGGGGCACCATTGCTTGCCAATTCCCTGCTGAGCAGCACCCTATTGCACACACAGGCCCACACTTTCCGTGGGGCTGCTTGGGCGAGGAGTGGGAGTTCGGAAAGGGTTTCCCTCCGCCAAGAGCTCCCTCTTCTCTGTAGTTCGTCATCAACGTGCTTTCGGGAGAAACACCCGCATGTGTTCCTGCAGTTATGTCCAAACGCGGAAAGAACAGAGGCTGCAGGCAGAAATCGTCCCGCGGGATCCAAGGCGGCCGGCTTGTCCTTTTCGGGGAGAAGGGAAGAGTCGGCACGGCAGGCCCCGATTCGCAGCTCCTGTCTGCCGAGAGCTGGCGGGCCCTGCCTCTTCTAACAAGAGACCAGCGAGACATGCTCTCGTAGAAAAGGAACTCACTGTACAAAAAAATGCCTGGCTACCAACAGGGATGTTGTAAGAGGAAAAATAGTGCAAAAATACAGAGAGAGAAAGAGAAAGAGAGAGGAGATTTTTCTGAACCAGCCCAGGTTTATAAACCTAAGGCAAGCCAGGGGGTGGTTACTACTTTCAGCAAGGCAAGATATGTGAAGAAAGTTGGGAAAAGGCTGCTCCGAGCTGGAACACTCAAAGAGGGTCCTCTCCCTCCAACAAAATGCACATTATTGCTGCTACCCCCCCTCCTCTCCAGGCCGTTCCTGGGCAGCTGGTCTCACTTTGCCAGCCCCTCTCCTGTATCAGGATGGTGATGGGGTGGCAGGCAGAGACATTGCCCTCCCAGGCCTCATTTGGGCAGCCCAGCTGCATCCCACAGCCAAGTCTTGCTTCTCAGAACTGCTGTGCTGGCTAGGAGGGGACCCCAGTGCGAATCCTGATCCCCCACAAGGGATGGGGCAGGGCTGGCCAGCAAGGGCAGAAGGTCTGGGGCTGACAGTGCTGCTGCTGCAGAACAGATCCTCTCTGCTGATTTCTTTTGCTCTACGGCAACCATAATAACTAAGGACGAGCGAGTTGGGACGGCAGGGGAGGCCCCCCCCAAAGGTTCTGTTTCCTTTCGCATCAGCAATAAAAAGGTTTTAAATATGCTCATTAAAATAATTCTTTTCTTTTCTCTCTTTTTTTTCTTAAAAAAAGATTCTTCTCCCTCCCAACCCAAGCGGCGGCGACACCCCCTTTTCTGCAAAGTCCTTCCCACCCCCCCCAAATTCCAGCTGTCGCAGCAGCTGCTGAGCAAGAGGCCGCGATCCTGAGAGGTCAGTGATTCAAAATGCATCTCCTCCTTTGGGTGTCCTCAGCGCCGCCCTCCGCCACACGCAGCTCGGTGGCCGCAGCTCCCCAGGCGCGACTTGGACAGAGGTGGGAGGAGGGAGCCGGCGGGGGGGGGGAGGAGCGGAGTTACTCCAAGCCCAGGATGTAGTTGATCCCTTGGACCAGTCCGATGATGACCGGCTGCCAGGCCACCAGGTAGCGGAGCCAGTCGAGGAGCTGCCCGTACATGACGTGCGGCCGTTCCCAGCTGCAGCGGAAAGAGTTAAAAGGAAACTCGAGGTGCAAAAACCAGGGGGGCCCAAAGCCGGTGGGATACCTGCTCCTCCCGCTTAGAATTGCCCAAATTAACGAGTAATGAGTTTCAGACCCCTGCGGGTCCGAAGCTTTGGCAGCTGCAGGGAGAAGGTTCTTCCAGAGGAACATACCGTATTTTTCGCTCCACACACTTTTTCCCTCCTAAAAAGTAAAGGGAAATGTGTGTGCATCTTATGGAGCGAATGCAGGCGGGAGGCAAGCAGGAAAAGCCCCCAAGAGCCGCACACCCTTTAAAGAGCGCACGGCTCTTGCTGGCTTTTGCGGGAGGTGGGGGAAGGGACAGAGGGCAGCCCCACCTCCCCGGAAAAGCCCCCAAGAGCCGCACTCCCTTTCACGAGCCGCTTGGAGGCTTTCCCCCCGAGGAAAGTCTGCAAGCACCGCACACACGCTCCACACGGCTCGTGAAAGGGAGCGCTGAGCAGTGCCTGGGATGCAGACAGGCTCTGCTCAGCGCTCCCTTTAAAAAAAATATTCCCCTTGCATTCCCCCTCTAAAAGCTAGGTGCGTCTTATGGTGTGAAAAATACGGTAGTTAAAACTGTGGAACTCTCTGCTGCAGGAAAGTGGTGGCAGCCAACCTAGAGGATTGGACAAATTCATGGAGGGCTGTTGATGGCTGCTAGCTCTGCCTCCGTGCTTCTGAACACCAGTTGCTGGAAACCACAGGGGAGGAGAGGGCTATTGTGGCCGGTTCCTGCGTGATGGTTTCCCACAGGCTGGCCACTGGGAGAAGAGGATGCAGAACCAGATCAGCCATTGGCCTGATCCAGCAGGCTCTTTTGACGTTCAGCCCAGGGCTAATCCCTTCCTCTCCTCCATGAATCTGCCCAGTCCTCCTTTAAAGCCATCTAGCCTCATGTGGGAGGGAGTTCCATAGGTTAACTGTGTGTCCTTTCTTTTTATCTCTGCTGGATGCCCGCGAGATCCGGAGTGATGACAGAGGAAAGGAAACTTTTCTCTGCCTGTCCCTTTGCCAGACCATGTATCATTTCAGGCACTACAGTGGTACCTTGGTTCTCAAACGCCTTGCTATTCAAACAACTTGGAACCTAAACACGGCAAACCTGAAAGTAAGTGTCCCGGTTTGCGAACTTTTTTCGGAAGCCAAACGTGCTCCGTTTTGAGTGTTACGCTGAGGTCTGCCTGTTTTCACTATTTTGCGTTTTTGTTTTTGCAACTGTGTGGAACCTAGTTCTGCTACTGATTGAATGATTGTGTGACTGCAGTACGTTGATTATTGCTTTCATTTTATGGATCAATGGTCTCGTTAGATAGTAAATCCATGTTAAGTTGCTGTTTTAGGGGTTGTTTTTAAAAGCTTGGAACGGATTAATCCATTTTGCATTACAGTGGTACCTCGGGTTAAGAACTTAATTAGTTCTGGAGGTCCGTTCTTAACCTGAAACTGTTCTTAACTTGAAGCACCACTTTAGCTAATGGGGCCTCTTGCTGCCGCCGCTGCGCGATTTCTGTTCTCATCCTAAAGCAAAGTTCTTAACCCGAGATAATATTTCTGGATTAGCGGAGTCTGTAACCTGAAGCATCTGTAACCTGAATCGTCTGTAACCCGAGGTACCACTGTACTTTCTATGGGAAAGCGCGCCTTGCTTTTGGAACGGACTTCCGGAAGGGATTAAGTTTGAGAGCCAAGGTACCACTGTACTGCCATGGCTGCAACCTCTGAGGGACTGGGCAGAAGAAGCTGCTCCTGTCCAGCCTGCGCCCAGCCATAGGCTGCTGCTGCCTTTCAGTCAAAGGAGCTTCTTGGTGTGCCTGTTCTGGCTGCAGACCCTTCCTCCCCTCTCCTGCAGACCCCCTTCCTTGAAGGATACGGGTTGCTGAACATCCTCTTCAGGTCCACCTTCTCTTTGCAGTAGGGGCAGGTCTGCTTCTTCCCAACGATGCACCAGCCGCGGATGCAGAACTCGTGGAAGCTGGGAGGGGCAGCGAGTTAAGGGCAGCGGGAGCAAAGCGCAGAAAAGGCAACGGCATGTTGGTCTGCTGCTGGCCGCCTACCGGGGTGGGGTGGGGTTCACGTTTCACCCTGTGGAATGGGGGAGAGGAGGGACAGAGAGCCCCACGCCCCCCCAAAATGTCCATCAGAAGCACCTGCTGCCTCTGACGTGCCCTGACTGCAGCTGGTCTTCTTGTTCACTGCGATTCCTGCACTGCAGGGGGTTAGACTAGATGACTTTCTGGGCCCCTTCCGAGTCCAGTTCTACGGTTCCAAAGGACCTGGCGCAGCTCCTGTGGTTAGGCAGAGGGCTCCAATTGGAGAACAGCCTTGACCAAAGGTGTCAGGGGCTTTGAAGACACTCGAACTCAGGACGCAAGAGAGAAACGCGCTAAGAGGAAGGCATGCTTGGCAAATCCACCCTGTGATCAACTCCTGCCCGGAAACCTACGTCCGCACTGTGGAAGGACGTGAGGATCCAGAATTGGCCTCCACAGTCACTTACAGACTCATTGATAAAACCGTATTCATGGAAGACAATCTTACTCGGCTACGAGGGATCGCCAGAGAAGAAGAAGAATGGTTCCATATATATAATATGTGACCATACTTGTGATGCTGTCTTTGTGATTCATTGCCTGTACGCGGATACATTCAAATGGAAAGTGGAATAGCGAAGCAATAAATCAAATTGAATCCAAGCCCAAGGCAGCCATTGGCTAGTTGGGCGCCCTCCTGCCTTTGAAATGGAAGCCTGCGAAAGTCATTTGGGGAAACATGCATGTACATAGATTCCGGCCATGACCGGACACTGAACTGTCATAGTAACAGGGCAGAAAAACAAACACACGAGGCGTCCCCAGCGCTTGTGACGGACGCTTGCCAGTTCCACGCCTCTGCCTTCATGTGTCACTCCTGGTTCCTCTTTCTCCAACCACAACCACACACTAGGGAGCCACAAGGGCTGCTGCGTCACTAACCAGGACTCCCAACACAAAGCTCAAAGGCTGCGCTCAGGATCCCTAGAATCACGGAAATGTGAAGTTGAATGGGAACCCTGAAGGTCCTCTAGCCCCCCCCCGGAACACAGGACTCTTTCACGCAATGTGGGGCTCGAACCCACAACCCTGGGATTAAGAGTCTCGCGCTCTAACAACTGTGCTGCCTGGGGCTGCTGGGAGTCGTAGTCTGAAACAGCCAGAGGGTGCCATGCTGGGAAAGGCTGCTAAGCAGCAAAGGATTTTCTTCCTCACTCTTTGCTCGCTTTCTGCTCAAGCTTCCCTACGAAAGAGCGCAGAGGTACGAAATGTTCCTGGCTGAAACCAGCGGCCACAAGTCATGACATTTCAGCACAAGCCGCAAGGAGTCTCGCTCCCCCGCCACCCCGGCGCACATGGAGGAAACCACCAACCACCTCCCAGCCGCAGGGAGGCAGCGTCACAGAAACTGGGCCGGGGAAGCAGTCGTGAATTTAGTCAGGGCCTCAACGCTTCCCCTGGTTGTGGTGTGGGCGAACACACATGGGGATGACGGCACCCCTGCAAAGTCACGGCTTCCGGGAGAAGGGGAACCGGGCTTGGCCCTCTGAAGAATGAGAACGTCAGCACTTAGAAGTGTAGAACTGTGCAGAGTTGGAAAGGGACCCCCAAGGCTCATCCAGTCCACCCCCCCCCCCGCAATGCAGGAATCTCAACTAGCCACTCTCTGCATAGAAACCTCCAATGACAGACAGCCCACTCTATTCAGAGGCCGTGGAATCACAGAATTGTCGGGTTGGAAGGAGCCCCCAAGAACCACCTGGTCCACACACACCCCGGCGATGCCGGAATTACAGAGAGCACCCCCGCCAAAGGATACACGTGATTGCAGGACAGCCTGTACGTGTTCTCGATGATCCCTTCTTCGTTGACGTCCACAAAGATCTGCTGGCCACAGACGGCACAGACGCTGTCCGAGAGGTGCTTGGTGGGCATCCCTGACGCGCTGTAGAACTGCTCCGCAGGCGCCGAGAGGCCGGGAGGAAGACACAGAGGACCCGGGTGAGTGGAGGCATCTCAACTCAGGCTCCCTCCTGGGGGGAATACCAGCAAACTAGCCCCAGAGACCACCTTGGATGCGAGTCCTTCAAGACCTGCTTCTCAGGATCTGCAGACTCGCTTTAGGGGGTTTAGTCTGGGTCATGATTTAATTGTGGATACGTCAGTTTCAGGGACACGGGTGGCGCTGTGGGTTAAACCACAGAGCCCAGGACTTGCCGATCAGAAGGTCGGCGGTTCGAATCCCCGCGAAGGGGTGAGCTCCCATTGCTCGGTCCCTGCTCCTGCCAACCTAGCAGTTCGAAAGCACGTCAAAGTGCAAGTAGATAAATAGGTACCACTCCGGCAGGAAGATAAATGGTGTTTCTGTGCGCTGCTTTAGTTTCGCCAGAAGCAGCTTAGTCATGCTGGCCACATGACCTGGAAGCTGTACGCCAGCTCCCTCGGCCAATAAAGCGAGATGAGCGCCGCAACCCGAGTCAGCCACGACTGGACCTAATGGTCAGGGGTCCCTTTACCTTTACGTCAGTTTCACTGTTACTGTTATTAATTTCCCATTTCTTTATTTTTAGATCTTTCCTGGGGATTGCTTAATTCTGTTCCACGTGCCTTCAAATGTCTTTATTTGCTGCTTACGACTACTTTTGTTACGCTTTCATTATTACGTGAACTTCTCGTCTTGCAAGCTGCCTTGAGCAGGGCTACAACTGTGGAAAAGCGGCTCAGGAAAGAACTACGGTGATGATGAAGGCTGCGGCGAGAGCGCAGAGTAACCGCAGCCAGGTGGCAACAGCACATGGGAGGACCCCCCCACCCAAGAAGCAAGACCTCATCCAGGGAACTGAGGCTGGCTGCAAAAGGGTCAGGGGGTGATACTTTGTCACTCTTTGATTGCTGTGTTTATTATTTTAGCATAGTGGTACCTTGGTTGTCAAATGGCTTGGCTCCTGAGCAAATCAGCTCCCGAATGCCACAAACTTGGAAGTAAGTGTTCTGGTTTTTGAAAAAAATTTGGAAGCCGAACATCTGGCGCGACTTCTGCTTGAGTGCAGGAAGCTCCTGCAGCCAATCGGAAGCCGCGCCTTGGTTTTCGAACGGTTCTGGGAGTTGAATATACTTCCGGTACAGATTAAGTTTGACAACCAAGGTACCACTGTGTTGTTAACGTTGTTCACTACTATTTATACAGCTGGTATGTTTCCTCTCCCAACAGTTTGCTATATGAAACATTCGTGTATTATATGATTCCCTCTCCAACCACCATGACATTCTGTATTGTGTATCTTTCTCAATGGAGACTTTTGGGTCACAAGTGACTAAGAAGTGTAATCAATGAAATGAGAGAGGCTTTCTCCAGCCTGGCTCCCTCGCTCCAGGCCAGGGTTCCTCACACTTTTTAAACAGGGGGCCAGTTCGCTGTCCCTCAGACACTGTTGGGGGCCGGACTATAGTTTGAAAAAAATATGAACGAATTCCTATGCACACTGCACATATAATAAATTATTACTACTACGTATTATTAAGGAGGTTAAAACTTGGTACTCTGTTTCCAGTTTGATGTAGGCGCTGTGAGTCACTTTTATACTTCATTTCTTCTGGGTTATTTTTGATGTTGTTGTTCCTCATGCGTATGACTTTCTCTGCATTGACGTTTATTTTCAGACTTGGGGAAGTGTGGGTGGAGAGCTTTATTTGAAAGGTTAACCCACCACTATTTACGTGGAGATTCCCTTGTACAATAAACTGTTGTGATTCAGGCTTCTCTTCTTGCTAATTCTATTTGCATATCTTGCCTGTGTTTTTGGGGCTTCCCTAACTTTTAAGGTTGCCAAGGCCGCCGCACGGGACCCGCGAGTGCGATAAGGAGGCAACCAGCCGGCGAGGCACTGCTCCGGTGGGCACGGAGCTGGCCTGAGGGGAAGGGAGGAGGGGAAGGGCTGGCGTGGAAGGGGTTCCTTTGCCACCGTCCCATCCTCCGCCGACTTAAAGGGGCAGCGCGCCGTTACCAAGCAGCTGGTGGTGGCGGTAGCTACCGCATTACCAAGGCTTTGTTACACACGCGCGCTTTTACCTCAGGACTCTTCCCGCCCAGCCACTTCTGAGCCTCGGGCCTTGCCGGCAGGCGAGTGTGTGTCAGGAGCGATCTGCAAGGTGGGCAGGGTCCAGGACACTGGCAGGCCAGATCTGGCCCACAGGCCGTAGTTTGAGGACCGCTGCTCCAGATGGTTCGGGGCTACAAATCTGATCACCCTTGAATGTGTCAAGCGTGGCTGTCATGAACACATCTCTGAATGCCTCTCTCTAGAAACCGAGGGCGCAGTTTGCCCCATGTGGATGCACTTTGCGTCCTGAGGCTATTATGAAGAGTGCTTCTCAAAGAAGCTCTCTGGCACCGACTGGTGGCTGAAGTTTGTCACGGAGGTAGAGAGAGAGAGCCCCCTCTTTTGCTGCGATCACAGCATGACCTGCCAGCTCATCCTCCTGGTATTGAGATCATCTGTAGCATTAAATGCCTCCTTGCCCAGGGAAAAGTCCCCAGCCCGGTGTAAAAAACTAGTCCAATACCTGGCGCTTGTTTAGCTGAAACCCCAAGTGAAAGGCGGCTTTGGCACTCAGAATTCAGCCGCCACCCAAGCTCAGGGCAGAGCAGCCCTCAGCTGCTCACAGAAGCAGGATGTTGCCCAGGAAGAGCAGCCTCAAGGCAGTTGGGGCAGGAACACCGCCAGGCACCATCATCATGCCTCTTAGCTCCCTCTTCCGTTCTCGTTCTGTGCCTTGCAAAAATCCCATCTTCCCCACTGAACTGAAACTTGATTGAGCAAAATCTCTGGTTCAGCGGGTGAGACTGGATTTTTGCAGAATGACCAGAAAAGCTCTCGAACCCGGGGGTGGGGAATTAATCGGGACACAATATGACCAAAATATGGGCCAAGTGAAAGTGTGGGTGAGCCCTTGGTGACCAACAAGATCGGATTATAAGCAACTCCCCCCACCCCACCCCCCTTTGTTTGTAACTTTTGGACTGAAGCACATCAATAAATTTCTAAAATTACTTGGGACCCTATCAAGGGAGCTCCACAACTATCTCTGCAGCCCGTTTTTAAGGATCTGAACGTGGACATTCGGCCAAAGGACTGACTTGTGCTGTTGGATGCTGCCAGATTATCCATTGCTTGAAAGGGGGAAAGTATTACAATACCTAAATATTTGTTTGGGGTATGCTAATGGTTGGGACTTGGCCATATCAGAGGAGATGAAAAATGGATCTGAGGATGCAGAAACTCAAGAGGGCATTTATCACCAATGCCAACGCTGACAATTTACAGCGCTCTTTTATCTGCACCAGTGTACAGTGGTGCCTCGCAAGACGAAAGAGTTTTCCGTTTTTTGAGTCGTTCCGCAAGATGAATTTCCCTATGGGCTTGCTTCGCAAGACGAAACGTCTTGTGAGTTCTTGCGAGTTTGTTTCCTTTTTCTTAAAGCCGCTAAGCCGTTAATAGCCACTAAGCCGTTAATAGCCGCTAAGCCGCTAATAGCCGTGCTTCGCAAGACGAAAAAACCGCAAGACGAAGAGACTCGCGGAACGGATTAATTTCGTCTTGTGAGGCACCACTGTATAAAACCTAGAATTCATCAACACTGATTATTTGTTGGTTTTTCAAAGGTTTGCCTACCCCCGTGTCAAATGGGACAGCGTTACTTGGCTTTCCTAAATTTATGTTTGTTATTTTGTTTCCCAAGGTTACGTTAACCCTTTTCTCTAAAACGCGGCTTGCCCTGCATGAATCTTACCCCTATAGTGGAGGCCATGTAGTCAGCACACATCTCGGCAAAGTCTCGCTCCAGTACTCCGTAATAGAGGCCATAGAAGAGGAGAGAAATCCCAAAGTCCATTCCATCTTCTGGCTTGATTCTATCGAAGGGAACAGCCTTTCGTAAGTCCCACACTGACAGACAGCTCAGGGCAACTGCTAGGGCCTTTACTGAACACCCCACGCAGAAGCCACGCTGCAGGTTCTCTCATGCCAGCTTAATTTCACCTCTTACGGGGGCAGAGGGAGCCTGCCTCAGGAAAATGTCTCCCTTCAGGACAAGATGCTCAGGGGCAGGCACGGTGCTTAGACTTCAAAATGAACAAACTCCCAGCGCATCTGTGGATCAGCCCCTTGGGAACTGTAGTTCCCCCAGATTTTCTGGGACTACAACCACCCCCCTCCCTGGCGAGCGGGGCCAATGGATGGGGCTGGTGGGAGCCTGGGGGACTTCCTAGCTGCATGCTCAGGCAAACCAGGTGCCTTAGGGGTTTGGCCTCCTCCCGGGTCCCCGATTCCTCACTTTGCCCCGTGCTGCACTCTCTGAATGTCTTCTGCATGCCCAGCATTTCTCAGCGCTAATGCAGAATCAGGGATCTGGCACGGAACTGGTGCCCTGAACACATCAGCTAGCATTTCTTCCTTTTCACAGAGAAAGAGGCTTGCGTCTGCCAGGAGAGTGGGATTCCTAGAAGTCAGGAAGTAAACATGGAGCAAGCCTTCCAGTATTTAAACGGGGAGGAGCTGCACGTCGCCCCCTCCTGGCGGCTGCTGCTGCTTCCTATGTTCCTCTCCATTCCTCTTTGCCACTCGGCCCCCAACGCTGGATGATTTGGGTCTCTTTCTGGCACAGATCATGCTCAGATCCGCTGACCACGTTCATGAGACAGACTGTGAGGGGCACTGAGGGACCGCAGGGCGGCCGTAGTTCTGCCCATGGTTTGTCTCTCTTCTGGGTCACGCTCAGCATCCAGACTCCCCAATTCAACAGTGAAGCAGAAGGAAGGGGCCGAAGGGAGAGTGTGGGATCACCCCCTTGAGGCTGAACATCTTTTGCTGCAACTGCACCACACCTGCTTAATTTAGGGCTGGCTTGGCTGTTTAGTTGGACAATAAAAGGTGCTTTGAGGCAGCATGAATAATATCGCTAAAGCGCAGCCTTCCAAATCACATTCCTCTCCCCGGGATCCTTGGTCCCTATTCCTGGGGCATGCCTCTCAGATCACAGGATGACGCTGGGAAAATGTCTCCTTTTCTGATTTCTAAGCATTTCACAGGGGTAGAGCAGAGCCAGCGGGATGCAGTGGTTACGAGTGCTGAACATCTCATAGCCCCGCACCCCTCGTATCTTGCTCTGCGCTGCCAGATTTGTGCCCATTCGACTGCCCATCCCACTTCCCCAAACTATTCTTCTGATACGCCATGTACTAAGGCAAGGGGACGCGGGTGGCGCTGTGGGTTAAACCACAGAGCCTAGGACTTGCCGATCAGAAGGTTGGCTGTTCGAATCCCTGCAATGATGGGGTGAGCTCCCGTTGCTCGGTCCCAGCTCCTGCCAACCTAGCAGTTCGAAAGCACGTCAAAGTGCAAGTAGATAAATAGGTACGGCTCCGGCGGGAAGGTAAATGGCGTTTCTGTGTGCTGCTCTGGTTCGCCAGAAGTGGCTTAGTCCTGCTGGCCACATGACCCGGAAGCTGTACGTCGGCTCCCTCGGCCAGTAAAGCAAGATGAGCGCCGCAACCCCAGAGTCGGTCACGACTGGACCTAATAGTCAGGGGTCCTTTTTACTAAGGCAAGGGCACATCTATGAAGAGGGCAGTTCTGGCAGCTAGTGGGAGACTTGAAAGCTATATCTCTTGCAATGCCAACAACAGAGGAGTTCTCTCACCTGAATAATAGGTTAAGCCCAAAGAGCGTGAACATCACAGCCATGTAGCCCACAATTCCTGTGGCGTAGCTGATCTTGTATATTAGCAGAAACCACTTGTACACCAACCTACGTGCAAAAGAGAGAAGCGGGAACACAGATTCAGGGCAGAGAAAAGAAAGTCCTTCATGGAGCGCAGAGTTAAACTATGGAACTCCTTCCGGCAGGAGGAGGGGATGGCCCCCAATTTGGATGGCTTTGAAAGATGATAGGACAAATTCACAGAGGAGGAGGAGAGGGCTATTGATGGCTCCTGGCCAGGATGGCTCTGCTCTGCCTCCACAGCTGGGAGCAGCAATGCTTCTGAATTGCTGGAAACCGCAGGAGGCGAGAGAGTTGCTCTAGTGCTCAAATCTTGTTTGCAGGTTTCCCTTTGGGCGTCTGGTTAAGCACTGAGAGAACAGGATGCTGGGCCTGGTGTGCCACTGGCTGCAGCGTTCTTATGTAAGAGCCAAGAGGTTTCTGCTTACCTGGGAGTCGTCTGGACGAGAGGTTTGCGTGTTGCTCTGAACGTGACGAAAGCTGTGACGACGGAAAAGAAGACCCAGATCACCAGGAACCGCCACCAGTGCAGCTTCACTGTGAAGTAGAGGGGCACAACCCACATCTGGAAGAGGGTCACCATCTGTAGCAAGGGAAGAGAAGGAAAGAGTTCTGGGCAACGCGATTTAAGGAGGATGTCGACAACCTGGAGGATCCAGGGTCTGGAATCCAAGCCTTAGGAGGAACGATTGAGGGAGTTGGGGAGGTTTAACCTAGAAAAGAGGAGACTGAGAGGAGATATGGTAAAGGTAAAGGTAAAGGTACCCCTGACCATTAGGTCCAGTTGTGTCCGACTCTGGGGTTGCGGCGCTCATCTCGCTTTATTGGCCGAGGGAGCCGGCGTACAGCTTCCGGGTCATGTGCCCAGCAGGACTAAGCCGCTTCTGGAGAACCAGAGCAGCGCACGGAAACGCCGTTTATCTTCCTGCCAGAGTGGTAACTATCTACTTGCACTTGATGTGCTTTCGAACTGCTAGGTTGGCAGGAGCTGGTACCGAACAACAGGAGCTGACCCCATCGTGGGGATTTGAACCACCGACCTTCTGATCGACAAGCCCTAGGCTCTGTGGTTTAGACCACAGCGCCACCCGCGTCCCCGGAGATATGGTAGCCATCTTCAAATATCTCCAGGATGGAAGATGGAGTGAACTATACCACTGCCAAACACAGAATGTAAGCTGGGTTCAGCCACATTTTCTAGTGTACTATTTGCGTTGGGGTTTTTTGCTGCTTGCCCAGTGGGATACCATGTGAGTGGGGCTTCTGCCCAAAGGGAGCAGAGGCACAGCCACAAAGCCCAGCCCCTCCTCATCCAGCTCCCTCTACAGAATGCAGCCTCATCCCCTTTCAGGTGGGGCTTCCATAGGTGGCACCCCTGTGAGGATGGTGGAGGGGTCTCGAGAACATGTACCCTGGGGAGGGAGCAGCTTACGTTATAGGAGCGGGGGTGCCTCTGCTTCCACTGCACAAGGAGGAGCTGAGCCACCACCAGGGTGGCGATCAGGATGAGGACCATTTCGGCGTGCATGGCCTCGTGGCCGCGGTGCTTGGCATGCATCCGAGCGTGTTCGACCCTGGAACGAGAGAAGAGCAAGTCAGTCTCTCGCACACTCACGGTCTGTGCAGCTCTTGCATCTCAGGTAAGCACAGAGGGTGCTTGGCAGCATCACACCTGCATGGCAAACGGGACTCTGCAAGAAGACCCGGAAGCAGGTATGTGTGTGTGGGTCGTGGGCTGCAGGAAACATGGAGTTTGGTACAGTACGATTGCACACATTTAACTTCTTGCGGTTTCAACCGTACGCGGTTGGAGGGAGGCTTACTGAAACTGCACAAGGTAAATCCAAGCAAGGCAGAGAGCTGAACATTTTTTTGTTTCTTTTTTTGCACTAGGTCAGGGTTCTTAAAATGGAGGAAGGTTCCTGAATTGGCCCCTGTAGGAAGCGAAATGCCAGACCAATATGATCTTTGGCACCTTGAACACAAACAAGGATGGAAAGGAGCTACGAAGTGAATAAAAATTACACAGAGTAAGTAGCAGATGCATAACAATGTACTGGAAAAAAGCAATGGAAACAGGCCGGCTGGCACTATTTGTCCAGGTTGCAAAGCTGGGCGGCGTTTGGCACAGGAAGTGAGGTGGCACAGCCTAACGGTGGGCTCAAGCGCCGGGGGCAGCTAAGCTGAACTATGGCAGCCTCCCTCAGTCAAAACAAGGGAGGGGAGCAGGACCCTTTTAAAGGAACCACCACCCAAATGCATCAACTGTTTGAAGTCCAGACCTGCTGCTCTGCCAGATACCCTCTTAACACGGGATCTGTCAAGTTTTAAATGACCACAAATGAAGCGGCAGTTCAGCTCTCCTGCAAAGATGGAGAAGAGGGAGGAGACAGAAAATTCTCTTGAGGGGCACATGCAAACTGCATAATTTTACGTTTCCACAAGTGCTTTGTGCACCAGCCATGAAGAAAACTGCACCAGGCAGGCAACTTGGTCTTTAAGGACCCAATAGAAGAGAAAACAGGTGTCATCTGACAAGTCCATGAACCTTGCAGGCAGGCAAGCAGGCAGGCAGGCTCTTCACTCACCTCCATCTCTCCTCGGGAGCCAAATGCGATAAATCAACCTGTGGGAGACAAGAACAAGCAGCTACAGCAGAAGCCTGGAAGAGAGAGCGAGAGAGAGAGAGCAGGCAGCAATCTCTAGCTCGAGGAAGAACCAAGCACAAAAACTGCTCCTGGGTCCCTCCACGTGCCACGGGGCAGGGTTCAAAGGACAGCCCACGGTGTGTCTGTGCGTGCCTGCATTTAACAGACCTTTGGCTACAAACCAGGGGGAGGGAGGGGCATACATACATCAAAAGGCATGTCCAGAGGAGGGGCGCTAAACCCACTCCTTCCCCAACACTCTCCTGCTTCCAGCTCTTTGGTGGAAAGAAGTCAAGCCCTCCCACCAAACACACTTTAGAGTCGGTAAGGAGGCAGAACTGATTTGGCCCCGGATCTCTCTGGAATGCAAAGCGAAGTTTGATGGAGGCTTGAGGTGCTCCACGAGCACCAAGTGGTTTTCTTTCAAAATACTTTTCTTAAATTAGAAGTGTGAACTTAGATCCTGGAATAAAAACATGACATTCTCTCATTTCGCATGCCAGTTACTACTGCACCCTGCACAGAGCCATCCCATGAACAGCCTTGCCCAACCTGGCACCCTCCAGAGGGGTTGGACTACAGCTCCCATCAGCTCACACCAGAACAGGCACAAGGGGGGCTAATGGGGGTTGGACTCCAACATGTCTGCAAGGTATGACATTGGTTATCCCTGCCATACATAAAATGAACCACATCTAACTGAAATGAGATTTCATTTCAAAATTAAGCCATTAAAGGTAAAGGGTAAATTAGGTCCGGTCGTGGCCGACTCTGGGGTTGCGGCGCTCATCTCGCTTTATTGGCTGTTGGAGCTTCCGGGTCATGTGGCCAGCATGACTAAGCCGCTTCTGGTGAAACCAAAGCAGCGCACAGAAACACCGTTTACCTTCCCGTCGGAGCGGTACCTATTTATCTACTTGCACTTTGATGTGCTTTCGAACTGCTAGGTTGGCAGGAGCAGGGACCGAGCAACGGGAGCTCACCCCGTTGTGGAGATTCGAACTGCCGACCTTCTGATTGGCAAGCCCTAGGCTCTGTGGTTTAGACCACAGTGCCACCTGCATCCCCAGAACCCTTAAGCAATAACAGCAACAATAAGAATAATAATTTATTATTATTTGTACCCCGCCCATCTGACTGAGTTGCCCCGTCAAGTGTTCAGCAGCACTTCATGCAGGGATGCCAAGATCCCAGAAGGGATTTAGCGCTGCGCCAACAATATTCAATTATTCCCTCCATTCTGGGCAGATTCACATGTACTCTTTTGCCAGCATGGAATCCCAGGGAGCTTGAGACCTCATTATCACACGCTGGTAAATGACACAGGAATACACATGTGTAACCTGATTCATCCGCTACGTTTTCCGAGGGATCCAGGCACCAAGATCATTCAACCCCTATCTGGAAGTCTCTCTCAAGTTACCCAGGGGTAGCTGTGTTGCTGCAGCACAAAGTACTTGTGGCATCTTGAAGAATCTATTTGCTGTCGCCATGGCTTCTCTGCTTTAGTGCAAGACAGGCATAGCTATAGAGAGACTTGCCATCAACCACGCCACTCACCTTTAGGACAGCCATCTCAACTCTTCAAAGCAGACAAGCATGGCTGACCTTCGACTCCCTTCTGCAAACTCGGCCTCTGTGAAATGCCAATCGGCCTTCCAACCCCCCCCCCCTTCGCTGAGAAACATACAGAACCTTTGCAGCCCAACAGATTCCACCTGTATTGTTAGGTCACCTTCTAGGAGAGGCTAGGGAAGATTCTTAGAGAAGTGCCAAACACACACACACACGCTTCCCTGGGGGTCGTGTGGAATTTTGTCGGCACCATCTATGCCCCACTGCACTTTTTACCAAAATGGCAGGTCCCTACCCCCAAAGAGATTACAATCTAATTTTGACTCTGGGGTGGTGTGAGAGTTTGATGGGGCTCCTGTGTGTAGCTCATCGCCTCACAGGTTTCTGTGCAAGGCTGAAGGGAGGCAGCTGTCTCTTTTGCACAAAGGAGCTGCCTGTCTGGAGCTCAATAATTTAAAATGAGGTTGAATGATGGCCAGAAGATTATCTGGAAAGATTATACTATTTAAAAAAACACAACTTCAAGGATTTCCCAAAGGTTGGAGAGGGGGGGAGAGTAAACATCTTTTAACAGTGAAATCTTATATATGCTGTCTCAGAATGAGTTCAGAGGACCTTACTCCTGTGTAAGCATGCAATAAGGTTTAGACTAAGTGATAATCTGAAAAGATCAAGAACCTGAAGCAAAATGCGTCTACCCAGCTACTATGCACAGTCATATATTAGCTCCTAAAAGACCAGCAGATTTTACAGATAAGACACCGTTGTGGTTTCTCCTTGTTTCTGATTTTTCTCTGCACTCTTGAAAAATTGAGCCAACTCCCTTTAAAACCACGAGAATCAAAAACGCTCAGAATTTTACAGCAAAGGCCTTTTGGTCATGAGAAACGTGTATGGTCTTTAGGAGACCTGCTTTAGTCCACCTTGGCACAGCAAAATATTTTAAGGCAAGAGGCAGAATTTCAATCCACCGGTGGACCAGGGCCAACTTCCGGATTCTTGCAACAAGTGCTGGACTCTGAGGACTCCTCCAGCTAGCAAGCATGTGCATATTTAGGATCACCAGTCACACACTGAGTCATGCTCCTTAAAGGTCAGCGGACCACTAAGGCCCCCTCTCGCACCGTAAATTTAAGATGCAGCTGGTGGATCGCAGGGATGTGAATAACAAAAAAACAGACCGAGCATTAGCCCCACCCTGGCTGTACGTGGCAACAGGTAGCCTGTGCCGGGGCTTACCTTACAGAGGGCAAAAGGACAAGCAAGGAGGAAAGAGCAGGCAAGAGCAATCATGACTTAAGCAGCTGCTTGCAACACGAGGCGGCAGGCAGAGCAGATCTTGCTATTTACTGCCACACGGAGGAAAGTGGGCCAACTCCCTCACCAACTCAGCTAACGAAGAAGGCTGATCCTGCAGCAGGAGTCTCTTTGCCCAGCTAACAAGCAGGGCAGGAAAACAACCTTTTTCCATGCAAGAGGGAAAGAAGCCCAGCTATAAACCCGCTCATCAGATCTCTTAATGTCAAATGAGAAGCTCTGAGGTGTCTGCAGTTATCTTTGAAGGTGCCGGAAGTGACTGCCAGCAACCTACTCAAGTAAACACGGTTTCTTGCTCAGAGGGACACATTGACATGGGCTTCCCCCACATTGCTGTAGGTGCCCCATAGTGCCAACATTGGAGGCAGCCGCACACGGGTCCTGCCCACATGCCCAGGGCTCGCCTGTGCACTGCCACTGCCATGGATCCTCGTGCACCAATGTTCCTTGTGTAGTAAAAGTACAGCAGAATTATTATCTATCAGCAACTCCATCTGCAGGCAGAAATGAGGAGAAAAGCACTGCATGACTCTGCTTCCTTCCCTGTCTAACCCCAGCTCCTCTTATTGCAGTTTGCTGACCTCTGTCTTCCTATTAGCCCCCAAATTACTGGAATATCCAAGTATTAACAGGAGAAGGATTGCATATTCACTTATTCTGAAATATACAATTTCTTAATTTTGCAGTTTGCAGAAGTTATGTAACTAACTTCTTGTTTCTAAAAAAGGAGAATCCATGGAAGCTTTTCCTCAAATACCACATCCTAGACTGCTCAAGAAACCAGGAGTTTCCTTTGTCTAATTTCACACTTATCTTAGACAAGTCAGGAACTAGAAGTTTTTAAATGAACATATGCAATCTCTGCCTCACTCTCAATCTTATGTCTCTTGGAAAACAATCCTAGGTACGCAGAACTGAACTGAGCAATAAGGCTATCAACAGCAACCAGCCAGGATGGCAACCAGGTTTTACTGATATGTCTGACTTTTAAAAATGGTTTTCATTTAAAATAAAGTACACTTCATAAATACTCAAATAAATAAAGTGGACATTTAAAGAAAATATCAGTAGGCATTTTAACAGCAGCTTGATTTTACAGTTTTAACTTGTTTTTATTTTGTATTGCATCTTTGTAAGCTGCGTAGCCTACTGCAGTTACACAGTATACAAATTACCATATTTTTCGCTCTATAAGATGCACCAGACCATAAGACGCACCTAGTTTTTGGAGGAGGAAAACAAGAAAAAAAATATTCTGAATCTCAGAAGCCAGAACAGCAAGAGGGATCGCTGTGCAGTGAAAGCAGCAATCCCTCTTGCTGTTCTGGCTTCTGGGATAGCTGCACAGCCTGCATTCGCTCCATAAGACGCACACGCATTTCCCCTTACTTTTTAGGAGGGAAAAAGTGAGTCTTATGGAGCAAAAAATACGGTATATTAAAAAATACTTCCAATATGAGAGGCAGCCAGTGATGGCTGGTGCCCGCTGGCCTGGTGAGGCGGAAGGCAGGGAGGCAAGCAGTAGGCAAAGCCTATGCCAACGGCTTCTAGTTTTGTCTCCATCCTGCTGAGTTCATCAAGGGCGACACTGAGGCAGAGGAGGAGGAAGCTGGTAGGCAGGGCCACCTGTTGGACTGTTGTAAGAAGGCACGTGAAGGTTGGCGGAGGGCAGACTGAGGTTGGTGGGACAATGCCCCATTTTCCCTACTGGGCCGGCTCCACTAGAGGTCTGGTGTCTTTCTGAATACCAGCCACTGGGGAATCCAAGTAGAGGAAAGTGCTGCTGCTTTCATGTCCTGCCTCTGGGCTTCCCATTGCAGGGAGAAAGATTTTGTCTTTTTTTCTATTGTGATTTTATGTTGTGAACTGCCCTGAGACCTATGGGTACAGGGCAGTATACAAATTCAATTAATAATAATAATATAATACAATTGATGATGACCTAGATGGACGCCCTTTGGTCTGATCTAGCAACAAGGCCCTTTTAAGGTTCTTTCTTTGTTACTCCTCCCCTGCCTCTGTGACATTTTTAACACTGCATGTTCCTCGGGGCAGGGACCTGTTTCTCTGCTTATGCTGTATGTTGAAGCCCCACTCATTGGTAATCACACTATATGTGCAACAGCAACTGTAGCAGCAGCAAAAAGGTGTGATTACCCTGGGTATTGGGAAAGGAATGTGACACTGGATTTAAAACAACAGAATTATAGAGTTGGAAGGGACTCAGAGGATCCTAGTAACTCAACCCCCAGGAATGAAGGAATCACAGCTAATTTCATAGCAAACCTGGAGCTCTGTGTCCTGTTCTGGGCACCCTGGTTTAAGAAGGATATTGACAAGCTGTGTGCAGAGGAGAGTGACCAAGAGGAACAAGGGTCTGGAAACCAAGCCTGATGAGGAACGGTTGAAAAAGCTGGGCATGTTTAGCCTGTAAAAGATAAGACTGAGAGGAGATAGAAAAGCCGTCTTCAAATATCTCAAGGGCTGTCACATGGATATACCGTATTTTTCGCTCTATAAGACGCACCAGACCACAAGACGCACCTAGTTTTTGGAGGAGGAAAACAAGAAAAAAAAATATTCTGAATCTCAGAAGCCAGAACAGCAAGAGGGGTCACTGTGCAGTGAAAGCAGCAATCCCTCTTGCTGTTCTGGCTTCTGGGATAGCTGCGCAGCCTGCATTCGCTCCATAAGACGCACACACATTTCCCCTTACTTTTTAGGAGGGGAAAAGTGAGTCTTATAGAGCAAAAAATACAGTAATAGTTTATTTGTACCCCACCCATCTGACTGGGTTGCCCCAGCCACTCTGGGGGGCTTCCGGCACATATAAAAACACAGTATGTGCTTGAAGTTCTGTCTTCTGGGAACAAGCTTGTTTTCTACTGTTTCAGAGGCTAGGACCGAAAGCAATGGCTTCAAGTTGCAAGAAAGGAGATTCCGACTAAATTTCCGATGGTAAGAGCTGTTCAGCAGCGGAACGGACTCCCTCAGAAGGTGGCGGAAGCAGAGGTTGGATGCTGTCATGGATGCTTTTGCTGAGATTCCTGCCTTGCAGTGGGTTGGACTAGATGACTTGCAGGGGTCCCATTCCGACTCTATGATTCTTTGGTCTGAGAGGAGGGACGGGGAGAGAGAGAGAGATGGCAAAGTCTCGGGGTCCAGACTTGGGCGGCAGCTATGGCGCTCCCTGGGCGACCTTGGGCCGGCCGCAGCCCAGCCTACCTGGCAGGACTGTTGTGAGGGCCAATTGAGATTGGCCCGGGGGAGGAATGGAGCTGGGGGAGTGGGGGCGAGGGGGGTACGTGGATCCCTCTGAGGAAGGGGAGAGGATTTTGTCTGTCAGGGGAAGGAAATGCAATGGAGAAACCAAAAGGGATAAGGTGCTACCAATAAAATAAAATAAAATAAAATAAAATAAAATAAAATAAGGGTTTAAGCTAAGAAGCGGGTGGAGGTTAAACCGAGCATTAAGTGGCAAAGGCTGAGGTCCCCTGAGATTATATTTAATTAAGAAAAATGACAATGATGCTGTTAATGATGTGGCAACAGTAATAATAGTATTAATAGCAATAATCCTACCGGCGGTTAGGATGCTGCCCCTCCCCCTCCGGAGCCCCCCAACCTCCGCCCCCCACCCCTCCCCCCACATAGGCCCCTCCCCCCGCCGCCGTGGGGCAGCAAGCCCCGCCCTCACCTCCTCCACGTCGCGGTCCAGGGGGCCCCCAACCTCCACTTCCACCACCGCCGCCATCTTGCCCCCTCTCCCTCCCGCCAGCGCCGCGGCCAGGTGGCCCGCTCGCTTCCGCCGGAGCCCGCCAATCGCCGCTCACTGCCGGTTCCCGCTCGGCCAATCGCCCGGCGCGCGAGTCGCCGCCGGAGGGGCCGATTGGAGGAGGCGGGTCTGGGGGGCGGGGCCGAGCTGGCCGAAGGAGCCTGTCAAAGCGGGCGAGGGAGCGTCCGACATGTGACAGCTTCGTAAGCGGGCGCAAAATGTCCTGTCTGGCCGACAAGGCGCTCAGGGACCGAGTCCCGGCAGGCTGCGTTTTCACAGGCATTTTCTGGCAACCGCCGCAACAGACTTCACGGGATGGCCGGGTACTTTCTGCGCTTCTCACGCCAGCAGGGAATTGAGGGACGCTCCCTGGCGTCTGCCCCGCCCCTTAAATCCAGCTGCGCGCGGCTCTTTCGAGGCCGGCGGAGGAAGGACTACGGTTCCCAGCATGCTTTGCGGCCTCTCCTGTCAGCGTTCCTTGTTTTAAAAAAATAAGGAACGAATTTAGCGTCGTGATTCGAAACGAAGGTGGCTCTGCCATGTGGTAGAAAGCATTTATATATTTATTTTAAAAACTTTTTTTCAAAAAACCAGTCCGTTAACGATCGACCTCGGTGACGTCACGAGGAGAGACGAGCAGCCAGCCAATCAGCGTCGAGGGTCAAGGGGCGGGCAGTATTGGCGGGAGATTGAGAAACCCCGGGAAACTAAGGAAGGCGCTCCCGGGATCCCGGGGGGGGGGGGAGATCTCTCTCAGGTACCTCATTTGCATATGTTAATTCCCGAGAAAGAGGTAAGTGCTGCAATCCCGGCTGTATATTTCTACTTTTTGTATATTTTAGTTTTTGTCGTTTAGTTTTGGTTATTGTTTTTTTTGGTCTTGTCTCCCCCCCCCTTTTTTTTAAGTGCTATTTTATTTATCTGAGATCCCTAAATATTTTTACTATGCACTTTGTAACATTTATCTTAGTCTAATAACGATGATAATTTATTATTTATACCCCGCCCATCTGGCTGGGTTTCCCCAGCCACTCTGGGCGGCTTCCAACAGAATATTAAAATACAATAGTCTATTAAAAATTAAAAGCTTCCCTAAACAGGGCTGCCTTAAGGTGTCTTCTAAAAGTCTGGTGGTTGTTTTTCTCTTTGACATCTGGTGCGAGGGCGTTCCACAGGGAGGGAGCCACCACTGAGAAGGCCCTCTGCCTGATTCCCTGTAACTTGGCTTCTCGCAGCGAGAATGTAATGTATATGTAATGTAAGACCAATTTATCCTTTTTAAGTTTGCTGTGTAAAATTATTTGGGGGGAAATCATTCACTCATTTTGTTTTGTTTTGTTTTGGCTGCTGGGGGCAGGGCTTTCCTGTGAGTCAGGAACCAGATATATAAAGCTCTTCCTTCTCCCTCCGCTCAGACACCCCCCTTGCGAAGAGGATGTCTTCAGCCACAGGTAGGGAGCCAGCCTTCTCCGCCGCCTCTGCCAAGGCTTCTTAGCCACACTCTCTGCAGCCTCAGTGGCGCCATCTGCGCCCACACAGACGTGCCCCTTCAGTGGCACCGAAAAGAGGGAGGAAGCAGCTGAGGGTCCAAGGGGAACTTTCCCTCTTGCTTGAAGTGTAACTCTGTACGCCTCAAACCGAGGCTGCGCACCTTCAAAGCCCAACTTCCCTGAAGAATCCTGGGAACTGTGGTTTGCAAAGGGTGCTGGGAACTGTAGTTCTCTGAGGGAAACCAAGCCTTGTGAGGAACAGTTGAGGGAGCTGGGGATGCTGAGCCTGGAATGGAGGAGACGGAGGGGAGGCAGGAGAGCCATCTCCAAACGCCTTCCAGGGGGAAGATGGAGCAAGCTAGATTTCTGCTGCTCTGGAGGGAAGGATCCGAACCAAGGGATCCAAATGGCAAGGAAGGAGATTCCGACTCAGCAGCAGGAAGCAACTTCTGACAGGAAGAGATGTTCAGCAGTGGGAGGTGGGTCTCGGTCAGGGATTCTTGAGCTGTTCATTCCTGCAGACCCTCCAAGCGTCCGTATTTTCCAGGGAGGTCCCTGATTTAGAGAAGCCGTCCTGGTTTCTGATTTGATCCTCTGCGGAGTGTCCCACTTTTCCTTAGGATGTCTCTATTTTCATTGGCGGAATGTTGGAGATCTTCAGACACCCCCCTTGCGAAGAGGATGTACAGTGGACGCTCGGGTTGCGAACGTGATCCGTGCGGGATGCACGTTCGCAACCCGCAGTGTTCGCAACCCACGTCTGCGGATGCGTAGGTTGCTATTCGGCACTTCTGCACATGCGCAAAACACGATTTAGCACTTCTGCACGTGCGTGACCGCCGGAACCCGTAACCCGTTCTGGTACTTCTGGGTTTCGGCAGTCCGCAACCCCCAAAAAAGCAACCTGAAGCGTCTGTAACCCGAGGTATGACCGTATTTAGTGCAGTTATTACATTGTTATTGTGCCTCCTCATTTAATCCCCGCCACAACCGCCCTGCGAGGTAGGACAGGGCCGAGAGGAGGCCGTGGTCTTCTTCCCAATCCACCCGCCCCAGGGTTGCAAGCATTGAGCTCTGTGGCCGAGAGGGAGGGGAGGATTTGAGCGCCCCCCCTCCCAGGTTGGGGGTGAATTGTGGCTGGGCTGCGTCCTCACCTACGGAACAGAAGCGAAGGCCCCGGGCATCTCATCCCGAGGGAGCAAGAAGTGGAAAAGAAAAAAAAGAAACCCATCTCTCTTCCTCCCAAACCAGGTGGGACTCACGATGGGAAAGCGCCATAAGCGGAAATGAAAACCTGAGCAAAGGAGGGTGACTCACTGAATCCTTGGAAATGGCTCCAGTCAAAATCAAATACGTTGTGTCTTTCACATTTCAGGTAACATCCATGTTCTTTTAAATTAAGGGAAATAGGGAGTTACAAAACAAGCTGAGCTCAAAACATCTAGTATATTAGTAGGCAAACGGCTATTTAAAAATAGTAAAAAGCTTTAAACGTTGATTTAAAAAATAAAAAAAAAACACCAGTTAATATCATGTCACTAACTCATCATATAACTGGCTCTTTTTGTGTTCCAAATGGTAACCAGTTGATTTTATTATTTTACTAGCAGTGCAATGGGGAGCTTAGACCCAGAGTCTCACCACTATTAGTTCTTGCCCTCTTCTGACTCTAGGACCTTCTGGCATACGCATTTTCAAATTAAGGACTATAAACTTGCAGTAAAAGAGATCTGAGCATCTTGAAATGCCAGCTCCAGTGCCAAATAGTGGACTGTGCAGTTCTGCAGCAATCTAGTGGGTGCAGAGGGATAAATACCGTCCTGAGAATATAAAAAAGTAAGAGTCGTGTGCTGTGCTTCTCGCTCCTTTTCTGGGGCAGGATCCCAAGTCCCCGGTGGAGAACCTGCTGCTTGAAGAAGGGGTTCGGCCCTGGCTCAGCTCTCCCCAGGACCGGAGCAGGCAACTGAAAGCAGAGCTGCAGTTGGACCACGCAAGCCGCATTGGCTACATTGATGTGGGTAAGCATGTGGGAGGAGGTAGCAAAGGAACCCCCTCTCTGGGAACAAAAGGGATAGAGAGAAGTTTTTATCTCTCTCTCATAACACTGGAACTTGTTGAAATCCAACGAACTGAATGTTGAGAGATTCAGCAAACATTAAAGTACGTTTCCGAGCACAATTCAAAGTGTTGGTGTTGACCTTGAAAGCCCTAAACGACCTCGGTCCAGTATATCTGAAGGACCGTCTCCACCCCCATCATCCAGCCCGGACACTGAGGTCCAGCTCCGAGGGCCTTCTGGCGGTTCCCTCATTGCGAGAAGCGAAGTTACAGGGAGCCAGGCAGAGGGCCTTCTCGGTGGTGGCACCCGTCCTGTGGAACGCCCTCCCAACAGATGTCAAAGAGAACAACAACTACCAGACTTTTAGAAGACATCTGAAGGCAGCCCTGTTTAGTGAAGCTTTTAATGTTTGATGCATTACTGTATTTTAATATTTTGCTGGAAGCCGCCCAGAGTGGCTGGGGAAGCCCAGCCAGATGGGCGGGGTATAAATAATAAAATTATTATTATTATTATTATTATTATTCACGCAGCACAGAGTTGAACTGTGGAACTCCCTCCCACAGGAGACAGTGATGGCCATCAACCTGGATGGCTTTGAAAGAGGTTTAGACAAATTCATGGAGGAGAAGGCTTACCAATAGCTACTAGTCAGCAGTGCTTCTGAATGCCAAAAGCTGGGAACCACAGGAGGCGAGGGTGTGGCTCTCATGCTTGTATCCTGCTTGCAGCTTTCACATCGTGGGCATCTGGTTGGCCCCTGTGAGAACAAGATGCTGGACTAGAAAGGCCACTGGCTTGATCCAGAAGGCCCTTCTTGTGTTCTTAAGGGCTGATGCTGTAACTGCGAGGCAGGATTAGAAGCACAGAGCAAGTGACACACTGCTTTAAATTTAGAATATGTTAAGACAGCATGTTCTTCAATGAGATGTTGGCATTCTGAGCAAATGTATTGCAGTGTAGGTTTGTGTTCAGGTGATGGCTGGGGAGCTGAGTCCGTGGCTCTTCAAAACAGTTTTAAGTTTTAATTTATATATTTTGTAACTGTTGCTATATCTGTATTGGGACGCAGGTGGTGCTGTGGGTTAAACCACAAAGCCTAGGACTTGCCGATCAGAAGGTCGGTGGTTCGAATCCCTGCGACGGGGTGATCTCCCGTTGCTCGGTCCCTGCTCCTGCCAACCTAGCAGTTCAAAAGCACGTCAAAGTGCAAGTAGATAAATAGGTACCGCTCCAGCGGGAAGGTAAACGGCATTTCCGTGCACTGCTCTGGTTTGCCAGAAGCGGCTTAGTCATGCTGGCCACATGACCCGGAAGCTGTACGCCGGCTCCCTCGGCCAATACAGCGAGATGAGCGCCGCAACCCCAGAGTCGGCCACGACTGGACCTAATGGTCAGGGGTCCCTTTACCTTTATATCTGTATTGCCCCTGTTATACCTGATTGCAAATTCAAATGTATCCCTATTGTGTTTTATGACTTCCTTGATATTGTTTGTGGGCTGGAACTGGTCTGTGACCGAAATAATAAATTTAAAAAGTGAAAAATTAATAAATGGAAAAACAAAAGGAGCAGGAGACTAGGGCAGGCTACAGGGCTCTGAGTCTGAATGTTGGTGAACCCCATATGAGTGCACTGCAACTCAACTAAATTGAGGGGGAAAGGCAGGCAGCGCCAGCAGGAGACAGCTTTCGGCCGTTTGATAGTCAAAGTGCAAGTTCTTTGGTGCAGATCTTGGTGTTCTGTTTGTGCTCTTCAGGGAACTGTGGCTCTGCCTTCCTTCAGATAGACGTGGGGCGATCCTCCTGGCCTCTAGACCAGAGCTACCTCACTCTGTTGCCCACCACAGCCTTGATGATGCCCGCTGATGCAAAGCTGGATAAAAATCGTTCTGCAGTCCGGATGTTTAAAGAAGGTAAGAAGGTGGGCATTCTTCAGCCCCCTGGAGCCCCCTGAGGACTGTAAATGGCCTGGACTGTATTTGCTCAGCATCTCCCTCTCTGTGCCCCACAGGAGACTTCCTGGCTTCAGCTCTAAATGAGAAGTGGGACCGTGTCAGACTCACTTGCAGCCAGCCCTTCAACAAGCGCACGCAGTTTGGTCTCTCCTTCATCCGAATCCGCACTCCACAGGACGTAGACGACAGCAAGCCAGGCCCAGTCTCTGGTCCTAGTCAGGTACAGATCCATGCGTCATGGGTAGCTATCCTGCAATTTTACGCAAGCATGGGGGCCAAAATCCAGCAAGTAAAGAATATTGTTCACAAACCGGGTATTAAGCTAGTGAAGTTGTTTGTGTATATAAATAAAGAAAATACTAAAACAAAATGAAGTGTGCACAAGCTCCCCATGTGTTTATTTTTTTTCAAATTAAAATACAGTGGCGCCTCTGGTTAAGAACCTAATTCGTTCCAGAGGTCTGTTCTTAACCTGAAGCTGTTCTTAACCTGAAGCACCACTTTAGCTAATGGGGCCTCCCGCTGCCGCGCAATTTCCGTTCTCATCCTGAAGCAAAGTTCTTAACCCGAGGTACTATTTCTGGGTTAGCGGAGTCTGTAACCTGAAGTGTCTGTAACCTGAGGTACCACTGTAATTGGGAGGCTGCCAATTCTGCTGTTTGTCTGCTCAAAGCCACTATCTCCCCTAGGAAGTCCATAAAATTATCCATGGAGGAAGTGAATAGAGAAAATACTAGAACTAGAACTTTTTGACAGCTGAAGATTCAGGGCAGATGAAAGAAAGTGTTTTACGCATCGCATAGTTGAATTACGGCACTCGTTCGCAGGAGGCAGTGATTGCCACCTGCCTAGATGGCTTCAAAGATGGTTAGACCAATTCGTGGGGTATAAAGCTCTCAATGGCTACTAGCCATGGTATGTTCCACTTCTACTGCCAGTGGCAGTAAGGCTTCTAAATACCAGTTGCTGGGAATTTCAGGAGCTGAGAGTCCTGTAGTGCTCAGGTCCTGCTTGCCGGGTTCCCACAGGGATCTGGTTACAAGAAGAGAATGCTGGGGTTTGGCCTGATCCAGCAGGTGGTTCTTATGTTCCCTGCAATATGAAATCACTTGAGGGATTTTTGAAGGTCTACTGTTCCTAGCAGCCACCATTGTTCAGAAGCACAGTGACCTTGTTCTACCTTGCTTTGCCTGCCAGACGCTGGCAGGGATGCCCTGCTTGTGAACATCCCTGAGGCCTTTGATTGGCAGGATACTGAGCGAGGTGGGCTGCTGTTCTAGCCCAGAATGGTCATTCTTATACTGATGAGCAAAATCTGTTGTTTTTTTGTATTTGAGCTGAGCTATAGAAGCGGGGGACAAAAGGAGTTTGTCTAGTATCTTACACAGGACTTCCTCAGTTTGCTAATTATTGATCTAATTATTGATCTCTTAAATGTTACCTCTCTCCTTTCATCCTGTTTGTTGCCCACAGGCTCCTTCCGAGTCCAGCAGCAGCCCATGGCTCTCCAATGCGGCCTTCTGCAGGACTTTCTTCCCAGAGGCACCATCGTAAGTACCTGCATGTGTGCATCCATTTCTCGCACCCACCCACCTCTGGCACAGGGCCCCCAGAAGGATGGACAGAAGGGAATGCAGGCCTTAGCCTGAAACAATGTTAGTTTGAAACTTCTGGAGGTCTTCAGGATAAGGCTGGAGTGTCGTGAGTGTGCTTTATGTTCAATACATTCCATTTTGGGACAGGGCAGGTTGGAGCAATAGAGAACAGACAGTCCTTTTCCAGTTTCTGACTGTTCTTGTGGTTCTTTTGCTCACGCTCGACTCTTGGTAGCAGCTTTGCTTACAGGAAGCTGGAGTCTTGGTTCTGCAGTGGCCTCTTGAGGAAGCAGCTGTTGGGTTTCTCTTTGCAGGAGCACCGAGCAGGAAGCGGCGCTAAAAAGCCGGCTGCAGCAGCTGGACCCAGCCTCCAGCCCTGGCACCTGTATGAGCCGCCCAGCCAGGATGGTGTTGCAGGGGGCCTGTGCCCGCAAAAGAGCCTTCCCCTGGTGCCTGGCCTCACCTCTCCTTCTGCAGAGAGCACAGAGGACGGGCAGAGCCAGCAGGAAGCTCAGGAGCCAGCTGTGTTGCGTGAGTATTGGGGATGCGCAGGGGGGTGGAGAGATGGGGACACTTCTGTCTGCCGATAAGCTACCCCTCCAAGCACTAACATGGGGGCAGATCCACAAGGGGGAATTCAAACTATGTTTGATGTGTTGAGCTGGTCTTGTGAATATTCCAGCCCGTGTCAGAGAGAGTGGCTTGAGCACCCTGGGATAGTGCCCGACAAAATCTTAAAACCTTGGACTGACTAAGCCAGATTCCTTTTTCATTTCATTTCATTTTTTATTTGCATGCCGCCTTTCCACAGTTAAAAAAACAATGCTCAAGGCGGCTTACAGCATTACCTTTAAAGCCCTAAACGGCTTCAAAGGACCAGTATACCTGAAGGAGCATCTCCACCCCCATCCTTCTGCCCGGACACTGAGGTCCAGCTCCGAGGGCCTTCTGGCGGTTCCCTCCCTGCGGGAAGTGAGGTTACAGGGAACCAGGCAGAGGGCCTTCTCGGTGGTGGCGCCCGCCCTGTGGAACGCCCTCCCTTCAGATGTCAAAGAGAAAAATAACTACCAAACTTTTAGAAGACCTCTAAAGGCAGCCCTGTTTAGGGAAGCTTTTAATGTTTAATAGGTTATTGTATTTTAGTGTTTTGTTGGAAGCCGCCCAGAGTGGCTGGGAAACCCAGGCAGATGGGCGGGGTATAAATCATAAATTATTATTATTATATAACAAGATTTACATAATTACAAAAATCGTAAACAATAAATAAACCACATAAAAAATGCACAACCAAATGGGAAACCATTCCCACATAAATCAACATCTAAAACTAAGAATACAGTACAGCGTTAATATCACAGTTTAAAATGACATAGGTAAAAAATAACAGCAATTTAAACAAAAACAAAACAAAACGAAGCCCTCTCTGCCCAGCGGCAGCAGCAGCAGTCCTTTATAGAGCCCATCAGGTGTTGAGTGGCAGGACTGGGGCTCTCAGGCGCTGAGCAGGGGAGTCCTGATGGATCTGTGCTGCTGATTGGGGTTTTTTTTCCTGGATCCTTAATTGCGTCTAGAGGTGCAGGTGGCCTTGGTGGCAAAGAGTGCATTCTACCAGATTAGGCTTGTGGCCCAACTATGACCCTCTCTGGACAGGGATAGCTTGACTTCAGTTATCAGGTGCACAGCCTGGGAGTGATTTTGGACTCACAGCTGTCCATGGAGGCGCAGGTCAATTCTGTGCCCAAGGCAGCTGTCTACCAGCCCCATCTGGTTCGCAGGATGAGACCCTCCCTGCCCGCGGACTGTCTCACCAGAGTGGTGCATGCTCTAGTTGTCTCCCGCTTGGACTACTGCCATGCGCTCTACCTGGGACTACCTTTGAAGGTGACCCAGAAACTACAACTAATCCAGAATGCGGCATCTAGACTGGTGACTGGGAGTGGCCACCGGGACCACCTAACACTGGTCCTGAAAGACCTACATTGGCTCCCAGTACATTTCCGAGCACAATTCAAAGTATTGGTGCTGATCTTTCAAACCCTAAACGGCCTCAGTCCAGTATACCTGAAGGAGCGTCTCCACCTCCACCATTCTGCCCGGACACTAAGGTCCAGCGCTGAGGGCCTTCTGGCAGTTCCCTCGCTGTGAGAAGCCAAGTTACAGGGAACCAGGCAGAGGGCCTTCTTGGTGGTGGCTCCTGCCCTGTGGGACACCCTCCTACCAGATGCCAAGGAAATAGGCAGCTATCTGACTTTTAGAAGTTAGCTCTTCCTCCTCATCTCCATCTTCGTGGGAAGAGCTTGTCGCAGACTGCGTCCACTGCCCCATCTGCCAGTTCAGTTTCCCCGCTGCTGAGATAGAGAGACACGCTAGCAACTGCGGGGAGCCGACTGAGGCCCTGGTGAACGGACCCTTCTGGTTTGGGGCAGAACAGGGCGAGTAGATTGGGTGCAAGTGCCCCAGGGCAGGCGGCCTTCGCTGGTCAAGCCTTTAACCATTCAGTCGCAAGTGTGGTGATCAGCTGGGATCAGGATGTTGCCAGAACAAGGAGCCCACAAAGGACACACAGTGCTGCCACAGGGTTGGAAGTGAGACTAACGAGAAGAGAGTAAGGACTCCAGTAATCGGGGCGAGGAACGTGTTATTTGAGTTGCCGTGCCAGCACCTCTTACTCTCCCTCTGGTCTGATTCTTCTCACCAACATCCACACATGCCAGAGCGCTGGGGCTCATCCTGACTTGTTGCTGTAGTTCACAGTCAAGACTGTCGGAAAGATTCCTCAGAAAGGCGACTTTCTTCCCCGCTCACCTTCTCCTCTCCCGCAAGGAAGCTGTGGGGCAGGCACTGCGCAGCCTATACCGGTCTCTTTTCCGTACAGACCAGCTGCATGAAAAACGAAGACTGAATTAAATGTTTGCAAGGCTTGCCAAACTCCTGTGCCCCCTGGCTGGGGCTGCTGGGAGCTGTAAGTTCTGCAACATGTGGAGGCTGCAGGTTCAGGATCATTTGGACCAAGGGGCCAGTTCTAGGAATGTGCCGGTGACAATCTTTGTTGTTAAAAATTGGGGGTTTTTTCCTGAAAAGTTGTGTTGTGTGTCACTGAATGAACCGACTGTCCTTTTTTTTTGAATTTTCCTCTGCACATTCATAGGCACCAATATTTCAAAGGGAACCCCTGGCCTGCACTACAATTTAGTGGGGAGCTTTATGGCAGGACATGTGCAACCTCTCTTTCCGATACTTTCTGTTGTTGCAGAAATGCCCCACCGTAATGGTATCTTAGTGACCCACTGCTATTATTTGTGAGCTACCTCTTTAAAAGGAAAGAAAAGCGGCTGCCCTCATTGCTCCGCCCACTTTTAGCTCTGGCCCCACCCACCACAGGAGTGCGGCCCTCAGAATGTTGGCCAGAAGGGAAGGCGGTCCTTGGGGTGGAAACGGTCCCCCAGCCCTTCTCCAGTTGCCCCAGATGGTCCAGGTTTAATTCCAAAATGCTGAATGGCACTTTGGCTATTCTCCTTGGTTCATGTTTTGAATGATGTTCTGCTGTTGCGTCAGCAGATCACTCCTGTTGTATGCTGCCTGCATCAACGACCATGTGCTGTTGGGCTGGGTGCACTTGGACCTGCTCCTGCGTGGGAAGCCTGCAAACACTCTGTCTCCCAGCAAGTGTTATTCAGAGGCACGGAGGCCACAGGCAGTAGCGATCAAACCCAGCTGATATAGAAAAACCCCGCTCCTTTTCCCTTGTGGGGTATCAAAATGCGTCTACCCAGCTACTATGCACAGTCATATATTAGCTCCTAAAAGACCAGCAGATTTTACAGATAAGACACCGTTGTGGTTTCTCCTTGTTTCTGATTTTTCTCTGCACTCTTGAAAAATTGAGCCAACTCCCTTTAAAACCACGAGAATCAAAAACGCTCAGAATTTTACAACAAAGGCCTTTTGGTCATGAGAAACGTGTATGGTCTTTAGGAGACCTGCTTTAGTCCACCTTGGCACAGCAAAATATTTTAAGGCAAGAGGTAGAATTTCAATCCACCGGTGGACCAGGGCCAACTTCCGGATTCTTGCAACAAGTGCTGGACTCTGAGGACTCCTCCAGCTAGCAAGCATGTGCATATTTAGGATCACCAGTCACACACTGAGTCATGCTCCTTAAAGGTCAGCGGACCACTAAGGCCCCCTCTCGCACCGTAAATTTAAGATGCAGCTGGTGGATCGCAGGGACGTGAATAACAAAAAAACAGACCGAGCATTAGCCCCACCCTGGCTGTACGTGGCAAGAGGTAGCCTGTGCCGGGGCTTACCTTACAGAGGGCAAAAGGACAAGCAAGGAGGAAAGAGCAGGCAAGAGCAATCATGACTTAAGCAGCTGCTTGCAACACGAGGCGGCAGGCAGAGCAGATCTTGCTGTTTACTGCCACACGGAGGAAAGTGGGCCAACTCCCTCACCAACTCAGCTAACGAAGAAGGCTGATCCTGCAGCAGGAGTCTCTTTGCCCAGCTAACAAGCAGGGCAGGAAAACAACCTTTTCCATGCAAGAGGGAAAGAAGCCCAGCTATACACCCGCTCATCAGATCTCTTAATGTCAAATGAGAAGCTCTGAGGTGTCTGCAGTTATCTTTGAAGGTGCCGGAAGTGACTGCCAGCAACCTACTCAACCTACTCAAGTAAACACGGTTTCTTGCTCAGAGGGACACATTGACATGGGCTTCCCCCACATTGCTGTAGGTGCCCCATAGTGCCAACATTGGAGGCAGCCGCACACGGGTCCTGCCCACATGCCCAGGGCTCGCCTGTGCACTGCCACTGCCATGGATCCTCGTGCACCAATGTTCCTTGTGTAGTAAAAGTACAGCAGAATTATTATCTATCAGCAACTCCATCTGCAGGCAGAAATGAGGAGAAAAGCACTGCATGACTCTGCTTCCTTCCCTGTCTAACCCCAGCTCCTCTTATTGCAGTTTGCTGACCTCTGTCTTCCTATTAGCCCCCAAATTACTGGAATATCCAAGTATTAACAGCTTGATTTTACAGTTTTAACTTGCTTTTATTTTGTATTGCATCTTTGTAAGCTGCGTAGCCTACTGCAGTTACACAGTATACAAATCATATTAAAAAATACTTCCGATATGAGAGGCAGCCAGTGATGGCTGGTGCCTGCTGGGCCTGGTGAGGCGGAAGGCCGGGAGGCAAGCAGTAGGCAAAGCCTATGCCAACGGCTTCTAGTTTTGTCTCCATCCTGCTGAGTTCATCAAGGGCGACACCGAGGCAGAGGAGGAGGAAGCTGGTAGGCAGGGCCACCTGTTGGACTGTTGTAAGAAGGCACGTGAAGGTTGGCGGAGGGCAGACTGAGGTAGGTGGGGCAATGCCCCATTTTCCCTACTGGGCTGGCTCCACTAGAGGTCTGGTGTCTTTCTGAATACCAGCCACTGGGGAATCCAAGTAGAGGAAAGTGCTGCTGCTTTCATGTCCTGCCTCTGGGCTTCCCATTGCAGGGAGAAAGATTTTGTCTTTTTTTCTATTGTGATTTTATGTTGTGAACTGCCCTGAGACCTATGGGTACAGGGCAGTATACAAATTCAATTAATAATAATAATATAATACAATTGATGATGACCTAGATGGACGCCCTTTGGTCTGATCTAGCAACAAGGCCCTTTTAAGGTTCTTTCTTTGTCACTCCTCCCCTGCCTCTGTGACATTTTTAACACTGCATGTTCCTCGGGGCAGGGACCTGTTTCTCTGCTTATGCTGTATGTTGAAGCCCCACTCATTGGTAATCACACTATATGTGCAACAGCAACTGTAGCAGCAGCAAAAAGGTGTGATTACCCTGGGTATTGGGAAAGGAATGTGACACTGGATTTAAAACAAGAGAATTATAGAGTTGGAAGGGACTCAGAGGATCCTAGTAGCTCAACCCCCAGGAATGAAGGAATCACAGCTAATTTCATAGCAAACCTGGAGCTCTGTGTCCTGTTCTGGGCACCCTGGTTTAAGAAGGATATTGACAAGCTGTGTGCAGAGGAGAGTGACCAAGAGGAACAAGGGTCTGGAAACCAAGCCTGATGAGGAACGGTTGAAAAAGCTGGGCATGTTTAGCCTGTAAAAGATAAGACTGAGAGGAGATAGAAAAGCCGTCTTCAAATATCTCAAGGGCTGTCACATGGATATACCGTATTTTTCGCTCTATAAGACGCACCAGACCACAAGACGCACCTAGTTTTTGGAGGAGGAAAACAAGAAAAAAAATATTCTGAATCTCAGAAGCCAGAACAGCAAGAGGGGTCACTGTGCAGTGAAAGCAGCAATCCCTCTTGCTGTTCTGGCTTCTGGGATAGCTGCGCAGCCTGCATTCGCTCCATAAGACGCACACACATTTCCCTTACTTTTTAGGAGGGGAAAAGTGAGTCTTATAGAGCAAAAAATACAGTAATAGTTTATTTGTACCCCACCCATCTGACTGGGTTGCCCCAGCCACTCTGGGGGCTTCCAGCACATATAAAAACACAGTATGTGCTTGAAGTTCTGTCTTCTGGGAACAAGCTTGTTTTCTACTGTTTCAGAGGCTAGGACCGAAAGCAATGGCTTCAAGTTGCAAGAAAGGAGATTCCGACTAAATTTCCGATGGTAAGAGCTGTTCAGCAGCGGAACGGACTCCCTCAGAAGGTGGCGGAAGCAGAGGTTGGATGCTGTCATGGATGCTTTTGCTGAGATTCCTGCCTTGCAGTGGGTTGGACTAGATGACTTGCAGGGGTCCCATTCCGACTCTATGATTCTTTGGTCTGAGAGGAGGGACGGGGAGAGAGGGAGAGATGGCAAAGTCTCGGGGTCCCTGGGCGACCTTGGGCTGGCCGCAGCCCAGCCTACCTGGCAGGACTGTTGTGAAGGCCAATTGAGATTGGCCCGGGGGAGGAATGGAGCTGGGGGAGTGGGGGCGAGGGGGATACGTGGATCCCTCTGAGGAAGGGGAGAGGATTTTGTCTGTCAGGGGAAGGAAATGCAATGGAGAAACCAAAAGGGATAAGGTGCTACCACTAAAATAAAATAAAATAAAATAAAATAAAATAAGGGTTTAACCTAAGAAGCGGGTGGAGGTTAAACCGAGCATTAAGTGGCAAAGGCTGAGGTCCCCTGAGATTATATTTAATTAAGAAAAATGACAATGATGCTGTTAATGATGTGGCAACAGTAATAATAGTATTAATAGCAATAATCCTACCGGCGGTTAGGATGCTGCCCCTCCCCCTCCGGAGCCCCCCAACCTCCGCCCCACACCCCTCCCCCCACATAGGCCCCTCCCCCCCGCCGCCGTGGGGCAGCAAGCCCCGCCCTCACCTCCTCCACGTCGCGGTCCAGGGGGCCCCCAACCTCCACTTCCACCACCGCCGCCATCTTGCCCCCTCTCCCTCCCGCCAGCGCCGCGGCCAGGTGGCCCGCTCGCTTCCGCCGGAGCCCGCCAATCGCCGCTCACTGCCGGTTCCCGCTCGGCCAATCGCCCGGCGCGCGAGTCGCCGCCGGAGGGGCCGATTGGAGGAGGCGGGTCTGGGGGGCGGGGCCGAGCTGGCCGATGGAGCCTGTCAAAGCGGACGAGGGAGCGTCCGACATGTGACAGCTTCGTAAGCGGGCGCAAAATGTCCTGTCTGGCCGACAAGGCGCTCAGGGACCGAGTCCCGGCAGGCTGCGTTTTCACAGGCATTTTCTGGCAACCGCCGCAACAGACTTCACGGGATGGCCGGGTACTTTCTGCGCTTCTCACGCCAGCAGGGAATTGAGGGACGCTCCCTGGCGTCTGCCCCGCCCCTTGAATCCAGCTGCGCGCGGCGCTTTCGAGGCCGGCGGGAGGAAGGACTACGGTTCCCAGCATGCTTTGCGGCCTCTCCTGTCAGCGTTCCTTGTTTTAAAAAAATAAGGAACAAATTTAGCGTCGTGATTCGAAACGAAGGTGGCTCTGCCATGTAGTAGAAAGCATTTATATATTTATTTTAAAAACTTTTTTTTAAAAAACCAGTCCGTTAACGATCGACCTCGGTGACGTCACGAGGAGAGACGAGCAGCCAGCCAATCAGCGTCGAGGGTCAAGGGGCGGGCAGTATTGGCGGGAGATTGAGAAACCCCGGGAAACTAAGGAAGGCGCTCCCGGGATCCCGGGGGAGAGATCTCTCTCAGGTACCTCATTTGCATATGTTAATTCCCGAGAAAGAGGTAAGTGCTGCAATCCCGGCTGTATATTTCTACTTTTTGTATATTTTAGTTTTTGTCGTTTAGTTTTGGTTATTGTTTTTTCTGGTCTTGTCTCCTCCCCTTTTTTTCTTTTTAAGTGCTATTTTATTTATCTGAGATCCCTAAATATTTTTACTATGCACTTTGTAACATTTATCTTAGTCTAATAATGATGATAATTTATTATTTCTACCCCGCCCATCTGGTTTCCCCAGCCACTCTGGGCGGCTTCCAACAGAATATTAAAATACAATAACCTATTAAACATTAAAAGCTTCCCTAAAAAGGGCTGCCTTCAGATGTCTTCTAAAAGTCTGGTAGTTGTTGTTCTCTTTGACATCTGGTGGGAGGCCGTTCCACAGGGAGGGAGCCACCACTGAGAAGGCCCTCTGCCTGATTCCCTGTAACTTGGCTTCTCGCAGCGAGAATGTAATGTATATGTAATGTAAGACCAATTTATCCTTTTTAAGTTTGCTGTGTAAAATTATTTGGGGGGAAATCATTCACTCATTTTGTTTTGTTTTGTTTTGGCTGCTGGGGGCAGGGCTTTCCTGTGAGTCAGGAACCAGATATATAAAGCTCTTCCTCCTCCCTCCGCTCAGACACCCCCCTTGCGAAGAGGATGTCTTCAGCCACAGGTAGGGAGCCAGCCTTCTCCACCGCCTCTGCCAAGGCTTCTTAGCCACACTCTCTGCAGCCTCAGTGGCGCCATCTGCGCCCACACAGACGTGCCCCTTCAGTGGCACCGAAAAGAGGGAGGAAGCAGCTGAGGGTCCAAGGGGAACTTTCCCTCTTGCTTGAAGTGTAACTGTACACTTGAAACCGAGGCTGCGCACCTTCAAAGCCCAACTTCCCTGAAGAATCCTGGGAACTGTGGTTTGCAAAGGGTGCTGGGAACTGTAGTTCTGTGAGGGAAACCAAGCCTTGTGAGGAACAGTTGAGGGAGCTGGGGATGCTGAGGCTGGAATGGAGGAGACGGAGAGGAGGCAGGAGAGCCATCTTCAAACGCCTTCCAGGGGGAAGATGGAGCAAGCTAGATTTCTGCTCCTCTGGAGGGAAGGATCCGAACCAAGGGATCCAAATGGCAAGGAAGGAGATTCCGACTCAGCAGCAGGAAGCAACTTCTGACAGGAAGAGATGTTCAGCAGTGGGAGGTGGGTCTCGGTCAGGGATTCTTGAGCTGTTCATTCCTGCACACCCTCCAAGAGTCCTTATTTTCCAGGGAGGTCCCTGATTTAGAGAAGCCGTCCTGGTTTCTGATTTGATCCTCTGCGGAGTGTCCCACTTTTCCTTAGGATGTCTCTATTTTCATTGGAGGAATGTTGGAGCTCTTCAGACACCCCCCTTGCGAAGAGGATGTACAGTGGACGCTCGGGTTGCGAACGTGATCCGCGCGGGATGCACGTTCGCAACCCGCAGTGTTCGCAACCCACGTCTGCGGATGCGTAGGTTGCTATTCGGCACTTCTGCACATGCGCAAAACACGATTTAGCACTTCTGCACGTGCGTGACCGCCGGAACTCGTAACCCGTTCTGGTACTTCTGGGTTTCGGCAGTCCGCAACCCAAAAAAAAGCAACCTGAAGGGTCTGTAACCCGAGGTATGACCGTATTTAGTGCAGTTATTACATTGTTATTGTGCCTCCTCCTTTAATCCCCGCCACAACCGCCCTGCGAGGTAGGACAGGGCCGAGAGGAGGCCGTGGTCTTCTTCCCACTCCACCCGCCCCAGGGTTGCAACATTGAGCTCTGTGGCCGAGAGGGAGGGGAGGATTTGAGCGCCCCCCCCCCAGGTTGGGGGTGAATTGTGGCTGGGCTGCGTCCTCACCTACGGAACAGAAGCGAAGGCCCCGGGCATCTCATCCCGAGGGAGCAAGAAGTGGAAAAGAAAAAAAAGAAACCCATCTCTCCTCCCCCCAAACCAGGTGGGACTCACGATGGGAAAGCGCCATAAGCGGAAATGAAAACCTGAGCAAATGAGGGTGACTCACTGAATCCTTGGAAATGGCTCCAGTCAAAATCAAATACGTTGTGTCTTTCACATTTCAGGTAACATCCATGTTCTTTTAAATTAAGGGAAATAGGGAGTTACAAAACAAGCTGAGCTCAAAACATCTAGTATATTAGTAGGCAAATGGCTATTTAAAAATAGTAAAAAGCTTTAAACGTTGATTTAAAAAATAAATAAAAAACACCAGTTAATATCATGTCACTAACTCATCGTATGACTGGCTCTTTTTGTGTTCCAAATGGTAACCAGTTGATTTAATTATTTTACTAGCAGTGCAATGGGGAGCTTAGACCCAGAGTCTCACCACTATTAGTTCTTGTCTTCTTCTGACTCTAGGACCTTCTGGCATACGCATTTTCAAATTAAGGACTATAAACTTGCAGTAAAAGAGATCTGAGCATCTTGAAATGCCAGCTCCAGTGCCAAATAGTGGACTGTGCAGTTCTGCAGCAATCTAGTGGGTGCAGAAGGATAAATACCGTCCTGAGAATATAAAAAAGTAAGAGTCGTGTGCTGTGCTTCTCGCTCCTTTTCTGGGGCAGGATCCCAAGTCCCCGGTGGAGAACCTGCTGCTTGAAGAAGGGGTTCGGCCCTGGCTCAGCTCTCCCCAGGACCGGAGCAGGCAACTGAAAGCAGAGCTGCAGTTGGAACACGCAAGCCACATTGGCTACATTGATGTGGGTAAGCATGTGGGAGGAGGTAGCAAAGGAACCCCCTCTCTGGGAACAAAAGGGATAGAGAGAAGTTTTTATCTCTCTCTCATAACACTGGAACTTGTTGAAATCCAACGAACTGAATGTTGAGAGATTCAGCAAACATTAAAGTACGTTTCCGAGCACAATTCAAAGTGTTGGTGTTGACCTTGAAAGCCCTAAACGACCTCGGTCCAGTATATCTGAAGGACCGTCTCCACCCCCATTGTTCTGCCCGGACGCTGAGGTCCAGCTCCGAGGGCCTTCTGGCGGTTCCCTCATTGCGAGAAGCGAAGTTACAGGGAACCAGGCAGAGGGCCTTCTCGGTGGTGGCGCCCGTCCTGTGGAACGCCCTCCCATCAGATGTCAAAGAGAACAACAACTACCAGACTTTTAGAAGACATCTGAAGGCAGCCCTGTTTAGTGAAGCTTTTAATGTTTGATGCATTACTGTATTTTAATATTTTGCTGGAAGCCGCCCAGAGTGGCTGGGGAAGCCCAGCCAGATGGGCGGGGTATAAATAATAAAATTATTATTATTATTATTATTATTATTATTATTATTCACGCAGCACAGAGTTGAACTGTGGAACTCCCTCCCACAGGAGACAGTGATGGCCATCAACCTGGATGGCTTTGAAAGAGGTTTAGACAAATTCATGGAGGAGAAGGCTTACCAATAGCTACTAGTCAGCAGTGCTTCTGAATGCCAAAAGCTGGGAACCACATGAGGGGAGGGTGTGGCTCTCATGCTTGTATCCTGCTTGCAGCTTTCACATCGTGGGCATCTGGTTGGCCCCTGTGAGAACAAGATGCTGGACTAGAAAGGCCACTGGCTTGATCCAGAAGGCCCTTCTTGTGTTCTTAAGGGCTGATGCTGTAACTGCGAGGCAGGATTAGAAGCACAGAGCAAGTGAGACACTGCTTTAAATTTAGAATATGTTAAGACAGCATGTTCTTCAATGAGATGTTGGCATTCTGAGCAAATGTATTGCAGTGTAGGTTTGTGTTCAGGTGATGGCTGGGGAGCTGAGTCCGTGGCTCTTCAAAACAGTTTTAAGTTTTAATTTATATATTTTGTAACTGTTGCTATATCTGTATTGGGACGCAGGTGGTGCTGTGGGTTAAACCACAAAGCCTAGGACTTGCCGATCAGAAGGTCGGTGGTTCGAATCCCTGCGACGGGGTGATCTCCCGTTGCTCGGTCCCTGCTCCTGCCAACCTAGCAGTTCAAAAGCACGTCAAAGTGCAAGTAGATAAATAGGTACCGCTCCAGCGGGAAGGTAAACGGCATTTCCGTGCACTGCTCTGGTTTGCCAGAAGCGGCTTAGTCATGCTGGCCACATGACCCGGAAGCTGTACGCCGGCTCCCTCGGCCAATACAGCGAGATGAGCGCCGCAACCCCAGAGTCGGCCACGACTGGACCTAATGGTCAGGGGTCCCTTTACCTTTATATCTGTATTGCCCCTGTTATACCTGATTGCAAATTCAAATGTATCCCTATTGTGTTTTATGACTTCCTTGATATTGTTTGTGGGCTGGAACTGGTCTGTGACCGAAATAATAAATTTAAAAAGTGAAAAATTAATAAATGGAAAAAACAAAAGGAGCAGGAGACTAGGGCAGGCTACAGGGCTCTGAGTCTGAATGTTGGTGAACCCCATATGAGTGCACTGCAACTCAACTAAATTGAGGGGGAAAGGCAGGCAGCGCCAGCAGGAGACAGCTTTCGGCCGTTTGATAGTCAAAGTGCAAGTTCTTTGGTGCAGATCTTGGTGTTCTGTTTGTGCTCTTCAGGGAACTGTGGCTCTGCCTTCCTTCAGATAGACGTGGGGCGATCCTCCTGGCCTCTAGACCAGAGCTACCTCACTCTGTTGCCCACCACAGCCTTGATGATGCCTGCTGATGCAAAGCTGGATAAAAATCGTTCTGCAGTCCGGATGTTTAAAGAAGGTAAGAAGGTGGCCACTCTTCAGCCCCCTGGAGCCCCCTGAGGACTGTAAATGGCCTGGATTGTATTCGCTCAGCATCTCCCTCTCTGTGCCCCACAGGAGACTTCCTGGCTTCAGCTCTAAATGAGAAGTGGGACCGTGTCAGACTCACTTGCAGCCAGCCCTTCAACAAGCGCACACAGTTTGGTCTCTCCTTCATCCGAATCCGCACTCCACAGGACGTAGACGACAGCAAGCCAGGCCCAGTCTCTGTTCCTAGTCAGGTACAGATCCATGCGTCATGGGTAGCTATCCTGCAATTTTACGCAAGCATGGGGGCCAAAATCCAGCAAGTAAAGAATATTGTTCACAAACCGGGTATTAAGCTAGTGAAGTTGTTTGTGTATATCAATAAATAAAATACTAAAACAAAATAAAGTGTGCACAAGCTCCCCATGTGTTTATTTTTTTTCAAATTAAAATACAGTGGCGCCTCTGGTTAAGAACCTAATTCGTTCCAGAGGTCTGTTCTTAACCTGAAACTGTTCTTAACCTGAAGCACCACTTTAGCTAATGGGGCCTCCCGCTGCCGCGCAATTTCTGTTCTCATCCTGAAGCAAAGTTCTTAACCCGAGGTACTATTTCTGGGTTAGCGGAGTCTGTAACCTGAAGTGTCTGTAACCTGAGGTACCACTGTAATTGGGAGGCTGCCAATTCTGCTGTTTGTCTGCTCAAAAGCCACTATCTCCCCTAGGAAGTCCATAAAATTATCCATGGAGGAAGTGAATAGAGAAAATACTAGAACTAGAACTTTTTGACAGCTGAAGATTCAGGGCAGATGAAAGAAAGTGTTTTACGCATCGCATAGTTGAATTACGGCACTCGTTCGCAGGAGGCAGTGATTGCCACCTGCCTAGATGGCTTCAAAGATGGTTAGACCAATTCATGGGGTATAAAGCTCTCAATGGCTACTAGCCATGGTATGTTCCACTTCTACTGCCAGTGGCAGTAAGGCTTCTAAATACCAGTTGCTGGGAATTGCAGGAACTGAGAGTCCTGTAGTGCTCAGGTCCTGCTTGCCGGGTTCCCACAGGGATCTGGTTACGAGAAGAGGATGCTGGGGTTTGGCCTGATCCAGCAGGTGGTTTTTATGTTCCCTGCAATATGAAATCACTTGAGGGATTTTTGAAGGTTTACTGTTCCTAGCAGCCGCCATTGTTCAGAAGCACAGTGACCTTGTTCTACCTTGCTTTGCCTGCCAGACGCTGGCAGGGATGCCCTGCTTGTGAACATCCCTGAGGCCTTTGATTGGCAGGATACTGAGCCAGGTGGGCTGTTGTTGTAGCCCAGAATGGTCATTCTTATACTGATGAGCAAAATCTGTTGTTTTTTTGTATTTGAGCTGAGCTATAGAAGCGGGGGACAAAAGGAGTTTGTCTAGTATCTTACACAGGACTTCCTCAGTTTGCTAATTATTGATCTAATTATTGATCTCTTAAATGTTACCTCTCTCCTTTCATCCTGTTTGTTGCCCACAGGCTCCTTCCGAGTCCAGCAGCAGCCCATGGCTCTCCAATGCAGCCTTCTGCAGGACTTTCTTCCCAGAGGCACCATCGTAAGTACCTGCATGTGTGCATCCATTTCTCGCACCCACCCACCTCTGGCACAGGGCCCCCAGAAGGATGGACAGAAGGGAATGCAGGCCTTAGCCTGAAACAATGTTAGTTTGAAACTTCTGGAGGTCTTCAGGATAAGGCTGGACTGTCGTGAGTGTGCTTTCTGTGCAGTACATTCCATTTTGGGACAGGGCAGGTTGGAGCAATAGAGAACAGACAGTCCTTTTCCAGTTTCTGACTGTTCTTGTGGTTCTTTTGCTCACGCTCGACTCTTGGTAGCAGCTTTGCTTACAGGAAGCTGGAGTCTTGGTTCTGCAGTGGCCTCTTGAGGAAGCAGCTGTTGGGTTTCTCTTTGCAGGAGCACCGAGCAGGAAGCGGCGCTAAAAAGCCGGCTGCAGCAGCTGGACCCAGCCTCCAGCCCTGGCACCTGTATGAGCCGCCCAGCCAGGATGGTGTTGCAGGGGGCCTGTGCCCGCAAAAGAGCCTTCCCCCTGGTGCCTGGCCTCACCTCTCCTTCTGCAGAGAGCACAGAGGACGGGCAGAGCCAGCAGGAAGCTCAGGAGCCAGCTGTGTTGCGTGAGTATTGGGGATGCGCAGGGGGGTGGAGAGATGGGGACACTTCTGTCTGCCGATAAGCTACCCCTCCAAGCACTAACATGGGGGCAGATCCACAAGGGGAATTCAAACTATGTTTGATGTGTTGAGCTGGTCTTGTGAATATTCCAGCCCGTGTCAGAGAGAGTGGCTTGAGCACCCTGGGATAGTGCCCGACAAAATCTTAAAACCTTGGACTGACTAAGCCAGATTCCTTTTTCATTTCATTTCATTTCGTTTTTTATTTGCATGCCACCTTTCCACAGTTAAAAAAACAATGCTCAAGGCGGCTTACAGCATTACCTTTAAAGCCCTAAACGGCTTCAGAGGACCAGTATACCTGAAGGAGCATCTCCACCCCCATCCTTCTGCCCGCACACTGAGGTCCAGCTCCGAGGGCCTTCTGGCGGTCCCTGCGGTTACAGGGAACCAGGCAGAGGGCCTTCTCAGTGGTGGCGCCCGCCCTGTGGAACGCCCTCCCTTCAGATGTCAAAGAGAAAAATAACTACCAAACTTTTAGAAGACCTCTAAAGGCAGCCCTGTTTAGGGAAGCTTTTAATGTTTAATAGGTTACTGTATTTTAGTGTTTTGTTGGAAGCCGCCCAGAGTGGCTGGGGAAACCCAGGCAGATGGGCGGGGTATAAATCATAAATTATTATTATTATATAACAAGATTTACATAATTACAAAAATCGTAAACAATAAATAAACCACATAAAAAATGCACAACCAAATGGGAAACCATTCCCACATAAATCAACATCTAAAACTAAGAATACAGTACAGCGTTAATATCACAGTTTAAAATGACATAGGTAAAAAATAACAGCAATTTAAACAAAAACAAAACAAAACAAAACGAAGCCCTCTCTGCCCAGCGGCAGCAGCAGCAGTCCTTTATAGAGCCCATCAGGTGTTGAGTGGCAGGACTGGGGCTCTCAGGCGCTGAGCAGGGGAGTCCTGATGGATCTGTGCTGCTGATTGGGGTTTTTTTTCCTGGATCCTTAATTGCGTCTAGAGGTGCAGGTGGCCTTGGTGGCAAAGAGTGCATTCTACCAGATTAGGCTTGTGGCCCAAGTATGACCCTCTCTGGACAGGGATAGCTTGACTTCAGTTATCAGGTGCACAGCCTGGGAGTCATTTTGGACTCACAGCTGTCCATGGAGGCGCAGGTCAATTCTGTGCCCAAGGCAGCTGTCTACCAGCTCCATCTGGTTCGCAGGATGAGACCCTCCCTGCCCGCGGACTGTCTCACCAGAGTGGTGCATGCTCTAGTTGTCTCCCGCTTGGACTACTGCCATGCGCTCTACCTGGGACTACCTTTGAAGGTGACCCAGAAACTACAACTAATCCAGAATGCGGCATCTAGACTGGTGACTGGGAGTGGCCACCGGGACCACCTAACACTGGTCCTGAAAGACCTACATTGGCTCCCAGTACATTTCCGAGCACAATTCAAAGTATTGGTGCTGATCTTTCAAACCCTAAACGGCCTCAGTCCAGTATACCTGAAGGAGCGTCTCCACCTCCACCATTCTGCCCGGACACTAAGGTCCAGCGCTGAGGGCCTTCTGGCAGTTCCCTCGCTGTGAGAAGCCAGGTTACAGGGAACCAGGCAGAGGGCCTTCTTGGTGGTGGCTCCTGCCCTGTGGGACACCCTCCTACCAGATGCCAAGGAAATAGGCAGCTATCTGACTTTTAGAAGACATCTGAAGGCAGCCCTGTTTAGGGAAGTTTTTAATGACTGATGTTTTAGTATGTTCTGATGCCACCCAGGGTGGGTGGGGTAACAATTATAATCATAATCAATCAATCAATCAATCAATCATCAATGCTCTGGGAACCTCAAGATTGGACTATTGTGATGTGCTTTATGTGGGGCTGCGTTTGAAAATGGTTTGCAAGCGTCACTTGGTGCCTGAGCCACTGAAGAGAAGTATAGACCTCCCTCACAGCCTACTTAGAGCCATTAGAGAGAGGAAGAGAACCATTTATAGAGTCTCTGGCCAGTCAGCTCTTCCCTGCTGTCTTCTAGCTGCAAAGTAGATCGGCTACAATCTTATCCTGCCTGCAAAGATGAAAATAATTTAGACTGTTTAGCTTGGATGGATAAAAAGGGAGGGGGGGGAGAATAGCACTCTCCAAACAGGATGGCATGGATGAGGTTATACTGTTTTCATCCTCACAGTAACCCTGTACAGGTTGGTCTGTCGACAAAACACGATGTGATGCAGGTGACCTTCCACTAAAACAGCGCAGGAGGGAGGTTTTTTTTTTTTAAAAAAAGCCTCCTCAAGTGCCGTAGCAGACTCCCCCCCCCCCCCGTTCCCCCACCTAGTGACTGCTGGGTTGAGATCCTGCTTGTGAGTCTCCGGCTCAGTCCCCCGAGACTCTCCAAGACACATCCAATGGCTTTTTTGAGCTGTGGCGATTTTAATTACCGTATTTTTCGCTCTATAAGACGCACCTAGTTTTTGGAGGAGGAAAACAAGAAAAAAATATTCTGAATACCAGAAGCCAGAACAGCGAGAGGGACCGCTGCGCAGCAAAAGTAGCAATCCCTCTTGCTGTTCTGGCTTCTGGGATAGCTGCATTCACTCCATAAGACGCACACACATTTCCCCTTACTTTTTAGGTGGGAAAAAGTGAGTCTTATAGAGCAAAAAACACGGTATTTGTTTAAAAAATATTTGTATACTGCTGTATCATTAACATATCTATATCTATATATCTATTTATCTATATCTATCTATATCTATATCTATATCTATATCTATATCTATATCTATATCTATATCTATATCTATATCATCTATATATCTATATCTATATCTATATCTATATCTATATCTATATCTATAAAGTTGTTTACAGAAATAAAAACCAGACAGAGGGCCTTCTTGGTGGTGGCGCCAACCCTGTGGAACGCCCTCCCATCAGATGTCAAGGAAATAAACAACTATCTGACTTTTAGAAGACATCTGAAGGCAGCCCTGTTTAGGGAAGTTTTTAACGTTTGATGTTTTATTGTGTTTTTAACTGTTGGGAGCTGCCCAGAGTGGCTGGGGAAACCTAGCCAGATGGTGTAGAAATAAATTGTTGTTGTTAGAACATAAAACCAATAAAAAGTTGACAACTTTGAGCTCTGGTCTCCTCAGCTGAAGTCCCCACCTCTGCCCACTATGTGTGACAGTGGATGTCTGCTTGGGGTACAGACAATGGTGGACAAAGGCGGGGGCTCGCCGCTCACCCCTCCCGACACGCGCCATGCCCCTGGATGTACACCGCTCCTGGTACCAGAGCAGGTATCTCTGCCACTGGGTACAGCATGGCAGAATAATAATAATAATAATAATAATAATAATAATAATAATAATAATAATGTATATCCCACCCATCTGGCTGGGTTTCCCCAGCCACTGTGGAATAAGGGTTTTCATCAGTGGGTGGATAGTCCTGCCTTGTGGAGGAGGGTTTGGGCAAGATCCCCTCTTTGGTGATCCTTTGTTTCCATCTCTCTGTGTGGGATCTCATTTTCTGTGGAGCAGTCAACCCCAAAGGAGAGTCTTAGCAGACACACCAGCCCTGCATGACTAATGTTGCTGACTTGGTTCATCTTGCAGGGCCCAAGCAGGAATCGTCTGCCAGAAGAGGGGGCACGAAAACGAGTCGAAGACGGGCGTCATGCAGCAACCTGACGAGGTGATTTGGCCGTGTGGGGAATTTCCTTCCGGTTCAGTCCCAGTCAGCTGCCCTTCGGATGCAGCTCAGGGTTCAAGGTGGTGGTTTCCCAGAGCAAATCTGTGGCCATCTCTGCATCCTGCAGCTTCCATCAACGCAGCAAAAATAGATAACGTTTCAGGACTCCTAAAGGGCGTGATACTGGCGGAATGACCTGAATGCAGCTGTTATAATGTGGGAAATTAATGCAGTCTGATTTGTTACCTCCCTGAAAATAGAAGACAAAGTACAGTCATACCTTGGAATTAATACGCTTCAGCTTAAATATTTTCAGGTTGCGCTCCGCGGTGACCCGGAAGTAACGGAGCACGCTGCTTCCAGGTTTTGCCGCTCGCGCATGCGCAGACGCTCAAAATGATGTCACGTGCATGCACAGAAGCGGCGAAACGCAACCCGCAGACGCGCTGTCGCGTCTTGCATTCCGTTTGGGATGCGAACAGGGCTCCGGAAGAGATCACTGTATACTCAAAGGGAAAATGCCACCATGCATAGTAGTCGTTTTGAATAAATAGTGTATGTGTGCTGAGCTGTGTGTGGTATAAAGGGAGACTTTAAAAGGGACGTGGGTGGTGCTGTGGTCTAAATCAGAGCCTAGGGCTTGCCGATCAGAAGGTCGGCGGTTCAAATCCCTGCGACGGGGTGAGCTCCCGTTGTTCGGTTCCTTCTCCTGCCAACCTAGCAGTTCGAAAGCACGTCAAAGTGCGAATAGATAAAGAGGTAGCGCTCCGGCGGGAAGGTAAACGGCGTTTCCGTGCGCTGCTCTGGTTCGCCAGAAGCGGCTTAGTCATGCTGGCCACATGACCCGGAACCTGTCTGCGGACAAACACCGTCTCTCTCGGCCTGTAGAGCAAGACGACCGCGCAACCCCAGAGTCGTCTGCAACTGGGCATAACGGTCAGGGGTACCTTTACCTTTAAACAAAAGAAAAAAGGGAGACTTTAAAATCTTTTAAATGAGCAACAACCTTCTCCACAGGTCTGCAGCAGCTTCTTCTGTCAAGCGTAGGGGTAATTCTCGAAGGGAGAGAAGAGCCCCAGGGCAGCAGGGAAGACTGAGGAACATGGAACGTGAAGAGGAGGAAGAGGAAGAGAGGTGGCCTAGAAGGAGAGAGGTGGGGTTGGGTGTGTGCCCCATCTGTGCGGGTGAGTAATGGAATGGAAAGAGTAGCTAAAAGAGCCAACATGACTAGGACTCAGGGCTTGAAAAAGCATGTCGCTAGTAACAGATGTCAAATTCAAACAAGCTGTCTGCCAGGACCGGTGCGACCATTGGGCAGAGGGAGGCAGCTGCCTCAGATGAGAGGAGCTGATGGGCGGTAAAGGTACCACCTCCTTGGCTGTTCCCCTCTGTAAGAGGGCAGAAGCGGAGGTGCACAACACCCCCTAAACTAGTCCTCAGGTGTGCTGGAGGATGTTGCTATCCTGTTGTCACCTTCTGAACATAGAAGGGGTTGCACCATCGCATCCTTTGCCTCTGGCAGCAAAATGTCTTGGGCCAACTCTGCTATCTGCAATCAATCGCTGAGTAGCCATTTATTTTTAAATGATGCTTTCTTTGTGCTTGCGTGTTTGTTTGCGTGATGTTTCCTGTCTTTGATTTGCAACACGTGGCACTATTTGGCGAGGAGAAATTGTTGGGAGAAGATAGCGTTTTGTTTGCACCCTGCTGATTGGGGGAGAGAGCGCGTTGTTTGCACCACGCTAAAGGGATTGGCATTGTATTTGCAATGTGCAGGAGGGTTGCACGTAATGGGGTTGCAGTAGTATTCTAACCTCAACTGGCAATCTCAGAGTGGATTGTGGCCAGAGACAGGGGTGGGAGAGAAGGGGGGGTTCTAGCTTCTGATGGCTCTTGTCAGACCCTGCTGCTTCCTTCCACAGGCCATTTCCCCACCAATCTCTTACCGGCTCATGCCTCCAGCTGTGGAGAAGAGGATTTTGAAGTTAGCTCTTCCTCCTCATCTCCATCTTCGTGGGAAGAGCTTGTCGCAGACTGCGTCCACTGCCCCATCTGCCAGTTTAGTTTCCCCGCTGCTGAGATAGAGAGACACGCTAGCAACTGCGGGGAGCCGACTGAGGCCCTGGTGAACGGACCCTTCTGGTTTGGGGCAGAACAGGGCGAGTAGATTGGGTGCAAGTGCCCCAGGGCAGGCGGCCTTCGCTGGTCAAGCCTTTAACCATTCAGTCGCACGTGTGGTGATCAGCTGGGATCAGGATGTTGCCAGAACAAGGAGCCCACAAAGGACACACAGTGCTGTCACAGGATTGGAAGTCAGACTAACGAGAAGAGAGTAAGGACTCCAGTAATCGGGGCGAGGAACGTGTTATTTGAGTTGCCGTGCCAGCACCTCTTACTCTCCCTCTGGTCTGATTCTTCTCACCAACATCTGCACATGCCAGAGCGCTGGGGCTCATCCTGACTTGTTGCTGTAGTTCACAGTCAAGACTGTCGGAAAGATTCCTCAGAAAGGTGACTTTCTTCCCCGCTCACCTTCTCTCCCGCAAGGAAGCTGAGGGGCAGGCACTGCGCAGCCCATACTGGTCTCTTTTCTGTACAGACCAGCTGCATGAAAAACGAAGACTGAATTAAATGTTTGCAAGGCTTGCCAAACTCCTGTGCCCCCTGGCTGGGGCTGCTGGGAGCTGTAAGTTCTGCAACATGTGGAGGCTGCAGGTTCAGGATCATTTGGACCAAGGGGCCAGTTCTAGGAATGTGCCGGTGACAATCTTTGTTGTTAAAAATTGGGTTTTTTTCCCTGAAAAGTTGTGTTGTGTGTCACTGAATGAACCGATTGTCCTTTTTTTTTGAATTTTCCTCTGCACATTCATAGGCACCAATATTTCAAAGGGAACCCTGTCCTGCACTACAATTTAGTGGGGAGCTTTATGGCAGGGCATGTGCAACCTCTCCTTTCGATACTTTCTGTTGTTGCAGAAATGCCCCACCGTAATGGTATCTTAGTGACCCACTGCTATTATTTGTGAGCTACCTCTTTAAAAGGAAAGAAAAGCGGCTGCCCTCATTGCTCCGCCCACTTTTAGCTCTGGCCCCACCCACCATAGGAGTGCGGCCCTCAGAATGCTGGCCAGAAGGGAAGGCGGTCCTTGGGGTGGAAAAGGTCCCCCAGCCCTTCTCCAGTTGCCCCAGATGGTCCAGGTTTAATTCCAAAATGCTGAATGGCACTTTGGCTATTCTCCTTGGTTCATGTTTTGAATGATGTTCTGCTGTTGCGGCAGCAGATCACTCCTGTTGCATGCTGCCTGCATCAACGACCATGTGCTGTTGGGCTGGGTACACTTGGACTCTGCTCCCGCGTGGGAAGCCTGCAAACACTCTGTCTCCCAGCAAGTGTTATTCAGAGGCACGGAGGCCACAGGCAGTAGCGATCGAACCTAGCTGATATAGGAAAAACCCGCTCCTTTTCCCTTGTGGGGTATCCAAGAGCCCGTATGGAGTCCTTAAGTGGGTTCCCTATCGTAGGAGGAAACACCAACCAGAGCTTATTGAGTACCGTATATACTCGAGTATAAGCCGACTTTTTCAGCACATTTTTTATACTGAAAAAGCCCCCCATGGCTTACATTCAAGTGAGGCGGGCGAAGCCGGCGGAGGGATGAGCGGCCCGAAAGGAGCCCTTTCTCGCCGCTGGTCCTGCTGCCACCCGCCTCTCACAAGGGCAGGCACTGTGCCTCTCCCAACTGCGGCTCCTATGCTTGCTCTTGCGAGCGGCAGAGGCGGTGGAGGAGGGACGAGCAGCCCAAAAGGAGCCCTTTCGGGCTGCTTGTTTACCTCCTCCGCTGCCGCCACCACCAGGTCTGTGGTGTGGTGAACCGGCTTATACTCGAGTCAATAAGTTTTCCCAGTTTTTTGTGCTAAAATTAGGTGCCTCGGCTTATATTTGGGTCAGCTTATACTCGAGTACATACTGCATATTGAGAAGCAAGGCAGCTAGTAATCCTGATCTTTATTAACTGTTGCAACAGGGTCTCACACCCTCACCCCCACAAAGGAGGGAGGAGGAACCCAGAACAATGGTGCGCAAGCCCCTATATAGACTTTTGAAATTGCCCACCCTGTCGCTCAAGACCACCGCCTAAAACATACATACATCACAGAAGGAGGCGGAAATCCTACAGCAGAAATCCTGTCTGCCAGGATACCTGATAATGGTCACTGATTGCTTTACCTGGGCAGCCTGGCCATTCTTTTTTGATGGCAAATACTTTAATTCCTGAAACCAGGTCACAGGCTCACCCTGTTCATACACACATATGCCCTTCAGACAGGTAAGCAAAAGACAATGGGGAGGCTTTCCATTTCCTTCCAGAAATATTTCCAGAGAAATATTTGAGGTCGATTTGGGAGGGTCAAAATGGCTTCAGGACTGCTCTCCTGTACTATTTCAGACACGTGGTTTATATACTTATGTATGTGATTGCCTTGTACATTTATGAACATTTATTTTATATTTGAGAACTTAGAATTCTTGTAACACTAGCAAGGGTGCTGGAAGCTATTACCACATTGGAGGCTGGCACTGCCTCCAGCTGGAGTGAGTTCCAAAGTTCCATTGCGCACTGTGTGAGGTTCTTTCCTCTGAATCTTCCAGCATTCAGTTTCATTGGATGGCCCCGCTGGGCTCTAGTATTATGAGAGAGGGAGAAAACCTTCCCTTGATGAAGCACACACTCTTCTCTTTAATAAAGGTAAAGGGATCCCTGACCATTAGGTCCAGTCGCGGCCGACTCTGGGGTTGCGGCGCTCATCTCGCTTTACTGGCCAAGGGAGCCGACATTTGTCGGCAAACAGTATTTCCAGGTCATGTGGCCAGCAGGACTAAGCCGCTTCTGGCGAACCAGAGCAGCTCACGGAAACGCCGTTTACCTTCCTGCCAGAGCAGTACCTATTGATCTACTTGCACTTTGACGTGCTTTCGAACTGCTAGGTTGGCAGGAGCTGGGACCGAGCAACGGGAGATCACCCCGTCAGAGGGATTCAAACCACCGACCTTCTGATCGGTGAGTCCTAGGCTCTGTGGTTTAACCCACAGCGCCACCTGCGTCCCTCTCTTTAATAAAGCAAGCCCCAAATGACTGGGGGGCGGGGCGGGGGAAACTGAACAGAAGCTGAATTGACCTCAACCCACCCAGTGAATTACCTGGAAAAGAACTCACAAAAGGAGAGAATTGCGCCATCCGTTCAACGCTCCATTCCCCAGCCGTCCCCCTTTCTGCCACCCCAGTTCCTTTCCATGCTGGCCTGAGACAGGAAGGGGCTGGGGGCTAGCAGGGCAGATGTGGAAAGGGAGAGAGCCAGGGAGGGAGGAGGGAGCTGAGAGCAGGAACCGGCTGCTGTGACAAACAGCCCAGGCTCCTGGGGGAGCAGGGGGAGGCCTTGCTGGAGGCTGCCCATGGCGTTCATGTGGCAACCCAGTCCCTTGGGGGGTTGGCAGGTGGGCCCCGCTGTGCTCCTGCCTGCTCCTGCCCCTGCCAGGGAAAAACAAGAGATCCGCACTGGCAGAGGGCTGGAGAGGAAAGCCTGGAGGAGAAGCAGGACACCTTTTCAGCCAGGTCTTCCCCGGTTTCATTCTGCTGGAAGGGGAAGGACCTGGAGCATCCTTTGCCAGACACACCTGTAAGGAGCTGGCACGTCTGCCCTGGGCAAGATGGCGCTGGAGTTTGATGGAATCACAGTGAGTGCAGAGCAGGGAGGGGGGCTCCCCAACGCTTTTCACGTGTGTACATACAGACATGTATGCTTCCTTGCTGTCGGCTTCTCTACTAAGATTGTCTGAACTACTTGTCCAGTAGTTGCTGGACTGCACTACTGCAGACCTTGGTGCCAATCTAAGGAATTACTCTTACAGTTGTTTCTGTAGCGAATGGTAGTTGCTCCTTTGCCTGTCTCTCCTGCTCCCACATCCTAGCTCCTGCTTCAGTGCCCGGCTCCTGCTGCCCTTGGGCTCTGGGGGAGAGTCACAGAGGTCCTTTGAATGTGCACAAAACAATAAACCTTTCTATATAAAATTTCCAATATATTCAGAAAACAATAAATCCTTAATTGTTATCCACATTCAGTTATAAGATAAAACATATGCAAAGGACTTGAAAGGAAGTCAGAATTGAAGAAAAGATTTTGTAAGCTAAAAGGGGGGAAATATTTATTTTCATTATTATCATTTTGTGTGTGTGTGTGTGTGTTTTGTATGGGATGTTTGTGAGGAAATAAGACGGTAAATAAATACCGAAGTATTGATGTACGTAATTTTTATTTCTCAATTGTATTTTGTGGTAGTATGGTTGTATTATCATAGAATCATAGAATCATAGAGCTGGAAGAGACCACAAGGGCCATCGAGTCCAACCCCCTGCCAAGCAGGAAACACCACCAGAGCACTCCTGACATATGGTTGTCAAGCCTCTGCTTAAAGACCTCCAAAGAAGGAGACTCCACCACACTCCTTGGCAGCAAATTCCACTGTCGAACAGCTCTTACTGTCAGGAAGTTCTTCCTAATGTTTAGGTGGAATCTTCTTTCTTGTAGTTTGGATCCATTGCTCCGTGTCCGCTTCTCTGGAGCAGCAGAAAACAACCTTTCTCCCTCCTCTATGTGACATCCTTTTATATATTTGAACATGGCTATCATATCACCCCTTAACCTCCTCTTCTCCAGGCTAAACATGCCCAGCTCCCTTAGCTGTTCCTCATAAGGCATCGTTTCCAGGCCTTTGACCATTTTGGTTGCCCTCCTCTGGACACGTTCCAGTTTGTCAGTGTCCTTCTTGAACTGTGGTGCCCAGAACTGGACCCAGTACTCCAGGTGAGGTCTGACCAGAGCAGAATACAGTGGCACTATTACTTCCCTTGATCTAGATGCTATACTCCTATTGATGCAGCCCAGAATTGCATTGGCTTTTTTAGCTGCCGTGTCACACTGTTGGCTCATGTCAAGTTTGTGGTCAACCAAGACTCCTAGATCCTTTTCACATGTACTGCTCTCAAGCCAGGTGTCACCCATCTTGTATTTGTGCCTCTCATCTCTCATATTATTTTTTGTAGTATAAAATCATTCAATATATATATATATATTTTAAAAAGAGAGTCACAGAGGTCCTGCAGCCTCGCTTTTTAGCCATCCTGCACGAAGGCTCCCTCTCCATTGCACTGCCATTTACTCTCGGGTGCTAAGTGGCCGGCAGCAATGCAAACCCTGATGCGGCAACTCTCTGTATCCTTTAGTATCCCCCACCCGGATAATGTCTCTTGGGCACCCTGCAGGCCTCTTCGGATAGCAAGGGAGGTGCTCCACTCCAGATGCAGCCTTCTTAGCTTTGTTACCTGGGCCTTTTCCGAGTGGCTGTCAGCAAGCCGTGGCCCCCCCCCTTGCCGCCTTCCTCAACAAGCAGCTTCCCCAGGGACTCATTTTCAAATCCATTTGGCCCTCCTGTGCCAAGGCAACTGCTTGCAAATTCAATCGGGCGCAGCCAAGTGGGGAAGTGGAAATGGCACTCGGAAAGCGAGGGACTTAATTACCGAAGAGGTAACGAGTTGTGGCTCTGGGGAGGCAGGGAAACCACCTGGGCCGGGTCGGTTCTTTCCATCGCCTTTTGTGACGCGAGAAATTGCAGGAAATAAACGCGGCCCCCTAATGCAGCTTTTGCCAACCGGGTGCCGATGACACCTGGCTGGCAGGCTGGACATATGTCCAGAAAAGGTTTGTTCTAAGTGCCATCTGGTGGTAGCCCGATATCTGCAGCACTGCTTTTTTTTTTTAAAGATATTTATTAAAGTTTCAAAAAAAAAGATTACATTGATAATAAAAGAAAAATAGAAAAAAGAAAAATACAAAATACAAAATAAAAAAAAACCAGTTAAAAACAATTCCATCTTTTCATCACTTATCTTTCATTTACTTTTTCCCCGGACCTCCTCATGCCTCCCTTTTTTGTATTCCAGTTCAATATTAGTTCAGCAATTCCTTTGTCCTCCTTATTTTATCCTAATCTTTAATCTTAATATATTACAGCATTAAGTTTTGACCTTTTGAAAATCCAATTTTTCCATATTCTTTTACCATTACAGCTAGAAACCACTTAACTTCAATCCAACATCATTCTAACATTCATTAATTTTGCAATATTTCTGTAAATAGTCTTTAAATTTCTTCCAATCTTCTTCCACCAACTCTTCTCCCTGGTCTCGGATTCTACCAGTCATTTCTGCCAATTCCATATAGTCCATAAGTTTCATCTGCCATTCCTCCAGTGTGGGTAGCTCTTGTGTCTTCCAATACTTTGCGATAAGTATTCTTGCTGCTGTTGTAGCATACATAAAGAAAGTTCTGTCCTTTTTTAACACCGATTGGCCGACTATGCCCAGGAGAAAGGCCTCTGGTTTCTTTAAGAAGGTATATTTAAATACCTTTTTTAATTCATTATAAATCATCTCCCAGAAAACCTTAATCCTTTTTTTTTTTTAATAATATTTATTCAAAATTTTAAGATTACAGAAAAAGAAAAAAGTAAAGAAAGAAAAACTAATCACATACATCCTACAAGAAAAACACAATACAAGGAAAAATACACAAAACAAAAAATCACAATAAAAAAAACAAAAGAAAAATTCAACTTAAACCATTAGAGCCGTTTTCCCATTTACTTATTTCCGTGACTTCCTCTCACTTCTCTGCTTTGTATTCTAATTCAAATTGTATCTCCAGCAAATCCTTCTAACCTTCTTTTCATTTACTTATTTTAACATTCAAAAATATTTAATTCTCCTCTATCTTTTATTTTACACTTCATATTTACTTAATTCCTTTATACTCTGTCTGCCAATACGGTCTAATATTCTTCTCCAGCCTTTTCTAACATTCTTTTATATTGCAGTGATTCTGAAGATATGTTTTAAATTTTTTCCAATCTTCTTCCATCGACCCTTCTTCTTGATCTCGAATTCTGCCGGTCATCTCAGCCAGTTCCATATAGTCTATCACTTTTCTCTGCCATTCTTCTCGGGTAGGCAATTCTTGTGTCTTCCAGTATTTCCCAATGAGTATTCTTGCTGCTCCTGTCGCATACATAAAAAAATTCCTGTCTTCCCTTCGCACCAATTGACCGACCATGCCCAAGAGGAAGGCCTCTGGTTTCTTCAAGAAAGTATATTTCAATACCTTTTTTAGTTCATTATATATCATTTCCCAGAAAACCTTAATCCTTGGGCACGTCCACCAAAGGTGAAAGAATGTACCTTCAGTTTCTTTACATTTCCAACATTTGTTATCGGGCAAATGGTAGATTTTTGCAAGCCTGACTGGGGTCATGTACCACCTGTATATCATTTTCATAATATTCTCTCTTAAGGCATTACATGCCGTAAACTTCATACCTGTGGTCCACAACTGTTCCCAGTCAGCAAACATAATATTATGTCCAACATCTTGTGCCCATTTAATCATAGCAGATTTCACCGTTTCATCCTGAGTATTCCATTTCAACAGCAAGTTATATATCTTTGACAAAATCTTAGTTTTAGGTTCTAACAATTCTGTTTCTAGTTTTGATTTTTCCACCTGGAAATCTGCAGCACTGCTGGCCACACAGCCGAAAAGGTCTGAATCAAGATCCAGATGTCAGCATCAGTTTCCCTCGCTGTGAAATCTCCAACCATCTGCTCTCCATCCCCTTCCCCACGTTTCCGTCCCTTCTGAGAGCAGTGTTAGGTTTTTTTCATTACACTTTTAATTTGTATGCAACCGCAGGTAGTGCTGTGGTCTAAACCACAGAGCCTAGGACTTGCCGATCAGAAGGTTGGCGGTTCGAATCCCTGCAATGATGGGGTGAGCTCCTGTTGCTTGGTCCCTGCTCCTGCCAACCTAGCAGTTCGAAAGCACGTCAAAGTGCAAGTAGATAAATAGGTACCGCTCCGGCGGGAAGGTAAACGGCGTTTCCGTGCGCTGCTCTGGTTCGCCAGAAGCGGCTTAGTCATGCCGGCCACATGACCCGGAAGCTGTACCAGCCAATAAAGCGAGATGAGCGCCTCAATCCCAGAGTCGGCCACGACTGGACCTAATGGTTAGGGGTCCCTTCACCTTTACCTTTTACATTTCTATATCAGCCAAGCCAAGGTTTGTTGTTGCTGTTTAGTCGTTTAGTGGTGCCCGCCTCTTCGTGACCCCCTGGACCAGAGCATGCCAGGCACTCCTGTCTTCCACTGCCTCCCGCAGTTTGGTCAAACTCATGCTGGTAGCTTCGAGAACACTGACCCACCATCTCGTCCTCTGTCGTCCCCTTCTCCTTGTGCCCTCCATCTTTCCCAACATCAGGGTCTTTTCCAGGGAGTCTTCTCTTCTCATGAGGTGGCCAAAGTCTTGGAGCCTCAGCTTCACGATCTGTCCTTCCAGTGAGCACTCAGGGCTGATTTCCTTCAGAATGGAGAGGTTTGCTCTTCTTGCAGCCTGCCTCCCAACACTACTACCTCCCCAAGCCAGCGCTGCACACCATTGCCCCATGCTCCCAGGCTGCTTCCTGGGGGTGGGGGTGCTTTGCTGGCGGCCTCCCCCCCTTCCTTACAGTGGCTTGGGGAGGGGGGCTTGGGAGATGCAGTCGAGATGGGTGCCATCCCGCACCTCCGAAGGCCCTTGTGGGACCTGTTTCAGCAGTAATACCGTAGGGTGGTGAATATAAGCCGCACAATGGAAATCTGGGGGAAAAGTGTGGCTTATATTAGGGTCAATACGTGGCAGAATCCGAGACCAGGGGGAAGAGTCGGTGGAAGAAGATTGGAAGAAATTTAAAGACTATTTACAGAAATATTGTAAAATTAATGAATGATAGAACGGTGTTGGATAGTAATTAAGTGGTTTCTAGCTGTAATGCTTTAAGAGAATATGAAAAAAAGGGTTATAAATGGGTTAAAATCTAATGGTAAGGATTTGCTGAACCAATAAATTGAAGTGGAATACAAAAAAGGGAGGTATGAGGAGGTCCGGGAAATAAGCTAAAGGAAAATAAGTAACTGAAAATATGTGTGTTTTTAAATGTTTTAATTTTGTATTTTTCTCTTTTCTTTTTCATTTTTACTGTAATATTTCAAAAAATCTTAATAAATATCTCATATATATATATATATATATATATATATATATATATATATATATATTAGGGTCAATACGGTAATAGAGTTGCTTTGCCCAGGGGGAGTTTGAATAGAACAGCTCCTGCCAGGGATGGCAATGGCCAAGTGAGTGCCTTTGTCCCCTCTGTCCTTCCATGCAGGCAGGGGCTACTTCTGGAGTGCTAAGGGCGCAGCGTGTGCCCGACCACCTCCTCTTTTCCTTGTTTCCTGGGTGAGGACACCCCTCACCCAGCCCCCTGCTCCTGCCTTCATCCCTCAGCCCCTCTGCTTCCAGACCTGCTCCTTCTCAGTGTTAGGAGAATTACAAGGCCTAAGGTATAAAATAAATGTACCAGGCAAACACATACACAAATATATAAACCACATGTCTGAAGCAGTACAGGAAAAGTCCTGAAACCATTTTGTCTCTCCCAAATTGACTTCAAATGTTTCTCTGCAAGGAGAAAGGAAATGGGAAAACCTCCCCATTGTCTCTGTGCTCATAAATCCTGTCTTAAGGGCGTATCTGTGTATGAATAGGGTGAGCCTGTGACCTGGGTTCAGGAACTGAGTATTTATCATCACAAAGAATACGCCAGACTGCCCAAATAATGCAATCAGTGATCATTCTCAGGTCACCTGGCAGACAGGTTTTCTGCTGTAGACCGCCTCTTCAGTGATGTATGTATGATGCATTGGGGTGGTGGAGGTCTTGAGCTAAAAATCTTTCACTCTTAGGTAGAATGTTGACTATAAAGATGACTGTATTACCAAGAATGCTATTTTTGTTTCAATCGATTCCGGTGATTGGCAAGACAGATTGTTTCAATGCATGCCAAAAAGATATTTCTTAATATATTTGGCAAGGGAAAAAACCGAGAATAAAAAATATAATATTGATAGATGCAAAAGAAAGAGGAGGTTTTTCCCTGCCTTTGTTGGTTGAAGGAATAAATAACATTAGAGAATTCATATATTCTATATATTTAAAGAAGATGAAATAAATGAGCAAATTAAGTTAATTTAGATATGCAGAAGATATTAAAAGTAAATTTAAGAAACCGCAGAAAGAGGGTGAAGGAAGTTAAGTTTTGAAATGTCAAAATGATTGTAAAATTAGTGAAATAAACTTGAAAAGTATAAATAAATAAATGGGAAAAAAGAGATTGACCCTTGTTGTCTTTCCATCCACCCCCTTAGCAACCCGATTGGAAAGAAATCGTGAACAAAAAGTTGAAGTTCCCGGAAGGCCTCCTCAACGCCATCCAAGACGGGCAGCTGATGAAGGTCCAGCAGCTGCTGCAGGTGAGCGACGGGATCCTGAGGCAGCTGGATGAGGCCGAGGACCGGGCGTGGCGAGAGGCTCTCAACCTGGCCATCCGCACGGGCGGCGAGGAGATCACCAAGACGCTCCTGCGCATTGTCAAGTTTGACTTCCGTCAGATCCACGAGGCCTTGCTGGTTGCCGTGGATACCAACCAGCCCACCGTGGTCAAGCTGCTGCTGGACCGCCTGGACCAGGAGAAAGGCCGCAAGATGGACATCAAGTCCTTCTCCTCGGCCTTGTTTGACAACTCCATCGACAACTCGCGCTTTGCCCCGGGCGTGACGCCCCTCACCTTGGCTTGCGAGAAGGACCTCTACGAAATCGTGGACATGCTCATGAAGAAAGGCCACGCCATCCCGGGGCCGCACAAGGTCTCGTGCTCCTGCCTGGAGTGCTCCAACGGCCGCAAGTTTGACCTGCTCAAGTTCTCGCTTTCTCGCATCAACACTTACAAGGGCATCGCCAGCCGGGCGCACCTTTCCATCGCCAGCGAAGACGCCATGTTGACGGCCTTCAAGCTCAGCCGAGAGCTCAAGCGCCTCTCCAAGAAGGAGCCCGAATTCAAGGTCTGTCTCTTGCTGCACCCATCGTGTAGGTGTCAGGGACTGGACTGAGGAGGAATGGTGGGAGGCCCCCCTGAACCTTCCCAAGGGCAGGAGGAAAGTATTGATTTAGAACAGTGGTTTGCAGAGGGGCATAGTCCAGAGGGGGAAAGCCGGGAAATATTGGGCAAGGAACAGCTAGAAGAGGAAACACCAGGAGAGAGGCAGCTGGCAGATTCAGTGTCCTTGGATGGCATTCCTGACCCCCCTTCGCCCAAGACTAGACGGGCTTTGAGAGTGATAGAACAGAGAGCGCAGTGGCAAGAAGCTAAGATTATCTAATGTTGGAGTGATGTAGATTAATGCGGACGAAGGGGGTGAGCCTCTACTGGAAGCCATGCCATTTCTAGAGATATGCCTTCCTTTGTCACTTGCTGTGATTATTAAATACTGTAGATTCTGGCGTATAAGACGACTTTTTAACCCTGGAAAATCCTCTAAAAGGTCGGGGGTCATCTTATATGCCGGGTATGGGTTCGCTGGGCAGCGGCAGCGGGCGGTGGGCTCTGCCCTGGGAGGAAGCCACCCAGCGAAGCTGGCTTAGCATCGCATAAGACTGGGCGTATAAGTCGACCCCCCCAAATTGGCAGCTGCCAATCTGGGGGGTCATTTTATACGCCCAGTTGCCTAATACTCCGGAATCAACAGTAAATTGGTAAGAATGCTCTTTTCGTTTTTTACTGCCGCCGAGGGAGGGATTTGATTCCCCAAAGCCTGACAGTAGGTCAAGGTGGGGAACATCTATGGCCCTCCAGGTAGTGTTGGACCACAACTCCCATCATCCCTGAACATAGGCCATGTGGGCTGGGAGTCCAACAACATCTGGAAGGCCATTGGTTGTTCCTCAGCCCTGACATCGACGTTGCTTTTTAATTCCACAATATTCACGTCACAAGCCTAATTCTTTTTAGAGGAAGGAGTTGGGGTGGGGAGTCCATGTAGACCATGCTATGCATCTGGGCAATTCAGATTCTGCACCCAGAAAAGCCGTTCTCTTCAGAATTGGGGTGGGCCAGACCCTTCCTTGACCCTGCCTTGTCCTTGTCCCCCCGTCCAGCCCGAGTACCTGGCCCTGGAGCAGCTGTGCCAGGAGTTTGCCTTTGAGCTGCTGGGAATGTGCCGCAACCAGAGCGAGGTGACGGCCGTCTTGAATGACGTGGCGGATTCCTCGAATGATGAGGAAGAGGAGGACCTCGATGACCAGGCCTTCGAGGAGGGCATCCCCAACTTGGCAAGGCTTCGCCTGGCTGTCAACTACAACCAGAAGCGGGTGAGCTTGTCAGAGGAACATGGTCTGAGGGCAGATGGGAGCAGTGCCGGATTTAAGGTAGTGTGGGCTGTTCTCCAGCACAGGGCGCCGAGCCAAGGGGGTACAAAACTACGGCGTAGCACACTTGAGAGTATGCGCAGAATGGAGAGGGGGGGAGGGTGCCAAATTTTGTCCTCAGGGCACCATATTACCAAAGTCTGCTGCTGGTGTTAGGAAGGTCTTGCGGTTGGCAGGGGGTCTCACATACTGCCAGCCACAATGGCCAGCAGCATTTTCCGTTGTCAAAGATGCCATGGCACTTGCGTTCTGGTTGTGGACTTCCCTTTGGGGGCACCCTTTGTTTGTTCACTGTGAGAACAGGATGCTGGAGTGGATGGGCCATTGGCCTGATCCAGCAGGGGTTGCCGAAACCTGTGGAATCAGGTTTGAGAGAGCTGTTGCTTGTAATCTTCTTGTGGTTCCCTAGCTTCATCTGGTTGGCCACAGTGGAGAAGTCTTCAGAAACCGCCCCAAGCACCTTTAAGACCCCAGTATATCTGGCTGTCTTGCCTTTCATAAACCAACAACCTTATTCAAAAGTCCATCCTCCCTCTTGTGTTGGTGTCCATCTCACGCTTATACTGGCCATATACAGTGGTACCTTGGTTCACGAACTTAATCCGTCCTGGAAGTCCGTTCTTAAACCAAAATTGTTCTTAAACTGAGGTGCGCTTTCCCTAATGAGGCTTCCCACCGCCAGTGCCCTTCCACCGTTCGGTTTCCGTTCTTAGACCGAGGTAAAATTCACAAACCGGGACACTACTTCCGGTTTTGTGGAGTTTGTAAACCGAATCATTCGTTAACAGGGCTGTTCTTAAGCTGAGGTACCACTGTAAACCATTAGGGGGTTTTTAGAGCCATTCTTAATGAGACCCTAAACAGCAATGGGAAAGCTGAAGAAGCGCAGATCCATACAGCTGTGTTTTTGCCAAGTGAGGCTGAGGGAGATTGGGGGCGGGGAGGTATACTTGACAGTCACTTTGGGGGAAGTAGTCCTGAGACCACCAGGCAGGCCTTTGCTTTTTGGTTAGGTCAGCAATCTTTTTCAGCCGTGGGCTGGTCCACCGTCCCTCAGACCTTGTGGGGGGCGGGACTATATTTTGAAAGAAAAAAATATATGAACGAATTCCTATGCCCCACAAGTAACCCAGAGATGCATTTTAAATAAAAGTACATATTCTATTCATGTAAAAATACCAGGCAGGCCCACAAATAACCCAGAGATGCATTTTAAATAAAAGGACACATTCTACTTATGTAGAAACACGCTGATTCCCGGACCGTCCTCTGGCCGGACTGAGAAGGCGATTGGCCCGGATTCGGCCCCCGGGCCTTAGTTTGCCTACCCCTGGCTTTGAACCAGGAGTGACCTTTTCATCTTGCGGTCTTGACTATGCTACCACTCAGTGGATTTGTAACTGGCTGACTGACCGAACCCAAAGGGTGCTCATCAATGGTTCCTCTTCATCCTGGAGAAGAGTGACTAGTGGGGTGCCACAGGGTTCTGTCTTGGGCCCGGTCTTATTCAACATCTTGGATGATGGACTCAAGGGCATCCTGATCAAATTTGCAGATGACACCAAACTGGGAGGGGTGGCTAACACCCCAGAGGACAGGATCACACTTCAACACAACCTTGACAGATTAGAGAACTGGGCCAAAACAAACAAGATGAATTTTAACAGGGAGAAATGTAAAGTATTGCACTTGGGCAAAAAAATGAGAGGCACAAATACAAGATGGGTGACACCTGGCTTGAGAGCAGTACATGTGAAAAGGATCTAGGAGTCTTGGTTGACCACAAACTTGACATGAGCCAACAGTGTGACGCGGCAGCTAAAAAGCCAATGCAATTCTGGGCTGCATCAATAGGAGTATAGCATCTAGATCAAGGGAAGTAATAGTGCCACTGTATTCTGCTCTGGTCAGACCTCACCTGGAGTACTGTGTCCAGTTCTGGGCACCACAGTTCAAGAAGGACACTGACAAACTGGAACGTGTCCAGAGGAGGGCAACCAAAATGGTCAAAGGCCTGGAAACGATGCCTTATGAGGAACGGCTAAGGGAGCTGGGCATGTTTAGCCTGGAGAAGAGGAGGTTAAGGGGTGATATGATAGCCATGTTCAAATATATAAAAGGATGTCACATAGAGGAGGGAGAAAGGTTGTTTTCTGCTGCTCCAGAGAAGCGGACACGGAGCAATGGATCCAAACTACAAGAAAGAAGATTCCACCTAAACATTAGGAAGAACTTCCTGACAGTAAGAGCTGTTCGGACAGTGGAATTTGCTGCCAAGGAGTGTGGTGGAGTCTCCTTCTTTGGAGGTCTTTAAGCAGAGGCTTGACAACCATATGTCAGGAGTGCTCTGATGGTGTTTCCTGCTTGGCAGGGGGTTGGACTCGATGGCCCTTGTGGTCTCTTCCAACTCTATGATTCTATGATTCTATGATTCTATGATCTTATTTCTGTCATGAACTCTACTCAATATTGATCCTGAGCAGAACTCCAGTGTATAGTTAGCAGAGTAAAAACTTAAACACGTTGCAGGATTCCCAAAAAATAGACTAGAGGCAATTGTATTTCATCCAGCAGAGCTTCACTGCTACTGAAGGCAGATGAGCATAATGGACCCAAGTCCAAAACCTTCAGGATTGGCACTGGCCAGTAGAAATCCAGTTGCAGCAGACTTAACTCAAACTTACAATAACTTATAATAAGATACTGAAATTTAACACTAAGCATACTGTGTACAGAATAGCACACCAGAAAGAATAGATGTAGAAAGAGAAAGTGAGACCCAGCCTCCTTCTGGCCTTACTTTTATAGTCAGCATCACCTTAACAGAAGAGGTAAGTGAACCAGTTTAAGCCAGCTGTACTCAGCTTCTCTGAAGGAATAATCCAAACATCGTGAACCTTCTGCTTGCTTCTTTCACACAGAGAAGCTGCCAGTACCCTCTTGAATTAATTAGTAGAGGCCAGTTCTGCAGAACTGGCAAAAATGAGAGTAGGGACCAATGGAACAACGGATGTATCTTCATGCTGTCAGGCAACTTGAGCTTGAATGCCACAGGGTTCACCTGCTGTGTTACCTCAAAGGGTCCCAGCCGCCTCGGCTGCAACTTCTTGCACCCTCCCTTTAGGGATAACCCTTGGGTTGACAACCACACTCGGTCTCCCACCCGTATGGCCTCCCCCTCCCGACAGTGCCTGTCTGCCTGCCTCTTGTAAACTTCCTTGGCCCGCTCCAAGTTCATATTGAGTTGCTGGTGCAAGGCCTCCATTTCTTCCACAAACTGCTCTGCCGCAGGTACACTCCACCCTTCCTTTCCCCCTCCCCGGGAAGGCCCTGGGGTGACACCCATAATTGGCCATGAACGGGCTCATCCCCGTGGACACATGTTCAGCGTTATTGTACGCAAATTCAGCCAGTGCTAGTTTCTTTACCCAATCGTTCTGTCTCTTGCTGACGTAGCAGCGTAGGTATTGCTGGAGTATACTGTTCGCTCTTTCTGCTTGCCCGTTGGTTTCTGGGTGTCGCGCCATCGAGAAGCCCACCTCTACCTGCAGCAAGCTCATGAGTTTCCTCCAGAACCGGGAAGTCAATTGTTTCCCGCGATCTGAGATAACCCTCGAAGGAGCCCCATGCAACCTGAAGATGTGATCCACAAACAACTTGGCTGTCTCCTCTGCCGTCACCGCATGTGAGCAAGCTATGAAATGGCACATCTTCGACTTCCGGGTTGGCGCCATCGCCGAATGGCGGACTCCCTCCGAGCTCCGGAGGGAGTCTGCTCGGCAGGGGCTGGGTCCTACCGCGCCGGCGACGCGGGGACCCTTAAAAACCACGGGCATGGAGTCCGTGGACATGGGTGACTCGGCTTGCACCATTAGCGCCCTCCCGACTCGTGAAGGAGCCTTTTTAAAGGCTTCGGATCGGGTGCCGGGGAGCGGCGTGGTGCTTTGAGTCCTCTGCTCTCCCTGCCGAGCGCAGCCGCATGCCATTCGACGGAGAGCGCTGACTTCTTCCATTGAAAATTTGGACTATTAACAACAACCCGTGAGTAATTGGGAAACCGGGTACAAAATTTCGGATTTGGCACGAGCGGGGTGATTTAAAAGGAAGTCAATCCCCCTACTGTAAGCATTCCAAAACAAGGACTGGGTAACCAAGGTCCAAAGGGAAGTATATTCTTGATAAAAATCATTAATTTCACGATGGGAAATTATAAGAACTGTGCTGGAGGAGAAGAGTGGAGGGTGAGAAGAAAAATGCAACCCCCCCCCCTGGGAACCGGGGCGATTCGTGGAGCCTGGTGAAGAGAGACGGAGACTTTGACAGCTGTCAAAGTGGCTGTCAAAGTTGGAGAATATAAAGAGGACTTTGTTATGAGGACTTTGCCGGTTAATTTTGCTACAATTTGCTACAATATGGATATAAACTGTTGGAAAATAAGCAACAATTTGACTTTTGGATTAGAGGATACAAAGTTATTACAATCCCCTAGAGGGGTTTCGGGATATTACAAGAACGGTCGTAAGTGGAAAAATACTCTGGGATTCGCACAGGACTTGTTATCTTTTGGGAAAGCTGCAAAACTGAAATAGTATTTTGTCTACAGAGGTATTTACATTAAAGGAGACAATAGAATTTTCTATTGAAGAAAGGAAGGGACTGGACGTAAGTTTTGTTCCTGAATAACAAACCTCTGCAGAGATACCAGATTTCTGAATTAGAAAGTTTTAGCAGCTGAACAGGACAAGAAACCTGAGAAAGCGAGGAAAAGAAGAACAAAGGACTGATTACGACACGGAAAGAACAACGGGAGGAGTGGTAAAGATCAAGGAAATTAAAGGCCTTTGTTAGATTGGACACTTGAAGTTACATATTACTAATAAATTAAAAGAAAACCGGCAAGATGGAATCGGGGAGAAATTTGGACTTGAATGGAGACTCCCAAGCCGATAATGCATAGACTGATGGATATGGGGAATTCAAACCGGGGAAGGGGGGGGGGAGATTTGAAATCCAAAGGCTGTGTAACCATCTTTTGAATTTTTCTATATCTTTTATTTTTTATTTTTTTTACATAACTTACGCATGTCATTTTATTTTGATTGGACGTGTTTAAAAAAAGGGAATTCGTGGAAGGAACTGGGGTGGATCTTGGGGAAAATCTTTTTTCTTTTCTTGTTAATGATGTGGGACGGTGGTAAGATTTGTACAATTCAATTTGGATAGTGGGTTAAACAAATTAAGCTTCAAATTGGGAGTGAGAGCTTGTAGAACTAAATTAAGGAAAGGGAAATACAGTCGGGGGAGGGGGAGTCCCAGAAAGTAGGCAATGAAAGTAAGGCTTTTAAATATCTTTTTTTCTTTTTCTTTTTTTCTTTGTATTTTTATATTTTTGGAAACTTTAATAAATATGATTTAAAAAAAAAAAGAAATGGCACATCTTCGTCAGTAGATCGACTACTACCATGACTGCTGTCTTCCCCCTTGACTTGGGCAAATCTGTCATAAAATCAATGGACACCACCTCCCAGGGTCTTCCTGGCGTGGGTAAGGGTTCCAGTAACCCTGCGGGGGGCAGCCCTCTCCCCCTTTGCCCTTTGGCAGCGGTCGCACCCCCGTACATATTCCCGTACATCCTCCCTCACCCTTGGCCACCAGAACTGCCTGGTGACGAGCAGCATGGTTTTGTGCTGTCCAAAGTGCCCAGCTGTAGGGTTGTCGTGGAGTTGTTTGAGTACCTTCCCCTCAAGGTCTCCCCGGTACATACAGCACCCCTTATAGTACAGCACCCCTTCCTTTTCCTCAAACCCTCCATGGTTTTCTCTTCCGTCTCGGAGTTCCCTGATTTTAGTTTGAGCGAACACGTCGTTTCTAGTAAGCCCGGCCAGTTCTCGTTTCCCAGCCAAGGCTCCCCCCCACACCCATCGGTCCTCGGGGATCACGTGTCGGATCTCCGGCGGTCCCTCTCCTTCCATGTACTCCGGTTTCCGGGAGAGAGCATCTGCTCTTACGTTTTCCTCTCCCGGCACGTATCGGATCTCGAAGGAAAACTTGGAGAACTCCTGTGCCCATCGAATCTGTCTCTGGTTGAGTACTCGCGCGGTCCTCCAGTATTCCAAGTTCTTGTGATCAGTACAAACCTGGATCTTGTGCTGCGCCCCTATTAACAGATGTCTCCATCGGCGAAACGCCGCATAGATCGCCAGCAGTTCGCGGTCATACACCGTATAGTTTTGCTCCGACTTGCTCAGCTTCCTCGAGAAAAAGGCACACGGCTTCCAGTCCTGCTTGCCCCCCCCCCCGGCTGCAAAAGTACCGCTCCAATGGCTTGGTCGGACGCGTCGGTCTCTAGCCTCATGGGCTTCTCCAGATTAACGTGCAGGAGCTGCTCTTCCGAAGCGAACGCCTTCATCAGTCTTTCAAAGGATTGCTGGGCACTTTCTGTCCAGGCGAACTTCCTTTTGCTACTGAGACAATCTGTGATGGGCGCCGTCAAGTGGGCGAAGTTCTTGATGAACTTCCTGTAGAAGTTGCTGAACCCTAGGAACCTCTGCACATCCTTCCGGGTTTTGGGGGCCTTCCATTCCAGCACTGCCTGCACCTTGCTTGGGTCCATAGCTAGTCCCTTGTCTGACAACTTGTACCCCAGAAACTCGACCTCTCTGGTGTGAAATTGGCATTTTTCCAGCTTGACCCACAACTGGTGCTTCTGCAGCCTCTTTAGCACTTCCCTGACGTCTCTGACATGTTGCTTCTCATTGTCTGAATAGATTAAGACGTCGTCCAAGAAGGCTACGCAGTTCTTGTACAGCAGGGGCCCCAACACGTGGTGCATGAATGCTTGAAAGCAGGCGGAGCCCGATTGTAATCCAAATGGCATGACTAAGTACTCAAAAGCCCCCAGGGGGGTGAACATGGTGGTTTTCCATTCGTCCCCCTCCCTTACCCTGATCAAATTGTACGCTCCCCTGAGGTCCAGCTTGGTAAAAATTTTCCCCTGCCTCACCCGTGTTAAAATGTCGTCAATCCTGGGCATTGGGAAGGTCACGGGTTCTGATACCAGGTTTAACGCCCTATAATCTACGACTAATCTGGGCTGATTAGTCCCTTTTTTGTCCACAAAGAACACCGGACTGCCCCCCACCGCCTTTGATTCCCTTATGAACCCCCTCTTCAGGTTCTTGTCAATAAACTGCCGTAACTCCTGCATCTCCCGGTCCGACATGGCATACAGCTTACCCACCGGCAGCTGAGCCCCTGGGATTAAGTTGATTTGGCAGTCAAAGGGCCTATGGGGGGGTAGTCTATCCGCCTCCTTCTCGCTGAAGACTTCCTTTAGGTCAGCGTATGGTGGTGGCACCTCTCCCTTTGTTTCCACCGCCAGCCCAGCCACCCTGGCCACTGTCATTCTTGGGGTTCCCCCCCAGACAGTGTTCCAAACAGTAAGCTGACCCAAAGGTGACTGACCGCTGATGCCATGACACTACTGGATCATGCAGTGCCAGCCAGCTCATTCCCAGTATTATTGGGGGTCCTGCCAGTGTGGCCACGTGAAAGGCAATGGTCTCCGTGTGCCTGGAAACCCTCATTCGCATTGGCGGGGTCTGGTGTGTCACTTTCCCTCCCAGAAGTTCCCTGCCATCGATGGTGGTCACTTGCAAGGGAAAATCCAGGGGTAGCAAGTGTATTTGGTGCTCCAAAGCGAAGTCCCTGCTGAAGAAATTGCAGGAGCTGCCCGAATCCAGCAGCCCCTCAACCTTGACTGGGTGCCCATTCGGGAGTTCTAGCACCACTGCTATGGCTATCGCTGCCCTGGGGGTCAGGCTGGGGCACTTCTATTGGTTGCTGGCCTGGCTGCTGGCCCCTCTGGTTGGCAGCCAGGCGTTGTCGTTTCCCTGCGCCTGCCCTTCCTCCCCCTTCTCCTCACAGCCAGCAGCCCCCACCATCCCTTGCCAGGCCTTTCTTTGAGGGCAGACCCTTGCAAAATGTCCCGGCCGTTGGCAGAGGAAACACTTCTTGGTGGTTTTCCAATCCTTCCCCTCCCTCTTGCGACCTTCACTGGAGTTTGAAACCTCTCTCGCGCCGTCTATTTCCATTGGCTCAGCCGCCTGGGAAAGCTGTCTCGGTATTTCAGGAATGCGGTAGTCATGGCAACGTTCCCCTCTCACTTCGCGTTTCTCCTGAGCCCGCGCTTCCTGCCTCACTCCAATCGCAAGCACAGCCTTGGTCAGCTGATCCATCGACTGTGGGCGGGGCGCGCGGGACAGTTCGTCCTTCACCGTTGGGGACAACCCCTCCTCAAACAACATTTGAATAGGTTCAGAGTCCAGATCCCACCCGAGCTGGTGGATCAACATTGCAAAGCCCGACCAGTAGTCTCTAACTGACTGGCTCCCCTGCTTGCACCCCATCAGTTCTCGCCGAGTCACACTTTGCTGGACTTCACTGGAATACATCGCACCCATCGCCTGAAAGAATTTCTTAAGGTCCTTCAAGGCATGATTTTGCATCGCCATAAGGGGCCTGATCCATTCCCTTGCCCCACCCTCCAGATGCCCCACAATGTAGGCTACCCTTTGCTCATCGTTAGCAAAGTCATCATGCTGCAGTTCCAAAGCGTACTCTATTTCCGTTCGGAACGCATTGTAGTCCTGGGGTTTCCCCCCAAACTTGTGTACCAGCCCCGGTACCTTCCTTGCGATGGGGGTGGGTCTGACCTGAGCATCCTGAGCTCATCTTTCGTCCAGCCGCACCGTCAGGAGAGCTACATGCTGTTCCAAGTCTCGGTTTCTCTCTACCAGACCTTGCACTGCAGCTGCTTGCTCCGTCTCTCCGGCTCCTCTGGTCTGGCTCATGGTGCTGCCTCTCTGGAGCTGCGCACAAGCAACGTCGGGGACTGACGGATTGCTGTAATGGATTTAGGGGTTGCTCGTGCGTAAGTTGCCGCCACTGCTGGCGAGGTTACCTGGTTAAACCCTTTCTGACTGAACAGCCTCCAGCATCGTGACTGTCTCAGTCGCTGGCAGAATCCGTCAGTGGGCGTTTCTTGAACTTCTTCCAGCACAAAAGTTCTTTGACGCCAAGTCTCCTCCTACTCTCCCTGCGCGGAAGTCTTCTGCGCAGGGAGGGTGTGGGCAGCGGAGTACCCGTACTCTCTCCGCTGGTCTCTGGCAAGGAGTCTTGGAGCCTCCTCTCCGATTCCCCCATCTGCCCCCCTTCTCTACTGGTGTTACGCTGATTTCCTTCCCCAGCGGACGGGCTGCCTCTCTCCCTACTGGGACCCTCTCCGCCATCCCTCTGGAGCCTTCCCTCCGCCTCTAGCTCCGATGGCAGTTCCCTGACAAAGGTCTATAGACTTGATGGCAGGATTTAAATAAACATTCACATCATTAGCATTAGAAAATGTGTAGAAGATAGAAAAACAATATGGTGTACTTATTTTCATCTTTATGTTTTTAGGTTTGATGTTATTGTATAAATATGTTATTAGTATTTTTTCTTTTAGGGTTAGCAAGATGGGTGAAAGGAGAAACAAATCAGAAGCGGAAGTTGGGGGAAGCCCAGGAGGGGAGGGAGGGAGGAATGCATAGAAAATGTCATGCATATGAGATGTATGTGATGAATGAAAAATAAAATTGAATAATTTTTTTAAAAAAAGAATTAATTAGAATAGGAAAGATCTCTGCACATCAGATCAATACTTTCTGCACTAAGAAATGCAAACTGACAATTCCCCTCCCCGCAGTTTGTCGCCCACCCCATCTGCCAGCAGGTGCTGTCGTCCATCTGGTGTGGGAGCCTTCAGAGCTGGAGGGGCAGCACCAATCTCTGGAAGGTCTTCGTCTCCTGTTCCATCTTCATGGGGATGCCTTTCCTGTGCCTCGTCTACTATGTGGCCCCCAAATCCAAGGTGAGGGGTTCGTGGCCGGGCTCCTTTCTCGGCCTCCACAACAGACAGATCAGCTTTATTATTTATATCCTGCCTATCTGGCTGGGTTTCCCCAGCCAATCGACTTCCAACAAAAGATTAAAATACATTAAAATTAAAAATACATTAAAATTTAGACTACAATTCCCAAAACACCTAGGGGCATCAGGTTTTGGGGGGGCTGATGTACGACCACGGTGTGTGTGCCCCCTCTTTAAAACACTGTGTGCAACTCACTGTGCGTTTTCTCATTCCTCCTCAGTTTGGCAAAATGCTGAAGATCCCCGTGATCAAGTTCCTTCTGCATTCGGCCTCGTATGTCTGGTTTCTGGTCTTCCTGCTGGCAGAGTCCCTGGCGCTGGAGCACAACAGCGAGACCTTTTCGGGGCGGAACCAGGACCTGTGGGAAACGTCGCTGCACATGATATGGGTGGCAGGTCTGTGGCCCAGGGCAGACAGGCAGGGGAGGGCAAGGATGTGGGCAGGAGATAATTCTCCACTACCACCTTGAGGGCAACCCGGTGTTAGAATTCCTGCTCCATGATTGCAGTCATGGGATTGATGTCTATCACATCTCTGTATATGTTTTGACTCCACAGAGTGGCAAGTGATGGAGACAGGCTGTTTGTGTCACTGTGTTCCATCAAGTGGAACTATTGTCCTTTTTTCTCTTTGCTGTCTGATGCTGGAGAGAGAGGGAGCCATGTTGCAGTGCTCCATGTGTGTTTATATGTAAATAAAGTAGATTAGCCAAAATGCTGAGTTGCTGAGCTCTGTGGATTCCTAAGTGTGCCAATGTCTGTTGGCATTGGTCGCTGTGATGTTCGGGCTAAAGAAAGCTTTTGAAGCTCCCAAACCATCGACCAGGAGGGAGGGAACATGCCAGTTGGGCATGTGTCTCTGCCAGGGTCCTACTCGAGTGTAGGATAAGCTCCTGACACCTGGATCCCTCAGTCCCACACTCGGTGTGTGGGCTATTATGTGTTGTCCGGGTAAAGATCTCTGCTTAAAAGAGTGGTGTAGTGGTTAAGAGCGGTAGACTCATAATCTGGGGAACCGGGTTCGCATCTCCGCTCCTCCACATGCAGCTGCTGGGTGACCTTGGGCTAGTCACACTTCTCTGAAGTCTCTCAGCCCCACGAACCTCACAGAGTGTTTGTTGTGGGGGAGGAAGGGAAAGGAGAATGTTACCTGCTTTGTGACTCCTTCGGGTAATGATAAAGCGGGATATCAAATCCAAACTCCTCCTCCTCCTCCTCCTCCTCCTCTTCTTCTTCTTGTAAAAGGAAAGAGTTCAGCAGGCACTGAAAGAAACAATAGAAATGGCATCTGCCTGATGTGTGTCAGGTTCAAGTTGCAGAGAATAGGTCACCACACTAAAGACCCAATTCCTGTATGCCAGGGATGTCCAACTCCCAAGAGACTGCAATTTACTCCCAGAATAAAAAACTTGTGTGGGGGGGTGCCAAGGTTATTTTGCTTTTTTTAGGTGGGGCTAGGCCATAAATCGCACACCCAAAAATAAAGCATGCAGCGATAACTCCGTTTTCCGTTTTTTCAATCGTGTGCAAATAAAGGACAGAGCGAGGGGGCGGGGGCGGATGTTCTCTTCCCCCTGCCCCCCACAGAGGAAAATGAGCCTGCGATTAACTGCTATCACCCGAGTATCAATCTGTTGATCACGGTCGACTGGTTAGACATCCCTGCTGTATGCCATACAGAACAGACCAGCTGATCAATATTATTTTAAAGGCCACAGTTTAACAAGCTACGGTTTATAGGCCAACAAAAAATAATGATGGCTTCACATCGTGGTTGGTGCCAGGAAACAAGTCATGGATTGGGCTGGGTTCCCACATTCAGGGCTGGGTATTCCCATTCAGACAAACCATTGTTAGTCTGAAGAAACCGTGGCCTTAGCATTACAGTGGTGCCTCGCAAGACGAAATCAATTCGTTCCGCGAATTTTTTCGTCTAGCGAATTTTTCGTCTTGCGAAGCACGGTTTCCCATAGGAATGCATTGAAAATCAATTAATGCGTTCCTATGGTCAAAAAAAGTCCAAACAAAGCCAAATTTGGTACAACTAGAGTTTATTAAGTGCTCTTTAAAGTCACACATACTGTAAGGAGCATTTCAAAATTCAAACCCAGAATTTTTTTAAAAAAACAGCAGAGTTGCCCAATGGTCACAGAAAATCATAAAAATGCAGAGAAAAAAAACAAGCTTCCAGATTCTTGCAAACCCCTCCCCAACACCAAGTCCTTGAATTCCAAACACCCCAACCCAAAATCCAAAACCCCCCAAAAAAGTTTTAAAAGCTTAACTTACCAAATGGCTGCAAAAGAAGTTTTGGAAAAGCTTCAAAATCACCAAAGTCTTTAAAAACCTCAAAAAAGGCTACTATGTACACTGCGTTCTATGAGTTGCTCCTCGAAGTCAAGTTGCAACTGTATTAACGGTGTTAAGAAAAAGGAAACAAACTTGCAAGACGTTTTCGTCTTGCAAAGCAAGCCCATTGGGAAATTCGTCTTGCGAAGCAGCTCAAAAAATGGAAAACCCTTTTGTCTAGCGAGTTTTCCGTCTTGCAAGGCATTCGTCTTGCGGGGCACCACTGTATGGGCAAACAAAGACAAAGAGGAGACTCTCTTTGCTAAGCTTAAGTGGAGAAAAAGAGATTGAGAAGAGGCATCAGAGGTTGACAGATGTTCTGCCCCTGGCAGTAGTCCCAGCTGGGTGATGGAGTTCTGGCCAAGTCAGGGACACCAGCTCACATACCACTGGGACCACTTCCAGGTTCAAGAAACAGAGTCAGGTCAGGTTCCAGCAGGGCAAAGTCAGACCAAGCAGAGTGTCATCCCAAATAAGCAATATCAGGCAAGGCAGAGGTCAAAACCACAAAGGCAAAGAAGCAAGGTAGGTTGCCCTCTGGATAGTTTTCAGGGGAGCCTGGGCTGGAAGTTGGACAAGGCAGGCTTGAATGTTGCTTCAGCAGCTGGACAACCCAGGTGGAGCCTCAAAGAGGACGGCAGCTTCCTCTGAGCAGCCATCCCTTATAGGCAAAGCCTCTGAAAAAGACACAGCCTGGAGGACTTCCGGGTCAGCGCCATCGGTGAATGGCGGAGTTCCTCCGTCCGGAGGAACGGGCTCCGTGGAAACTGGGTCTTCCCGCCGCGGCGAAGGTGGGGACCCGCTAGAAATCCCAGGCGGAGGAAGCCTGGGAACGTGGGGTTCGGCAGGGCACCAGGAGCGCCCCCCTACTCGCAGGGAATCCCATTTAGGGGCTCCGGAGCAAAGTGGGGTGAGAAGCGCGGTGCTGCGAACTGACTGCTACTTTCACGGAGTGAAGCCGCACAGCCATTGCCGGAGAGCGCTGACTTTTTCCTGTCGACAATTGGATTTAAAATAAGTACCCGTGAGTAGAAACGGAAAATTGGATCAAGAAATTTCTTAATTTGGTAACGAAGCGGGAAGGTTCAAAACAGGAAGTCTGCCTTCCGCTTTTTGTATATAGACTAAAGCAAAAACTTTGTAAGCTAAAGCCTGGAAAGCTGTCAAAAAAGTCTAAATTTTCTTCATTTAGAATTACTGAAACCCCCTTGGAAGCAGGAGAAAAGGGGGGGGGACTTTGTTCAACCCTAGCAGGAGAGGCAGTGAAGAAGGATAAGTTTCCACCGTCTCTAACCTGGGAACGGGGTGTCAGAGACAGAAATTGTTGGAGAGGTTGAATGGGATATTTTGTGAATGGGATATTTTGACAGATAGCTAAAGAAGAGAAACAAGCTGATTCCAATGTTGCCTTTTGCATCCTAAAGAAACAAAATATCTGAAAAATATCTGAAAAACGAAAGTAATTTTCCTTTGTTGGACTTGCCTAAAAAAAAAATGGATACAAATAGAAATTGCCTCCTCTAGAGGGAGCTTGTCAAATTGTTGCTGCAGTACACTTGAGGGCTCAACAGATGTGAGATTAAGACCGTGGGAACAGGCTTTTCTGACCTTGACTAAAGATGAGTTGGAAAGAAGACTGGGTGCTTGCCTTATGTAAGACAAGTGCCCTGCTGGAACAGATGCATGAGAAGATGGACTTGATGAATGAGAAAATGGATTTGACTGTTGCAGTTAATAACTGTGGGCAAACAGGGAATATTGATACAGAAATTATCCAGGGACCAACTCATGAATCTGTACTGACTGGGCAAGTGCAGAAGATAATGGAGGAGGATGCGGTTGCACCCCAAATAATACAAATGGAGAGTCCCGAGGCCCTACAGGAGTATGAGCCGCTGTCATTGAAGATTGAAGTTGGAGTGGGCCAGGGGGAGTCTGGAGTTGAGGAGGTTCCCAACGTTGGAGAGACCTTGGAATATGCTTTTAAATACTTTTTGGACTATATTGAGGGGAGTGGGACTGTGGGGAATGGGCGGGTTTGATGAAGGGAGATGGAGACAATTCTGGCTTGGAACCCCCCAGAGGCCTACCCCTCAATGAGAAAGGAAAGAAACTAAGAAAGAGACCAACAAAAGACAAGGAAAAGGGCAAGTATAAACAAGAAGAAGAAGAATTGCAGAAGGGACATGGAAGAGACTTAAGGGCCTCGGACATAAGGCTTCCAGGTTGATGGACTAGATGGAATGGACAGTAAGGACTGACACGATCCGAGACCAGGAAGAAGGGACGTTGGATGAAGATTGGAAGAAAATTTATAAAGAAAATTTTCTAATTGGGGAATTGGCTAAAAATTAATGAATATTAGGGAAAATGTTGGAATGAAACTATATGACTTTAGCAGAAATGATATCAGGAGTAATGTATATTTGATAACTAAGATTCAAGCTTTAAGGTGTTTTAGGGTAAGATAAGGTTAAATTAATTAAGGTAATGTGAATAATAGAATATGGGGAAAGATGGAAAGGATTTGTTGAGTTAATTATTAGATTAAAGTAGGTTAGGATGAATTTTTTAACAAAAATTGAGAAAGATGGAAAGAATTTGCTGAAATAACTAATTAAACTAGAATACAAAAAGGGAGGTGTGAGGAAGTCAATGAAACAAGCAAATGGAAGTTTTAGATATGTAAGTTGGGATTTGTGTTGTTTTCTTTTTCTTTTTCTTTTTTTGTTGTATCGTTGTATTGGTTTTTGTGTTTTTTCTTTTCTTTTTGTCTATTATAGTGTTGTTTTTTAATGTTTTTTTTCTTATAATTCTGAAAACTACTAATAAATATTATTATAAAAAAAGAAAAAAGAAAAAGACACAGCCTGTTTTAGGAGCTCTTGAGGCTGGGTTTCCACTATGGTCTCCAAGCTGGACTCCTTGGTAGGCAATGTGACCTCTTCAGGCCAGGGAGGGGCTGGCATCACAGACCACCTGATGCTGCAACTTCTGAGGAGCCCGAGATGTCACAAGACTAGCTCACAGGGCACACACTCCTCCTTGTGGCCCAAGATGTCCCCTGAACCCATGGCCTCTTCCCCCAAGGATGGGGAACCAGAGCCCTGGGCCATGGCAAGGACCAGCCAAGGTTGTCCCTCCTCCAGCTGTGGCCAGTGGTGGGTTTTGATCCCCTGTGCTTTCCTCCTCCAGGTTTCTTCTGGTTTGAGTGCAAAGAGGTTTGGATTGAGGGCTTCCGCAGCTACCTCTTGGACTGGTGGAACTTCCTGGACATCGTCATGCTCAGCATGTACTTGGCCTCCTTTGTCCTCAGGCTCCTGATATTCTTCCAGGGCCGTGTTTTCTGTCTGGATAACAAGGAGTCTGCAGAATGCCGTTACTACACGAAAGCGGGTGAGCGCCTCCCACAAGCTGGGGTCTCGTTCCTTCTTCTGCATTGGGCACTGACTCCATAGGTGCATCGGCTTGCGAGTTCGATAGAACATTAATAAATAAATAATACCTGGCTTTCTCTCTGACATGGTGCTGGAGGCAGGGAGGCGCTGAGTGCAAAAGCACTTCGCCTGTTGGTAACCCTCCAACGCCGCCATTAAGAAGCAGCGGTTCTTCTGTTCATTAAGAATTTAATTAGGATTAGTGTACAGGCACCTGCTGGTAATGATGGGACAAGATCAAAAACTGCCGAATTGAAAAGCTACAAGGCCCTACAGATTTTTAAATCGGAAAGAAAACTTCGTTCGATCTAAAGGATGGTATGGGGGGGGAGGAGCCAATGCTTTTTTAATGACTTGGCAACCCTCTGAGAATACTACTACTACTAATAATTCATACAGCAAGTGAAGATGAAGGGAGTCGGGAGTATAGATATGGATTGCAATGAGAAACGGAACTGTGTGAGGAAAATATAATAGTAATAATTTTAGGCATGAAGGATTAATTGATTAAAACTAATACCTCACGCAGGAAGAAGAAGGAGAACTTCACTAGTGAACTTATAAATTATTAAATGTGTTAATACGAATTGAAGTTAAATCATTGTAGCTGTGGTATAACGGATTTTATCAAGACTGGATTGTAATTGGACTGAGCAATAGTTTGGAAGCAGAATTAAACCAAATTATTAGACCTTGAAGCATGAGGGGCCATGTAAATTTTATAATTGGCTATGTGGTTGATTTGTATTTGAATTGGCATTGTAATTTGGTTAATTGAAAATGAATAAAAATTATTTACTATAATAATAATAAATGGACTGGGGCTGATGGGAGTTCAGATTGTCTGGAGGGTCACAGCTTGCGGAAGACAGCCTTTGGAATGTAAAGGCTTCAGACATGGGAACAGGGAAGGGCTGTGACCGACATAAACCTTGCCCCATAATGTGCGCCACACACCCGGCACAGATGCCCCTTCCTTCTCCCTGACCCTTCCTCCCCTTTCTGACCCAGACCGTCAGGAGTGGCACACCGAAGACCCCCAGTTCATCGCCGAGGTGCTGTTTGCCGTGACCAGCATGCTGAGCTTCACCCGCCTGGCTTCCATCTTGCCCGCCCACGAAACCTTGGGGACCCTGCAGATCTCCATTGGCAAGATGATTGACGACATGATCAGGTTTTTTGGGGGGATGGGGGTGGGGGAATCAGGATCCTTCCCTGCCATCATCCTTGCACCTGCAGTGCACTGAGCCTTCTCTCCCTCTCAGTGAATCCCATGTCTCCCAGTGTGGTGTTCCCAAAGCAAAAGAAGGATTAGACTCTGATAATAAGAATACACAGAGGCTTGAACCAGCAAGACTCTGGGAGGAGTGCGTATAATAATAATTCCTGTCTACCCTCCGGCCCAGGTCGTTTTATTCACAAAAGAACTTTTACACAGTGTTCGTAAGAACCAATCAAATTTCCTCTGAGCATTTGAAAAAACCCCCACGTGGGGACAAAGTTAAAGCTAAAACTACAAAGAGCTAATTTCCTACTTGAGCATGCATATGCAATTCAGAGTAAATAAAAGAGGAAGTGAAGAGGAATGCTGTTGGGAAGGTCATGAACAGGAGTAAACAGTATTTACCATCTCCTTGTGAACTCTCTTCCTGAACTCTCTTCCTGGCCCTAAGCTTAACAAAACTAACAATAACTACATGAAAGAAACTGCCTACTATCTTTTATGACCCAGGATGCCTGATGCAGCAACTAGCAATTGGGCTGTGTACGTGACATGTCAAGCAAGAGAAATAGGACAGGGATGCAGAGGCATGGATTGATGAAAAATCATATCAAAATGTCTCAACCCCAGTCAACGCAATGCTTTCTTTGCTGACACAAATGGCTTGCTCTATATTTTTTATAATTCCTCATGGCAATCCCACCTGATCACTACATCCCAGGTCTCTGGGGCTTCACCTCTCTTCTTGGCCCCTGAATGCAGTCCCAATATAGGACATGACTAGTTCTTGCCTTGAAGCAGAGACCTGTTTTGGCAAGGAGGCCAGAGTAGCAAGCACAAGCCCAGCTGGCAGGAATGGGGCAGCAGACTGCGTCCGTGTCATGAGATAGTTGTCCTGAATGACTCAGATGACCCCAAATATATGGAAGAACACCTCCTTCCCTACCATTAAGATGGGCAGAGAGGCCACTCTTGGTAGTTCCACTGCCCTCAGAAGTCTGGCAGCCTGGAAGAGGGCTTTATCTGGGGCAGACTCGACTCAGGGAATTCCTTCCCCATAGAGGTGTGTCTAGTATCCTCATTGAATAGCTTCCATCATATGCTAAAGGCACACCTCTTCACCTGGGCCGTGGACACCCAGGATACATATTTTAAACCCACTCTATCTTCTTGACTTTGTTTCAGATGGTGTTAGGTCTTTTTATTAGCTTTTTGGGTTCCTTGTGCTTCTTCCCCTCTCCAGGTTCATGTTCATCATGATGATCATCTTGACTGCTTTCTTGTGTGGGATGAACAACATCTACGTCCACTACCAAGAATCTGAAAAGCTGGGGAGGTACGCCAACCTGCTTGTACTTTCTACAGAAAGCACAATCAGCTCACATGAAATCAATATACAGTCACACCTTGGAAGTCAAACAACAAGGTTGGCTGCAGTCCTTTTTTTGGTCTCAGGAGAAAATCCAGAATCAAATGTCAGTGCCACCACCATGTGCAAATTGCAAAACTTTGCCAGAGGCAATTGGTGAATCACCTGTGGGTGCCCTCCAGGCTATTAGTATTTTTCAAGAAGGATTCGAGCGTGTGCTGGAACTTTAGGTTTGCAGAATTAAAATGAATTCAGGAGCTCTGTTGTTCTAGTGTGACAAATCCACAGTCTGGAATGTGATAGCAGAATGCATTGAAACATGTGGGATGAATGAATGATTAACAGGAAGACATGTAAACACCCCACAAGCAAATCGGGATGCTCATTCTCCTATAAGCATGCCATAATCAACAAATAAAAAGGAACGCCCAGCAAAGACTGGATATAATCAAACTTCCACATAAGCTTTGAGCAAGTAGATCAGGATGCACGTTGAATAAATATGGAATAAAGAGGTTTTCTGAATGTTATAAGAAAAAACCTGCTGCTTTCCCCTTATGGGGTTCCCGAGAGCCCATATAGAGTCCTTTTGTAGGTTCTCTATCGGTAGGAGAAAATAACAGAGACCAACCAGAGAATATTGAGAAGTAAAGCAGCTCGTAAGCCTGATCTTTATTGATCTGTTGCAACAGGGTGCTCCCCTCACACTCAGGAAAGGAGGAGGAACCCCGAACAAAGGTGTGCCTGCCCTTATACATTTTAAATTCCCTGCCCTGGAGTTCAAGACCACCCCTCCATACTTCATACGTACATCCCAGAAAAGGTGGTCTACAACAGAAATTTGAGTGTTGTTTTTCCTGTCTGGCAGGTTTTCTGATAATGCCTTATCTGATTGCCTTTCCTGATAGTCTGTCACCCTTTGAAATGGTGATTACTCAATTCCTGAGATAATGAGAAGGCTCCCTGACCCCCCTCCCTCCTTGCAGAGAAAACATTTAGTCAGTTTGGGAGTCAGATTGGTTTCAGGTCGGTCTTCCTGTGCTGATCTATGTACATGCTTGGTTGGTACATTTATGAACATTTATTATATATCTAAGACCTTAAAATTATTATCGCAATATAAATGCAGTAAAGAAGCAACGCTGTACGGAGGAGTCACCCTCTCGCTGCCCCAGCTGTTTCAGCTTGCTATCCCTTCTCCCATGTAGCTTCAACGAGACATTCCAGTTCCTCTTCTGGACCATGCTTGGGATGGAAGACCACGATGTGGTGGACATGCCCCGGTTCCTCATGGCTCAGCTGGTGGGGAGGGTGCTGTATGGGGTCTTCACCATCGTCATGGTGGTTGTCCTCCTCAACATGCTCATTGCCATGATCACCAACTGCTTCCAGAAAATTGAGGTGAGTGCTGCTGCCGGGGGTGGGGGAGGGGATTGAGAGGTGGCCTTTAAGGTGTACTGGAACGGGACTGGGGTGTACAAAGGGACAGGCGAATGCCCCACTTCATAGGGTACACACACCAGGGGCTTGCCACTAGGAATGTAAGGAGGCTGTGATTTCTCTCCTGTTCGGCATTTGTCAAAATCAGTTCTGTTCCGCTACAGTTCAGCTTCCACTAAACCCTGTGCTATTCGTCCTGCTATCTGCTGTGGCTGAAGCTTACATTCCTTCATTATTTAATATATTTCAAAGGAAGCGAAGTGTCAGTGCGGTAAATAATTGCGCCTGTAACATTTTCAGGCTACTGACAGAAATGCAAATGGCAGGGATTTCCATTTTTGATGGAATTCCCCAAATATCTCTAATTTCATATCCACCATCAGTCCCCAAATGGATAATGCACAATGGTCCTTTCCTGCTATTAGTCAGACTTGGTATAAGTTAAAGTAAAGGTAAAGGGACCCCTGACCGTTAGGTCCAGTCGTGACCGACTCTGGGGGTTGTGGCGCTCATCTCGCTTTACTGGCCGAGGGAGCCGGCGTACAGCTTGCGGGTCATGTGGCCAGCATGACTAAGCCGCTTCTGGCGAACCAGAGCAGCGCACGGAAACGCCGTTTACCTTCCCGCCGGAGCGGTACCTATTTATCTGCTTGCACTTTGATGTGCTTTCGAACTGCTAGGTTGGCAGGAGCTGGGACCAAGCAATGGGAGCTCACCCCGTTGCGGGGATTCGAACCGCTGACCTTCTGATCGGCAAGTCCTAGGCTCTGTGGTTTAACCCACAGCGCCACCCGCTATAAGTTAGGGTTGCCATATTTCAAAAAGTGAAAAATCTGGACACCAAAAAAATCACACTCAAAAAAATGAAGTTTTGAGCTATTTTTAAGGAAATATGCCAAAATCTACACTTCCAGCATGGGTTGCCATATGTACGGATTCTCCCCAGCATTTCAGTGATTTCTACCCGAATCCTGGCTATGTATGCCACCCCTAGTATACATCATCTTCAGCCATTCCTGGACTGGCCCAGCCTAACCACGGTGGTCCTTGCATTGGAGACCTGAAGACTTGGTTACTGAAACACACTTTCCATGGGGCTGCCCCTGTGTTGGGTCCAGAAGCTTCAACGTGTGCAAATTGCAGCAGCCAGACTGCTTACAGGAGCCGATCACTGGCAACGTGCTACTCCACTGCTGAGAGAGCCAGGCCGATTGTCAATTTGCTACTGGGCCAGTTTCAAAGTACTTGCGTTAATTCACAAAGCCCTAAACAACTTGGGCCAAAAATGGCTTTAGACTGATTCAATATTCTCCACTGAGATCACCGCGATCCTCTGATGGGTTTGATGGTTCCCTGCAGCCCTCTGACATTTGGTTGGCCATCACTTTAGTGCCCTGTGGAACTCCCTGCCAGTAGAGGTTCACCAGAAACCATCCCTGCTATATTTCAGATGTTTTTGGTTTTTGGAAAACTACCGTATTTTTTGCTCTATAAGACTCACTTTTTCCCTCCTAAAAAGTAAGGGTAAATGTGTGTGCGTCTTATGGAGCGAATGCAGGCTGCGCAGCTATCCCAGAAGCCAGAACAGCAAGAGGGATTGCTGCTTTCACTGCGCAGCGATCCCTCTTGCTGTTCTGGCTTCTGAGATTCAGAATATTTTTTTTCTTGTTTTCCTCCTCCAAAAACTAGGTGCGTCTTGTGGTCTGGTGCGTCTTATAGAGTGAAAAATATGGTATATAGTTTAGGCAGGTCTTTGTAACAGCAGCATTTATTGATATTGTTAGTTATATTTTTAGGGATACCCTAGCTTCTTCTATTCTCACATTCCTGAGGGCAAGCACTGTCTTGTTTCTTGATAGTTCTACTGATCTTCTGTAAGGTCCTCTGGGATACTTTTTGAGGGCAGGGCAAAGATGCTCTATATAAATAAAGAGCTCCCCCCCCCCCCCCGGTATTTACCAGAGTCTTCCTTGCCGCCTCTTCTCTCCTGTGTTCTTCAGAACGATGCCGACGTGGAGTGGAAGTTTGCCCGCTCCAAGCTCTACTTGTCTTTCTTCAGAGAAGGCTTGACGCTGCCAGTGCCCTTCAACATCATCCCGTCACCAAAGTCCATCTTCTACGCTGTCAGGTAATTTGTCCGGCTGCTCCTGAGACGCTTGAGGTGGGGAGACTCTGATAGTTCTGGGTTAAACTTAGCCCTCGGCAGCAGAGGACTGGCTTAAGGATTGGCAGACTCTGCAAAACAGTTGCTTTTACAAACACAATGCCCCATCGTTCTGCTCGGACACTGAGGTCCAGCTCCGAGGCCCTTCTGGCGGTTCCCTCGCTGTGAGAAGCCAAGTTACAGGGAAGCAGGCAGAGGGCCTTCTTGGTGGTGGCACCCGCCCTGTGCAACGCTCTCCCATCAGATATCAAAAAGAACAACAACTACCAGACTTTTAGAAGACATCTGAAGGCAGCCCTGTTTAGGGAAGCTTTTAATGTTTGACAGACTGTTGTATTTTAATATTCTGTTGAAAGCCGCCCAGAGCGGCTGAGGAAACCCAGCCAGATGGGCAGGGTATAAATAATAAATATTATTATTATTATTATTATTATTATTATTATGCATTTACCGGGAACCAGTCCTCGAATGTGACAGCCCATAATAGCAGGGAGCTATCATTGCATTATTTCTGGATCCCACCCCAAACTTTTTCCCCCCTAGGCAAGGCTATTCAGTCATGTTATTTTAAAATGAACTTTTATTATGTGTAATGCTTTCAAGATCCTATGCCCTTTTAAAATGTGTTTTTTTGGGGGGGGGGCATATCAGGTTACTGTTTTTATTTTTTATTAGGTTTTTTGTGGTTTTATATCTTGATTTTATTCTGTGAACCAACCTGAGACCCCCAGGTATAGGGTGGTATATAAATTCAATCAATAAATAAAATCAATAAAAAAGATTTCTGATTTTGTTTATATTTTGATGCTGAGTATGTTTTTAATCTTGGCTGTTATTGAAATATCTTGATGAATAGTTTCTCTTTTGCAAAACAGGATATATTTTTTTTTCAAATAAACAGTATGTAAATTTAGTTAAATTTATTATTATTAATAATAAACATTACAGTCCGCCTTGTTCACAGGCCTCCCGGCTCACCTCTTTCTTCCCCCATCTTCTCCCAGGGGCCTCTTCCGCTTCCTGTGCTGTTACAAACCAAAGCGCCAGCAGAAATACCCCCCCATCTCAACCATTGTAAGTTCCCTTTGGGGCTGTTTCAAGGGCGTGTTCCTTGCACCCACGACTCTGCTTGCAGTGGGCTGTCCTGCTCTCTTCCTCAGCCTTTGGGGAGATTGGGGGAGAGTGCCTCTTGGCAGTAGCAGTTGAGAAGGTGGGCTGGCGCTTCTGCATCCCTGATGTTGTAAACAAAATCTGCCCTTATTCCCTTATGGGGTATCCAAGAGCCCGTATAGAGTCCTTACGTAGGTTCCCTATTGGTAGGAGAAAATAACAGAGGCCAAGCAGAGAATATTGAGAAGCAAAGCAGCTAGTAAGCCTGATCTTTATTGATCTGTTGCAACAGGGTCCTCACTCACCACACGCAGGAGGGAGGTGGAACCCAGAACAATGGCGCACAAGGCCTTATAAAGACTTTTGAAATTGCCACCCTGTAGATCAAGACCACCCCCAGAAACATCATGCATACATCACAGAAGGGGTGTAACCCAAGACCACCCCCCAAAAACATCATACCTGCATCACAGAAAAGGTGGTCTACAACAGAAATTTGAATGTTGTTGTTTTTCCTGTCTGCCAGGTTATCTGATAATGCCTTATCTGACTGCCTTTCCTGGTAGTCTGGCCATTCCTTTGATTCCCCAATTCCTGTAACAAGGAAGGTTTTTTTCCTCCCTCCTTGCAGAAAAACATTTGGTCAGCTTGGGAGTAAAAATGGTTTCAGGTCGGTCTTCCTGTGCTGATCTATGTATGTGCTTGGTTGGTACATTTATGAACATTTATTATTTATATATATAAGACCTCAAATTTTATTATTACACTGATGACATCACAGGCCCTCTTGAATTGACAACAATGGACCTTGGGTTAGGGTGGCTTACCTGACCTCCCGCGGTGGACTCACCTCCTCACTGTGTGTGTGTGGGGGGGGCTCCTGCTGGTGAGCTTGCACAGGAATGACCTCCCCATTGCCTTGCCCCTTCCACTCTCCCTCCCAGTATACAGCAGCAACTCTGTTGCCAGGAGGTCAGGTCCGTACCTCCCCCTGACTCCTCCGCGCACTACGTATTGGACCCCTTTTCCTCCATTCAGTGACATTTATAAAAGACTGTTGCATCAATTAAAAAGCAGTTAGGGCCAACTCCTAGTGCCATAATTGTTGGGATGCGTCCAAAGAAACGGGGGCAATTGGCAGGCCCCCAGCTGGCTCCAGCCCACCGGCTGGTAGCCGGGCAAACTCCAGTACTTGGATCAGCGTGTAACTGCGACTCGAGCTTCAGAAACCTTCAGAAGCTGAGCACGCAAGCCAGCAGCGTAAAAGAACTCTTCGCAACAGAAGGGCAGATAGAGGCTGTGTAAAGCGTATTTACCGGCATTTTATTCAGCATCAGGACAAAGGGAAAAACATGTCTTCTCCCCTTCGTGTCCAAGCAAGCAGCATAAGCAAAAGCTATACACAAACGGAAGTTCCCAGCAAGCTGTGCTGGAATGTAAATAGACATGTGACATACAACAAGTCCACACATCTGCTAAGGTGGAACGGAATAGCATAACATCCTCCCCCTTTCCGTGTAACCTGTATCACCTGTGGTTCAACCCAATTGCAGCCGCTGTACACAAACCTCAAGCTGTTCTTTGTTAACAACCTTAGACAACAGATCTGCAGGAATTTCGTTTCCTGGCATGTAGGACACCTGAATGAGTTCTTTCTGAATACACTCTCTTGCACGATGTAACTTAATCTGCAAGTATTTGGTTATAATGTCCTGCTGTCTACTGCTTTTCAAATAATTGCATCTGTTTGTTTTTTGACTAATTATTTTGGAAGCCATGCCTCTCTGGGCAAGCTGAAGCATGCGCAGAGTGCTTTGCAGCCACAACCTCCTGCCTGCTAGCCTCCAGATGTAGGCCTCCCTCCAGGGCCCTTCCAGGAGGCGTGACCCCCTTCTGCCATGTTTCGTTTGGGAACCCTGTCACCCCCTGACTCTGCCCTTCTTCCCCCCCAGTCTAACCCCTCCACGGATGAGGGCGGCCAGCGTATGGAGGGCCGCGCTGCCTACCGGCGCCAAGTGCTCAAGGCACTGGTGCAGCGCTACATCGACACGGCCCGGCGGGAGTTTGAGGAGAGCCGCAGGAAAGGTAAGCAGTGTTGCCTCGGAAGGGGGATCCCGATGGGGTGCCATGTCCAGAAGGGCTTGCCCACCACCCTCCCTGCCAGACTTCTGCAACCGGGTGCCCTCAGCTGTCTCAACCACAGCTCCATCAGCCCCAGCCAGCTCTGGTGTAGGTTCTGGGAGTCCAAACCAACTGGCGGGCATTCCCCGCTCCCTTTCTGCTTGGTTCCCGTATCTCTTTCTGTGAGGCCTCTGTCTCTTCCAACCCCCATTGCCCCTACGGTCCCTGCTTTGCAACCCATCTGTCCTGCTTCCTGCACCCACCCTGGTTCTTCTTGGTGCCCCCACCCCGGTTGCCCCCACAGCTTGATGCTTTGCTACCCCTCAAGGCTTACTGTCTCTCCCGCTTTGGGTGGGATTCAGTCAGAAACACCAGATTCAGGTTGCACGTTGAGAGCTGATTGAGCAGTCTTGTGCAACAAACCCACTTCCCCAAATGCTCTCTCTTTTTGCCCCAAGGAACGTAGTGGGATAATGCCCTGGAAAGTGTGGGAGGATGCTTGCTTTGACACAGCATCGTCTAACCTTCCTGCAAGCAAATCGGAATGAAGGCTCAGTAGATAATCCATAATATCAAACATCCCTACAGATTAGTTCTCCTCATGGAGGAGATGTCTCCAAAGCCTAGAGGAGGGGAAACAGTAGGGTTGCTGACTAGATTTTCCATGGGGCCTGGGCAGAATCTCACCCCCACGAGGGCTCCCTCTTTTGTGTCCTTTTGGTGGGAATGTTCAGGGTGGCAGGAGAGGATATATTGTTTATTAATATTCTTCCTGCTTTGCGCTCTCTAGTTCCTTTACTTAGCAGAGTTTACATCCCCCTTTTTACATGCACAGCAGATAGCTGGTTGCAGGCTCGTGTGAGCCTCTCACTATTATATAATTCAGCCTGTCTATGATTGAATTGTACGTTCCTGGTAAGTTCACTTGAATACCTCTTAAAAGAATAAAGACACCAGTGGCAAAACTACTTGCCCCGCTACGGGGGGCGGAGAGCAGGCGGAGTGTGGCTGGCGCCCCCTGGGGGCATGGCATGCATCCTGGGGGCATGGTATGCTGCCGACAAGGGCATGGCGCGCCTCCCGAAGGGGTGTGACTCACATTCTGGGGCGTGATGTGCCACCTGGCGCACGGGGGGGGGGGGCAGGGGCGGTGCAACATGTGTCTGGGAGGGGCGCTGTGATGGCACCCTACTGGAATAGTGATGCCGGGGGTGAACTGCTCCCTCCACACCCCCATTCCTCCGCCAGTGAAAGACGCGACACTCTTATTCAAAGTCAATAAAAGAAATTTACTCACATCAGTTTACAGCTGGATTCCTGAAGGCAGACTTAGTTACAAATATGTACCTGTAGATCTACCCCATATGGGGAATAATCCCAGTGCTTCTGCTAGCTGAGAGCTAACAGAGCAGTCCTAGCTAGAAGCTGGTCAAACGAAGAAGGAAGTGAAACAGAGAAACAGTGTGCTGCGTGACTCGTCCTTTTGTTACCTGGACAGGTTAGGTCATGCCCACCTTCTATCACATGCAAAAGGAAGGATGCTCCAGCCAGGAGGAACAGGAAGTTCCGACTGGCTGGACCAAACATTCCCTCGCATGTCCTCTCTAGCATTACAAGGAATGTTGTTCTTGACTGCCTCTCATGGATCACATCCCACACTTTTTGCCCGCAGATCTGGGGAACCGCCTGACAGAGCTGAACAAGTCTGTGCTGCGCCTCCTCTCCGACATGAAGCAGCTGCGCCACACCGTGGCCGACAACGGCATGGCAGACAACCCCTTGAACGGGACCAGCGTCCTTCATAAGTACATCATGAAGGTGCGCAGCAGCTTCCAGAGCTACGACAACGAAGCAGGTGGCTCTGAGCAGGGGCGCCCCACGGACGCGGCCTTGCCCCAGGATGGGGCCGTTGCCAACGAGGACGCAACGCCGTTGCCTCAGGAACTCTCTGAGGGACAGGAGGAAGCTGAGGAAGGGCCGCCCCAGGTGGAAATTGAGGAGCCTGGGGTGGAGGCTGAGGAGAGGCCGCTGGAGGTGGAAGCTGAGGAGAGGTCACCCCAGGTGGAAGTAGAGGTGGCAATTGAAGAGAACCCTGTAGGAGAGCCAGAGACTTGATCTGTCTTCTCTCCAAAGACGAGGGATCTGTTTCATTCTCTGCCGGGATCCACTGTAGAGGGTGGCGTTTCCATAGCAGCCTAGGGAGGAGTCATGCTTGTAGAGTCTGCCCCGTTTCTGACATGTCCAAGGGGCAACGCAGTGTCCTTTCTTAAGCCAACATCCTTTGCCAAGCGAGAGAATGTATATTTCACTTATCTGGCATGAGGGCTCTTTACTGAGCAGAACCATAGCTGTGAACCTTTTTTGCGGGAAATTCCCTTATTTCAGTGCTGTTTCCCACTGCTTCCTGCTGCTATCCCGGATTGTTAGATATCCCGTAGACTTTCCGTGGGACAGGTGAGGCTGCTGATCCCTTATTTTCAAATCCGAAAGTTGACAGCTATGAGCAGAACGGGAAGACTGTGAAGAGCTACAGTGGTACCTTGGGTTACATACGCTTCAGGTTACATACGCTTCAGGTTACAGACTCCGCTAATCCAGAAATAGTACCTCGGGTTAAGAACTTTGCTTCAGGATGAGAACAGAAATTGTGCTCCTGTGGCGTGGCGGCAGCAGGAGGCGCCATTAGCTAAAGTGGTGCTTCAGGTTAAGAACAGTTTCAGGTTAAGAACGGACCTCCGGAACGAATTAAGTACTTAACCCGAGGTACCACTGTACTTTATAAAGCCCCCAAAAGCTGGATTCCTGCTATTGGCATTTTACCAAACCTTCAACACACTTTGAATTCTGTTTTGCTTAAGATTTGAGGTGGAGGTTCATAAGATTCCACGAGGCCACAGTAACGGCTGCCCCCAGTATCTGGGGCCCACCTGGCCTACGAGGTGCAAACATCTGGGTCAAGGTGGTGGTAAAATGGAGGAAGCCTACCCAGATGGGGTTAGAAGCAGCGCAGTGAAGACGCGAAGGGAGGTGGCAGTTGCAAAACACCAGTCCTACTCTGGCAGTCCCTGACCGTCCTCCACAAGCCGGCAACCGGAGAGTTGGAGAGTTGCAGGGCTTCTTCCTCAGATTCCTTGACTGCCACAAAATGCTTTTAGGCCTCATTGGGGCCAGAATTCCCCCCAAACAGTCACTAAGAGGAGCACCTCCCCCCCCCCCCAAATTGTACTACAATAACTGCATGTTTGTGTGTAGATTATGCAGTGTGTGTGTGTGTATCCAGCTTCTTTACATTAAATTTATTAATCAAGTAAATGGATGCTATGAACTAAACTTAATAAATATGCTATGGGTAATATGAACTCCTGTGGTCTGGTGTTTGTTTAGCTAATATCTTTTTTTTATTAATGTAAAATCAAAAGTACAGACAAACAAACAAAAGGAAAACATGGGAGTTACAAAACAAGGAGCAGGTACAAAGACTGTATTTTCTAAATAGAGAGCATACAGTGTTGAAAAATAAAAGCAGCAACACATCATCAAAGTCAAATTTTGCAATTTGATGAGGGGGGAAAAGTGAGATTACAGGGAACCAGGCAGAGGGTCTTCTTGGTGGTGGCGCTCGCCCTGTGAAACTCCCTCCCACCAGATGTCAAGGAAATTGACAACTATCTGACTTTTAGAAGATATTTGAAGGCAGCCCTGTTTAGGGAAGTTTTTAATGGCTGAAGTTTTAATGTATTTTTAATCTCCTGTTGGAAGCTGCCCAGAGTGAGCCAGATGGGTGGGGTCTAAGTAAATAATAATAATAATAATAATAATAATAATAATAATAATAATATTGTGGGTTATTCTTTTCTGCAAAAGCCAGAGTCTACCTATTCTTGTACTACAACAAGAGGTTTAAGTCCTGTAGTGTCTTCTTCTTTTGGTCCAGAGAATATCTCACTGCTTCCAGCATCCACATAAGAAGTCCTCTAAATTGGAAAACGGCTGTTTCATCTTCCCATGAGTTCGTAAAGGCAAGTCCCATCTCTTCCCAGAAGGGCGCTGCCACTGCCATCCTAAGAGAATGAGGGAGGTGTTCATGTGAGTTCTGGCACCTCTTTTTCTAGAAAAGTAACATTGTGCTAAGGTACGGAAAAGAGATTCTACTCCCTCAAAATGAGATTGGCAAAATAAAATGTTAGAATATGAAGAACTAGCAAGATTCCGAAACCATACAGATCAACTATTTAATAGAGAGTGGAATATTTGCAGAGAATATTTTAAAGAACATTGTAACAACATAAATTCTTTAGCAAGCCTGGATTGATTTCTGCATGAATTAACTACAGAATTAACATAACAGAATAATTTAGGAGAGACAAAGTTAAGTGTGCAGCTGTAAAATGGAATTTAGGAAGCACAATGGGGGGATTGGAAGTCGTGTTACAATTAGTAACCACACAATTAAACCCCTGTGTTGCAAACAATTATCAGTAATATCCAAGGCAACATGATGACTGTTAAGTTGTGGGTGAACATATCAGACGACACAGCGATTCTTCAAACAGCTCTTGTTTATTCACAGGCCAGAACAGAACTGAACTGAAGGGTTCAGCCAGCCTGCTTATATAGAGCTCCAGTACAACGCAACAGTAACCATTTTCTGTAACGATCCTATCACTGAATGTCACTTTCGATCCCTTATTTGCATATGTGGACCTGAACTATCTACAGTATCCCCCTGCTGGCCCAGGGTGAGAACTTCAGTACATAACAATGACCAAGTAGAACAATGCAATATCAATATAAATGCTTTATATAATCTATACAGAACACTGAACAGTATGAAATATATGAAATATGCACTCTCTGCAAAACCAAATAAAGAGAAATCTTATAAATCTCTGAAAGTCACAAAATATGCACTCTGGATGGATACTCTTGAAAACATAAAACCAAATAATCATAAGTCTTAGAAGTCTTTGTTTTGTTTTTAAAACCAATAAAGAATTAAAGAGGGAGAGAGGCAAGAGAAATGTGTCCTCGACCTCTCAGTGGCTTTTGATGCCAACGACCATGGCATCCTTCTGGAGCAGCTGTCTGAGTTAAGGGTGGGTGGCATCGCTTTGCGGTTCTTCTGGTCCTACTTGGATGGTCATTTCCGGAGGGTGATGCTTGGCCCCACGGATCCTTCACTGTGGGGTTCCTTAGGGTTCAATGTTATCCCCCATGAAACCGCTGAGTGGGGATTTTAGGAGTATGTTGCCAACAATGTGCTGTCTACTAGACCAGACCAATATTAAAAAGAGCTTTTAACTGATGTGGGAGGACCATTCTTCTGGAGATCCTCATAGTTCGAGCTACGGAGCGCAGAGTTTCTGACAGTGCAATACACCAAGTTCCAAAAGAGAACCCAGCCGGTGATTTACCTGGAAAGGAAATCACGAAAGGAGAGAATTGTGCCATCCGTTGAAGGCTCCATTCCCCAGCCGTCCCCCTTTCTGCCACCCCAGTTGCCTTCCATGTTGGCCTGAGGCAGGAAGGGGCTGGGGGCTAGCAGGGCAGATGTGCAAAGGGAGAGAGGCAGGGAGGGAGGAGGGAGCTGAGAGCAGGAACCGGCTGCGGTGACAAACAGCCCAGGCTCCTGGGGGAGCAGGGTGAGGTCTTGCTGGAGGCTGCCCATGGCGTTCATGTGGCAACCCAGTCCCCTGGGGGGTTGGCAGGTGGGCCCCACTGCGCTCCTGCCTGCTTCTGCCCCTGCCAGGGAAAAACAAGAGATCCGCACAGGCAGAGGGCTGGAGAGGAAAGCCTGGAGGAGAAGCAGGACACCTTTTCAGCCAGGCCTTCCCCGGTTTCGTTCTGCTGGAAGGGGAAGGACCTGGAGCATCCTTTGCCAGTCACACCTGTAAGGAGCTGGCACGTCTGCCCTGGGCAAGATGGCACTGGAGTTCGATGGAATCACGGTGAGTGCAGAGCAGGGAGGGGGGCTCCATGATGTGATAGACAGACCGACCGACCGACAGACAGATAGATAGATATGCCCTTTTGGTTTGGGTAACTTTCTCTACTGTCGGCTGCTTCTTCTCTGCTAGATTTTCTTTCCTACCTTTTTTAAAAAAAAATATTTTCATTAAGAATTTCAGCATAACAATTTATCAAAGACATTTCATCCCCCCCCCCCCTGTTTTTCCCTCCCCCCTCCCCAAGAAAATAACACCCTCCCACCCCTGCCCAGACTTCCCTCAGCTCCTCTCTCTGGTTTTTCAGCACATGTTATTCTCTGCATATTATAAAATTATAAAGATCTTTAAATTATCTGTCTATACGTTACCAATAATAAATTTGTGTTTGTTTATTCAAAACCTGCCAAGGAGTCCAGTTCATTTTGTTGTTTCTTTAAGTACTTTGTAAAAGGTTCCCATTCTTCTTTAAAGTCACAGTTGTCCTTATCACGGAGTTTGTGCGTCAATTTTGCCAGTTCCACATAGTCCATCAATTTCCCTTGCCACAGTTCTTTGGTCGGGATTTCTTCATTCTTCCATCCTTCTGCTATTTTTTTTCTTTTAAATAGTATTTATTAAGATTTTAAGTTTACAAAAAGGCAAAAGAAAACGGAAAGCAAAAAAACCCCACCAGATTAGACAATAGTAAAACAACACATCACAATAAAAAACAAGGAAATAAGAACACTTAAAAACAACATACAAAAAGAAAAAGAAAAAGAAAAAGAAAAAGAAAAAGAAAAGAAGACAAATCGAGCCTTCCCATAACTTATCTTTCATATGCTTGTTTCCCTGACCTCCTCACACCTCCCTTTTTTGTATTCTAAGTCAACTATCCATTTCAGCAAATCCTTTCCCTCTCTTCAAAATTCTTATCCTGAAAATTTATCTTGATCTTACTATAAGTTTACTTTCCCTCTTTTCACCAATTAACAGTCTATTTTTCTTAAATCTTTGATACATTTTTGCTAAAATCACATAGATTCATTCCAACATCATTCTAACATTCATTAATTTTACAATGTTTCTGTAAATAGTCTTTAAATTTCTTCCAATCTTCCTCCACCGACTCTTCTCCCTGGTCTCGGATTCTGCTAGTCATTTCTGCCAGTTCCATATAGTCTATCAACTTCATCTGCCATTCTTCCAGAGTGGGTAGATCTTGTGTCTTCCAATACTTTGCAATAAGTATTCTTGCTGCTGTTGTGGCATACATAAAGAAAGTTCTGTCCCTCTTTGGCACCAATTGGCCGACTATGCCTAGGAGAAAGGCCTCTGGTTTCTTCAAGAAGGTATATTTAAATACCTTTTTCATTTCATTATAGATTATCTCCCAGAAAGCCTTAATCCTTGGGCATGTCCACCAAAGGTGAAAGAATGTACCTTCCGTCTCTTTACATTTCCAGCATTTATTATCGGGCAAATGATAGATTTTTGCAAGCTTGACTGGGGTCATGTACCACCTGTATATCATTTTCATTATATTCTCTCTTAAGGCATTACATGCCGTGAACTTCATACCTGTGGTCCATAACTGTTCCCAGTCAGCCATCATAATGTTATGTCCAACATCTTGTGCCCATTTAATCATAACAGATTTCACCGTTTCATCCTGAGTATTCCATTTCAACAGCAAATTATACATTCTTGACAAATTCTTAGTTTTGGGGTCTAACAGTTCTGTTTCCAATTTTGATTTTTCCACCTGGAAGCCAATTTTTTTATCCAAATTATATGCCTCCATTATCTGATAATAATGAAGCCAATCTCGCACTCTATTTTTAATTTTTCAAAACTCTGCAGTTTTATTCTGTCTCCCTCTTGTTCCAAAATTTCCCAATATTTCGGCCATTTAGCCTCCATATTGAGCTTTTTCTGAGCCTTCGCTTCCATTGGTGACAACCATCTTGGGGTTTTATTCTCAAGCAAATCCTTATATCTTATCCAAACATTAAGCAGTGCTTTCCTGACAATATGTTTTTTAAACGTTTTATGTGCTTTGACCTTATCATACCACAGATATGCACATCCTTCTGCTATTAAGACTCTTGCCGCCGTTGTCGCATACATGAATATGTTCAGTTTCCTTGGCAGGTCTTTCCCTACAGTCCCTAACAAAAATGATTCAGGCTTTTTTTTACAAATGTTAATTGGAACATTTTCTTCAATTCATTGTATATCATTTCCCAGATTTTTTTAATTTCACTACAATCCCACCACATGTGATAAAAATATATCTCTGCTAGATTTTCTGAACTGCTGAGAGGCGAGCTTACATTTTGCCCCAGCAGGGAAAGGTCTCAGCCCTCTCCAGGGTGCAGGGCGGAAAACGAACCAGCCAGAAGGGAGGTGGGCTGCTGCTGCTACTGCAGTCTTCACTTGGTGGTAATCCGTGGAATTATTGATAAATGTATTTGCTGGAGACTTTCAATAAAAGAGGAGGCAGCTTCCTGCTCACCTCCTGCGTCAGCCAAAGGCTCCTTCTGTCTTTAGGTTCTGAGTGAGAGTCACGGGGTCCTGCAGCCTCACTTTTTTTAGCTACCACACCTGACAGCTTCCCCCCCCCCTTTGTCTCTGCCCCTAGTCTCCACCACCACAGATGATTCCCCCCCCCCCCATTCAGGTGTCCCTTTTGCAGCCCGTCAGTGATTCAATACTATTTTAAAAAAATAAAAAGTCAAAGCTGAAAGTGACCATTTGGTGGGGCTTGTGCACTTGTGATGCTCTGCCTACGTTCCTCCGTGCACGTGTGCAATGTTGCTGCCCCAGAACATGAGTATTGATGCCAGAACATAATACTTTAGAGGTTACTGACTATAACCACTTCCTAAAGTGCATAGCACAGCTTCCCTGGTGGCAGATGACAAGAACTGTAGTCACACTCAAATGCACTGTTAAGAAATTACGTTATGCAAGCATTTGAGCATACAAGCATTTAAGCTACAGTCATACCTCGGGTTACAGATGCTTCAGGCTGTGTTTTTTCGGGTTACGGACCTGCCGAAACCCGGAAGTACCGGAACAGGTTACTTCTGGGTTTCGGGGGTCGCACATGCACAGAAGCGCTAAATTGTGCTTTGCGCATGTGCAGAAGCCCCGAATTACAACTTGTGCGTGCGCAGACGCGCTGCTGCGGGTTGCAAACGCTGTGGGTTGCAAACGTGCGTCCCGCACGGATCACATTCGCAACCCGAGCGTCCACTGTACTAATATTTACAAGCTCTTTACAATGTGTGCTCTCCTCTTGCCCCCTCAAAATTGCAAACTCATCTTCCTTCCTGACACCAGTTAAGCCACTCCCACACAATGCAGAAACTTCTGGAAGGCTTTTTTAAACCTTATCTGTTTCATGAAGAATGTATTCCTAACGAAACAGGCCAGTGGGCAGTGGCGTAGCGTGGGGGCTGCAGGGGGGGCCGGCCGCACCGGCCGCAACATCTGGGGGGGCGCGCTCGCACTCGCAGCTCTCTGCCCCTACTAAAATCCACGGGTCAGGGGGCGGAAATTACTTGCCTTGCCCCGGGTGCTGACAACCCACGCTACGCCACTGCCAGTGGGTGCTGCTGGATACTCTCTGGGTGTGAAAGGGCTTGAAGAAATGCAACCCTGATAGAGAGACAGCTTTCTCCCTTGCTCTCCTCCACCCCCCATTAACGCCTTGCAGGCAGGCGCCCCTCAGGCCAGTCTGCATAGGAACTGAGGTGCCACAGTCAATTCAGCTATGCAGCTGGAGCTTTTCTGAGTGGCTGTTAGCAAGCACCCCACTCCCTTTGCCATCTCCCCTGGGGAACTTGTAGGTTGCATTCGAGGAAACTGCTGCAAACTGTTTTGAAACCAGTAGATAGGAGGAGTGTGACGGGAATCTAACCAGTAAATAATGAAGAGTTGCTTTGCCCAGGGGGAATGTGAAGAGAACAGCGATGGCAATGGCTAAACAAGCAAAGCGCTTCTGAAGGGAGCCACTGGCGCTGCAGATGAGCAGAGCCACACAAGCAGCACAAATGGTGTACAAACAGGAATCCGCTTAATTCATTCCTCAGCCCCTCTGCTTCCAGACCTGCTCCTTTCCAGTGGCACCCAGGGAATCCTACCTTGACCTCCTGCCCTTAGGGCAGCTCAGCCAATCCCTGCAAGAGGCGTCAGTGTTCTTCATTGCTCTCAAAATCCTTTTGCAGACTGCAATGTAGATCCTTCTACCACCTTGCAAACCTAGATTCCCCAAGGGCAGAAACATCTTGCATTTCTCAAGTCCATTTTAGAAAACCCTAAACAACAGCCCACAGCTTTGAGAATGACCCTTGTTGTCTTTCCATCCACCCCCTTAGCAACCCGATTGGAAAGAAATCGTGAACAAAAAGTTGAAGTTCCCGGAAGGCCTCCTCAACGCCATCCAAGACGGGCAGCTGATGAAGGTCCAGCAGCTGCTGCAGGTGAGCGACGGGATCCTGAGGCAGCTGGATGAGGCCGAGGACCGGGCGTGGCGAGAGGCTCTCAACCTGGCCATCCGCACGGGCGGCGAGGAGATCACCAAGACGCTCCTGCGCATTGTCAAGTTTGACTTCCGTCAGATCCACGAGGCCTTGCTGGTTGCCGTGGATACCAACCAGCCCACCGTGGTCAAGCTGCTGCTGGACCGCCTGGACCAGGAGAAAGGCCGCAAGATGGACATCAAGTCCTTCTCCTCGGCCTTGTTTGACAACTCCATCGACAACTCACGCTTTGCCCCGGGCGTGACGCCCCCTCACCTTGGCTTGCGAGAAGGACCTCTACGAAATCGTGGACATGCTCATGAAGAAAGGCCACGCCATCCCGGGGCCGCACAAGGTCTCGTGCTCCTGCCTGGAGTGCTCCAACGGCCGCAAGTTTGACCTGCTCAAGTTCTCGCTCTCGCATCAACACTTACAAGGGCATCGCCAGCCGGGCGCACCTTTCCATCGCCAGCGAAGACGCCATGTTGACGGCCTTCAAGCTCAGCCGGGAGCTCAAGCGCCTCTCCAAGAAGGAGCCCGAATTCAAGGTCTGTCTCTTGCTGCACCAAGCATGTAGGTCAAGGTGGGGAACATCTACGGCCCTCCAGGTAGTGATGGACCACAACTCCCATGATCCCTGAACATAGGCCATGTGGGCTAGGAGTCCAACAACATCTGGAAGGCCACCGGTTGTTCCTCAGCCCTGACATCGACGTTGCTTTTTAATTCCACAATATTCACATCACAAGCCTAATTCTTTTTAGTGGAAGGAGTTGGGGTGGGGAGTCCATGTAGACCACACTATGCATCTGGGCAATTCAGATTCTGCACCCAGAAAAGCCGTTCTCTTCAGAATTGGGGTGAGCCAGACCCTTCCTTGACCGTGCCTTGTCCTTGTCCCCCCGTCCAGCCCGAGTACCTGGCCCTGGAGCAGCTGTGCCAGGAGTTTGCCTTTGAGCTGCTGGGAATGTGCCGCAACCAGAGCGAGGTGACGGCCGTCTTGAATGACGTGGCGGATTCCTCGAATGATGAGGAAGAGGAGGACCTCGATGACCAGGCCTTCGAGGAGGGCATCCCCAACTTGTCGAGGCTTCGCCTGGCTGTCAACTACAACCAGAAGCAGGTGGGCTTGTCAGAGGAGCATGGTCCGGGGGCAGATGGGAGCAGAAATAAATAAATTTATACCCCGCCTTTCCCGGTTCAGAAAACCGGGCTCAGGGCGGCTAACAACAGATTTAATTGATGCAACTTAATTGATGCAACAACAAAAAAGCATAAAATACAGTATAAAACGTGAATAATAAATTCAGAATTCAAAAATCAATTTAGGGGGAAAATCCATCCAATAAACATTAGATGATCACCAGGGCTAGCTGGCTAACTTAGTCCTATTTGGGCCAGCGAGGAGACCAGGGGAGAATTAGCTGTGGGATCTCAGAGCGGGTAATCTTCATAAAAAGGGAAGGAAGGGGAAGAAAAGATCAGGCTAAGTTCAAATTGAAAGCCAGGCAGAATAGCTCTGTCTTACTGGCCCTGAGGAAGGAGGTTAAATCCTGAAGGGCCCTGGTCTCATGGGAGAGAACATTACACCAGGTCGGAGCCATCACTGAGAAGGCCCTGGCCCTGGCAGAGGATAGTCTGGCTTCCTTAGGGCCCGAGACCTCTAAACTATGGTTATTCATGGACCTCAAGGTCCTCTGCGGGGCAAACCAGGAGAGGGCCCTAAGCCACAAAGTGCCGGATTTAAGGCAGTGTGGGCCGTTCTCCTGCACAGGGCGCCAAGCCTTTGCTTTGATCCAGGAGAGACCTTTCCACCTTATTTCCCCCCCAGTTTGTCGCCCACCCCATCTGCCAGCAAGTGCTGTCGTCCATCTGGTGCGGGAGCCTGCAGAGCTGGAGGGGCAGCACCAATCTCTGGAAGGTCTTCATCTCCAGCTCCATCTTCATGGGGATGCCTTTCCTGTGCCTCCTCTACTATGTGGCCCCCAGATCCAAGGTGGGTGGTTTGTGTCCAGGCATAACGCACCATCCTCTTCCCAGCCAACGTGGTCTTGGCCTCTTCAGCCTGTAGGCAGCTTGGGAGTCCTCCTTGTTGATCTCCTGGTGCCTACTGAATTCCGGGTATTTCTTCCAGCATGCTTTTTTTTTGCAGTCTGTATTGTTTAACCCCTGAAAGACTACTGTAGTTAATTGCTATTTATGCGGATTTCTTTTTTTAAAAACATATTTTTTATCAGTTTTTTAAATATCATTTTCAACAGTTATTAAACATACGGTACTTTTATATCTTATCCAATTCTTTTTTTACTTCCATCAATCACATCTGAAAATTTTCCAATCTTATCTCTTAATATACACTTCTTATTTTCACTATTACATTTAAATCTCGTAACTAATGTCTCTCTTCTTTCTCTTCTTTGCAATATTTCATATATTTCTCCTTACAAAACTTGTAGTCCTACTAGCGTAATTTGTTGATTACAGTTGCTCTTCAAATAGTTCGTATATTTCTTCCAATTTTCTGTGAACCTCTGGTCCTGCAGGTTTTGAATCCTTCCTGTCATTTTATCTAATTCTGCGTCGTCCATTAATTTCGTCTGCCATTCCTCTTTCGTCGGTATTTCTTCTGGCTTCCATTTCTGGGCTAACAATACTCTTGCCGCTGTTGTTGCATATAAAAACAATTTTACATCCTGTCTACCTGAAGGAGCGTCTCCACCCCCATCGTTCTGCCCGGACACTGAGGTCCAGCACCGAGGGACTTCTGGCGGTTCCCTCCCTCTGAGAAGCCAAGTTACAGGGAACCAGGCAGAGGACCTTCTCGGTAGTGGCGCCCGCCCTGTGGAACGCCCTCCCACCAGATGTCAAAGAGAACAACAACTACCAGACTTTTAGAATACATCTGAAGGCAGCCCTGTTTAGGGAAGCTTTTAATGTTTGATGTATCACAGTATTTTAATATTCTTTTGGAAGCCGCCCAGAGTGGCTGGGGAAACCCAGCCAGATGGGCAGGGTATAAATAATAAATTATTATTATTATTATTATTATTATTATTATTATTATTATTATCTATTAATATCCTCACCCTATAATGCCAAGTAAAAAATGCTTCTGGTTTTTTTAGAAATGCAGATTTCTTAATATTTTTGATGGAACGGAAATGGCCTTTGTGACATTATCCATGCCAGACTTGCACATCACCATAACTGGTTGGGGCTGATGGATGTTATAGTCCGAAACACCTGGAAGGCAGCGGGTTAAGGCAGGCTGATGTGTGTCTGTGGGCGCATGCCCTCTCCTAACATGCTGTGTGCCACTTCTCTCATCAGCCTGCCAAAATGCTGAAGATCCCCGTGATCAAGTTCCTTCTGCATTCAGCCTCGTATGTCTGGTTCCTGGTCTTCCTGCTGGCAGAGTCGCTGGTGCTGGAGTACAACAACGAGACCTTTTCGGGGCGGAACCAGGACTTCTGGGAGACTTCGCTGCACATGATATGGGTGGCAGGTCTGTGTGGCCCAGGTCAGACTGGCAGTGGCACTCCTCCTCGCGGCCCAAGATGTCCCCTGAACCCATGGCCTCTTCCCCCAAGGATGGGGAACCAGAGCCCTGGGCCATGGCAAGGACCAGCCAAGGTTGTCCCTCCTCCAGCTGTGGCCAGTGGTGGGTTTTGATCCCCTGTGCTTTCCTCCTCCAGGTTTCTTCTGGTTTGAGTGCAAAGAGGTTTGGATTGAGGGCTTCCGCAGCTACCTCTTGGACTGGTGGAACTTCCTGGACATCGTCATGCTCAGCATGTACTTGGCCTCCTTTGTCCTCAGGCTCCTGATATTCTTCCAGGGCCGTGTTTTCTGTCTGGATAACAAGGAGTCTGCAGAATGCCGTTACTACACAAAAGCGGGTGAGCGCCTCCCACAAGCTGGGGTCTCGTTCCTTCTTCTGTGTTGCGATTCCGTGAGCTCTGGCTTCCGTCCGGGGTCCCATTGCATCAGCAGCGGTTTAGTCATCTTCGCTAATCTTCTCTACTCTAGAGAAGATTGGGAAACGTTTATTGAATATATGGGGAATAATGGCATACAGCTGAAAACACTGGCAGCATTAAGATAAATTCAGCAGTGTAAATCAGTTTTGATGGGTGCAATAATGGAATACTGAATGGTATAGTTTTTGTAAATTATGCAGGGATTTGTGATATGTAAAATGAACCATGGAAAGAGAAGAAGTCAAGTCATTGATATCTTAAGGATGTAAAAATGAGTTCTTTAAATTGTAAAGCAGAAAGTTTAATAAAAATTATATACACGAAGAAGAAGAAGAAGAAGAAGAAGAAGAAGAAGAAGAAGAAGAAGAAGAAGCAGAGGTTTAGTCCTGCTGGCTACGTGACCTGGAAAGCTGTCTGTGGACAAACGCCGGCTCTCTCGGCCTGAAAGCAAGATGAGTGCCACAACCCCATAGTCGCCTTTGACTGGACTTAGCCATCCAGGGGTCCTTTACCTTTTGACCGTTTACTGCCTCCATTGGTGCACCTGTTTGAACACAGAGGAAGTAAAATTCACATTTCCCTTTGACATTAGATTGCCTGAGATCATGTGAGTTTCAATTAACCACAATGGCTATGTTTCACTTCCACTGTGTGAAGTCCCAGGGCTTGGAGACTCAGGGGGTTCCTGCTACTGAGCTTCCCTTTGGGGAATCAGATTGGCCACTGTCAGAACAGGATGCTGGACTAGATGGGACTTTGGCCTGATCCCACAGCCAGTTTCTTCTAAGATTCCTCAGATTCTTCATTCTCTTTGCATCTTAAATTCAGTTCTTGCTTATCACAAATGTGAGAGACGTGAAATTCCAGCCATTTTTAAAATTATTCATTAATTTAGAGAAATCCTGGCTCCAAACCGAGCCCCTAGCAATATTTGCATCCAAGAGAGATAAGCAAATGCACACCTGCACATTGTTGAAATAATATTGCCATGCAACTGGGAAAGATTTGTTTGTTTTTCCTTTGGGAGAGGGTGATACAAACTGGGAATTGCTGTCACATGATTAAACACAATCCAGGTCCCCACTGCCTTTGCCCAGCCTTGCCCACCCTGCTGCCCTCCAGACATTTTGAACTGCATCTCCCATCAGCCCAAGCAAAATATGGACACTCTGGCAGGGGCTGATGGGAGTCAGGGAAGGCAGCCTTTAGAACAGGGGTCCCCAAACTAAGGCCCGCGGGCTGGATAACGCCCGAGGGACTCGTTTATCCAGCCTGTGGTGACCCCTGCCACCCGCTGCCGCCGCCCACTCTTACCGGCTCCTCACTGTGCGACTGCCCACTTCTGGGCTGGAGGAGCACCGGAAATAGCTTGTGCTCATGCGCAAGTGTTATTTGCGCATGCACAAGTGTTATTTGCACATGCGCAAGCGTTATTTCCGGTGCACATCTGGGTCGGAGGAGGCCTGTGCGCATGCACACAAGCTCTTTCCGGTGCTCCTCCGACCTGGAAGTGCACCGGAAACAGCATGTGCGCACGCGTATGGGCACGCGCTCCCCTGCCCTCTGGCCCGCTGCATGATCGGCACTGAAGACACCGGCCTGAGGTGCGTTAAGTTTGCTGACCCCTGCTTTAGAAGGTAAAGGAAAAGGCTTCAGACATTGGTACAGCAACGTACAAGGAAGGGCTGTGACCGATGGAGACAAGGGAGCAGGGAAGCTGACTTGCAAAAGGTGTGCGCCACCTGACACAGATGTCACCTGGCACTCATCCTCCCTCCCTTTTGTGACCCAGACCGTCAGGAGTGGCACACCGAAGACCCCCAGTTCATGGCCGAGGTGCTCTTTGCAGTGACCAGCATGCTGAGCTTCACCCGTATGGCTTACATCTTGCCCGCCCACGAAACTTTGGGGACCCTGCAGATCTCCATTGGCAAGATGATCGATGACATGATCAGGTGTGTGTGTGGGATGCTGCCCTAGCCTCTTGGCTTTGTTTTGCTGGTTTTAATGTTGTATTTGTGAAGAAATCAAATTGAGAACAATAATAGCTGTTATAGGAAAAACTCTGCTCCTTTTCCCTTATGGGGTATCCAAGAGCCCGTTGTAGTTGTTGTTTAGTCGTTTAGTGGTTTCCGACTCTTCGTGACCCCCTGGACCAGAGCGCGCCAGGCACTCCTGTCTTCCACTGCCTCCCGCAGTTTGGTCAAACTCATGCTGGAATCTTCGAGAACACTGTCCAACCATCTTGTCCTCTGTCGTCCCCTTCTCCTCTTTCCCAGCATCAGGGTCTTTTCTAGGGAGTCTTCTCTTCTCATGGGGTGGCCAAAGTATTGCAGCCGCACCTTCAGGATCTGTCCTTCCAGTGAGCACTCAGGGCTGATTTCCTTAAGAATGGAGAGGTTTGATCTTCTTACAGTCCATGGGACTCTCAAGAGTCTCCTCCAGCATCATAATTCAAAAGCATCCATTCTTCAGCAATCAGCCTTCTTTATGGTCCAACTCTCACTTCCATACATCACTACTGGGAAAACCATAGCTTTAACTATACAGACCTTTGTTGGCAAGGTGATGTCTCTGCTTTTTAGGGTGCTGTCTAGATTTGTCATTGCTTTTCTCCCAAGAAATTTCATGACTGCTGTCACCATCTGCAGTGATCCCAAGAGCCCGTATAGAATCCTTAAGTACGTTCCCTGTTGTTAGGAGAAAATAACAGAGGCCAACCATAGTATATTGAGAAGCAAAGCGGCTAGTGAGCCTGATCTTTATTAGCTGTTGCAACGGGGTCCCCACTCACCACACGCAGGAGGGAGGAGGAACCCAGAACAATGGTGCGCAAGTCCTTATATAGACTTTTGAAACTGCCCACCCTGTTGCTCAAGACCACTCCGAAAAACATCATACATACATCACAGGAGGAGGGTCTACAGCAGAAATACATCGCAGAAGGAGGCGGTCTGCAGCAGAAATCCTGTCTGCCAGAGAATGTTAGAAAAAGGTTGGAAAAGAATATTAGGCCGCATTGGCAGACATGGTATAATGGAATAAGTAAAAATGAAGTGTAAAATGAGGATAGAGGAGGATTTAATATTTTCGAATGTTAAAATAAGTAAAAGAAAAGAAGGTTAGAAGGATTTGCTGGAGATACGATCTAAACTAGAATACAAAGCAGGGAGGTGAGAGGAAGTCATGGAAATAAGTAAAAGGGAAAAAGGTTGTAAAGGTCTAATTTGATTATTGTTATTTTTTACTGTGATGCATGTTTATTCTTTGTTGAGTTTTTTTTCTTTTCTCTTTTTTATTGTCTGTTTTTTGTAACATGTGTATGGTTTGTTTTTTCTTCTTTTTTTGTAACTTTAAAATTGGAATAAATATTCTTAAAAAAAAAAAAAAGAAATCCTGTCTGCCAGGATACCTGATAACGGTCACTGAATGGCTTTACCTGGGGAGCCTGGCCATTCTTTTGTGATGGTAAATACTTCAGGTCATAGGCTCACCCTATTCATGCACAAATACACAGCCTTAAGACAGGATTTTTAAGCAAAAAGACAAAGGGAAGGCTTTCCCCATTTCCTCCCTCCTTTGGGGGAGTCAAAATGGTTTCAGGATTGTTCTCCGGTACTATTTCAGACACATGGTTTATATACTTATGCATGGGTTTGCCTTGTACATTTATGAATGTTTCTTTTATATTTGGGACCTTCGAATTCTTATAACAGGTGACCTGCTTTTCTTTAGCTTTTTGGCTTCGTTCTGCTTCTCCTCCCCTCCAGGTTCATGTTCATCATGGTGATCATCTTGACGGCCTTCCTGTGTGGGATGAACAACGTCTACGTCCACTACCAAGAATCTGAAAAGCTGGGGAGGTACGGCAGCTGGCTTGGAGGCGTCCGGGGTGGCCAAAAAGGATGAGATTGGACAGCTAGGAGATTGTCCAGGGTGCTGGGCCAAAGTCCAGTGTTTTGACCTCCTTGCCAAGCAGGTTCCGAACCTGGCCAGTACTCAAAAGGGGAGACCACCCAGGAACCCTATGTATGTAGGGCCCCCACAAAGATAGGAGCCAAACCCATTGCTCCACCCACTTTGCCTCCAGCTCTGCCCACCACGGGAATGCAGCCCCTGAGAAGGATCCCCACAAGGGAAAGAAGCTCTTGATCTGAAGATGGTTACCTAGACCTGATCTTGGCTCTCAGACTCTTTGCGACTATAGCAGGAAGCAGTAGTCAGGTGGCAGCTCTTTGGCTGCCTCAGGAGGGTCCAAGATCCCCATTTATTGTTATTTACATAATTTATATTCCACAAAAGTACAGAAATCAGCTTACACAAAATCAGCATAGTATAAAAATTAAGGCTGAATGCAATCCAGCTGTTTTGGGTCTCAGGAGAAAACCCAAAATCCAGTGTCACCACCTGCTCAAATGGCAAAACCAGTGAGTTGCCTGAGGGCGCCCCCAGACTGTCAGCATTTCACGAGAGGGATTCAAGCGTGTGCTGGAACTTCAGGTGCGCACAATTAGAATGAATTGAGGGGCTCTGTTGTCCACTTAAAAAAGAAAGAAAGTGGCTTTTTACAGATTGGAAAGTGGCAGGGAAATAATGGAATTATAGAATCTTAGAGCTGGAAGGGACACAAGGGTCATCTAGTCCAAACCCTGCAGTGCAGGTGTCTCAGCGAAAGCAGTAGCTTTAAATGCAGTAGCAGGAAGACCAGGGCCGGATGTAGGTTTGATGAGGCCCTAAGCTACTGGAGGTAATGGGGCCCTTTCTATGTCCAGCTGTCCTTTGTCAACAACAAATTGTTGCTGTTTTTTGTGTTGAATATATGCTATATGGTAGTTTATGAACCCAGTAGGTATCTAAAGCCACTTGCACATAACAAAATATGTATTTTATCCAAGTAATTGTTGAACTGAAAACCAATTAAGAAGAAGTATATTAATAGTGAAATAATTATTAAGCTCTAACTTAAAATGATTTTTTTATTCATAACAAACTTAATAATGCAAACACGTTGGCATTTGGAAATAACAAAAGTTCCTTTAGAAACACAATTTACAGACACTCATAATCTAGTCTCTAAAAACCAGTCTCTATGCAACCAGTCCATGCAGAATGTAGGCACCCTATATATAGAAAGGAGCAAACCAGTGATATTTTAGGGAGCAGGCTAGCAGGCGGGGCCCATGACTTACATCACAGGAGCCTACACAACACAAAACACTGTTGCTGTATGTAGGTTTTATTTTATTTGTTTTTTATCTTATATTTTGCAAATGCACATCCAGTTTTTTCCCTTTAAATTTTTTTTGGGGCCCCCAAGAAAGTGGGGCCCTAAGCTAGAGCTTGTTTAGCTTATACATAAATCCAGCACTGAGGAAGATGTGTAAATACCCCACATGTATCAGGATGCTCTTTGTCCTATAACTGCCCCACAAGCAAATCAAAATGAAAGGTCGATGAAGACTGGATATAGTAATCTAAACTCTGCATAAGCTTTGTGCAAGCAGATCAGGATGAATGTTGAAATAAACACTGAACGAGAATGTCCCCTGGAGGAAGCCTGGTGGGAGAGGGTACCCTGACCCGAAACCCCCAGCTGTTTCAGCTTGCTATCCGTTCTCCCATGCAGCTTCAACGAGACATTCCAGTTCCTCTTCTGGACCATGCTTGGGATGGAGAAACACGATGTGGTGGACATGCCCAATTTCTTCGTAGCTCAGCTGGTGGGGAGGGTGCTGTATGGGGTCTTCACTATCGTCATGGTGGTTGTCCTCCTCAACATGCTCATTGCCATGATTACAAGGTCCTTCCAGAAAATCGAGGTGAGTGCTGAACCAGGAGGCAAGTAAGAGGGACCCACCTTATCCTTTGCATGGCATCTTACGTCTACTGGAATTGGACCGGGGTTTGGGAAGTGTGGAACAGAGAGATGGATCTCCAGATCCAGATCCATACTCTACATCAGCAGTTCTCAACCTGTGGGTCCCCAGATGTTGGACTACAACTCCCATCAACCCTGAGCTCTGGCCTTGCTACATCTGGGGACCCACAGGTTGAGAAAGGCTGCTCTACCTTCTCCAGGGACTTGCAGCTAGAGATGGGAGGAGGCAGCAACTTCCGTCTTGCGCTGGGTTCATCACATCTTAGGGCTGTTTCCATTCCACTACAATTCAGCTTCCTCTTGCTGTCTGCTGTGGCCTGTACTTAGGTAATTAATTCCAAGTGGAAAGGAAGCATCAAAAACAATACAGTAGATCAGGCATAGGCAAACTTGGCCCTCCAGATGTTTTGGGGACTACAACTCCCATCATCCCTGACCACTGGTCCTGTTAGCTAGGGATGATGGGAGTTGTAGTCCCAAAACATCTGGAGGGCTGAGTTTGCCTATGCCTGCTGTAGATAGACTGGAAGGGGAAAAAGAGCAAATGTCCACTTGTGTTTCCTTGTGTGGTGGTTTCCATTCCATTGTGTGGGGTTTCCACTCCAATTTGCATTTTCAACGGGCTCCTCTGACACATCCCTACTTGTAGCCAAGAGAGGCACCTCAGTGCACCGTATCCACCATGTTTCTGGGTGGTGCACAATGGCTCTCAATTGCTATTGGTCAGATTCACTGGGGCCTCCCCCTTGCACTGCTGATCTCCAGACAATGCTGCTACTCCCGGGAGACGCAGCTGCTGTTGGTCTTTGCTGTCCATTCCGTGTTTCTGGATTGCAAAATGGTACAGCAATTGAGAGTCGCAGGCTCAGTCTCCAACTAGGGCTAGGCAAGACACGCACCCACCACACCCCCTCTGGAGAGTTGCTGCCAGTCATTAAGCTAGCTCAGGGTTTCCCAGATTTGGGTTTCCAGCTGTTTTGGACTACTGTTCACATCTGGTCCCGCTAGCTAGGGATGATGTGAGTTGTAGTCCCCAAACAGCTGGAGACCCAAGTTTGGGAAACCCTGAGTTGAAGGACTCAAAGGACTGGCTCAGAATGAAGTAGCTCCTTGCATTCCTGTGGCTTAAGGGAAGACCCACAGCTCAGAGGTAGCACACCTGCTTGCGTGAAAAAGGTTCCGTCTCCAATGGCAGCTGCAGGCAGGGCTAGTAATGCCCCCCCATCTGAAACCCCGGAGAGCCATTGCCTAGCACTGTTAAGAATCCTGAGAGAGATGGACCAATTGTCTGACAACTTTCCTGTGTTCCTATGTAAGCCTGCAGGCAAGGACTGGGAGTTTGTTTTTCTTTTCTTAATGATCTTTTTGGACCGAAGAGCACAGCAAAGATGCTCTAGATAAATAATAATAATAATAATAATAATAATAATAAATTTTTATTTATACCCCACCTTCCCCAGCCAAGATCGGGCTCAGGGCAGCTAACACCAGGTATAAAAACAATTGATTAAAATACAACTTAAAAACAAAATTAAGTACAACATTAAAATGCAGCCTCATTTCAATCAAAAACTTTTTTGGGGATGAAAACGTAAAATCTTCACCAAGGCCAACTATCCAGACTGGTCCTACGTGGGCCAGAAAAAAGCCAGGGAAGTCCCCAAATAGGAGTTCCATCACAGAAGGAGAAAGGAAAAAGGAAAGAGGGGGAGGGGATCAAGTTGATTCCAAGCCAAAGGCCAGGCGGAACAACTCTGTCTTACAGGCCCTGTGGAAAGAAATCAGATCCTGCAGGGCCCTGGTCTCATGAGACAGAGCGTTCCACCAAGTTGGGGCCAGTGCTGAAAAGGCCCTGGCTCTGGTTGAGGCTAATCTGACTTCCTTAGGGCCCGGGACCACTAGGGTGTTGCTATATATGGACCTTAAGGTCCTCCGCGGGGCATACCACCCCTCGTATTTACCGGAGTCTTCCTTGCCACCTCTTCTCTCCTGTGCTCTTCAGAACGATGCCGACGTGGAGTGGAAGTTTGCCCGCTCCAAGCTCTACTTGTCTTTCTTCAGAGAAGGCTTGACGCTGCCAGTGCCCTTCAACATCATCCCGTCACCAAAGTCCATCTTCTACGCCGTCAGGTAATTTGTCAGGCTGCTCCTGAGACCCTTGAGGTGGGGAGACTCTGATAGTTCTGGGTTAAACTTAGCCCTCGGCAGCAGACGACTGGCTTACTTTATGGACTGGCACGTTCTATACATGCCCCCTCTCTGCAGAACTGTTGATGCTTTTACATTTTTACAATGTTCCTTCTGCATTTGCCAGGAACCAGTCCTTGAATTTGACAGCCCATAATAGCAGGGCACCATCATTGTATTATTTTTGGAACCCACCCAAACTTTTTATTATTATTATTAAAAAAGGTAAAGGGACCCCTGACAGTTAAGTCCAATCACAAACGACTCTGGGGTTGCGGCGCTCATCTCGCTTTGCTGGCCGAGGGAGCCGATGTTTGTCCACAGACAGTTTTTCCGGGTCATGTGGCCAGCATGACTAAGCCACTTCTGGCGAACCAGAGCAGCGCACGGAAACGCTGTTTACCTTCCCGCCGGAGCGGTACCTATTTATCTACTTGCACTTTGATGTGCTTTCAAACTGCTAGGTTGGCAGGAGCAGGGACCGAGCGACGGGAGCTCACCCTGTTGCGGGGATTCGAACTGCTGACCTTCCGATCAGCAAGCCCAAGAGGCTCAGTGGTTTAGTTATGTTATTTAAAAATGAACTTTTATTGTGTGTAAATGTTTTAAGATTGCTGACTTTATTTCTGTTTACATGTTAAATTTGTTTCTAATCCATGCTTCAAAATATTATTAAGCAATACTTGAGGGCTTATCCACACTTCCTCTTGTTCCTGCTGCTTTCCCCTGGGGGAAAGACGCTGCTTAGTGCTCAATCGGAGCAAGCAGCAATTTAGTCCCCAGATTGCCATTGGTTCCAATCTATCGCTAAGCAGGTGCATGTTTTCCCTTGGAAAGGAGAGGAGGAAGGGGGAAAGTGCTCAGACCTCTGCCTAGAAGGTGCAGATGAAGTAGAAAACCACTCAGACTTGCATAACCCCCAACATTTCTCCAATGAAAATAGGGACATCCTATTCAACAACAACAACAACAACATTTATACCTTGCCCATCTGACTGGGTTGCCCCAGCTGCTCTGTGGGGCTTCCAACTTATATAAAAACATCATTAAACATTAAACGTAAATAATTTCCCTATACAGGGCTGCCTTCAGGTGTCTTCTAAAGGTTGCATAGTTACTGATCTCCTTGGCTCAAGGTGGTGTGTCTGGGGCCGAGTCAGGATGGCCATCCATCAACAGATAGAGTTGGGTGTCATCGGCATACTGATGGCAACCCAGCCCAAAACTCCGGACAAGCTGGGCGAGGGGCGATAAAGATGTTAAAAGCATCGGGAGAGTATCGCACCCTGAGGCACTCCACACACCAAGGAGTGGCGGGATGACAATTCCCCCCCAAGCGCCACCCTCTGTCCCCGACCGGAGAGAAACGAGCGCAGCCATTGAAGGACTGTGCCCTGGATCCCCACGTCGGCAAGGCGGTGGTCCAGGAGTTCATGATCAACCATGTCGAAGGCTGCTGACAGATCTAGAAGAATCAGCAGCCCCGACCCGCCTCGATCCAGCTGCCTACGGAGATCATCTGTTAGGGCGACCAGAGCCGTCTCGGTCCCATGACCAGCGCGGAAGCCAGACTGGAATGGATCTAGAGCCGATGTTTCATCCAGAAACCTACCAAGCTGTTCAGCAACCGCTCTCTCAATCACCTCACATGACTCCATACACTCCAACATTTCTCCAATGAAAATCGGGACGTCCTAAGGAAAAGTGGGACATCCCAAAATCAGGTCAGAAACCAGGACCGCTTCTGTAAATCCACGACTGTCCTTAGAAAATAGGGACACTTGCTTTCTAGGCAAAATAGAAGCAGACGTTTGTCCTTTGCAAAACACTGAAGAGGTTTTTTTGTCAAGTAATCAGCATGTAAATTTTGTTAATTTAGTAGTAATAATAATAATAATAAACATTACAGTCCGCCTTGTTCACAGGCCTCTCGGCTCACCTCTTTCTTCCCCCTTCTTCTCCCAGGGGCCTCTTCCGCTTCCTGTGCTGTTACAAACCAAAGCGCCAGCAGAAATACCCCCCCATCTCAACCATTGTAAGTTCCCTTTGGGGCTGTTTCAAGGGAGTGTTCCTTGCACCCACGACTCTGCTTGCAGTGGGCTGTCGTGCTCTCTTCCTCAGCCTTTGGATTTGTGCTGGGAGCGGGGAGGGAGAAGACCATCTAGGTAGCACATTAGAAGTGCTTTTGGCAGGGCAGCCGCAGCTGCCTGCGAGGAGAAGAAGAAGAAGAAGAGTTTGGATTTGATATCCCGCTTTATCACTACCCGAAGGAGTCTCAAAGCGGCTAACATTCTCCTTTCCCTTCCTCCCGCACAACAAACACTCTGTGAGGTGAGTGGGGCTGAGAGACTTCAAAGAAGTGTGACTGGCCCAAGGTCACCCAGCAGCTGCATGTGGAGGAGCGGGGAAGCAAACCCGGTTCCCCAGATTACGAGACTACCGCTCTTAACCACTACACCACACTGGCTCTCGAGGAGGGACAGAGGGAGGGGGAGGCAGTGGGGAGGCTGGTGCTGGGAACCTGCGGCTTCGGTTTCAGTGCCCCTTGTGCTCCATTCGGTGACATTTATGAAAGAAAGTTGCATCAATTAAAAAATAGTTTATAGGCCAAGTTGCTTCCGTGCTGTACAAAAAAGCCTGCGCGCTCCTGGTGCCATAATGTCCTGTCGTCTTCTGCTTTTCAAATAATCGCACAAAACAAATGAAAATCCCTGAAACAATAAGTAATCAACTAGAAATATTATCTTATGGAAATAAACTAAATAATAAAAATCATAAAGTTTAAGGAAACAATTAGAAAAACCTAAAACTGAACAAAGCTTTAACGGGATGCCGGCTACAAACATCCTTTCCCTGAACAATTCAGTTTCCTCAGAAGGAAATAGAAAAATCATAAACCTTAAATGACCAAAATTCAAAAAAGGGGGTAGAACTCCCAAAAATTCTGAAGTATTATAATCTTAGCTCGACCTAGGTGAAGCAAAGCGCAGTAATAAAGGATCTGTTTGCATCTGTTTGCTTTTCAACTAATTATTTTGGAGGCATGCCTCTTTGGGCACGCTGAAGCATGTGCAGAGTGCTTTGCAGCCACAACCGCCTGCCTGCTAGCTTCCAGATGCATGCCTCCCCCCAGGGCCCTTCTGGGAGGCGTGACCCCCTCCTGTCATGTTTCATTTGGGAACCCTGTCACTCCCTGACTCTGCCCTTCTGCCCCCCAGTCTAACCCCTCCACGGATGAGGGCGGCCAGCGTATGGAGGGCCGCGCTGCCTACCGGCACCAAGTGCTAAAGGCGCTAGTGCAGCGCTACATCGACACGGCCCGGCGGGAGTTTGAGGAGAGCCGCAGGAAAGGTAAGCAGTGTTGCCTCGGAAGGGGGATCCCGATGGGGTGTCATGTGCAGAAGGGCTTGCCCACCACCCTCCCTGCCAGACGTCTGCAACTGGGTGTTAGGTTTCTGTTTTGCCACTGTGCAGTGCTTTGGAGTCACAAGACTCTGTTTACATTCCAGAGAGACTGTTGGAAGTCTCACGGGAGACGGATGTTGATATTACTGGTTTCCTGTTTCTTTGTACCAGTTGCCTCTCTGCTTTCACAGAGAGATGATGTATATTCTTTTCTGTCTGGGTAGTTAGAAATAAAATTCAGGTTATTCAGGTTTAGAACTTTTTTTCAGGATGAGAACAGAAATCGGGCTCTGGTGGCGCAGCGGCAGCAGGAGGCCCCATTAGCTAAAGTGGTGCTTCAGGTTAAGAACAGTTTCAGGTTAAGTACGGACCTCCAGAACGAATTAAGTACCACTGTACTTCGTATTATATAAAGCAGCCATCTAAGCTGCAGTCAGTCTGATTCCAGGAGCTGCTGCAATAGAGAGCTGTGAATCCAACAGAGCTGTGTCCTTCGTCCCTCTTTCCCACTATTCAACACCTGTTTTCTGCAGAAGCTGCATTCTTGGGCAACAGTTTCTCATGCATTCATCCTGAGAAAGCTGAATGTTTATGATTCTTCCCTCGGACCTTGTGGGGGGCCGGACTATATTTTGAACAAAATATATAAATGAATTCTTATGCCCCACAAATAACCCAGAGATTTTAAATAAAAGGACACATTCTACTCACGTAAAACCACGCTGATTCCTGAACCATCCACGGGGCAGATTGAGAAGACAATTGGGCTGGATCCGGCCCCTGGGCCTTAGTTTGCCTACCCATGCTTTACAGTGTTTCTGTAGATACAGCCTAAACGGTTCCCAGTCTTAAAAAAAATTCTCTCTATTGTCATTGTCCGCAGATCTGGGGAACCGCTTGACAGAGCTGAACAAGTCCGTGGTGCGCCTCCACTCAGAGATGAAACATCTGCGCCACACCGTGGCCACCAACGGAACAGCGGCCAACCCCTTGGACGGGGCCAGCGTCCTTCACAAGTACATCATGAAGGTGCGCAGCAGCTTCCAGGGCTACGACAACGATACAGGCAGCTCTGGGCAGGGGTCCCCTGTGGAAGCTGTTGTGCACCAGGATGGGGCCGTTGCCGAAGAGGACGCGCAGTTGCCTCAGGAACCCTCTGAGGGACAAAAGGCGGAAGCTGAGGAAGGGCCGCCCCAGGTGGAAGCTGAGGAGAGACAGCCTGGGGAGGAGGCTCAGGAGAGGCCGCTGGAGGTGGAAGCTGAGGAGAGGCCACCCCAGGTGGAGCTGAGGGTGCCAGAGGTGGTGATAGATCTGGCACCAGAAGAGAACCCTGTAGGAGAGCCAGATACCTGAGCCGCCTTTCCTCCAAAGAGGAGCGATCTGTTTCATTCTCAGCTGGGATCCGCTGTAGAGCTCAGGGTGGCGTTTCCTTAGCAGCCTAGGGGGAAGTCATGCTTGTAGAGTCTGCCCCATTTCTGACATGTACAAGGTGCACACACAGGAAAACACAGTGTCCTTTCTTAAGCCAACATCCTTTGCCAAGCGAGAGATAGTGTGTAATTCATCCAGCTGGCACAAGGGCTCTTTATTGAGAGGAATGGAAAGGCAGCGAAGAGTTACTTAATACAGGCAAATGATTCTTAGAGCTGGGCTCCTGCTATTGGCAGTTGACCAAGCCTTCAATCCACGTTGATTTCTGTTGTGCTTTGGGGGTGGAGCTTGGGTGGCAGAACAGGTGGCACTGCAAGAAACAGTTTGACTTTGCCATGCCACAAGCCAGCAGAATCACTGGGGCCAGAAGTTCCCCAAACAGTCACCAAATATTTTTTGGGGGGGAGAGAGCAGCCACCCCCCCAAATTGCTCTACAATAACTTCAACTTTGTGCACGGATTATACAGTGTGTGTGCCTTCAGCTTTCTTACATTAAATTTGTTAATCAAGTAAATGGATGTTGTTAACTAAACTTAATAAATCTTTTATGGGTAATGAGTACTCCTGTGGTCCGGTGATTCTTAGCCAATATGTTGGGAAAGTTGGGCCAAGCTACACGGCACAGATGATTTTATAGGGCTGGGTCAAAATGGGGGGCTCCGTTTCCTGAATGCTGATCCCACCCCTCCAGCAAGATTTCCCGGGTCACATAAACATGGGCAGGATCACTGTTCCTTTAGAGGAGAGACAAATGCCTCTCCTGTCATGTCTCAGTTGATTTCCCAGGCTCTGAGAGCTTTTCTCATTGCCTTGCGAATGTTCGACCTTGCCTGCTGAATCGGATCTTATCAGATGAGCAAAGGATGCAAAGAGAGATTTTGATAACTGAGCTTCAGTTCAGTGGGTAAGATTGGATTTTCGCAAGGCAACAGCAAGAAAAGCCTTTTGGACCTGGGGGAATTAATTGGGGCGCAAGACCATTAAAATAGGGGTGAAGAGAAAGTGTGGGTGATCCCTTTCGGCGGCGAGCCAACTATTCCCAGGATGTGTTGACGCCAAGTTCCAGCGTGTCAAATTCCTGCCCAGTGACTTCTCACTGGAGTCTCCCTTCAACATTCTTCCTGGGTCAGGGCAGCTTCATTGTCCTGGGAAAGCCTCCCTCAAGCTGGCTGGGGCTGGTGGAAGTCGTAGTCCTAAATATCTGGAGGGTACCAGCTTGGCTAAGGTTGTGCGTTACGGGGTGCAAGATTCCCCCAGGAGATGGTTCTTCGTTAAAACAATTTTTGTTAAAGATTTTCTTGGTTTACAAAAATACGTGCATTGTCTCTTTTTTTCAGGCTGTGTTTTCTACAGATCAGCTGCATTTGTTGTGGGGTGTTAGTGTTAAGGTTGGGGAAGCAAAGAAGGGATGGCGAGAGGTGGTTGGCGTGGTGAAACCTATATTCTTTTAGCTGGTTAACGTGTGGGGTTTTGTGTGAGCACCACTTCCCAGGAGATTCTGAGGCTTACCTGGTGCCCTCTGTCTTGTGACAGTTCATCACATCACCTGCTTTTAATTTATTTATCTGAAAATTTGCAATCCGCTCTTTCATTAAAAAAAAAGAGGTGGCTAAGCAGACAAAATACAACAAAACGTACTGGTAATTTAAAACACTGGTAAATTCTGATTGGTTTAAAGAAAAATTCATACGGTGAAGGCCTGTACAGTTTTCAGAAGGCATTTGAAGAAAGACAAGGATGTTTCTTGCTGAAGGTCTATTGGCAGGGAGTTCCACAGGACACAGCCTGCCATGTTAAAGGTTTGGTCCCTGGTGGAGGCCAAGTGAACCTCACGGGCTGCATGGGGAACCACCAGAAGCCCCCCGTCAGAGGATCTCAGTGATCAAGGATCTGCTGAGCTCCCTAGTTTGCCTGCCAGCCTCTAGCTCTTGTGTAATTAGGGGGTTGGCAGCCCTGGACCTCCAGACACACTGCCCAGGTTTGTGCCCCAGAGGGGTCATCTTGGCCTCTGGTATGAGTGCTGCGCGTTGCCTTTGTTGGTGGGAGAGATCATCCTGTCTCACTGGTCAGTTACCCTTAAGTCGGGCAGCTCCCGGTCAACCCACAACAGTGACTGGAGGAGGAATGACCTCTGGGGGAAGTGCAGAGAGGAGAAACCCCCTGCCGCATCTGCAGCAGCACAGTCAGACACCTCCATCTGCCCCAGCTGCAACAAAACATCTCTCTCCCCTATCGGTTTCTACAGCCACAGCAGACGCTGCAACTCTTCAGCAATTTGACTTCACCTGCAAGGCGCACTCCTCCATTGTCTCCCGAGACAGACGGAAGCCAACCAACTGGTTGATCCAGGACTTTCTCTCAACATGTTGACCCAGAAGGAGTCCCTGCCCTGTAGCGGAAGTGGGTGGCGCTGTGGTCTAAACCACTGAGCCTCTTGAGCTTGCTGATCGGAAGGTTGGTGGTTCGAATCTCCGTTGCTCTGTTCCAGCTCCTGCAAACCTAGCAGTTTGAAAGCACATCAAAGTGCAAGTAGATAAATAGGTACCACTCCAGCGGGAAATGGTGTTTCCGTGCGCTCTGGCTTCTGCCACAGTGTCCTGTTGCACCAGTAGCGGTTTAGTCCTGCTGGCCGCATGACCCGGAAAGCTGTCTGTGGACAAATGCCGACTCCCTCAGCCTGAAAGTGAGATGAGCACTGCAACCCCATATTCACCTTTCACTGGACTTAACCATCCAGTGGTCCTTTACCTTTACCTTTTACCCTGCCCTGTATTCGAGAGGGATGCCTGACTATATTATTTACCCTTGGTATTCAGCTCTGTTTTACTCAGGGTAGACCCCCAAAAATTAATGAAGTCCAATTAATTTGCTCTGAGTAAAACGCTGTTGATTCTGCCAGGGATCCTTGAGCTAAGATTCCTGCATTGCCAGGGGCTGGACTAGATGACCCTCAGTGTCCCCCCGCCCATGTTACAGTTCTATGAATACCACCCAATGTACTCAATGCGAGCAAAATTGTTGGAGGGCTCTTGAATATTAATAGCTCAAGGGTGAGCAGCGCTGGCGGGGATTTCCAGTGGGTTCTATAAAAAGCCCCTTTGCCACCTGTCACGTCCAGAGAACGGCGTCCCACAGCTGAGAGGAACCACCCAGGAGCAAGAAGCGGCTGCAGAGAGGGAACAGGGCCACAGATAAGTCTGACCATTTTATTTTCTGATGGTGAGAGAGAAAGAAGTCAAGGGATTGCTGCTTCTTTGAACCCAGTGTAAGAACAATTTCTTGCTCTTGGAAGCCGAGCTTCCGGCCTTGCAGCGGGTTGGGCTAGATGCCCTTGGGGTTCCTTCCAACTCTATAATTCTATGATTCATCCCTGCCCTGAACTCCGTAAAACTGGGTGGATGACGCTGCAGGTTATTTCAGATGAGCTGTTTACTGAGCCTTCATCCTGATACGTCTGCCCAATGCTCACATGGAAGTTAGATTATATCCAGATTTATTGATTTCTTACAGAGCATTTGTTCTGATTTCTTGGCAAGGCAGTTATAACGACCATGAGCATTCACTCTGCATTCATCTTGGGTTGCTTGCAGAATGTCTACCTGCCTTCTGGCGTGCCATTTGTTCATCTCAGTACATTTCCCCCATTGCTTTCCAAAGTGCAAAAAAAAAGAGAAGTGGATTTGTTGTTTTTCTGGTATGCACTTGAATCCCTCCTGCAGAATACTGAGCCCCGAGGCACCTCAGTCGAGAGCTGCAATTCTCTGCTTCTGAATTGTTTCCCTGCACACTTCTATTTGCATATGCTGTGGGTTAAACCACAGAGCCTAGGACTTGCTGATCAGAAGGCTGGCGGTTCGAATCCCTGCGACGGGGTGAGCTCCCGTTGCTCGGTCCCTGCTCCTGCCAACCAAGCAGTTCAAAAGCACGTCAAAGTGCAAGTAGATAAAGAGGTACCGCTCCGGCGGGAAGGTAAATGGCGTTTCTGTGTGCTGCTCTGGTTCGCCAGAAGCGGCTTAGTCATGCTGGCTACATGGCCCGGAAGCTGTACGCCGGCTCCCTCGGCCAATAAAGCGAGATGAGCGCCGCAACCCCAGAGTCGGTCACGACTGGACCTAATGGTCAGGGGTCCCTTTACCTTTATTACAGAATAGAAATTCTAACCAATGACCCTGCTCTTTGGCGGCATCATGGGGGCAAAATCTCTGAAGCCTTTCCTACCTAACTGCTTATACTGGGAGCAGATTGAGCAGCCTAGAATCACAGAGTTGCAGAGTTGGAAGGGATATCAAGGGTCATCTAGTCCGGCCCCCTGCAAGGCAGGAATCACAGCTCAAGGATCCCTGACAGGTGGCAATCCTTAAAAAACACTTTTTTGGAGTCTGCTCCCAAAATGAACAGCACTTGGGATTCAGCCACACTTCTGTATTTCTTAGGCACGGATCTGAGAGGTTTCACTTTTGATCTGCCACTTTCACTGGGAAAATCTGCTGTTTACCACGGAATCGGAACAAATGTCAAACTGCAGAAAGCCCAGCTGACCTTTGTTATGATTCAGAAGGAAACAGTAGGTTTTCCTGGGGAAAGCAGCAAGGCAAAAGGAGAACCTCTCAGACCCAGGCCTAGGAAGTATACTTTGAGCAGAAATGTGGATGAGATCTCAGAAAGTTATTCCTAGTGCTCAGTCGGAATCTCCTTTCTTTGCCATTTGAATCCAGTAGCTCAGTTCCTACCCTCTGGAGCAGCAGAAACCAAGTTTGCTCCATGAAACAATCTGCCTGTTGCTTTTCCTCTCCTCCCTTGGCAATTGTGCTATATAAAGGACTGAAAATATTGGCTGCAATACCTCGACAGCCAAAGTTAACGAAACATACTTTTAGGCTTGTAATTTGGGGTTTGCCCTCCCCAACTTTGTGGTTTGGGAAGAAGGCAAAGTTTGATTTTGTTTTGATGCAAATAAAAAGCTTGAACCTTACCTTGAATTCACCAGATCTGTGAACCCCCAGGTCTGTTTTCAAGTGTCAAGACACGGCTTTGAGATATCCAGGCTGGAGAGAAAAACTTGCTTCTTTTGTTTTGTTTTTAGAGGAGAGGGCAGCGAAGATGGCCCCTTTCTGTGTGATCCTGCTGCTTCACCTGGTGGGAATATTCCCAGGAGACCTTCAGGTATGAAGAGGGTGCAAGCAGTGGGAATTAAAAATCAAGATACACACACACTTCCCGTCCATCAGCCTCCTCAAGCCATCTCCTCACGTATTCCTTACTGTGGTTATTAGTATTGCACCTATGGAAGCAGTAGGATGAATAAAAACAGACCTTTCTTGGAAATAAAAAATGGTCCAGACCAAAAATATGGCTTCGAAGCTTTACTCACAGAATTTTCTTCAAAGCAGACTTAAAACAATAGTGATACATCCAAATAGTTGCATAAAATCATGTGCTTTTCAAGCCCGGGTTCAGCTCCTTAGAAATGCAAAATTACTCCAAACAGAACTGGAATCAAAACTCTTTCACTCCACACAGACTTCATCCCAGCCTGAAGCTGTTCCCTCCTAGAGAGAATCATCACTAGTATAGCCTCTTTTTTTTTTTTTTGGTGGTTTGAGAACAAAGACCACTCCCTCAAAATGGAGATTTGCAACTGAATATCTTACTCGTGTGATCTAAAGTTAAACATCACATGAGAGAGTAGCAGGGAGACATTCTCAGCTGATTATCAACCTGTTAGGTACCAGAGATATCTTACTTAGCTTCAATGGAATTTTCCGTGTTCCCTTTAGCAATACACATACAGAGCTATTTTCCATTTTTATGTGCAATTAAACAATTAACATTCTTTTCTGCTCCAGGTCCTCTGTTTCCCCATCCAAAGGAGAGACCTCTTCCCCATCAAAGTGTCCCCACTCGACATGGCCTTGACCTCTTTCGATGACCAGTATAAGGGATGTGCGGAGCAGATGGAGGCTGAGCTGACCGAGCTGAACCGCACGGAGTTCGCCCAAAACAGAGTCTACGCCGAGGCCTGGGAAGAGGCCTCCTCCCAGTGGGAGGGGCGGAAAACCCCTTTGCCCGCAGGGCTCAAGCCCGAGTACGTCATCGCCATCATGGCTTACACCATCCAAGGGCGCCTCCACAGGGATTTCAACGCAGCCGTGAGGGAAGCTGGGCGCACGAGAGACTCTTACCTCAACAACTTCAACTTCAAGACACTTCACTTCCTCCTGACCAGGGCCCTCCACGCCTTGGGGACCACCTCTCACCCCAGGTGCCAAAAGGTGTACCGCGGGGTGCGAAACATCCGCTTCATGTCCGAGCGCCTCAAGGCAGTCCGCTTTGGACACTTCACGTCCTCGTCGCTGAAGAACGAGAGCGCCCTTCAGTTCGGCACGGACACCTTCTTCACCATCGAGACCTGCTATGGGGTCAACATCAAGAACTTCTCCTTCTTCCCCGGCGAGGAAGAGGTCCTCATCCCCCCCTTTGAGAAGTTCAAGGTGGCCAACTTCACCAAAGCCAAGGAGACGACTTACATCCAGCTCCTCTCCCTCGAAGACTCCAGTGTCCACAACTGTGTCTTTGTGAAAGGTAACAGTCCTGTTGCTGGGGAGCAACAGAGTTAAAAAAATAATAACCCCCTATATAGCACCCATAGATGTGCAAGGTCGCCACATTCTCCTTTCTATGTAAACCAAACAGCGCAGGTGGCTCAAGACAGCCAGCCAAGCTGCCTCTGGAACAAAAGAAAAATGGAAACCTCCAGGTCATTCAGCAAGCCAATCAAAAGGGAGTGGGGATTTTGGATAGCAAATATCACAACCCTTGAGTGCCTGGATGTGTACAAACCTATTCAGATGACCCAGTCAAAATTTGGGGGAAGACCACAGCTGAACTCTACAATGTGCCAACCCTGATGAAATTGCAGGGGGAGCTATCCAATGCGTTGGTTATCCCTCCCTTAGAGAGGCACTAAACATGTTATTATCTGCAATGTAGGGACCCCCCCTGGCTCTGCGGGGTGGGGAAGAGGGACATATTCTGTGTCCCAGTCTAAATTTCTTGAGCTGCTCAGTAATGGCACCCATGATGTTTTGTAATGTCAGTGTTTCCAGAAAGCAGGTAACTGTCCTTGCTTGGAGAACGCTAGACCAGTGATTCCCAAATATTACCTAGCTGGGCTCTTAGAGGGAAGGAGGTGGCTGGGGGATGTGCTGGAGGTGAAAATGAACTATCAGACTTTGACAAGCTGGTACCCCTGGATCAAGCTCGTCCATTTTGTTGACTTAATCAAACTAAACCAATTGCTAAATGGATTTTGCAAAACTGTGCAATTAATTGCTGCTGTTTTGCATTTTATTGTGTTGCTATCCTCCTTGGTGGGTTGTCCGAACCTCTGTTCTGAATAATAAAGGTGGACTCTCCTTCCTTGGAGGTTGTTAAGCAGAGGTCGGATGCCCCTCTGTCGGGGGATCTTTAGTCGAGATTCCTGCATTGCAGGGGGGCTGGACTAGATGACCCTGAGGAGTCCCTTTCAACTCTACAATGCTATGATTCTATGAATGACTTGCTTATAACTATCTTTGCGTTGCTCTTTGCAGAGAAAAAGTGCAAGCCCCCAAGGTGCCGGACCAGTTCAGGTGAGGGAGTAGCTGATAATTCTCTTCCCCCACCCCCACCCCAGACACTCATGCTATTAAAAGTATGCTAAAGTCCCCTCCTTTTTTTCTTATATTGACAGGTGCAAGTCAGAGCCATCTCTCTGCCAGTGTCCAAATGTCCTTCTTTCTCTGGGGTTCCCTCTTCCTTGCTGGCACCCTGGGACCCCCAGACCTCCTCTGATCTCCAGGATCAAACCTCTGCCTCTCCGCCGCCCTTCGCATAGTCCGCTCCTGGGGAAGCAAAACAGGAGCAAATCGAATGCGGCTGAGAGCGAACGTTAGTCTTTGCTTGAGTTAAGAGGCAAGAGGTTCGGCGGCTGCAAATAAGCCACTTTCTAAACCCAGAGTGTGTTGCTGGCAAGAGCTCCATGGCATCTCGCCCCATTATCCCTTTGCTGTTGCAGTAGCAATTTACGTACCGTAAATGGCAATAACAGACCTTCCAATCGCCCCTATTTTCCAGGAACAGTCTTGGATTTACAGCAGACGTCCCAGTTTATGATTTGATCCCGGAATGTCCCACTTTCCCTTTGTTGTTGTTGTTTAGTCATTTAGTCGTGTCTGACTCTTCGTGACCCCCTGGACCAGAGCACGCCAGGCCCTCCTGTCTTCCACTGCCTCCCGCAGTTTGGTCAAACTCATGCTGGTAGCTTCAAGAACACTGTCCCACCATCTCGTCCTCTGTTGTCCCCTTCTCCTTGTGCCCTCCATCTTTCCCAACATCAGGGTCTTTTCCAGGGAGTCTTCTCTTCTCACGAGGTGGCCAAAGTCTTGGGATCTGTCCTTCCAGTGAGCACTCAGGGCTGATTTCCTTCAGAATGGATCGGTTTGATCTTCTTGCAGTCCCTGGGACTCTCAAGAGTCTCCTCCAGCACCAGAATTCCAAATCATCCATTCTTCGGCGATCAGTCTTCTTTATGGTCCAGCTCTCACTTCCCTACATCACTACTGGGAAAACCATAGCTTTAACTATATGGACTTTTTTCGGCAAAGTGATGTCTCTGCTTTTTAAGATGCTGTCTAGCACTTTCCCTTAGGATGTCCCTATTCTCATCGGAGAAATGTTGGAGGGTATGGAGTCATGCGACCCCCGAGCCAAGGAGATAAGTAACTAGACAACCTTTGGAAGACATCTGAAGGCAGCCCTGTCTAGGGAAGATTTTTAATGCTTGATGTTTTATTGTGTTTTTTATATACGTTAGGAGCCGGGGTATAAAGGTTATTATTATTATTATTATGGAACAGGGCATCCCTATTTTCATTAGAGAAATGTTGGAGGGTCTGCATTAGACTGCTAACCAGGGGAACTTGTTTTCTGCGCTGCGTTCATTGGACTCCAGCTTCCATTGGGCCATGCTTGCTGGGGCTGATGGGAGTTGGAGTCCAACAAGATCTGGAGCTCACCAGGTTAGCCAAGAAGGGTTGGACTAGAGGACCTCTGGGGGTCCCTTCCAACTCTACGATTCTATGATTCGAAGAGCCTGGCTGCTAGAGCAGAGCAAAGGAGGCCCACCTGGGCCACCTCCATCGGTCCCAGATGAATCTCCTGGGAAGGCCCCTGGCAGGACCAGAGGGCCATTCCCCACTTAACGCCTATGTTTCGTGACTCTGCATTTGGACAAAACCAGCCTCCGGAGAATTGGCTAGTGGGGTGCCAAGCAAGACAGCCCCACGCCGGGTGTCTGATCTCAGCAACCCCAGCTGTAACCAGCAAGGCATGTATCTCAGGGTTCAGAAGGAGTCCTCCTTTCCCAGGGATGGCCATAGCTGGCCCAGCCCTGCAGCCTCAGGTCAGAAGGTTATGGACTCTCCTTCTCTGGAGGCTTTTAAGCAGAAGTTGGATGGCCACCTGCCAGGGAGCCCCCCCCCCTTAATGCTTTTTATTGATTTTCCAACACGACAAAAATTATACATTCCAAATAAAACACAAAAGAAACAGCAAATTTCCAAATAAACCAATATATACCACTATATATACAAATCCTTAAAGAGACTTATGTTGTTTAAGTCTTTTTCCTGATTCACAAATTCTTAATTCCTCCACATGACTTCCAGCCTCTGCCCTGAGGGTTCATCCTCCCCCCCCCTTTTGTTATCACTGCTTCTGTATGCCTTAGCTCCGTTTCTTTCTTTCGTTTTGTCTCATGTATTCTTAGTCTAACTTGCAGCTTGCAGAGCTTGGTCAAAACATGTCCAGGTTTTCACTTGTGGACAATGTTTAATTAAATATCCTGTATAAATTCCCCAGGAACTGTACTGCCAGGGAGCCTTTAGCTGTGATTCCTGCCTTGTGGGGGGGGGATGGACTAGATGACCCTCGGGTCCCCCTTCCCAACTCTACAATTCCAGGGAAAGGCACTTTTAATCACAGCTGCCTCCCTAAAACAACCCCTAGCTCACCATGACCCCCAAGGCATGGTCCCCTCTAGAACAGGGGGACCCTCCAGTGGTGAACCTACATTTCTGGGGTCCTGAATCTTGAACTCTCATGGGGACCCCTTTGCCACCAGCAGTGATGTCTAGGTAACCACTGTTATCTTCTTCCGAGGCCTTGTTCCATCTAAGGCCACTAGATCTTTACAGCATCTGTGCCACAGACTCTCAAACTTTGGGATTGTTGAAATATACACAACAGAAAATCAATCCATTTGAGTCCTGAGACTTACCGTATTTTTCGCTCCATAAGACACACTTTTTTCTTCCTAAAAAGTAAGGGGAAATGTCTGTGCGTCTTACGGAGCGAGTGCGTGGTCCCCGGAGCCGAATTGCCCAGAGGCAAAAAGCAGATGATGCTTTTTTTTTTTTTTTGAAAGAGGAAAGTGGGTGTTGAAACAAAGCGATCGGGGAGAGAGATAAGGGATGCTAGCAATAAAGGAGGCTGCCTGGGAGGGGGGAGGTAAAGACAGCAAACTTGCAAAGGGGGGGGGACAGGAAGACTAAAGCTATAAGGAGAGGAATTAGAAGAAAAGGAGGAGCAAAAAAACTGCTCCAGCTAAGGAAAAGACACTAAGGCAAACAAGGGGGAAGGGAGTGTTGAAACAGCTGATCGGTGGGATCGGAAGAGAGATAAGGGAAACTAGCGGAGGCTGCCTGGGAGGGGGAAGGTAAAAGCCCCTGGATCCTCAGGATTTTTACATTGGGTCACCCCAAATTCACCATCAGATCACATAGCATGTCCATGGCTACAGCCTGCAGCAAAAAAATCACGCACCCACTGTTGCGTGGGGCCACAATGGCGCAAAAACGAGGATCCACATAGATCCTCAGGATTTTTGCATTGGGTCACCATCAGATCACATGTCTGTGGCCACAGCATGAAGCACAAAAATAATACATCCACTGTTTCGTTCAGAATATTTCCCCCCCTTGTTTTCCTCCTCTGAAAACTAGGTGTGTCTTATGGTCAGGTGCGTCTTATGGAGCGAAAAATAGGGGGGGGGGTTCTACAAGACCCAACAATTGTAAGCAATGTGCCCTAAAGTCACTGCTGGGGTCCCTCCAGGGTTAGGAGCCCTGAAGCTGAACTTTCATTGGTTTCAGACGAGATCTGCTCCTGGGAGCTTCCACGCCAGCTGAGCTTCTCACCACGAACATCTCCTTCTTGAATGGATTAAGTTTTCTCCATCCTCATGCAGCTTGCATGTTTGGACCCTGGAGGTCAGGGAATTTGTCTACTGGGCCCCAGTGTTTCCTCTGCCTCTGACACTCCAGCCCCCCCCCCCCAATTCCTGCTTCTTGAATCCTTTTTCAATTGGAAGACACCAGGAATTGAACGTGGAACCTTCTGCCTACAAAGCAGGTGCTCTGCTTGCAATATCTGGTCCTTTCTGTTTTCAGAGTGTGTTTCCCACCCCCTTCACAGATGAGTGTTGTATACATTTTATGAAATAAAAATAAAAATTGAGCTGAGTGTTATTGGCATCATTACGGTGGGGCTGGTTTCAGTGTACATGATACTTGTGGGCCCCTTCTAATCGATGGTCGGTCTGGTGCAGAAGTTATTTAGCTTGCTCCTCTTCAGCTCTATAACATAAGAGGAATATTCCTAGGAAGCTGCCTTGGACAGAGCCAGTCCTGTGACCCAGCGACCTCAGCAGCACCTGCACTGACTGGCAGCAGCTCTCCAGGGTTTTGGACGGGGGGGCAGACATTCCCACCCCCACCCCCCCCGAGATGCCGCCCAGGACGGAAGACCTGCATGCAAAGCACATGGTCCAATCCTGCGCTATGGAGACCCCTGGCCTGCCTGGGAGGATGTGGGGCTGGCCTCCCTTTGGGAATGGGGCTGCAGGAAGAAGGATGTGAGAGGAAGATGGAGCCCAGCTGCAGGCGGAACAGCAGGGGCCTCCGAGTTCTGAAGAAGGAGCATCACCTCTCGGGAGGGGCCAGGTGGGGGGGTCGCCACGATGACAAGGACCGGCCCTCCTTTGTGACCTCTCTTGCTTCTCCCTAAAAAGCCACCGACTTGCAGGAGGCCTTTGTGGGTTAGGCGTGAGGCGAGTGGAGGAGAGAGGAGTTGGTGGCGGTTGGCGGAGATTGGGGAAGGAGTTCGGTTTATTGTTCTTTTTCCAGTTTCTTATTTTGCTTCCCATTTCATTTAATACTTTTATTTGATTTATTATTTTAGTTTTTTGTTTTAACACTTTTATCTTATTGTTCTTTATTTTAATATTTTTTATTTTATTTTGTGCACATTTTGTATATATTTATTTTGTACATAGAGGGGTAGTTAAGGTTAGGCTTAGGCTTAGGGCTGCGGTTGGGGTCAGAAGTTAGGCTTGGATGGGCATTTTAGACAGCTAGTTTAGAGAGGAAGGTGGGATTTCTTCCTGGACAAAATGGACAGGCTGTAAGTGTTGGGATACTGCCAGGGAGACGAAGGCATCAAGCAGGCCTCCACGTCGCCTCCGGATGATCTCCCGGTCTCTCGTTGAACAGCATCAGTCAATTAGTGACACGAGCTTCAGAGACATTCCAAGACTCGTGCACACCCTTTTCAGCAGTCTCCACAACGGAAGATTCAGATAGGAGAGCATATTTACAGCTTTATTCAACGTAGATCAGAAGAAAGGAAAAACATGACTGCTTGCATCCGTGTCCAGGAAAACAGCCAGAACAAAAACTATATACAAAACGGAAGTTCCCAGAGAGAACAGTGCTGGGAGTAAACTGGCATGTGACACACAACAATCATGTCTGACCATTTAAGGTGGAACGGAACTATATCCTAACAGTAAGTAGGATTCTTTCCCTTGGTCTTGGTCTCCTGGGGGGGGGTGAGTCCTGGGGTCTCTTGCACAGTCTTGGCTCTCTGGAAATTGACCCGGCCAGTCTTCTCTGGAGAGCTCAGCTCCTCCAAACTCATTCTCTGCCTTCCCCTTTTCTCTCCCCTCTCATCATCCGCTTTTATTAGGACATTCCTAGCCCACTTTCCTCCCAGGAGCTCAAAGTGGCCTTCATGGTTCTCCCTGCCACCAATTTTTATCTTCCCAGCAGCCCTGCAAAGTAGGCCTGGCTGGCCCAAGGTCCACCAGGGAGCTTCATGGCTCAGTGGGGATTCGAACTCTGCTCTTCCAGGTCCTCCTAGTCCAGCCCTCCAACCACTGCACCTCTCCCTGGCTCCATCTTGCATCTTTCCAGCTGCCCAACGCCATCGGCCTTCTCCCCCTTCATGGGGGCCTCTAGGGTTCCAAGGAAGACTCCACCACCTTCCTCTCTCGGCCCCCCGCACAGACACAAACACCCCCCACCCATTGGGGCTCCTGGGTCACTCTCTCCCCCCCACTCCTCTCTTCTAGGTTCAGGTGGTTCAGGGCCCTGTTCAGCTGCCAGCAGAGGAACAGGGTGGCCCCGCTGCAAGTCCGGGAGGAGCCCGTGGTGATAGGTGAGCAAGTTTGGAGACCGGAGGGCTAGGGGGCATCTCAGGGTGCAGTTCTCTGGCTGCCTCCCCGCCCCCCCCCGAAAGAGCTGGCTTTCCTCCTCTGCTCTCTTGCAGGACATCTTGGGGCACTTGGAGCGCTTCAGGGATCAATCCCTGAGCCTGGCCCTGGCCCTCCTCCAGCTGAGGTGAGGGGGTTCTTTGGGATGGACGGGGTTGTGGGGGTGGGGGTGGACAGAATTCCAGGGGGAGCTCTGGGTGGGGAAGAGCAGGCAGGAGGGAGAAGGGGGCAAGGGAGACTCAGAGGAGGCAGCATCTAACCCTCTCCCCTTCATCTCTGCAGCATCATGAGGCCAAAGTTCAGCGGCGATATGCCCAGGGCTATCCTGCACAGGATGTTTGAGGCAGTGCTGAAAGGGGCTGAGAAGGTGGAGGACAGAGAAGTATGTCTTGACTTCCCTTTGCTCAGCTCTTTCTTCTTCTCACACCCTTGCAAGATTTAACCCAGCACTCAACCTCTCTTCTCTCTTTTCCCGCAGGAACTGAAGGGGCATTTCCAAAGCCTGCTGGGGGGTCCTCCACTTCAGAGATGGGCATCTCAATTCTCCACACAACTTTCCAGGCCAACTAGAGGGAAAGAATGAGAGGACAGGGAGGTCTGTCCTTAGTTCTCTTTATTTTTCCTGCTCCAGGTGATCACAGTCTTTGAGGCAGCAGCACTGAGGGGTCTTTGGACCATCCAGCTGCCCAAGAATCACACTGCAGAGTCCATTCTGGTTGTGTGAGGGACCCCAGGAGGGAGTTGTCAGGGATGGGCAAGCCAAGCCTGGAGTTTGAGGTCAGAGGTGCCTTCCTGATGCCCCCGGAAGGACCTGATTTTCCTCCTCTGCTCTCTTCCAGGACATCCTGGGGCGCCTGGGACATTTTGACAAGCGCCCCATAATCCAAACTTCTCCTCCGACCTCTGCAGTGCAATAGTCCACAGGACGTTTCAGACACTCCTGGAGATGAAAAGCAGGTGGACAGGAAGATTTGTAACCGTTGGTCTTGACTTCTCTTGACATGGCTCTTCTTCCTCTTCACATACTTCCACAACTGCACTCAGGACTCAAAATCTCTTCTCTCTTTCCCTCCTTCCCCTTCGTGGACCTGCTGGCTTGAACATGGGTGTCTCCCACAAGAACTGAAGTGTCACTTCCATCATCTGCTCTGACAGAGACCCCCAACGCTCCACACCTCCTCCTCCTCCTGCTTAATGTAAGTGTCTGGATGGCATCAGAGATGGTAAAGGAAAGCCAGGGACTCTGTGGTGGGGGCAGTGGAGGGCCGCTTTGGCCCAGGCTGCCCCCTGACTCCGAGATGCTCTTTCCTCCCGCAGGACCTCCGATGTTACACCCTTTGGGAAAGTGGTGAGGAAAAGAAACTAGCGGCCAACAGCATCCCTTCGCTGCTGGCCTTTGCCCGAAGGTTCCCCCATCTCAGAGCAAGTAGCTTTCCCTCATGGATTCAGTCCTTTCATCACTTCCATCTCCCCAAGAGGCTCCCAAGGCTACTCATCCTCTGCAGTTGATAGCAGACCTAACTGGAAAAAACGGCTTCCTCTTCTGGTGACACCAGAGAATTCTAGAAGACATTCACCCTTTCCATAGCATTATGGATGCATGACAGTTCTTTAGTTGGAATCTCCTTTCTCCTTTAGTTGGAATCTCCTTTCTCGCAAGTCATTTGGGTCCTTGTCTCCAGAGCAGGAGCAGGTGCAAGCTTCTTGCATCTTCCATGTGGGAGCCCTTTGGGTATTTGAACACGGCTCTCAATTCAGGTCTCCGTATCGCCTTGTCCTGGCTAAACATCCCCAACTGTGAAATCCACTTAAAAAATAATAATAATCTAGCCTTTTTGCAGTTTGGAAAATGAAGGGTAAATGCATTGAAAAGTGTGGTGGGAAGACTTTTAAGAAATTGGGATGAGTGTTCATGGTCCTATACCTGCCCCACAAAGAAATCTGAATTGGATAGAATCTGATCTCCGTGTGCAGGACCTTAGATTTGTCCCTCTTGAAATTCTTTCCTGCTCTGTGCCAGACTCCAAAGCTGGACTTGGGGCTTTATGGGAAACCTAATGCAGAAGCAAGATCTGTTAGGGGGGGGTGCTAAGAGCCCCTCCATCCTATGCTCAGGTTGTATATATGTGCAAATAAAACCAGGTATCCTGAAGACTCCACAGTCTCTGCTAACCTTCGTTCCCAGAAACTAAACCCCGGGTAAGGAGAAGCACCCCTGGAGTTTCTTGTTGCACAGAGATTGGGGTGCTGGGTAAGAAAAGGACACACCCCAGAGGTCAGAGCAATGGCGGATCGTGGCATCTCAAATGGTGGTGCTGCCCTGTACGATGCCAAATTCTGGCGCCACCTCCCCCTTGCCTCACGCTTTCCTCCCCCCCCCAGCTTTATTAATATTCTTACAATACATTCTATATATATAGTACATCTTGTAAAATAGATTGAAGTTTCAATCACATATATACAGACACACAAAAAGGAACATATACCTGTCTTTTCTTACATATTTATGAACCTTATGCTTCAACTGTATTATTTTTTTATGTGATATCCTATGTCCAGCTATGTGCACTGCTACACTTGCAAATAGCCTTAAGAAGAGGAGGAGGAGGAGGAGGAGGAGGAGGAGGAGGAGGAGGAGAAGAAGAAGAAGAAGAAGAAGAAGAAGAAGAAGAAGAAGAAGAAGAAGAAGAAGAGGAGTTTGGATTTGATATCCCGCTTTATCACTACCCGAAGGAGTCTCAAAGCGGCTAACATTCTCCTTTCCCTTCCTCCCCAACAACAAACACTCTGTGAGGTGAGTGGGGCTGAGAGACTTCAGAGAAGTGTGACTGGCCCAAGGTCACCCAGCAGCTGCATGTGGAGGAGCGGGGAAGCGAACCCGGTTCCCCAGATTACAAGTCCACCGCTCTTAACCACCACACCACACTGGCTCTCAAGAGGCCTGACATGCAAGTCTCTTAAGATTTACACGAAGGCATCCATTTACAACAAACCAGGTTATTATTTGTGGGGCAACAATTTTTTAGAAAAAATTATAGCCCTAAAGGGGGAAATGGTTAAAATAATTTTTTAGGATATATTATATAAATGTTCCTCAATGTACCAAGCAAATACATATATAAATATATAAACCACATGTCCAAAACCCACAGGAAAAGCCCTAAAGCCATTTTGACTCTTTCACTCACCTCAAATATTTCTCTACAAGGTCGAAGGAAATGCAGAAACCTCCCCGTTGTCTCTGTCCTCACAAATCCTGCCTTAAGGGCACATTTAAGGTGTGAATAGAGTGGGCCTGTGACCTGGCTCAGGAATGAAGTATTATCATTACAAAAGAATGGCCAGGCTCCCCAGGTAATCCAGTCAAGTGACCATTTACAGGTAACCTGGCAGACAAGGTAAAAACAACGCACTCAGATTTCTGTTGTAGACCGCTTTTTCTGTGACGTAGGTATGATGCATCTGGGGGGTAGTCTTGGGCTACACCCCTTCTGTGATGTATGTATGATGTATCTGGGGGTGGTCTTGGACTCCAGGGCGGGCAATTAAAAATGTCTATATAAGGGCTTTCATGCATGGCTCGGGGTCCTCCTCCTCTCTCCTGCGTGTGGGGGAGTTAATAAAGAACAGGCTTAATAGCTGCTTTGCTTCTCAATATTCTCTGGTTGGTCTCTGTTATTTTCTCCTACCGATAGAGAACCTACAAAAGGACTCTGTATGGGCTCTTGGGTACCCCATAAGCAAAAAGGGCTTTTTTACTTCTGTCACCTGCAATCATGTGTGGTGTGTTATCAATTCACTCCTCCCCTTGCTGGATATGTGGCTAGTATGTCACATGCCCCTGTTTACTTTCCTAGGCTTGGAAAGTGTAAGAACGGAAGTCAGTCTTATCTCTTCCGCTCTGCTGTGCTTTTGCACTGTTCTTTGTCTCTCTGTCTGTTGCTGAAGAAGAGAGAGGATGCCATTATGATCCATTTGGTGTCTGCAGATGTGACGAGCATCCCCTCATTTCCTTCATCCATGTCATTTATCAAGACCCTGCAGCACCCTTCTTGTCACTTTTCCCCAGGATGAGGAGGAACCATGAAGGAGTCCTCTTTGGGTTCGGTCAGTCAAATCCACCTAACAGTTACCTCATTCAGCCTCATTTTACCAGCTTCCTCACATAAATCTCACAGAGGACTCTGTCAAAAGCCTTACTGAAATCAAGATGCACTATTTCCACAGCAGGCCCCTGATCAACACAGTTTGTAACTCCATCCAAAAAAGAAAAGAAAAGGAGAGATTTCTCTGGCTTGTCTTGTTTTTGAGAAATCCATGCTTTTATCCTGTATGTTTATATTGTAAAATCTTCAGATGAAGGGCAAATAAATTTTAAAAAGCATAAATGAGGATATTGACAAGCTGGAACATGTGCAAAGGAAGGAGATTTATGTATTTTTTTAAATTGGGAAACCACCCGACCCAGTGGTGCCGACTCAAATAAAATATTGGTGGAGGGCCAGGTAAGTCCCGCCTTGCACTATCCATCACATGATGCATGCACACCATTTGAATGGCAATGCCTATAATGGCAGCGACTTTTTAAAAAAGTAATATTTTGAGCCAGTAGTTCAATTTCCCAGCAGCTCCCCTTGCCCCGGAGAACACTTCTGGCATTTCATCTCCTCTACCTGTGTCCATTTGGTATGGCCCTTTCCAGGTTTTTTCCTGCTCATTGTGTTTGTCTTTCATTTGTTCTCCTGGGTGTGTTGCCAGTAGAAGCCACAATTCTGTGGGTACTCTAGGTGGTGCAGAAAGCACCTAGAAGCTCCCTAGAGGTTGAAGTGCCGATCAAACTTCAGTTTTGCACTCTGTTAATTCCAATTAGCAGTACTGGGGGTGGTTCAGATTCTGGGGCAGTGCTTTTGGCCAGCAGAGGGTGTCACAAGGCCAGCCTACTTTCCCTTTAAAGCAAACTCGGGTCTCTAGCTGTTTTTGGACTACAACTCCCATCATCCCTAGCTAGCCAGGACCAACGGGGAGGGATGATGGGAACTGTAGTCCGGGAGCTGTTGGGGACCCAAGTTTGGGAAAGCCTGCTTTAAAGCAACTTTTGCGTTTGTCCCGCAAAGATGGGACCTGTCCACGTTTGTATTTTATTGTATTTTGTTTTTCTAATGACCTTTGTGCATTTATTTTTTAATTTTTTAAGAGGGCAAATTGAAAGAGAAATTGTATGGCAAGTTGTGGAAGAATAAAAGGTTGCATTTTTTTCAAAAAAAACCAAACAAACCTGGGGGGTGGCCTCCTCAATTTTTTTTTCCAAATTTTTTTTATTGCTTTTCCAAATTTCTAAGAAATGACATTACACAACACAACACACAACAAAAGAAAACACATTAGAATACAAAAGAAAAACATAGAAACAATTATTACTTTCAAAACCCAATTTACCTTACATTGTTAACTGACTTCATCCAGTCCCCCCCAACTGAATTTCATTGTATCACCTTGTAACAGTTCTCCAAAATCATATTTCTAATAAAATTATCTCCTATTTACTACCCTCGTCTCTTTTATTAGTATTCTAATCCTTCATATTTTACAACACGTTCATATTTTAGTCCTAAGCCTATTTGTTGCTTCCAAGTGACTTCTCATTATCATATATAACAATTTTTAGCTAAATATTCTTTAAATTTCTTCCAATCTTCTTGTGTCTCCTCCTCTTTCTGGTCCCAGATTCTTCCAGCCAAAAAAGCAATTGCATTGAGTGCTTCCTGTTGGGTCCTCTCCACATCAGGGACTCTCAGGGACTTTCCAATTCCGACAATTTTGTCTTGTGACCTGTAACTTCTGCCTTGACTTCTTGAATTTCTTTTTTCAAATCTACAAATTCTTGTTTAAGCTCCTGTACGCTCTGCTGGGTTCCTCTTCCATCTGTTTTATTTCAGTCAACATTTGCATCACCGACTCTTCAAAAGTTAGTGCTTTAGAGCCTCTTCTCTCTTTAGGCTTGCTTTTCTCAGGCTTACCTACACCATTAGCCATAACTATTCCACAGTTTCAAGGTCCGCTCACCCAGACTCAGTCCACAGGTTTTTAGTACACAGACAGCAACAGGCAGCTCAGCAGCTCCCCCCTTTCAAAGTCTTGTTCTTTTTAATAATAATAATAATAATAATAATAATAATAATAATGTCAGGGGTTCAGGAGCAGAGGCAAGGGCAAGGGAGGAAACAGAGAGCGAGGGGGAGGAGGCAGAAGAAAAGATGAGTGATGACGACGACCCGAGATCTCAGAGTCTTTCCAGTGAATCAGAAGATTCACATAAAGTATCACCAGTGGCCAGGTCAAGGGGGAGCCTAGGGGGACACCAGGAAGATAGAGCCAGAGGGACTCAGAGGGAGCAGTTGGAAATCGGGACCAACGTCACCGCCAGAGAGCAGGGAAGAGGAAGGGCGCCAGGGATCAAGCGCTGGCAGCTCACAGCAGGGGAGGGCACGAGTCAGGAGTGGCCACACCCCATCGAGGCGAAGAACGGTCAGACGGAAGGTGGAAGGT